TTGTCGAGGAATTCGATGATGGATGCGATCGACTAGCTGAAAGAAATCCGACGATTCTTATCTTATGAGTAATGGATTTTCTGTACAAACATTACCGTCGATATCTGAAGCATTGATTTCAAACACATGTTTGTTTCCTTGTTCGTCGCGTTGAGTGAATTTGAATTTTTTCTTATCGTATGAGATTTCTGCACGTTTACTGTGTCGACTCTCGCGTCCGAATTGTCCAGTTGCTGTCCAAATACCATCTTTTTCTTGACAATTCGTTAACTTGATATCTTTACGACGATCTGGTTTGATATTAATATGCGGAGGTGGAGTGCGAGTATTGCCATCATGAGAAGTCCGTGCATTCCTTCGTGAATGGTTCGGTACTGGCGCAGGCGTTGAAATTCCATTGGAATTCATTGATGAGTTTGACGAATCATGTTTCGAGTTCATCAAGACATTTTTCGAAGAAGGTGTCGAGAGAATAGACGATGCACTTGGAGTCGGTGTTCCAAGTGTTGACTTCGAGTTCGATGCACTTCTACTTATAGATGACGTGAATAATTTGACAAATTTTGTTCGTTTTGGTGGAGTGTGAGAACCATTGGAGAGATCTCGATCTTTATAAACTTTACCAGGCGATGTGGAACTTATCGTTGTGTTCGATGAAGCACGACGTACGACTGAAGTCATACCAGGACAATCAGCAGGCAAATGTTCAGCACATTGATGATGATAATCACGTCGACATATTTTACATCGCTTACCCTGGAATTTGCAACCTTTGCGAATTAGAAAAACCAAGAACAAATAATATCTCCTACCTGTTTTATTAAACCCCACATGAAATAATCACAAGACGAGCAGTACGTCGGCTTTTTGTAGTTATGTTCGGCAAGTATATGGTCACGAGGATGAACATTCGTTTCATGATCGGATCTCCAAATAACAATTTCAATAAAACATGTCGGCGTTAAATCGCTCGGACGTGTAATTAATCTTAAACTCGGCGGTTGAAGATCCGGTGAAATGAGAAATAATTTAATATGATGTCGGTGATTATTTACTTCAAGACTACCAATTGCTTTCGCGACAATTTCAGTGGCCTGTTTATGAAGATTATTGAGAACATCAGGATTGGACTTATCGATTTGAATGGATTGATAAGTTATACCGAATTTCAAGCAAATAAGCATTAACTCTTGGGAGCATTGTCGTACAGCCATGACGAATTTGTCCAAATGAATCGTCTAGTTTATCATATCTACAATGAGATTTATTCACTTTATATCGACGCATATGGCAGACCTGCAGAAAAGAAAAGCGCGGCTCTATGTTTGTGGTAGACAGAGATAAGTCAATGCTTCTTTCGTTCTTTACTTTTTTTTATAATAAAAAAGAAAGAAAATACTTGTTATTCTTTTCCACCTTTCTTATGCTGACAAAGTAGTAAAATGACGAATACATAATCATGACATTTTTATCCGTCATCAGTAAATGGCGGATGATGATGGAAGCTGGGTGTAGGCTCTTCATGATTATTTTTCTTCTAATCTCTCTACTAGTGGTATTAAATAAACTTTTCTCTAATAATAAACGAGTTCCCTGATTCGACACCAACTACTCGGATAACCTAAATAAAGAATGAACCTTAATCTCTTCCCTCCTCATTTCAACTCTCGAACAAACAAGAGACTGTCTCCGATTACTATCATATTCATGTCTTCTTATCACTTCTCATCAATGACGACCAGTATTACTTAGTAGATCAGATCTATCCTTCGACAAAAATCGATAGTCGAAGCAATGAAATTTTACTCGTCGCTTCTGTTTTCGTTTTTCTCTTTCGAACGATAAGATAAATTTCCCCCCCGAAAAACAACAAACGAGTACGATCGGTATAGGTCGCATAAATACAACGTTTTTCTCGTGCATTTTGTCTTCTTCCTCAAAGTGAAATATATCGTCAACATACCTTACGTCTTCTATTGCTTCTCATACACACTAAAAGTGTTCTCTCGATCAACAAAACCGAGTTGTGATTGAAAAAAAAAAACTCGAGGAAAAACAACAAAATTTGTAAACTACAATGAATAATAAATCTCTGCCGCACGTCGATGTTGATCTGAAGAAGAATCCCAATTTGACTAAGGATACGATATTCTCTTCTCGATTATTTGCGTTTCTTTCTTTTTCTATATTCAAATTCGTATGACGAAAAAAACATATACGACGACAACTATTAATATAAAAACGTGATTGGCAAAAAGATTTTTTATTTAGATTCATTCTTAATGTGCTGTCGCGTTGTTATGTTACGCTTCTTTCGCTCTCTGTTCTTTATTTTCTTTCGACTACACATACGATGCGTTTGATGTAAAAAAAACGAGAGAGAAGAGAAAAAAACGTAAAATTACCCACCGACAAATAGCCATGTTAATCGTAGCACATATGTCTTTACATACTTAACAGTTCAGCTAGCAAAAGGTATTTATGCAGGTTATGGATTGAGAGGAAATATTACTTTCTATTTAACACGTATGCATCGTGTTGTCAATAGTCTGACTCATAATATTAATCTTAACTCATCGGTGACATGTAAATATGCGCAGCACGATTGTCAATTAGTGATATTTCACCTCGCATGACTTTTTTTGAGAGCGAGAGATATGTAAATGAATTCATTTCGGATATCGTATTTTGATTAGATGAAAACAAAAAAGTCAATTCCAACCGTTGCATTGTGCACACTCACATACAAAATGTTCAGGGAGAACTTCCCGTCCCGAATTAACGGGCCTATATAATTAATATAGGAAATGTTGACATGAACACGTTCAAAGAAAGCAAATAGAAACCCAATCTCATTATCATACGTTATTAGAACAAGAACAATGTTCTTTCCTTCAATTCTATTTCTGAATTAATCTATTGTAAATCCAAATACAGAACAAGAACTCCGACAGAAATGTGTTAGAACTTAATGTTCTTTTCAATAGTAAAAGAAATGTCGAAATAATTACATACATGTCATATTTAATAAACAACTCGATTAGTAATTATTGTCAAAATGGCTGGAGTATTTGTCTTAATCATTATTATAGAGATTTTCTAAGACAATCTTTGTCATTTTCTCTAACACAAGAGTTATGAGTGATTTTTCTACTTCGTAAAGCATTAAAAACCGTAAACACCCAGAGAATTCTTTGGAATTGACTCCAGACTTCTCTTTCAAGTTTGTGCCAACACGCTATATCTCGATTTAATATTTGCTTTTCTGATCCGTTGTGTAGTGACACGTCATATATTATGATTTTAGTCTTATCTCTCAAGAACATTTCCTTGACATACGTATCTATCAGTGAACAGCGATGGGATACATTATGCGCGATATTCCGAAAGAAGATTATTTCATTTATTTGACAAAATAGAGAAATACAATTTCACACGATCACTCGATGGGAAAAGTAACTTTTTGATTAACAACAAAGGCGTTGCTTCGCTCAGACACGAATCGTAGAAGAACAAATAGATTTGATGCGGCGATGTTATTTCACATATCTTTTCGATATATTTTCTTATATAACTGATGTCTAATTGTGAATTCACACAGAGATATTTGCGTGGATATTGCTTGACATTTAACGATGGATGAATCGATTTCCGACATAATTCTATCTGCAACGCAATAGGAGTTGTGGAAATTTGCTGACGAGGAATCGTTGGTTGATGAGGAGTTCGTGAACGTAAACGAATGTGACCATGTTTATCAGTAAAGCGCATTGGTGAAGGATTATGTACAACTCGCAGTTTCAGACGAAGGTCTTTCGGCATTGGCAAAGACTTCTGTTCGTAAAAACATTTTTCATTATGGATTTCATCGATATCTAACGTTGGTAGTAACGAACGTAGGACATCACCCAACTGTCGATCAGGCATCAAACATTTCGATATATCCGAAAATGATTGTAACTGAATCTGACATTTCGGACATTTAAGTTCCGAACGTGGTGAAGTTTCAAAGTGCAGCAGAATACATGTCCGACAAAATGTATCCATACATTCCTTTATTGTATACGGATCAACAAGATAACCATGACATAGTGAACATTGTACAAGAGAATTGATATCAGGTAAAGAATAATACAGAGAGTCCATGACGAAAGAAAAAGGAATTGAATTGAATTTCATTTTGAGAAAAGACAATCAGTGACAAACCAATGGAAGACGAATGCGATAGTGTCGCTAGATAACAACGATACAAAACGAAGGCATTTATTCGCATAGATATCGAATTTTTCGTCGATAGACGATGTTCTTCGAGAGAATGTCGAATATGAACGCGAGAATTTGTACGGAAATGAGTACGGAGAGAAAAATAATCAGACGTAATGTAGTTTGATTATAATCAAACGAGAAGATTTCGAAGTAGAGACAAGAGAGGAAAATGAGCAGATTTTCTAACGAAATTAACGCTTGAACAGCGAGATTATCGATGGCATTTGGTGTTAAGAAAGAAAAGATCATTTGCAAGAAGATTGTATTTCGTTTATGTTGATATTTCAAGTGATCAAATAAGAAAATAAAGATGAAAGTTAAATGAAGAAGAAGACAAATGATCGAGAGCCACCAAATGCCGAAACGAAGAAGAAAGAGAATGGTATACAGACGCGTAACAATTGAACATAGCCGCGAAAAGATTGATGGAAGAATTACGAACGAACACTGTTGAAACCGAAGAAATGTTGATAGAAGACAATAGTTGATCACGATGTAATAGAGAATATTGAGAAACACATATGAAGATAACGATGGAAGACGAATGAAGATTGGAATATAGGTTGGAAAGAAGATTTGAGTCCAGTTGAACGAGAATATTCGATGAGAAAGATAACTTTCGTGGAGATGAAATTTTTGCCAATAACTAAAGAAAAGAAATCGATAAATATCATGTGTTAAGACAAGATTTTGACAACACGTTTTTCGAAGATCGTGACTGCTTAGGAAATGAATTACCTAGTTGGAGACTGAACAGGAAGTGCATTGCTTTCTGTTGGTGATAAAACATCATTCGATAACCAACGTGGGAGAAAATAGTTCATGTGAATAGACGATTGAATGGATAATTCGAAGTTGTTTGACCAAAAATAGAAATTTATCAAGGAGAATAAACCTGTGTGAAGGAGATAGAATACCGACAGTTCATAATACAATTTTTGTTTCCTTGAACAACGAATTAATGTTGTATCGTGTTGAAGTTCCAGTGTTGTAGATGATAACGAATCCGATCGATGCAATTGTTCGTGTTTATCAAAAGCCAGAGTGAGAAAATCGATTAGTTCGTAAAGTAAATAGAATCGATTCATAAACGGGATCAAGAGGAGGTACGATAGAGTGGTTTTGTACTGAAGCAAATGGTTTATCCAGAGAATGAAATCACATAGAATAATTGTACTGAGAAAACTGAAGAAATAGAATGAATTGGTACGATAATAGATGTAAATGAGAACAATATCGAGAATATTCGTAAAAAGAAATGAGAGAATGAGAAAGCTGAAGATAGAAAATGATTTTCTCGAGTGAGATTTGATTGACGCATGATCTTCATGTTGGATTTGAGACGAAGGTTCATATAAAGTTGAATAGGATAAACTTTTTGTTAAATCAATCGATAATTTCGATGTGATTCCTTCCAATTGAAGCGGATCCAACGTTGTTGCTGATGATGACGACGACGATGAATGAACACGACTTTCGTTAGCAAATGGAATAACTTCCGTATTTTTTAAGGTTTGGGTACTTTCGATCGATTCCGTGCCACACGTTGTCCAACTATACCGAATATCTACTACATCGCTTGGAAACAAGTATAAATTTGTTTCATTCACTGATTGTTGTTGATCTGGATTAAAATTCAAATCAGCAAGACTGGTATGTTGACAAACAAGTAAATGACATTTGGGACAAGCGCTCAAGCTAAACGAATGATGAAGCACGTTCATTGCTTGATTTGGTAACTAACCTATAAACGAGTTGATATACGAATCATCATAAATTCAAATATCTTCTGGCTTACACTCAGACGTCTCTAGACTATTTCTACTTGAAAGTAACAGTCATTGATCTGTCAACAATTGAATGAAGTTTCATTGCATATATATATCTAAACAAAATGACTCAATGAACGATTTATATATTCAGTGCCATTCGCCATTGAACGACGATGAGAGAAAGAGAAAGAAACAAAAGAGAGTGGTCAATACTTCATCATGCTTACATTTTCTCTTTTATCAATTTCGAATTAAAGCTAAGAAGTTCACTAAGATGAACATATTTACTTTTGTTTCACATCCTACTTGACTGTATTATATGAAGTTAATGAAACAAATGTAGGAGGAAGAATTCGAGTTCCATTGGACATGAGAAGTACAGCACAGACTCAACGATAGACGAGCCCGTCAGATCAGCAGATAAACATTCACAACAAACGTTCGGTTGAGTGACTAATCAGTAGAATGCCTCTCTACTTGGCACTCTAATTAGATTTTATTTACAGTCTGTTGTGTTCGATCTAATTAGTACACACATATACACTCGAGAATGATCTTTCTTTCAAATGTTCATCAGTTAGATAAGTGTTTGCATAAGAACTTGTCTTGTAAGTATTACATCGAGGTATGTTTACGAACATTCGAGTAGAGATTTTTATCGATTCTGTCGAAGAATAATTGACGTTCGAATGAGAATCAAAACGAGTGTACTTATGATGCAAATGAGAGATCATTAAAACCAACGGAAATTCGAAGAAGGATCGGATTGAAAAGAAAATGATTCATCATTCATTATTTATTGTTAAATAAACAAATACTGAATAACAATTAGACAGTAATCGAAACATTATGAATGAAACTATTCGATTTTGAAGATGTTGGATTGGTACTGTTGTTATTATTGTTGATATTCGATGACGTATAGATAACTGGTATACGTCCAGCACGGTAATTGTTCATTTGAATATGAATAAATGGTGTTGTACTATCGTCTGTCGATGAGTTTGTACTCGAAGTTGATGATGATGAACAAGAAAGAGAAGGTCGATGATGAGCCATGCGAATCGGTGTCGGTGGAGAAAGAGAATCGTTTTCAATTTGATTGAGACTTAAATCGGAAAAATGCCTTTCAAGTGTCATTTTCGATGGAATAATAGCCGGAGGTAAAGATGGTTCAGCCAGAACGATATGACGTAATTGTTGTTCTTTAATCGTTTTGAATGGGTCAGGCGATGATGATGTTGATAGTTTTGTGCATAAAGGTTTTTTCACAATGGACTGAATATGATGTGGCAATGAGCGGCGTGCGTACGGTGTTTGACGTATGTTTGTTAATGAGTTGAGGTTGTTTGCATCGATCAGATATTTCGATGTTGGAGATGAGACTTTGGTGGTTTCGTCGTAACTGTCGTAGAGACGACGAAAATGACTTCGATTAAATGATGAGCTTAATGGTTCTTGATCTTGATGAAATGATTGATGATTTTGTTGACGTTGATTACTAAAACAAAGTTGAACAAAAAAGAGTCGGTTAGCGTCAGTGGTTGAGATGCAGTTTGCAACCAAAGCGAGGAACGGTCGTTTCAATTTGAAAAATTCGAAGTAACCACACAACAGAGCCGACCCTCAAGATTTCTATTCCGTGATTCTCTGCTATATATTATTTTTCAATTGAGATTGAGTAATAACATCGTTTTCCTCTCTTACCTTTCATGTCGCTGTGGTTTCTTGACAATTTGAGTGAATGCACTGTTACTCGAAATGGATAATTGCGATTTCATGAGACTTGGCTTGTTCGATTTCTTCAATGGAAGATCTTGTACAATAAGACCGGTTTTCTTAATGATAGTCGAAGATAAACGCAAGGAACGAATGTTTGATAAACGTGCTGTTAACAAGTCTAAGGTTGGATGATTATTCGATGAAGATTCACAATCTGATACACCCGAATCACCGCCACACGATGATGATGTAACGTCTTGACGTTTTTTATTCGGCGAAGATTTTTGAAATAAGTACGTGGGCGAGCAGAGATGAGTTGACAGCGAATTCTTTTTACTAGTCGGCGGTGTCAATGTCGGAGGTGTTTTCATACAATGAGACTTATTTGATTCGAAATCGTATGGTTTGTATGCACTTTCGAATTGACTAGTCGAATGCTTGGCCGACTGACGACGAAACATCGGACGGCAGCAGACATATGGAACAAAACCTTCTTCATCGTCAGCAGTCTTAATAAATAGCCATTCGTTCAGGATGTATTGCGCATTGACAGGAAAGCCTCGTTGAATTTCGATTTGTTTCTTTTGTAAGCCCTTCACATCGGGATTGAAGGAAACGACGACTAACATGGGAATATTCGCTGGTGATTGCGATGAAGCACGGCGGAGTTTCTCTGTGACGCCGATATCATCATCACCATCCGATTCATCTAAACTCGCTTGCCGCATCAATCGTTTTGGTTTATCTATAGAAATAAGCGAAAATGATCAATGTCAATCATTACACAGATAAAACACTCAAGGTAAAGATGATTAGCTAATAGAAATTTCTTCCTATAGATCATTGTCTTACCTGTTCGCACGAGGACGTGTTGATCAGCAGATGCTCGTTCGCTCGTTTTTGTTGGAAATACTGTTGCACCATCGTATAATGAATCACGTTTAGCTGTAGTACATAGACAAATTTCTAAATGTGTCAAAAGAAGAGGAAATAATAGAACCTGATTATGATATAAGGGAAGAAATATGGTGAAATAATCATGATTCTCACGTTTATTGGTTTCAGTGGAAGAACGAGTGCGTGCTCGTTCAAAGAAGCGTCTTAATAACATGGTAATGCTTGTATACTTGAGAAAAAAAAAGAATCGATGCCGTTAGGAGAAAAGTAGGAAATAATGTTACACGGTATTGCCGTCCTCGTGTCGCCTACAATTTCTTTTCGTTGTCGCTGACTTTTTCACAATTACATCAATGTATATAACGAATGGCAAGTAACTGCACAAAAGACATGAATGAATACCGTATCGAATATATATATATATAGGTGTGTTGTACTCGAATGCGCACATCACCTTGAACATTCATACATCGAGAGAAGGAGAAAAGGGCGAGAGAAAGCAGCTGCACGAACCTCGTTCAAAATCAATACCTAAATGAATTATCTGGACAAAATTAAAGAAATATTCAATTTTTCCCCTAGATTATCACCATAAATGAGTTGTTAATCAAATCTGCAGATGTAATTAATGAGCTACATATATATATATATATCATCATGTCATTATACTCCAGAGAATATCTTACGAACTTATGTATACAAATCCTTCTGTTGAAAATATAATCAAACTCAAGGTATTCTCTTTTTCAAGTACATGAGCTTATTTCTAAATTGTTTTGTCGATAACGAGGTAAACTAAGTGGATTTCATGTTTTTGCAGAGCAAACGAATGACTGAATTCATTCTTTATGAAGAGGTCAATCGAATAACGATGATGATGATGATTACACGTAGCAGAACCAGTAGTAGCAGAAGAAGAAGAAAAATATTTGAACATGTTCTCTTGTTTTCATCTTTTTCTCTTTTCGACAACGGTGAAAAGAACGGAGAAAATATGAAGAATGAAATTTCTAATTTCGCTGATAAATAGCCTGAAGAAACAATGAGTATATCTGAATACGCGCCATCAATACACTCTTTTTCTAATTAGTAAAACTTCAGAAGAATTCCGACTATTCGTAAACAAAACTAACTGAACAAGAACAAGATCACATAGCATCTGACCGCATTTTTATAAATAATAGATGAAAAAATTAAAGACTACGGTCTGCTTAATTCATCATCGTCATCTTCAATCAAATCGACAGTTAATATAGTTCAATGTCTTTCTACAGAGACGCTCTTAGAGATATCATTGTATGTTTGCCTATTAGCACATCGTATTAGCATCATTATCAATGGCATCAACTGTCGTTGAAAGAATCTAATAAGAATGAACGAGTAGGCGGGTGAATAAGAAAAGTACAGTTACGTCAGTCATACGGATAGATGGTTGGAGCAAGTAAGAGAGAAAGTGTGTGTGTGTGTGTATGTCAACTGAAGGTCTAATTTCTCTCGCGTTTTGATATTACATGAATGCAGAAAAGAATGTAAGTATAACATAAGTATGTAGATGTGTCCGTTCGTGTTGTTCTATTACGTATATATTCACGGATGATGATTTGCTCAAAATGACCATAAATATGTAAAGCTGAATAATTTGTTTGATTTTGTCATCTTTCATGCATGATAGTGACTAATTATTTGTCTGTTATTTTAAGAAATTCGACAAAATCATAAGATGAAATTAATGTGAAAACCTCTCGAGATGCGTGTAGAAAGACATTTAAAGCGAAAAAACATCTATTAAAATACACCTGTCATGAAGATGTTCGCATGTTTATCTCTTGTCAAAATTTTCTCCATGATCTTCTTCATGTACTGACAGACATTTGTTGCATATCGACAAAGAAAATCCAATTAGACATTCACTCGAACGAAAAATGCATTGAAACTCTTTCTCACTGTTCGATTTAATTAGAATCTGCCATCGAGATACTTACGTTTACTTAGTAATCGACGTGCCAAACCGGTCATTACCAATAATTAATGAATAAGCAGTGATCTGAAACAGAAGGTCAATCATAGTGATGATTGAAGCAATGTCTTTCTCTAGTTCTGATTGGAACAAACAGCAAGTTATATTGGTAGGTAGGAGAAAGAAAATGAGAGTTCGAGATTCAATGCATCAACTGAGAATAGAAAGGAAAGAATACTGCCGGTTTCTTTTTCACAATTCATATTCTAATTGTACCACTCATATTCTTTCGTTCTGACAAATAAAACACGATGATGACGGAGAGGAAAAAAATGTCGAGGAAAGAGATGTTGTTGAACAAATATAATCGCCGGCGTCTTCGTCGTTTTCTCTCTTGCTATATATATATTCTTTCTGCATAGTTCATTCTCTCCAAGGAAGATATAGCGAGAATACGAGATGACCATCTCCGTCGAAGATATTTCGAATGAAACGGCCGATGTTGAAATAATCCATTCTGTTCGAAAAGAGAATGTTATCGAGAAGGTTTTTGTTTCAACAAAATGATAATGTTTATTGCTTCATCACATGAATAAACAAATCGATTTCGAACAGCAGGCCTTTGTTTGCTGATCATCAATAGGATAATGTTAGTGACCAAGCTGCATTAATCATCTGACTGCCTGTCGAGAAGCAAATATTCAATAACAGCTTTTTCTTCTGACTGAACTTTTAAATAACGTTGCATTATACAAACAGCTGCATTCTTCGATGAACAAACAAGTTAATCAGATTTGATTAGATCATTTCAAACCATGAAGCAGATCTAATCAAGTAATTATTCATTTCCTTCGAGACATTCATTTCACATGCTATAGACTTCTGAAACAAGCAACGAGTCAAAATGTAGGTGGAAATATTAAAGTTCATAAAATAACTTCCGTGATTCGCGAAAAGATCATTCCTCGTCGAGTGAGATCTTGTGTCAAAAAAAAAACATCGGTGTCTTCTAATAATTTCCGTTCATATTTTCTTCTGTCAAGCACATGTGATCAGATAGAATTCTTGATAATGGCGAAGACGCCTTTTTTTATTCACAATAAGAAGAAAAAGAGATTGATTTCGATTAAATTGCATGCATTTAGATTAAGAAAGAAAAAGGGCAAACGTTATTGGTTTTTTTAAGCACACAAACAAATAACTGAAAAGAATAAACATCCCTCATCTACTGTAACAAGACGAATATGAAGCTGATCACCGGCTAGAGACGAAGAAGAAGAAGAAGAAACGGATTGAAATTATGTACAACTAAGAGAAAAAAAAGAAGAATAGGAGTTTTCTTCTTTTCGCGGACTACAGAAGTTCTAATCGATCCTTCTTCGGAAGAGTTAATGGTAAACGTGATCGAATGTCATTTGTCTTATGTTTACTTGAAAGTTTCAAATCTTGTCGTTGTTTAGCAAAAAAAAGCTTTTGTTCATGAAGAAAATTTTCGACGGAGCCAAATTGTAAAAGAACTTCCGAGCGACTCTCATCATCGAACTCTTTTATATCAATCCAAAGTAAATTTCGTTTCAAGATATCGTCGGAAAATTGTTCACCGAATATGGACGAACGCTGCTTACGGGAAACAACTCTTGCTGATTGAGGTGAAGCGTTTGTTAAGATTCGTTTTGGAGACGGACTGCTGACACATTTCGGAGACAGACCACCGACTGGTGTACGGTAATTTGAACTACCTGACGAACTAGCTGTGCTTCCTGTTGATGAACGTGATAAACGTGGCGACGAAGTGTCCATAGGTGATAAACGTTGTTTACTGGGAGGTGAGGATTTCGTTTGATTTGGAATGGCAGATCGACGAACTGGCGGCGGATATTTTTTCACGGTTGCGATCGAAGCAGCTATTGACGCTGAAGGACAGTTCTCTGCAGGTAATGTTGGTTTGAGACGTTTGACAGGACCCGGCCGATTTTCCACATCACACGATGAAGCAGAACGTTGAATACCTTGGCCCGGTCGCCCTGGAATATTGTGACGAGACGAAACGGTTAATGAATTTGTCATTGTTGTATTCATTGTCGTGGATGACGTCGGCGAAAGTTGCATTGGTGACGGACTTGTAGCTAGTAGAAACGAAGAGAAAATGAAACCGTGTCTAAAGATCAATAAAGAATTTCAATGTATATAGTTACTATTTGACAATGAATGACGACCCTGACGTTTAGCGAGATTAAGTCGCACGCCCATAGCCGCTTCGAGTGCTTCGAGACGCGATTGTAAATTTGGTCCCAGCGACTCTAAATAGATAAAAACAAATGTCTTGTTTAGGTTTCTCTTTATACTTGGATTTAATTTCCTGAGAAAAAATAATACCTGAACGATGTAATTTAGTTGGTGTGGGCATTTTTCTTGCTTTTATATCAATAGTAACAAACTTTCAAGTAAAAGTCTAACTAGAGAATTCCTACTTCAACGTGCACACGTGTATATGAAGAAGAGAAAAAGAATATTTATAAATGTAATCGTGGCATAAGAAGAGCGTGTCATCTGTATATCGCTGATAGTCCCTTTTCTTTCTTCATCGTCGTTTCTCTTTAACTTTGCTTATGTGTGACAAATACTAACAGAGAAAAGCAAAACTTACGTTCACTATTAGCTGTTGTAATACCGACAGAATACGAGCGAGATGTAGGTAATGTTGATGAATGAAACCTAGGCATATTTACACGAGAAAATCGCGTTGATTCATATAATTAACATGAGTAACGGAGTAATATAATCTTCAGTAAGTATCAATGGTTGACATAGCCTTCTGTTCTTATGTGTACATCGAACGTTTTCGTTCAAAGTTTGATTTTGTACTCGCTCATTCATCCATCTAATTTCTCTCTCTCTCTCTCTTGGTTTCTTCCTTCTATGTAATAGATGATGAGTACGGCGAATGGTGTAGGGGAGGCGAGGACAAGGTTTTTATTTCATATGTAACGGTGAATATACACATACGAACAAGCGAACGATTAAGTCATGCTTGTAAACAAGAGTGGAAAAGGTGTTCCGATATACATAACTCGTGAAAAAAGGACAATTATGTGTTGCACGCGTCTGTATTCTTGATGGATTAGAGATTGAAACTGAATGTCTATACATGCTTTTCTTTTGTCTTTTACTTCTTGATCACCTCTGACTATCAAAATAACACGCTCTCAACCAACATTGAGCAGACTTCCTTTTATGTCTGGTTCTTATGAAGAAAAAAGACGCACACACACGTATTTTTGATTTACTTTTTCTCGCTTCACATTTCGTCCATTCAGTTTGCTTGTTATTCAATTCGATTGGTAACTGTTGTTGAGTTTGAGCTATGGGCGAAAGAGACAGATAATGAATTTCTTCTGATGGGATGGTTCGTGGAAGAAGCAAAGGTTGGTTTTTACTCTCGTTGATCGTCGAGATGTATTGCGAGTTTTGTTGAATATCAATTTTGATCTGAGCGAGTTCTTTTGACAGATTTTCGCATTCGTAGAAAAAGTAAGATAAGTCATCAGTTCGAGAAGTGACGATGGATTTTTGCTCAGTGTAGAATTGTTCTTCGAATCGAATTTGTTGTTTTAGTTGTTGAATATTCGACTGAAGTAAAACTTGATCAAATTGAAGTTGAAAAAGTTCGTTCGAATAAACAGAAACTTGGTTTGTTTGTTCGTGAATTTTTTGTTTTAGAATCTCAATTTGTACACTATATTGTTCAACAGTCGTTCGCAGTTCGTTCAAAATTTGAATCGATTGATGGTATTGCTGTTGATATTGATCGATATTCTCTAAAAATTGAATATTGAAGATTTTTTTGTAGAACTGCATCGATCGATCATGTTGTTTCTCTTTCAATTGAAAATATTTCTTCTCAGATTTGATCGTACATCGATCATGAAGAACGATGAGAAAGTTGCGGCGAAAATAATTGTTACGTAATTGATATCGCTCGACTAGATCACTTCGAACTCTGTTGACAAAATCATTCGTCGCATTTGTATCATCGTTGAGTAATCGAATACGTTGGAGGCCAAAGCATAAACGTTCGTTGAATTGTTGCATTAGTTTCTCATCCATATCATTATTCAAAACACAAACGAGTTGCTACGTATGCGAATTAATTAACAAATCGAGTGAACCAATCGTTCATTTGAAATAAAACTCCTCATCCTTCCTACTTTGATGATCTGCTCTTCAATGAAGATTATGATGTATACTATCATTAGTCTTTTGTTAAGCTCCTATGTATTATAAATATTTGTCCAAGGCGTTCTATTGACTGTATCATTGTCATCAATGTGTACATTATACACTTCGACATTAACTTTTCGAACGAGGAAAGAGAAATGATTCGCGTTTATTCAATATACGTGTTAGAATGCAGTTTTTGAAAAACCGAAGAGAGAAAAGACGACGAAATCTATGCTAGAATCGAATGCCAAACGGATCCATAATACAAAGACAATGTTTACGAGTTTCGTTCAGATATTTTGATGGTTACCTAAAGGAAAGGAAAGAATGAATGTGGAATTCTGTGTGAAAACGAAAAGTACGTACGCATTTGGTTTCGGTATAGGAGTCAAGTGAATATTCACTCTTCTCACGACCGAGACCACTTTGTTTGAAGCCACCAAATGGCGCAGCAGGATCAAAGTTGTCATAAGTATTGACCCAAACTGATCCGGCACGTAAGCCATTGCTAACAACGATAGCTTTGTCCAAATCTTTACTGAAAACACTAGCAGCTAGACCAAAATCTGAGTCATTGGCGCGCTCGATTACTTCATCGACGGTCTTAAATTTAAGGATTTGCATCACTGGTCCGAAAATCTTCAAGCAGAAACAGATTTAGTTGAAATTAAAAAAACTTGTCTCAGGTGTACTTCTTCTCGAGCAATACGATGATTATCATTAACGTCACTGAAGACGGTTGGTTGAACAAAAAAACCCTTGTCACCTGCTCGTTGACCACCAATTTGTAGTTTCGCACCTGCACGCTTTCCTGAATCGATTAAATCTAAAATCTTATCCATTTGCTCATGACTGATCTACATAGAAAGTGTCAAAATCGATTTTTAACGTTGACCAACGAATAATAAGTACTTGTGGTCCTTGTTCAGTAGTATCATCGAACGGATCGCCAACTTTTCGTCGTTTTGCACGTTCAACACTTCGCTGGACGAATTCATCATAAATATCCTCTTGGACATACGTACGTGATCCAGCTGATTAACGAAATGAACATATGAGAAACTCGACCGAAAGAAAATACAACAAGTCTTACCGCAACAGCATTGACCTTGATTGAAAAATAGAGCGAAATGCGACATTTCTACTGCGGTATCAACTATAAAGAATCCATCATTGTTAATATATAGAAAAAAGAGTCTCGATTTTGAACATACGATCACAATCAGCAAAGACAATATTGGGTGATTTTCCTCCCAATTCAAGCGTTGTACGCTTGACTAATTTTGCCGTTTCAGCACCGATGATTTTTCCGACTTGTGTTGAACCAGTAAAAGCAATTTTGTGAACATCAGGATGTTTAACCAGAGATGCACCGCAATGTGGCCCATCACCAGATAAGATGTTAATAACACCCTACAACACAAATACAACTAAAATTATAAAAAACGAGTAAAACGTTGCGTTGTTACTGGCGGAAATCCCGCTTCTTTGATTAATTCCGCGGTGTAAAGTCCAGTGAGTGGTGTATGTTCGTCGAGTTTAATAATACTTGTGCAACCAGCTGCGACGGATGGACCAATTTTCCAGCAGAGTAAAATCATTGGAAAGTTCCACTATACATGAAGAACAAGCACAATTATTAAATTCGATTGGATCTTTTCCGTTACTTACTGGAATAATTTGGCCAACAACACCGACAGGTTCCCGTCGTGTATACGAAAAGAAATCTCCTCCAACAGGTAAAACTTTACCATTCATTTTATCTGGCCATCCGGCATAATAACTACACACAGATGGTGACAACGATCGCAATCGTGAAAAATCTTACCGGAGAACGGCAACACAGTGAGGAATATCAACATTGTACGAATCTTGAAATGGTTTACCGTTATTCAATGTTTCTAAAGCAGCAAGATAAGCTCGGTCACGTTCGATAAGATCGGCAAGTTTATTGAGTAGAGCACCACGAGCTGCTGGATCCTTAATAAAACAATCGATTAGATCAAATAAACACTAATTTCTAATACAAACCATACGACGCCACTCTGAACCAAGCCGAAAAGCGTCTTTGGCAGCTTTTACAGCTCGATCTACATCTTTCTAAGCAATACAAATTCAGGTGTTCTATAAAAAAACGTTATTCTTAAACAAAAGCCTACGTCTGATGCATCAGCAACTTCAGTGAGGACATCGCCGGTAGACGGATTAAGAACTTCGAAGACATTTTTACTGTATGCGTCAACAAATTCATTGTTAATAAATAACTATTTCAAAACAAATCACAATTTCTCTATAGAATCATTCATCTTAGTCTCACTTTCTGGTGTTTAATGTCAGGATTACGATCACCAACGATCTTCTGTTGAGCAACTGTCGAAGCAGTTCGATTGGCAAGACGAAGGCCTTGATTGATGACTTGTCTACTAACCAATTTCGACAACATTCTTCAAATTGAGTCGGATTCGTTTTGGAGCACTGACGTACCTTTTACTTTCTATTTATCACTCTGCGATACCGAATATGTGAAAAGGCCAGCTATCATACCTCCAACCCGTCCTATCGTTTTCTCCCTCCGCTTATCGAAGATTACATCTTTTTTTTCTTTTATCGTTGGCTGTCTTACAGCTGTAATCTTGAATATACATTTCATCTATAGTCTAACACGAACAGACAATGATAGAGAACTTTATCAAAATAGTATGTGTTCTCTTTACTTAAGTTTATTATTACATGTTGTAAGATAAAGGATTTCAGAAAAGGTGAATTTCAATCAAACGGTATTTTTTCGATTTGTTTAACTGAGTTGTAAAATCAGATGAATTTCACCATGTGAGCCAAGACCGAGGTGAGCGGGTAATTTTACCCATTCGTCTAAACGGCCACCCGCTTGTTGAACTTTTTTCAAACTAATTTTTGCTGAACCAATCGAATCTTTACCAACAGCATCGTCATCATAAACTTTGATATGTAAAGTATCATCACCTTTTCGTAGGTTACTACGAATAAATGACAAAAGTAAGGTTTGAAAAGTTTTCAAAACAACGTTCACTTACAAGGTAAATGTTTCATTCCATGTAGGAGAGTTTGTGTCTTTGATAGTTGCTGTACGTTGTTTGTAATCCTTATCGAAATATAATTCTACATAGGCATCGTTTTGTCCAAGAGTATCTTCATCTTTGAGATTACGAGCTTCAACAACGGTAACTTGAAGAGTGACTTGAGCCATTGAAATAACCAGTAAATCAAGTAGAGTATGTCGGGATTAACTATAGTCTGAAGCACGCGTTGTGTGTTTTTATAATACGAATGATTGGCTCGAAAGTAGGTAGAGAGAGAAAATACGAATAATTCATATGTCATGATGAATAAACGTAGAAAACGAGAGAAACTTGAATTATTATTTACTGTCGTACGAAATATCATATGTGAATCATTTTTGACATCAAGGTATGAATGAATATATTGTTGTTTTGTCAAGAGTATTCGATCAGGCAGAAGGAGACAAAGAACGCAAGAGCATTTTCTCCATTATGAAACTGTATGGGTTTTTCATCGATCATTTCGATAATAGATGCGTCGTTAATGTCATTTAGCTTGTGTTTGTACATGTTTAAAGTATAGACCAGGCATAGCTTGAAATACGACTAAGAGTTCGGACGGTATATTTATGAATTTATATCGTATAATCGAGCAAAATATAAATTAAAAAAGCTTTTGTTTTTCAAATTCATTCAATAGAACAGAAACTATTAGCAAGATACATCGAAAATACTAGCATTTGCATACATCAGAGATACCACCGTCTGTTTTGTAAGAGCAAGTATTGAATGTTTTTAATGAACTACTCGTTTAGCGGATGATCGCGATGATGAACTGGCTGTTGACGAACCACGTGATGATGCTCTTTGTCGTGGTCCATTTCCACTCGGTGGTCTTGATCCATCTAAATCGACACGAAGATAAAACCTTTTTAAAATGTCAATTTTTCAGGTTTTACCTAAACCGAGCTGCACTGAACTAACGGGAATCGGCTGACGTGTGACTGATGAACGGGATTGTTGAGAGATAGAACTACGTGTTGAACTGGATCGTACACTTGATGGAGTACTTGCTACGCTTGATAGATTATCCAAATGTGACTAGAAATAAACAGACATTAGCAAAAAGGATACTTATTATCAAGAACTTTACTTGTTCTTTCAGCATGTTATAACAATGCTTTGCATCTGGATCCGTTGAAACGGTCTGATCGATGAAAGTATCAAGTTTTTTATTGAATTCTCTCAACAGACGATATTCGAAGTCATTTTCTTCTATCGATGGCTCAGCCTGCTGGCGAGTACTACGAACTGCACGTTTATTTGAAGCAATCTAAATTTCGTCGACATGTTTTCAATTCAAGCGAATAAAAAACCATCACTACATACACTTTTATCAGCACGAGCTAATTTCTCTTCCGTGTCTTTCAGATCAGCTTCTAATTTCCGTACTTGCAATTGCTTTTCATTGTACGTATCTGAATTTGTACTCTGTACTGTGCTTAAATCTCGAAGTGCACGTTCCGTATGCTAAAACTCAAAGTCATAATGCAGAAAAGTCGGTTGAAAGTGGCTCACTTTTAAATCATTGACAATACTTTCCACTTGTCTTCGTTTCGCTCGAACTCGATCTGTCAAATGTCTGGATTGTTCTTCTAATTCTTCCATACGTGTCATTTCGTCACCTAGATTATCCAAATCGTCAGTTGCTCTGTCTCTCTCTCTCTCTTCGGTTCGAAATCTTTACTTGATTCATTCAATTTTCTGAATGATTGCTTCGTTTGACTATTTCCACTATTGATCACACGTAAAGTGTTTTGCAGCGCTAATAATTCTTGTTCGGCTTTGCGATTTTTTGCATCAAGTTCATCACCAGCACGCTGAAGTTCTTCTTTCTCTTGTGCAGCCTGAAAATATCAATCGAACAAATTCTCCTGATATATAATTTTCTCTTCTGATTACTTTGATAACATAATAAGTCTGTGACGTCTCTTCTTCCTTCGCACCTTCTGGTGGTGCCATGGAGATGTTAACAATTTCATATCTAAACAAGAGCGAAACGATTGGTTAGGAAATCGGAGAAAGTCGCTCGAACCGTTTCTTCAATTTTTCAATTTTTGCAATCCGTTCATGCAATTGGGCTGACACTTCAGCCTTGCGTCCTTCTTCATCACGTAGCTGCTGACGGAGGGTTGACTGGTGTATGCCTATTTCACTTCGACGTTCTTTAATCGCCTAAATACGAACAACAAAGTGAACGTATTGGACTTGATACTTAGTCTTACAGTTTGCAGTTGATATTGTCGTGTTTCTAGATTCATGACATTATCCGCTTTCGTATTAAGTAATCCGCGAAGACGTCTGATTTCGATACGCATTAAATGCTCATCAACCAACAAGTTCTAAAAGGACAAGAGTCGACTTCATTCGTTTTCAATGATGAAAAAGTCGTACTTCTTTTTCTTCGGTTAACTTTTTAATCAATCGCTGAGCATTGTCAGCGTGTAGTTCAATTTCTTCGATCTTCTTCGTTTCATTCTTTTTATCACGATCAATTTCTGATATGTGTTTAGTTAATCGTCGTGTTTCTTCTTCAATTCTCTTTCGTTGCTCGTTCAACATCAAATAATCATCGCGTTTACGTTGTAATTCAACTTCCAATTCGCTGATTTTCTTTTCAAGCATCGCTTGCTCTTCAGTGCTCTTTTCTCCTTGCATGCGATTGATACGACGTTCAACAGATTGAATTTCAAAGTCCTACGAAACAAGTACAAATGAGCGAAAAACACGGCCAAACCAAGCGCGTTACCTGATGGTAAAGAACTTCCTGTTGTTTCAGAGCTTCATGATCTAATCGACGTATTTTCAGATCTAAATTTGTTAATGTCACAATCGCTCCATTAATTTCCGCTTCGAAATTCTTCTCCTTCGCTTTGAAATCAAATACTTCTTGAGTGATTTTGAACATCCGTTCTGATAGCATCTTTAATTCGCTATTCAATGCCATCTCACGTTCTTGTTCTTCCAAGAATAATTTATCCATTTTATTCGCTTTTTCTTCGGCGGTGTATTTTGTATCCAAGATTTCACGTTTTTTATCGATCAGTTCACGTCGACGAACTTTAACGTCTTCGAAGTATTGCCGACGTTCAGTCAAATCTCGTTTCATTTGAGCTAACATTGAATTGGCTGCTTCACGGTCTTTCTCTGTACGTTTAACCACACGTTTTAAACCAGATAACTAAACATGATGTTAATACGACTCTACATCTTCATCGAAAATGACTCTATTTACTTCATTCTCATATAAAAGACGGTTTCGCTCTGCATCATCATATTGAGAGCGTAGTTTTGCTGCTTGTCGTTCGGCAGTGGACATCTGTAGTTGACGTTCGGCATTGTTTCTTTGTTCATTGTTATAAAATTCTCGTTTTTCCGAGATTTGTTCTTCGACCGAACGAGCATCTGCTTTGATTTTAACCAATTGCTATTGAAGCAAAGTTTGACGTTTTTTTTATAATCATAAAAATGCAACTTACAGCAGCTAAGAGATCGATGTCACGATCACGTTGATGCCTTGAAGAAAAAATACGAACTGACAAACTCTACAGTCGGATAATCGTCTTACATTTGCTCAATGATATCTTCCCATCGTTTGAGTAATTCCTGTCGGTGTTGATGTGAACGTCGAAAGTTACTAGCAGTTTTATCGAGCTCAACCTGTAATGAAGAAAAAAAAAGAATCTAGAACAATTCAACATAAGAGAGTTCATTTACCTGAAGACTAGTAGTGTCCATGATTTCACTTTCAACCGCTCGTTTCTTCTTGTTCGATTCTTCCGTCATGCGTTCGATTTTCAGCATCAGTTCCTGTTGAGAGATTCGATGAAATATCTTTACGGATGTGAAAATGAATTTTCTTACTTTGACTTTGGCTTCATCTTGTCTGGTGTATTTCACCAATGCCATAACATCTTCGTCTTTCTGTGCGGATTCTTCAAGCCATGCTTCCAATGCCTGTTGATCCCATTTGATTTGTGATTTCATTTCATCGAGTAATTGAGTGACACGAAATACTTCATCCTTCAACGAAGAAAAAATGTCGTCAACTTTAGCAGAAAGATTTCTTGATCATTTACCGCTAAGCCACTTTTTCGATCTCTAATCGTGGAGATTTCATTCTCCACTCGTAGAATATCTTGTTTGATTCGACCCATTTCGCGTTCATTTAACATTTTCATATGCTCTTCTGTTTGAACTTCATGTTTACGTGCGTTGAACAATCTCTAGAATGAAAGTTGTTTTTCCCCAAATGAAATAAAAGAAAATGTCTGTTGATTTTACGAGTGTTGTTCCTAATTCATCCTGCACATTTTTCAGATGATCTTCCAACATATGAATTTTCGTGACATTTTCATCGAGATCACCTTGTATTGATTGAACACGACGTTGTTTTAATTCGACCTTAGATTCTAATTCACGATTCTCAGCATTTGGAATGCGCGGTGCCAGCGCTGGTCCAAGACCATTAAACTCCTCTAATTCATAGTTGGAACTCATAGTGGTTAGCCGAGATTTTCACAAAATGAAAAAGAAAGAACTCTTCTGTTTTGTTTTGATCGTTCGTATCGAAGTGAAACAGGCAAACAACGAGAATGAAGACATCATGGAGAAATTCATCGTCATGGTAAATTCTTTTTTCAAGAAGTCCGTGCATCGCATTGGTTGATTTCGACCAATCCAAGGAGACAAATTGAATCATATAGCGAGTTCTCTCAGCCTTTGTTCTGTTCATGAAAACGTGAGTAAGTTCGATCGGTATATGGCCAGTAATCCCGAATTTCGAAGGGTTGTTAATTATACCGACCTTGAAGCCCTTCTGGAGTGTATGGGACATGTTTTTGCTTTGATAAAGATTGAAATCATCTTCGTTCTCTAGGTCCACTATGTCTCGATCGATTCGATCAACCTCGTAAGCTCATTCCTGTTCCATGCATTTCATTCCTGTTCGAAATGATTTAGGCCTGATACCATGTGGTCATACATATTGTACAAAATGTTTGAATGAACTATGTGCTAGGAATGACACCGTTATTTGTCCGCAGTGTCGAAAAGAACACGATGTACCGCCTGGTGGCATCACTGTATTTCCTCGAAATCTATCGTACCAACAATTACTCGACATTCGAACCGAACAATTAGTATCAACTCGGCAATGTCAAGTAAAGTCATACTCATAGTCGTATTCGATTCTCGATCCGATTCGTTTTCTATAGGTGTGTGATAAAAAACGTGCGTTTTCCGACTGTCTTCATTGTCATAAAGCCGTATGTCTCGATTGCAAACAAATGCACCGACGCGAGTTAACAACAACTACTGATTCACTTCTTCTAAATCTAACACAATCCACCGATTTGTGCAAAGGTTCCGCTCGTACTTGGATTTCTCTTCGTTCTCATTGAAACTCTTTTCTCTAGACGCGCTCAATACCGAAACTGTCGCGTTCCTGACACATTGCGATGCAGTTAAAAGACACATTTCAGTGTATGCCAAAGAAACAATTGATCTAATCAAACAACAAGAGAAGCAATTGAAGAATGATCTGGAACAGATGATTGCACAACAACTAGAGTAATTAATGAGCGTAAGAAATTCGATGAATATCAATGGTTTGATTGTAGATCATCAAAGAAGATTTTGGTAAATTTCGAGAAAAATAAAGAGGAAATTAGTAAATTTGTTCGATCGTCGAAACAAAAAATCGAGCGGTAAGAACATCGTTGGAGAAAGATTTCAAATAATTTTCCCTATTATCTGTTAGTAATGAATCTCTTTTGGATGAACAATACATTGAAATACAAAATAACATAACTAAATACATGAAAACGATACAAAATGTAGTCACCACTTTGAAAAACAAGCGAAAAGACGTAAGATTCCAATGATCATTCGTTTTCTTTCAGAATCACTTTCGTGTACAGATTGTTTTCACACCAAATCCTCGTCGACCAGATTGTCTAGGTGAATTGAATCTCATTCCGCAAGTTTCTCCAACTGAACACTCAACATCTGTATCAATGAGTGCTGATGATAAGAATAATCAACAACAACAATTAGCACCCATATCTGGAATTCGCCAGGTTGGACAATGGGGAAACGGACCAATGGAATTTTGGTGTCCGTGCGGTTTAGCAATTACACGCAATAATGAACATCTTATTGTAGTAGACAGTTGGAATCATCGACTACAGGTCAGTTCTGAAAAAGTCCAGACAATCAAAAGCGATATTCTCTTATACAGATGTTAACGATTGATGGTCAATTCATTCGTGCGACATCGGGCACGAAAGGACGCGGACTTGATGAACTTAATAACCCCCGTGATGTGTGTGTAAATACAAGCAATGAATGGATTATCGTCTCGGATTCAGGTAATCATCGACTAGTGGTTTACGATTTAAAGCATTTCCAAGTTCAACGCGTTATTGGTGGAAAGGAGTCTCAATTGAAATTACATTTACCGTATGGAATCTGTTGTGATGATAATGATTCGTTGTATGTTTGCGATCGTGGGAATCATCGAATTGTTGTTATACGCTTCGATGATGGAGTGTTTCTTCGACAATGGGGAAAAAAGGGCGTTCAACATGGTGAATTCGATACACCGGATTTTATATGTTGCCGACAGAATGTTATTGCTGTATCGGATTTCAATAATCATCGTGTACAAGTCTTTGGATTAGATGGACAATTTCTTTTTACGTTTGGTAAAATAGGAAGTGGTGATACAGGAGAATTTCGATATCCAAGAGGAATTGCCATCGATGACGAAGGATTTTTTATAGTAAAAACGTTTTTTCTGTGATTTTATTTGAACCAAAGCGTTTGTTTTAGGTAGCTGATTGGGTAAATAACCGTTTACAGGTAGGAATAGTCGTACCTGGAACAGAGATTTGCATTTTCGGTTGTCTTTTAGTTATTTACTCCAAACGGGGAGCTTTCTGCAATCGTCAGTGATAAAAATTCGGATACTTCCAATGATGAATTGATGCCTTTGAAAGTAGCATTCGACCGTCCGATTGGCTTAACTGTTTCCAGCCAAGGTGTTGTGTTCGTTACTGAATGGGGTCGATCGCATCGAATTATTATTTATTGAATATTTCTTCACCAGTGATTCGATCATCTTTTCTTTTTGTAGACTTATTTTCTTATACATGCACATTTATTTATCCGCCCAAATCAGTGTCTTTTTTTGTCTGTGAATGCTAATAATCGAAAATTTTGTTTTGTAGTGTTAGTTTGAAATAATAAAATATTTCTCGAGTTTTGTTATAAACAATGATTACCGAAGCTGATTTTCTATTTTCAGTAAACGACATTTCGAACACACTTCTGTTCTGCTTTCGATTCTCCTTCCTAGCTGAGCAGATAAAAGTGATAGTTGGTAGTGCCATTGTCATCTATTTAAAATAATAAGATATGTTTTTAGGAAAAAAACTTTCAATGACAACCGAAAAAGTGAAAGGAAGAGAAACGTTAAAATCTAGACTACTAAGAAGTGATAAAATAAAACCGAATTAACAAAAAAACGGATGAAACGAATATAACGGAAAAATCTACAAAACACACTCTCTTCAGGTGAGATCTTTTGTTGCATTGATAAAATATTCATCAGAGAAAGAAATATGAAGAAAAAAAAACCGACATTCGATTTGCTTCTTTTTCTTCGTCGTGTTTGGCGTTGGTTTTGGGTTTTGTAAAAATATAATTTGAAGAACTTGTCCCTTCTCAATCTCAAGACAATGAGAAGAATCCATTGATCGTTCTTTCGTTTAACAGCAGTCCATGTCTTCAATACCTAATTTCTTTTCATTTAAAAATAGTGCTTTGTCTTGCATTTGTTGATGAATGAGGCGAACTTTTTGAAAGAGCATCGACCGAATTTCTTGAAGATTGTAAGGTGATAAATCGAGTTGAAAGGCTTCTTCTGATGACGGTTCACCGCTAGCTTCTTTACGGTAGTTATCAAATAAGCAACTATGTAAACAATCATCAGCGGTAATTCGTTCCGATGGGTTCATTTGGAGTATTTGTTCTAATAATTCGAACGCATGTTTATCAACACCGGGCACGAAGACATTTGAATCTAATGGAGAAAATATATGTGGATATTCATTCGGACATTTCGACAATGAACGACGAAGTGAATTCAATGATTTATCAGTTATCAGAGGATAAGCAATCTTGTGTTGATGATAAGGAAAACCAAGTGAGCCACAACGATGTTCAAGAATCAAACGTAATTGGTCCAGATGATGTCGACCGGGATACAATGGTTGACCGTAGATTAGTTCTGCTAAGATACAACCAACGGACCACATATCCATTGACGCTGTGTAAGTACCATTCAATAACATTAATTCGGGTGCGCGATACCATCGTGTACAGACTAAACAAACTGAATAGTATTCAAGAATAGACTTCAAATGTTCAACAAACCGTAGCTCGTCATTGGTGTTTCAAGGTTTTCTTCTGGAACACGAGCAAGACCAAAATCACCGATACGTAAGTGACCATCAAGATCGATAAAAATATTGCTGGGCTTCAAATCACGATGCACTAGCGAATAAGTACATCGAATTCTGTCTTTCCGAGAACTAAATGATAGACTACTTACTGACTTTTGCTGAATGAATAAATTTCAATGCTCGAAGTATCTGATAGAGAAAATGTGTTATATGACTAGCTGTAATAATTCTCATATTATCTGGCCGTTGTTTATTTGTTTTGATCAGTTGATGTAAATCTAATCGCATGAGATTTGTTACTAAATAAACTTCAGTCATTTGTTCAGCACAAAGTGCGGATGTATAACAATCAAGAACTTGTACGATATTATCATGTTTGAGTGGTGGTAAAATGCAAACTTCACGTAACGAACGAGAATAGAATAACATAGCTTCTTCGGCATTCATAGGTCGTAGACGAATCTTCTTGATTGCAACTTTACGTTGTAGTAAATTATCCCATGCTGATATGACATGACCAAATGCACCGGATCCAATCGTTTTCGGCATGGAATACCGACCTACCAGATCGAATGTGTGACCATCGACAATGCGAATTGTCGTTTGCGGTGTTATATTTGTATTGTTGAAATGGCGACGTGAAGTATCATATCGAAGATCGGCATGCACGTCGTCAAATAACGGACCTGAAACGTAATTAGATGGAAATCATGAAGACAAAGGTTTTTCTTTTACCATTATTATCACGTGGCATGTTAAAACTATCAGCTGTTCAATATGACTGCGTGTGCTCGAATACTTGCGTGTTTATACTTATCGATAGCAGAGAAAGAGAGAAAAGTTTCGATGTTAACTGATTATCCTTCGATCAAATCGTATAGAATCCAGGCATGTATGATAAGAGTGACGATCGAGCACAATCAAGATAGATATCGTATATATCCTTTCAAACGGAGAAGTACAAAGAATTCGAATCAACTATTCACATTTGTGAAGATGTTCGGAATCGATTGCTACTTTCACGCTTGTTAAATGGATAATTAATCAGTATAGTCATTATTTTCAAACATGAAATATAATTATCGACGACATGTAGTCGTGTTTACACACATAAATAAACTTGATGAGAGGCAGATTTCATCGATTAGTAGTTCACTTGAACAAACGATTAAGCATTCATCAATAGTTGTTCTCGTAGTGAATACTTACACAAGTAGGTATGTCAATCGAGAAAATAAGTCTTACAAATGATGCGTTGATTTTGATAGTAGCGCTATTTTACTATTGGATTGAGTTAGGTCAAACAAGGTATGCAAAGCAAGGCTATGACATGATGATGATAATATGATCGTCGGCAGTTGATTTCGTTTTCTTATTTCTAACCTTGAATTTAATCCTTGATAGATAGAGATGTATGTCATCGATCTATTGTAGACCTTTCGTAGCGCGTTGAGCGCAAACGACAATATGAGTAGCGTAGAACGACAAAATTACAATCGATTATCGCATCATCATAATTTCTTAATTAAACTTCGAGGAATACCGAATTCAGTAACTAAAGATGATGTTAAAAAATTTCTCTACCGTAAGTTCAATTCAATGAAATTTTCACTGGAGAACGACGACTTCATTGTTCTGTACTTTAGCATGTCGGATAGTAAGTATTTACCTATTTGATAATAAAGATAAGTCATCGAGCGAATGTATGATTGACCTCGAATCTGAAGCTGACGTTCGAAAAGCATTGGAAAAAAGTGATCAGTACATGGGTAATCGATGTATAGAAGGTAAAACTAGATTGAATTAAACGGTGTTTCATTCCAATAGCTCATTTAATTTAGTTTTTTCTTCCACGAACTCGGAATACAAGTTCTTCATGAAATATAAAGGTTCGATCTCATGGCGTGATCCAGTAATTCGCGTCAATGGCCTTCCAGGTAGTTGTACAATGGCAGATGTACAACTATTTTTCAAAGGTAGTATGGGCATCGTTCAGTTTTGCACTTCATTTTTCTCTTTGCGAATGATTTAGATATTGAGATAGCTCGAAATGGTATTTATATTACACGTGATATGTCGGATAATGCAGTGGGTAATGGATACGTTGCATTCGTTAGTATGGATAATGCCTATAAAGCAATTGATATTTATGATCAACAATATCTTAAACGCAGGTTTGGTTGAGAAATGGATTTTTCCAGAAAAATTTAACGAGGATTAAGTCAGAGATGAGGTGTATCGATCAATGGTGCGGCTGAGATCTTTGTCAGGTAGAGATTATAAATATATGTCATTGTTTATACGTTGTAATATCTGTACGAGTGATTCATAGGACATTGAAAAGAACTCATAATTGATTATTTTTTCGTTTGTTTCTTTCAGTCGTATCGACTTGATTCCATCGACATATGATGAAGCAAAAAAGAGTATCACCGATGATGCATATGTGAACGGCAAACAGTTTTGCGGCGCAGATGATCAAGCAAAGAAGATGAATATTTGTAATGAGAATAAGAAGAGAACTCGTAGTCACGAACGGTCAAGATCAAACAGTTGTGGTAAGTGGTATCTACTAAATCCTCAATTGTACCTCTTTTTTGATAAAACAGATCAACATTATCGAGCAGTGAAACGTCGTCGTTCAACATTAACATCTCCTCGATCACGGACTTATCGTAAGTGAAGTAATCAGTGAATGAATTCATCTTTCTCGTATTCAATCAAAATAGAAAATAATCGTCAACGAAAAAGTCGAAGTCCAATTCATTGCTCATCATCGAAACAAACTGGTGAATACTTGATTAAAATGCGTGGTATGCCCTATACAGTTGTTGAAAGCGATATTCGACAGGTAGAAATCTTTGTAAGAACATTTCTACCGGAGACCAAATGTCATCTTAGTTCTTTCCATCAAATTGTCAACCGGTGCGCATTGAAATTATTCAAGATCGTCGTTTGAAGCGTCCCAATGGCGATGGACATGTTTACTTTAATACGAAAGAAGACGCAATCGAAGCGATGAAATGTGATAGGAAATATATGAGTAAAAGCTTCGCCTTTATGCTTCTTTAAAAAAATCTCTTGCTTAGATAATCGTTACATCGAGCTCTATTGTGATTCAGTTCGATATTCTTTATCAAACTATCGACGGCGTAGTCATTCTAACTCACCTTTATTACGATCGAAAACCAAAACTAATCATTGAGGTCGATTCCAAAGTACACGTTCTTAGTCGTTGTACCTATGTATCTCATCAATTTTCTTAGGTCAATCATCACACTAGACGCGTAAATAGAGAAAGAAAACATCGAAATTCATTTTGTATCAGGTCTTGGATGCCGTTTTCTAGTGCTTTAAATTTACATATGAGTAGAATGTGATATTTACATAAGTTGTTGCTCTGATCATTAATTGGATTGTATTTTTAGTAAAAAAATTCTTTATATATTGTTTTCTCTTCGATTGAAAAATAAAAATATCTATTATCATTTGAAAATAAGAAGAGATACTGATAAGAAACGGTAGAAAACTTTTACTACCCTGGCAACCCAGTCGAAATAAAAGCAAAAAGAAAAGAATTCTATTTTCAAATGGAATATTTACGTTTGCTTGACATCGATCCTACTGGTTCACTTCTTCGATTAATCAATGTTTCTCATCAAAAATCTCTTGATCTCAAGAATATATCCATTCGGCAAGTCAATACCGATGGTAAAGTGGCGAATTCATACACATTTCATCCTCGAGTTCGTTCTTTACTACGCCATAATGAAGTCGTCACCATTTATAAGAAAAATTACCGGCACATGAAATTTGATAATGAACCTTATATGTTTATCGCGAATGATATCGCACGATGGTTGATCGATGATCATATTCGAACCGAACTTTCGTTTAATGACGTTATCTTTCATTCACAAGAACGGTGTGTATCAATAATAAATGACATTCCATTGTTTTTCACCCAATATTCATTCGATTCACAATCAGATAAAACGAAAACAAACACACCCTCAGTTCATTACGGTGACTTTCATTTTCCCTACTGTTTATCTACTGATAATTCAGTCAATCCACATACTCATGGTGTTGAACGTCAAGTTCAACATACTGGGAATTTTAACGATTATCATCGACGATTGACGACTTCGCCAAAGAAAAGTTGGTCGATATACCATTAACAAGGCTCAAGGTACACAAATTACGCAAATAGCAACAGGCTGGTTCGCAAGGCACTATTTTAGAATTAATGTCGCCCCTTGTATATCGCGTTCGTTACTGGATGATAATCCTCTGGGAAAAAGTTTAAATCAATATTGTGTTTGTGATTGAATCGTAATCATTGTTTTAGTAAGATTTTGCCCTTTCTCTTTCTGTGCCTGTCATTTTTATTCATTAGTTTTTCATAAAAGTCGATGTCATAGTCCAAATAAATACAAATCCGATAGGTTTAGGTATGGACCATCCAATTTTTCAAAATGAAGACCGTTTAACAAGGTTTAAAGAGATCATTACAAGATATGATATCAGTTATGATTTTGCGTTCAGACTCCGAGCGCTTGAAGGTTTCGAAATCGTCATGATACTTGACGATAGTTCATCGATGCGTACACCTATTATCGATCGAGATCAAGAAGATGTTTCACCGTTTAGTCAACTACCTACACGCTGGGATGAGCTCAAACATGTCACATCTATTGTTGTTGATCTTGCTGCAACGCTAGACCCCGATGGAATCGATATTTTCTTCTTAAATCGTCCTCCCTTATTACACGTTAATCATTCAAGTGCGTTGAATGAAACGTTCTCGAAACCACCCAACGGTCCCACGCCATTAACACAAGTGCTACGGGATGTTCTCACACTAAAACGTGCACATATTCTTGACCGAAAGTTATTACTGTTAATTGCAACCGATGGTTTACCAACAAATGATCGAGGACAAAGCGATTTGATGGCCTTAGAAAAGCTCCTACGTCATGAACGAGATCCATTTGTGGATAGAATCTACATTGCATTTATTGCTTGTACAAACGATCTTCAATCAGTCGGTTATTTAAACCGTTTCGACAAGACTATTCCTAACATTGATGTTCTCGATGACTATCATAGTGAACGTGCAGAAATTCTGGCTGTACAAGGCAAAACGTTTCCTTTTTCCTATGGAGATTATGTTGTAAAGATTTTAATGGGCTCGATAGATCCATGGTTTGATCAATTGGACGAAAAAAAAGTCAAACTCAACCGGTCGTCACAACACGGACGATTGCCAAGACAGAATGCAACAGAGCGCAAAAAAAGTTGTATAGTCTCGTGAATAAAGATAATATTTTAAGCAGGCACAACATGTAGGGTATGCTTTGTTTTTTGTATATATTCATTTGATAATAAGCATTAAATCAAGATCGAATCTTTCGAATTCATTCACTAAGGATAACATAAAGTAATATCGTTATTTATAAAGAATATTTATTGCATCCTGCTGATACAGAGTTGCACCACACGAACATTGTGTTGTCTTTTAGTAAATTTGTACTCAACTAAAATGTTTACGATTTTCATCTAATTGTGGCCGTTGAATGAGCAAGTGTATTCTAGCGAGACACTCTTCTCTATCACTATTACTACATAATGCCGTCAGTTTCTCTCAGCTACTCACCATGAAAGTCAACAGTATGCACAGATAACACTGACGGGTTCGGAAAGGGCCGAAAAAAAAACGAACAACAATACACGACAGAACTATAGTGTATCAATTCGACTCAATAAGTGGCTTTCAGTCTATATCACTTATCTCATATCCTCGATCCACCATTAGGAGATCGTATTATCAAGTTTTGTTATGTTACATGCAAAGGGGAAAAGAGTGCGATTTCTTAATTTCTAACTTCATTTTCCCGATTTCTTATAAAATTTTCCTGTTCACCTTAGTAAAAACAAGAATAAACTATTATACGCATCGGTAAATGCCTTGGTTATTTATTTGGCATTGGCTAAGGTTACTTAAGCAATACAGAGCATGCTTTACTTTTGTTTATAAAGAATATTTGTTGAAGAAAGGAATGATAACGCTCGCCGTTGCATCAAACACGGTTGTAGTGCAGTCATTTTTTCGTTTAGCACCTTTGCAGTTTGCTGGCAATGTTCTGCGTGGCCATCCGTGTTGTCCTTTTTTAATTTTATATCCGATAACAGTGCTACCTGCTCTACAGTTTTTGCTCCACGTTTGAATTTCAACCAACTCTTGAGGATCACTTGCTCTTGGTCGATGAGAAATAGCTGGTTTGCCTTGACATCCATTGCGTGATGCCCATCCCTGCCGAAAAGTTTTCACAGCGACTAGCGTACCATTGTGTGATCGTCCGCCACTGTATGGTGCGACCTTATCTGCGGTGCCATGAAAATCCAGAATAGGTATAGCACGATTTGTAGGACAGTTGCCATTGAATGTAGTTGTATAGAAAGCTGCTGAAACAGTTGCGAAAGCAGCAATCTTTGAAGCAATTGATGGTGTGCAAGCTAACAGGTTCACAAATCCTCCACCTAGACATTTAAAAAAAAGAAACATTCGGCTAAGTTCGGTACGGTAATTTGACGATATTTTATATTAATTGACATCACTGCATATGTTATTCATCAGAATTCGGTAAACGCATTTCCGATAACAAGTGGCAGCTACAGTACTTACCATTACTTTTGCCAGCTGCATAGATTCGAGATGGATCCACACAGAACATGCCTTCCAAAGTCGAGATCATTGTTTTGACGAACAGAATCTATATGAGTGACTTCTCTTGAGCAGAATTAAAACAAGATAGTGACAACTTACATCATCCACTCGGGGATCAGAGTAGGGCGCACCTTGCCAAGCGGTCTCTCCATCTGTTCCTGCTTTTCCCTGAGGATAAACAGCAATAATACCCGCATTACCAATAAGTAGTCCTTTGTCAGAGAACTGAGATAGATCTTCTTGTTTAGCCATGTCACCGTTATGACCATGAAAGGAGAAAACTACAGCGTGTGGTTTATCGTTCTTAAACGTTGCTGGAAGATGCACTTTGTAATGGCGAACGGGTTGACCTTTTGTTGAAGGAATTACCATAGACGTTGTTTGACCGGCAGAAAAGTTTCTTGGAACTGCTTTTCCACAACCATAGCTTGGTGCAGACTCTACTGAAAGTACTGCGAGAACAAGAACACTTGTCCAATATAGTAGAAATGATTGTTTCATGAATATCTTCGAAAAGACATAAAACAGTACATTTATATATCACAATCTTTCTTTTAAAAAAATTATGGGAACGTAGCAGTTAATCTTTTTAAAGGGCTTCACATTGAAAAATAACAACTAGCACTTACGTTGTACTTCACACGTGTACCTGATGTGACAAAACCTTTGCGATATTTTCTGTTTTAAATGCATCTCTCTTCTGGTACATGATAGATCGTTAATCTCTTTGTCGAAATATCTGCTGTCGAATACCGTACAAATTCCCATGTACCTTAGTTTTTAACAGTGGAATAATGTGAGGGTCGAAATTGAGTCTACTTTCTACACATTTTCTCAGTTTATTCTTTTTATACATGAGTAGATTTTGTTATCAAATCATAGTTTACTATTGAATAGCGGCTGAATTTCCCCAACAATTAGATATACATTCTTCCGACTGGGCGCCTTGCTGTTTTTTTTTTGAGAAATGTCTAATTTTTACCGGTTAATACCCGTTTTCAAAGAAGCCGTTCCCAGGTCAACAAATCCGATGCTAGATCCGATTGGATTCCTGGAAACGAAATTGCATTGGAATCCGACTAGAAAAATCCCGTCGGAATCCAATGCGATTCCGTCACCAGGATTTCATCGGAGCTGTCGAATTCCTGTAGGATCTGGTAAAATCCTATATTGGATCCGATGGGATCCGAGTATAGGATTGTTCAACCTGGGTTATAGATATGCGATTGGCGACTAAACCAATTCCAAACATAGAACTGTATTATTTTGCTACCTAGAGCGCAAATAACACGTGAGTAAATCTTTCGATTGAAAGAAGAATCCAAATGGTGTCACGAAGCCCCAATTCCACTGTAGTGAGTTCCAGGGAGACTAGTTTTGAATAAATATGAACTGTGATAATATATATATACAAAAATTATTAAGAAGCATTTGGCGTACATTCAAATGACTATGTCTTGGGACGATAGTTAGAAAAAATATTAAAGTGTGTGAGAAGTAGACCCAACTCACATTACACTAGCGATAAAAACATGAATTTCCAATGTTAAAAAAGTATGGTAAATAGAAATATGTAGATCATTCGACAGCGCATCTTTCGAAAAACAGATTAACGTTCTATATCGTGTTCGTGGAAAGGAATACATTGAAAACAAAAAAAATATCGCAAAGTTTTTGGTACACCCAGTAATGTACACTACATTCTACCTGCATAATTATATTCTGCTCTCAGTAAACTTATAATACCTCAGACAGTGCGAAGCGGATAGTTCTGCTTTTCTTCATCGTTTTATACAACACTTTTTAAGTGCTCTATGTAAATGCTGTCTTGTCAACAAATATTTTGATGTACATTACCTAGGTAATTTATCAAGAGTGAATCAAGTGAGCAGAATAAAAGCTTTCTAACCAAAACATTTCGTGAACTGATGAAATCGGCGAAAGTAAAAAAATCGCCGAAAGAAAAAAAATTCGCAAATTCAAGCACATTTATGTCATCTATTTGTACTGCATGCATGTAAAGGTCGAAGAGACTATTCGAGTATTAAACTTTCAATTCGAGTTTTTAACTTTTCAAATATTCAACCTATAAATTTAGAATTCGAAGCTTCGAGTTTTAAACTCTTAACTAATTGCCTATTAAATATCCACTAACTAAACGCTAATTATGAAATGACTAACTATCTATCAATTATTAACTAACTGATTACCATGAGGGTGTGGGTGAGGGTGTTGGGGAGGGTGCAGCTGGCAACGGCATAGCCAGAGACAATATGAATGAGATTCATTAGCGTTAGCTGGCTGATAATTCATAGTCATATAGCGAATAAATGATTAAGTAGCATTCAATAGTGAGGTTCCGGTTACTTGATAGTCCGTTGATTGATAATAAGTAATCGGTTGGTTAGTATTTAATGAACAGTTACATAATAGTTAATAATGAGTCACTCCTGGATTTACGATCAATCACTTACGAGTTGCTAAGCGGAAAACTCGAAACTTTGAATTCTGAACTCATGAGATTTAAATGTTGAATAGTTTAAAACTCGAAGCTTCGAGTTCTAGGTTCATAAGTTTAGAAGTTGAATAGTGAATACTGGAGTAGTCGAATTCAAAGGAAGTTTTAATACTGGAATCGAGTTAACGATTTTTACACGACCCACTGATTCTTCGGATATAGTTCTTTCGTCTCTGGACGAAATGATACTTAATCGATATGACCCAATTGAATATGTGTTATCGTTTCGGCTATAGATGCCGTTGTTTGAACTAATAATGTTTACGTTTAATGTTTGTGTCACATTTGTAGACAGTAGAGAGTATTGCCAACGATATATATATAGCATACACCCATGTGTTCTGTTATCGCGACATAGGCATAAAAGATAGATGGTATGAGAAGTAGTTTTTGCTCCATTGAGAGAAACAGCCTTATTTTTGAAAACGATATGATAAGCTATTAAAAAGATAAAATGCTTGTCTTCTTTATTTACAATCTAGACAACATCATATCTCGAACTGTCGATGGAATTGGAGAAATAAGACCGATAATTATCTGGAAAATCGCAGGTAGACCCCATCAATGTGCGTCGAGAAACAGGACTGAGGTGGAATCATTATCACTCGTAATGTGCGTTTGAGGTACAGATGTGAACCTGCAAAAGGACGCAACATAGAAGAAAACTCTAACAGTATTTTGCAGTATATTCTTCAACCTAATATATAGATCCAGTGAAACATGGTTAATTGTTTATCTAGTGAGCTTTTCTGTCTTTACTACAAAAGAAAGAAAAGTACAAGAGTATTTTTCTCATTCACTTCAACCGAATATACAAAACAACGAGTATTAATAAATATATGTAAACTGGAAGAAATTTGCTTATGTGGACACTTTTGATGAGCACCACATTGAACGCACAGAGATTCGAGTTGTAAAAAAAAAGATATTTCTCTCCCGCTGATGGGCATGATGCGGCGAGGATGTGCAGGGACATGCTTTATTTTTTCATATTAGTTTTGATTAAACAAAAATAAAATCAAAACAGAATGTTTTCGACTCATTGCAAGCCAAATCTTTAGTTATAACGTATATTTGTTGAAGAAAGGGATAATGACACTCGGTGTTGCATCAAAGACAGTAGTGGTACAATCATGGGTGCTGACGACTCCGTTGCATTTTTTTGGCAATGTCGTACGAGGCCAGGCGTGATCTCCTTTCGTAATTTTGTATCCAACAACGATACTATCTGCTAAGCAGTTCGTGTTCCATGTTTGAATCTCAACCAATTGTTCAGGATCAGTTTCTGTCGGCAAATAAGAAATTGCTGGGCCACCTTGACAACCATTGCGTGATACCCAGCCTAATCGGAAAGTGTCCACGCTAACTTCCGTAGCACCATGTGAATGTCCACCGTTGTATTGTGCGACAGTGTCGTTAGTGCCATGAAAGTCAAGAATGGGTAAAGCGCGGTTAGTAGGGCAATCTCCGTTGAATGTAGTTGTATAGAAAGCTGCTGATACAGTTGCAAAAGCGGCAATTTTTGCAGCAATTGATGGCGTGCAAGCTAATAGGTTCACGAATCCTCCACCTAAACAGTTCAAATTAAGATATAACTTGGACTATAAACACATTGATAATGTTCCGCGAACTCATAAACAAGGTTTCTATTAAGTATTGAACAATCGAAATGGTACACAGTTTGTTTAGTCAAGCGAAAAGTTCCTCTTTCAAAATACATTGACGGATTTTAGATGAAAGTGCTTGCTACAGTACGTACCATTACTTTTGCCAGCTGCATAGATTCGAGATGAATCCACACAGAACATGTCTTCCAAAGTCGAGATCATCGTCTTCACAAATAGAATCTATAATGCGATTGACTCTTCTTTTGTAGAAACATAGTAAGATTTAAGGAGAACCTACATCATCTACGCCAGCAGCAGAGTAAGGTGCGCCTTGCCAAGCAGATTCTTTATCGGTTCCTAGTATTCCTTGAGGATAAACCGCAATAATTCCTGAATGATTAATAAGTAGTTCGCTCTGAGAGAACTGAGATAGATCTTCTTGTTTAGCCATGTCACCATTGTGACCATGGAAGGAGAAAACCACTGCATGTGGTCGATCGTTCTGAAAATCAGCTGGAATCCATACGTTGTAGTGACGAACGGGTTGATCGGCAGTCGCAGCAATCTGAAAAGGCGTTGTTTGGCCAGGTACGATACCGAGTGGGATAACCTTTCCACACCCAGAGCTTGGTATAACTGCCGTTGAAAACGCTGCCAAAGCAAGAACACTTGCGCAGTACAACAGGAGGTATTGTCCCATAGATGCCTCCGAATGAATGGAAAATAGTATACTGTGGCATGTGCTTGCTTTATATAGAGAAAAATTTACAGGAACGATTAAATATATCTGTTATTGGGGTATAAAATTACAAAATCAGTAAAACTTGATGAGTTTCTAACGACTCGACAAATATTTACCTTTTATTCTATTTTCTTCTATTTTCACTTATCTGTCTTATTCTGATATAAGTACATTCAGCACTAAAAAGTACAAAGCTCGTCTTAATTTACACAGTCAAATTTTGCTTCTTCTCAGGTGACATTTTCAACTGTTCTGCTAAGTAGAATTGTATTCAATCGATTTCTACATAGAACGGATTAGACATAAGAAACTTCAAAAACGTATATACATATTTATTTATAGATTAATAGTAACAAAGAGCAAAAATATGTTAAATTCGAATATGTACAAATAAAATAAATCGATATTTTTCTCATTGAGTTTCAAATGTAAATTTGGCATATTGTTCACCATTTGCATTAAGCCGAAATATTCCCAAAAGTGACGCTCCATCCATGACAATCGAACTATTGGTTGAATTGTCTTTCAAACTCAAATTGACTTGCGAAGAAAACTTCAATCGATATTCGATCGTTACATCGCGTTGTTTATTATTAATCAAATGCAAATCGATTGTATACGTCGATAAAATCAAAGGAAATGTATTCTCATTGGAGATGTTTCGACGTGAATCTAATTGAACATATTCAATATATTGCAAATCAGGATCTTGACCAAGACTGAATTCGTTGGTTTGATTTGCACCAACATCCGACCAGTACGTTTCTCCAACTAATCGATCGGATTCTCGTACAAATACTTTGCCAGCGGGAAGAAAATTCTTTTCAACACGAAGCCGATAAGCACGTCGAGCATTTCCATGATTGTCAACTGAAGAGAAATATTTCTCGATAGAACCATACCGTTCAATATCAATGGTCGGACGGAACATTGGAAGAATAAATGTTGATCGAGGATCAAGTACAAATGTCTCATTGATTCGAAAAAGATAAACACCGACTAATTCTTCAGATTCGGAAATCGTTGGCGCAAATCCCATCACTGGTGTCGAGCTGACTTGCTGACTATTGCCATCAGCAAAACCAGCATAAAGAGGATTCCCTCCCGAAGAAGAATCATCATTAGATGTCGATTGAATATTCACATCTCCACTGATTAGTTCAGCATAATCAATCATCAATGACGAATCTCCACTATTTCGGACAGACGCGTATGCTTGTAAAATCGAATATGCATCATTATTTTCCAATAAAAGATCGTAATGTACTTTCCATCTGATATTGTTCTGCAAATATCGCACGTAAAGTTGTTTATTTGTATATGATTCTAAGATAAAGTCAACGGTATAATTTCTCACCGGTGGAATAGATAAATATCGTATGCGATCATTAGTTATAACATAGTATGTATTATCAGTCAAATCTTGTATTAAATTTCGTGTTTCATCGATCATTATTCCTTCGGTATATGTATCATTATTCACATTACGTTTGATTAAGATTTTGTGACCATTCAATGATGTGCGGTTAAACGAAATGGTCTGACCATGAACATGAACGCAGTCACCGATAAGTCGAAATGAATCTGATCGAATGTCGTACCATTCCTGTTGAGAGAAGATCATAGGCAAATCTGCATAAGGTGAGATGGGACGAGTTATTTCAGCGATATTATCATAGATTTGGATACGGATGCCATTGTTTGGCTTGTCAATAGATGCGCTAAGAATAATCTTGACGGCGAAGATGCATACAATGTAAAAAATTGTACTCATTTTCTTGATCGAGTTTAGATTATTTTGTGTTCTTATTGTATGTATGGAGAAGGAAATAACAAAAATGAAACATTCTTGCATGATTTTATACATATTTATCGAGTCCCTGTTGCATAAATAAACAAATACGTTAATAAATGTTACAATTCAAATAGATATAAGATCAAGGATTTGCTCGATTAACGTTAAAGCTCATCATTTTTGACGATCTTTGCTAATAAGCACGAAAAATCAACTTTAGAGTAACATTGACAATGATTTTGTAAGGATGTCATACGATACATGAATGAACAAAAGACAAAACACGTTCGACAAAAAATAGATTGTCTTCACACTAAAAATATGTACGGTTCAAGGCTTTGAATTTTCCCGGAAGCTACTTAATCATGATTGAATTCACATTCTTCGCAACAGCTTCTCAAAGATTTATTTAACATTCTTATGTACAAATATTACACACCTAATCAATAATTAGATAAACAGCGATACAGAAAACTAAACGAAATAGATTGTGTAGAAATACACGCTTGTTTTAAGCATTTCGGTAACAATGAAATGCATGATATCAAAGATCAGACGTCTATTGCAAGGACAAATCATTCTATTTAATGCATCTCAACTAGTGAAAATTCCACAGCCCTATGTGCCGATGCATCTTGGTTAGAAGTATGTCGTTTGTAAACGAAATAACAAATGATGCTCAGAGAAAACACGCCGATGATACTAATTATGGTGATAATTATTATTAATAAGTTCTTCTTTGATGGTTGTGAAATGTTCTCAGTTAAATTTGAAAGACTTCTAAAAATATCCTAGCATAGTATAATCAAGAATTATTTTTTTTAAAAAGAGCGGCGTCGAGAATATTTACAGTCTGCTGAATTGGCTTATTTCCATTTGTTTGTCGTTGGAGAAGAAAATCTGCAAATACTGGTCGATGATCGCTCATTTTGATATCGTTCATTGATGAATATCGAAGTATTTGAAGATCTGTGGACATATTCGATACAAGAATACGGTCTGTGTAACTCGGACGACGGTCCCTACATGACAACAGCATCAAAAATCTCATCCGCGGAGCTGAAAACAAAAATTTGCTTGTTACTTGCGATCTTTCGTCGTTAGATAAATATCTGTATTGACTACATATTTGTATGTCGGCGGAAATGTAATCGGAGCTTCGTAGAACGTTCTCAAGCATTGTGCTAGATCATTACTATGATCAGTTTGACGCATTCGTGTCAACTAAAGAATGAATTCAATTATGAGGAGCTTTGAAGAATGTTCTACTTCATCTTTGTTTAAAATATTCTGATAATCATTTTGTTGAATTGCTTGAAGAATATCGGCTATACTCATTGAATCCATAGTACGCCAATTCTGATCGCCAAGAATAAACATGTAACTTTGATCATTTGAATTCGTTTGGTAAGTCTGAAAAAATTTGTTTAACAATCGACAACGTTCTGTTAGTTTGCCTTCGCCAGCAGGTAAATGCATATTGACAAAAATTAAGTTTGTCACGTTATCTATTTGAATTCGAGAAGCAATGATACCTTTGTAACCTAACAGTTAAGAGAATTAAACAACATTATTAGGAAAATAATCACATATTTACCAAGAATATTCTCTAGAATGTTATCCTAGAAAAACATTGTTGTCGACTATTGTTTGTTGAGAGAAGAAGTTTTTACCTGATAGACTTTTAATGTAGTTTCACCGTTGATAGTCAAAAGATGAAGACGTTCTGATTGTAAGATGACATTCGTAGCAAACAGATAAAGCCATATTGGCTTTATGACACTTGATCCAACGTAGTCCGACAATATCATTGTATACTGATGATTTTGAAGACATTGTATAATAGTGTTATGGAGTGAGTACGAACCAAACACTTTCTTAGATGATTCTTGAAAGCTGCCAAAAATAGATCGAGTTGTGTCATTCGATAAACAATTACTCATATTTACTTACCCGAAGACGATAAGATCAGCTTTGATACCATCTACACTGAATGAAAAAGCCAACTGACGGAAAGTTTCACAATTCGGTTCACTATTTCCGACATTCCATGTTATAATACGAAATCTATCCCAAAAAGCACAATAATTGATTCCTCAACAATCGAGTAGAGGTATAGCTCACCGGAATGGTATAGTAGTTTGCGAGTGAATCAATTGGAAATAAAACAGAAGCAGAATGAGAAGTGAAATGATTTTTTTCATTGAACTCAGGTGACAAGGCGCTATACAATGAGTTCTGTTATGCTTTGTACATTTATGAGAAAGAAATGAATTCATTCATATTCAATCTGACCGGCGGGCATTGTCATTTGTGAACGAATCAGTGACATGACGACACAGTGAGTGTCAACAAGAATCAATGTTTTTATACGTTTCATTTATGTCATTTGCTTCGATATGACTATTTTTTTGTTGTGTAGTTATTTATTTGTTGATTGTGGTCGAAGAGAAAGATATCTATTCTTGTGAAGTTAAACAGATGGATATGATAAGACGAGCACGTCATTATCTTACGCCATTTAAAAGTTCTTAGCGCAATAACAGATAACTTAATCAAATAAACACATCGGTTAATAAAAGGTGTGTGACAGTAATCATAGTGTATCATTTTAAACTAGATCAAATGAAGTATTCAGCGGCTTATGTGATTCTTTTTTCAATATTTTGTTTCTCAATTCAAACAGTTTTGAGCGCTACAACATGCAACACGGGCTATTATTTAGACGGAACTAATTGCTATCCATGCACTCCAGGCACGTACTGTCCCGATGGCTTTCGCAAACTCGAATGCAGTCCAGGTCAATATTCCAACTCATTTACTTCGTCATCATGTTCGTCTTGCCAACGAGGATATTATACAACAAAAACCAGTTCGACAAAGTGCAACATCTGTCCCCTAGGCTTCATGTGTGCGAGTGCGGATCGAGAACCCGTCGGTTGTCCACGTGGCACTTATCAAGATACCTATGGGTCTACGCAATGTCAATCATGTTCACGAGGTATGTAAAAGAAAATTATTTTCACAAAGAGATATCCGTTTTACTTCTGATTGGCGTTGATAGGATATTATTCAATATCAGCGAATTCAACTCAATGTACTATATGTCCCAAAGTATGCTCGAAAGATTCTCTAATAAGCGATCGTTTAAAGAGAGTGTTTATTTTCGTGTAGGGCTCTGAATGTCCACGTGCTGATCAAGCACCATTATCTTGTCGACCAGGTGAGATCAGTCTTAAACCTAGGTTTTTCGGATAAATCTAGAAATATCTATCCATAGGCACGTATTCGTATGATGACGGTACTTATTCTTGCACTCCGTGTCCATCTGGATGGTATACAACCCAAACGGGAGCACTCTTATGTTTTATCTGCCCTGAGGTATGCATGAAAATAGTTGCTCTACGTATTGAGTGAATATTTTGCCTACTTGTGAATGATAGGGAAGTGAATGCACAAGAGCTGACCAGCCACCAACTCTGTGTCGACCAGGTACTTACTCATCGGCACCTGGCTCAGTATGTTCTTCGTGTCCATCAAATACTTATGCAACTGAATATGGACAAGTGTCTTGCGCTGTCTGTCCTTTGGGGTATGAATGCACACAAAGCGATCAAAAACCGCAGCCATGTGCTCGTGGGTATTACCGAGATGCAACGATTAGTTCTTGTCAACGATGCCCATCTGGTATGTGGACAAAAAATACTACATCATTTCGTTGTGAAACCTGCCCTGTCGGCTTTGAATGTCCAACTCCTGATTCATCACCAGTTTCTTGCCGCGCTGGTACTTATTCATCTCAGATTAATACCAATTCATGTTCTCAATGTGATTCTGGATACTTCACTGTTGAAACCGGTTCAATTTCATGCCGACAATGTCCTCGAGGTTATTACTGCCCACGACCAGATGCCAATCCAATACCATGTCCACCAGGAACTTACAGCGATTATAAACAAACCCAATGTAGCAAATGTTCCTCAGGATACTACACTACAACTTCAAGTTCTTCAAACTGTCTCATATGTCCATCAGGATATGCATGTGGTATGCCAAGTTTACCACCTCAAATCTGTCCAGTAGGTACGAGTGCCGATTATGCAGCTTCATCTTGCACGAGTTGCTCGTCAGGATATTATGCAGTTCACAACAGTTCATCAATTTGCACACCGTGTGCTCCCGGCTACTATTGTGATGATACGAAAGCATGTCCTAAACAATGTTCGGCAGGTCAATATTCATCAGCCGGTCAAACATCCTGTTATCAATGTTCATCCTCGGCTGGATGTTCGTCGGTGCCAGGCGTTTTTGATTGTTCAACATGTGTAACAGCAAAACCAACCGGTTGTCAATAAAGTGAAACTACTACTAAACATCAATCAATTTTAAAGAAGAATTGTCAACAATTATTTCTTCCATAGGGATATATTCTTAGACTCACGTGCTCACTTACAAGACGGAATTTTCTTTTTCAATATTCATTAATTCAATTTGCCGTTTTTTTAGTTTTTTTTCATATTTAATTTCTCGATAATTAGAAACTATTCGTAAAACATTGGCGAATATTGTTTGTTCTATTTTGACAAGCATCCAAATAATTTTCTGTTCATTGACAAATCGAAGTCAAGATCGCAAAATATTAAGTAAAAATGCCTTTTCTTTCCGGTTCGAGTGTAACCCGTATTGCTTGAAGATTTCAAAAACCATATACTATAGAAAAATCTCCATTCGTCAGTTGTTTAGAGATACAACGATCTAACCCTTTTCAACTTGCACTTCGAATTCACAATAGTGTTGAACTTGAAGTCATTGAAAACATTTTAATTCAATTTTTCAATATTTGCCGTAGCACTCTCAGGAGATTCCCTTTTACACCAAAACCAATCAAAAATTTCTATTAAAAATAATTTCAAGCTATACTTGTATGGCTTTTTGTGCATGATTCTACAAAGAATTGTTCATTTCAAGAGGATTCATACTCAAATTCACACCTTGAATAGTTGCTTCGAAATATATGAGATTCTCCATAGGTCCGATTAAACTCGAAATAATTGGATTCTGGTAGGTGTTGATTCTAGATACTATTTTTGAAAAATTATTCATTGTTATTTATCATGACGAAATAAAGAATAACTCATCAACGTAAAATGTAGGTGTAGTTTGCATATATGAGAATCTTTGACAGAAGGAGGATATGCGCATTCGCTTTATCTATATAAATAGATGTCAGAATCACTTCGAAAGCACCAAGTAGAATGATATTCTTTTCTAGTCTCCTCTGTATTTCAGTATGTTTTTGTACAAGTTTCGCTATACGGTGTCCATCATGTAATGATATTTATTTCGATGCCACAAATACAACGATCTTTGTCAATCAATTCCGTTGTGAGCAAACGGATATATCTACTTCATTGTGTAAAAATGAATTATTTGTTGATCTCGTCGATCCTTATTTCACGATTATCAAGTATATAACTGCACCTGCCAATGCTCTAATTACTGGTAATGGTGAAACGGAATTAATTACTACCATGAACATACCATTAGATATTGGATATCCTTATGCGTCAATTGCATATAATTGTTACGATAAGGATATGTGTAGCAATAATAGTGTGATGCAAGACCGATACGAAGAATTAATTAGATTGAATTATACGAAATTAGGAAGTCAATTAGGCAGCTTACTCTATAATGATAAAAATATTTTGGAAGAAAATCAAATTGAATGTTATAGTACAAATAAAACGATTGTCACATGTTGTACCAACTGGCAATGTCAAGCAACAGTAGTTATTGAATCTGGTCGAGCTGATTCATTGACTACTACTTGTATTCCTGATCGACGACCTGGTGCTCGTACTGGTCTTATCATTCAATCAAAATCTATAGGTGATGATTATAAGAAAATAACTCTATCATACATCTGCAATAAACATCTATGTAATAGTCCATCGATAGTCGATCAAGTTCGACAACTTCTCGTTGATGTTAAACTAATCGATTCGAAAGCGAATAGTGCACATTCTCTTTCACTCCTGTTAATCATCATTTGTTTTGTAGTAGATGTTCTATAGTATCTTATTTTTCATTCATTAGTCAGTTTGACATGTGTATGTGCCTTTCCTTTGTATTCTAATCATCACAAACCAATATTATTAAACTCATTTATCATTGTAATTCATTGAAAACAATCTTCGATTACTCTTGCATCAATATTCCATTAGTTGTTGTCAAACAAAATGTGAATAAATCGTATGGCATGATTCTCCTTTATCTTTCCTATACAAATCATTTTATGGTCTCTCCAGGTAAAAAATCCGGCTTTGTATTTTTCTTCTTTTTCGCATGTATTTGTATGCTGATGTCATGTAGCTTGATAGACTATTTATGATCGACTACCCACATTTATGCATATTGACACTGATCAATATACCGAATTAATGGCAATTTTGTGCGAGCCGCGAAGAAATTCTGTTTTCGATTTTGATCAAGGTTAGATAATATGAAGAGATTTTTTGGCATGAAAAGACCGACTTGTGTCACGTTCATAATCTTTATTTCCTTGATGATCTCTTATTCTATACTTGAGGAAAAAAGAATATCGAGTCATTTTTCAACGGTAGCTCCTTCTCATATGTTGAACAAAGGTGTACGTGAGTGTTCTAGTTGTTTAATCTGCGGCAGAAAGAGTGAGAACGATGTGACCGAAATAAGACTTGACTTCATCTTTTTTTAGTTTGTTAAAGTAGAGGAGAACGAGAAAAAATCTTGTTCTTTTACTATTCTTTAACTAAAGCAAAAGAGAAAAAATTAGTTCCCATAAGAAAAAGGAAGGGAAGAGGTAAATGGTGCTAAAGGAAGACTATTCGATAATATGCTTTTCTTTTTCCTTTTCTGACATAGAAAATCTTAACAACGATGAATCCGACAGCAACTACTAATAGCAATTTAACTCAAAAATACAATCTCTACGGTTGGGGGCCATTTCGATGTGGCGGAATTCTTAGTCGACCTATATTTGCCTATGTTATGTTATGCATTTGTACATTTGTTCAGAATTTTACCGTTAATGGAGCGAATAATGCTGTAATTTCAACACTCGAACGTGCTTTCTATTTGGATAGTGTCCAATCCGGCTTCTTTCTCGCTCTGTACGATTTAGCTACTGTTGTCTCGTCGCCAGTCGTTGGCTATTTAGGTGGTCTATATTCGTCACCGATATTTTTCTCGTTAAATATGATTATTGTTGCAATTGGAAATATTATGGTCGCCTCAAGTAATTTCGTCAATCAAGGTATGAAAATAAACCTCAATTCTCAACAGGTACAGAATTCTTTCACCACCGACAATGTTCTCTTTCAATGTTATAAAAATCCTTATAATAATCAATCCGTTACTGACACTACATGTTTAAAAGTCGAACAGTTATCGAAATCGGTTACGAATGCCAAGGCACTCTTATACATAGGAAATTGTGTTACCGGTATTGGAAGCGTAGCTTTATTGACAATCGGTATTGCATATATTGAAAGAATATTTCCACGTGAAAAGGCTGCATATTGCCAAGCGATTTATTTTGCTGTTGGAACAGTCGGTGGCGCACTTGGGATTGTAGTGACAGGAAGATTTTTATTGTTATATACAAATTTAACACCCAAACAATATCTTCCGGCATGGTTGAAACCTACGCATCCACTGTGGATCGGATGTTGGTGGTTACCTTATCTAATTTATGGATCATTATGCTTTCTCATCGGTATTTTTGTGTCTGGTTTACCAAATTTTGAGGTTCCAGGTCAAAAATATTTGATTCAAGAAACAATATCACCATCTCAGCCAAAAAGTCGTAAGGAATACTTCTATTTTTAAAACAATTTTAACCATGTGTATTTGATTTAGATGCTTCTACTAATCGAGAAGATAGTTCAGTCGAAATAACAACTACGACAACAATAGCTATAACACCAAATACACCAGGTAGAAATACCGATGGTATAGTCAATCATGCTTACTCGTCGGACACCTTGTATAATCAAGTAACACCATCTCCTTCAACTACAGCATCCAATTCACCTGTTCAACGCAGAGGACGATGGAAAGATATGTGTGCAATTATCTGCGAATTGCTTCAAAATGTACGATTTATTTTTATTGTCATTGCCAATTTATTCGAAGGAATTTTATTGAAAGGATTTGTTCCTTTTATCACCAAATATTTCGAGTATCAACATCAGTTAGATTCATCAACTGCAACATTAATCACTGGCGCGATTGCCCTACTTTCCGTTGTTATCGGTTGTCCCATTGGTGCGTTTTGTATGAATAGATATTCCTGGACGCCCAAACGATGTGCCTCTGTGTGTATGGTTATTTTAACTCTTTCATCGTTTCTTTTTCTGCTTCTTACTCTCTCATGTCCGGAATTAAAATTCCAGTACACCGATTGCTCAAATGAAAATTCACCTTGTTGTCATAATATCTATCGTCCAGGTAACCAACAAAATTTATTTGAATTTTCTTCTCAAATGAAAACTTTTTCCGGCTCTAGTATGTGATATTGAAAATCGGCAGAAAATGTATTTGTCTCCATGTCACTTCGGCTGTACGAATCAAACGTTAAGCAGCGTTGACAGTACGACCCTGTATTCTTCATGCAATTGTGCCGATAATACAGTTCTGAGTGAAGCGGCATGTCGGTTTCGGCGAATACCTTGTAAGAAATCTGATAGTAAGGCTTCGATTAAGTAGTCGTGTTTATTTTAGGTACAGCCATCTTCGTTTTAGCCATACTTGGTGCTACATGTGTGGTTTTCTTCACTGCATTTATTCAAGTTCCACTATTACAAGTTCTTTTTCACACTGTTCCATTGCCGTATCAAAATATGGCACTTGCATTACGTCAAACAACTGTGCGAGTATTAGGGCAGACGACCGGCCCGCTAATCTTCGGCTTCGCTTTTGATCGATCCTGTTTAGTATGGTTAACGGATTGTTACGGTCGACGAACATGTAAAGTATACAATAATCGTCGAATGGGTTTATCGATGGCATTATCGGGATTTCTGACTCGATTCATATCTGGCACTTCTTGCGGCGTTGTTTATTTCATTTGGAAATTTAAATATTCTGAAGATATTCCGCCTAATGCCTTGACTACTCCTACCACCGATGTGCCAGCACATACAAATGAAAATAATGAGTTAACCCGCTTGTAAATCTGAATCACTGTGATTGTTTTCTTTTTATTCGTTAAAATAACAATTGAGTTAATCGATAGATGGGTAAACAATTCATGAAAAATCAAAATCAACCTCTTTTTTTTTACTAATGATAGGCATCAGCAATACGCTTTAATTCTACTAATTGCTGTTCAAGTAACGCAATATCTTTGTCAATTGAAGCTAATGTAGCATTTTTTGATATCCATGTTTGAATGAGATCAGCAACTGAGATAATCACTGAAACACCAAGAATTTTCCCACTAATTGTTCCTGCCGTCTTAGCACCAGTTGCCAGTGCATTCGCTAACGACGGTAATTGTCCGATTAATTCGCTCCAGGTTTTTAAAGTTGAAGCCGCTTGGATAGCTTCGGATAACTTCAAGAAATTGATACCCGCTTTCGATACTGAATAACCAAGTGAATAAACGGTGACAAGCCATGCTGTTATGTCTTTTATATTTGATTCACAAACTTTCATTGCCAAAGAATCTTCTGTGAGTAGTTCAGTGTATTCCGTTCGAAGACGTTTTTCTATAACGTTTTCAGTAATACTCGTACCAAGACTCGTGGCACTACCAGCTAGAAGAACAGGTACGCCGACAGGAGGAAAAACAAAACAAAGTATGCCACCGATAATGGATGCCGAATTACCAACAGTATTCGAGATTTTACAATGTGTGATATGTTTAGCCATACGAAGACGGAGTTGTTTTAATCCTTCGATTGTCGCGGCACGTTTTTCAAGAAAGGCTTTCAATGGTTCGATTGATGGTGGTTGAATGACGGGTGCTACTGTAGTATCATGTTCGTCGATCATCGATTTCATTTCCACTAGCGTTGGATATGTGGTTAATTTCACATCAGTTCGCTTTTCGTCTTCGATTATATCATTCAATGTTGGATACAATTTATTTGAGTCCGTGTGATTTTCTGTTGAAGAGATTTTCTTGCCTAATGGCATTAAACCGGCATTGGCTAATGCTTCTATCGTATCACTCATTCCTGGCGAAAAAAAAAACAAAAACTACTAGAACTAATCTCGCGCGTCTTCTCGCGACGTGTCTCTTCTGTCCTTTTCCATTCCTTCGAACGTCTTAAAACAACACGAAAAAGAAGTTATCAGTGCATATTCACTGCAGGATACAAATGGCATACTGCATTTGATATGAGTCAGAAGATAAATGGTATTCGTGTGAGTCAATGTATCATAAAGAACGAAAGAATGAATTCTTCACAATGTATGAACTGTCTATTGAAACTTCTGTATTTGTCATACCTAGATTTCTAGAATGTTTCGGTCTAGTCAACTGTATCTAATGATTCATACGAAACAAATAGACCATAAATACAATGAATCGCTTTTTCGTTCTTCTCCGCTCTTATCCAAGTTAAGTTAACTGCAGTAGATCATAAATCAGTTGTTACTTTTCTGCTCTATAGTGATCAACATTCAAGATTAAACGATTCAAATGTCTGAAGCATTCTTGTAAGTATTCGAAATAGTTGGAATTTTTCCTTATACATAACAAGGTGAAAAAGTCATCAGTTAGAAAAACGAAATACATGAATCAAATTTGAAATTGAATCATCACAAAAACAATGACTCGATGAGTCAGCACATATTTTCGTTTTGCGCATATGTAAATTACGGTCATACTCTTGCTATTTTTTCTGCCTACATGTTCGGTAGTTATTACTCATTCTCCTCCGGAGAACAAAACGAAGCTACCTGAAAAAATTTATGTAGGAGTGACTAACCATAAAAGTCTCTGGTATATATATAAATGATTATGAATTCATTCGAATCAGTTCTAAATCTATTCCAATTGTAAGACTTGAATATGTCAGCTGCTGTGATCTCACATCGTGTTAATTATTCAGAATATATGGCTGAGTAAGTATCAAAAATGTACTTCAGCTGGCGTTAGAAAAATAAATAAAAGTGATTTCTTTTTTCGCGACTAAAAATATAACGCAATGTTTTCATTTTTCTCCTTCTATTTCACATTATTCTTTTATATATCATAGTGTAACCGGTATTCAAAAGACAACAAAACCAATCAATACTGGTGCTTCGCGACAAAATCAAGGCGCTCATCAAACAGGTGCAGCAATGCCACAGTACGGTGGTGGTGCAGAGAAATGCGCTCGATGTGCGAAAAACGTTTATTTAGCTGAGAAGAAAGTCGGAGCTGGTCGAGTACGTAATCTTCTCCGTTCTCAATAACCGTTCATTCTCTTCTTTGCTTTCATAGTCGTTTCATTCCAGCTGTTTCAGTTGTGAAACATGTAATCGTAAATTGGATGCCACAACTTTATCTGAACACAAAGGTGAAATCTATTGTAAAACATGCTATACAAGACAATTCGGTGTGCATGGTTTGATCAGTGGTGTAACAATGTCAACTGAACATCCAGTGCGTGAAGTTCGTCATTCACGTCGTTCATCGTATGGTAGTGATCTTGATGCACCAGTTATAACACATAAACAAACTCGACAACGTGCACATTCGAATGACAATGCACTTCGTGGTGAACATGGTCCTACGCAGAATGATGAAATACCAAAAATGTTTCCATGGCGTAATGATGTTTTACCTGAACACCCTCAACAGTATGAATCAGAAACATCGCCAACAAAAGCCAAAATAACTGCCATATTCGATGAAATTGTCAATAAACCATACGTGAGACCAACCAGTCAAATCGGCTTTGAAAAAGTTCTCCAATCAACTGCAGATGAAATTCATTCGGGAGAAGTTGATCGTCAAAAATACCACTTTGGAGACGGAGAAGCACCCTATGGTAACGGTGCATCAGCACTTATTCACATGCCCGTTATCTCACCACCAAAACGATCCGATTCGACGATTGAACGAGTTGTGATGCCAACACCTCCAACGAAACATAATCAACGAAGTCGAAGTCCATCACCAACATCAACAGATATCTACCATCGACAAACCGATCGCAAACATCATACAGATATATCAGGTAAATCGAATATCTTTGCTTGATTCATCAACTTGACTATTTTTAAATAGATAACTTCTCACGATTAACATTGAACGACAAGGAAGTGAATAATTTCACTACTGACAAACTCACAACTGAAAATCCACTTATCAAACCAACATATTCATATTCATCTTCTCGTGAAGAAAAACGAGTTTCATCTAACACCGACAGTCATTCTCGTGATTCGTCACCTTCAGTAACTGCAAATAGTAATCGATCGCCATCACCAACCAGTGGTTACGCTTCATCAGGTGCACATGGAGATGGTACCGCATGTGATTCGTCATCGCCACCATCCGCTTTCGTTCCACAACATGATTATCTCAATACGCGATCATCGAATGCCAGCGTTGTTGACCGTCAATCACCACCATCGCCAAAAGAACGAACATCCTCAGCTTTGCATGATTTTGTTTCCAAAACAAATACGATTTCTTCACCAAGTGCCGGTGGTAAATATTCAACATTGGCTGCTTTGATCAAACCACATCGACCATTGTCACAATTGAACAGCAATGGTAGCGAATACGATAATTAACGAACAAAGTTTTTTCGTCGGATCAAGAGACTCTCTTTTTTATTATTATTATTATTATTATTTTGTACCCCGTAGTTACGTATTTTTCCCTTTTTCGAACGTTTTTTTTTAACATTGATCATTTTAACATGAACAAAAAACAAATTTGAAACAAATATTTCGTGTCTCGTTCTGTTTCGTTAGTATCAAAACAACACACATACATAGACACACAGAAGAAAAAGAGAAGAGAATTCCAGGATGCTTTCTTTTTTTCAAACAATAGATGAACTATACAGAAGAAAAACAATGATCCTACAAAGCAGCTGTTGGCGGAGGAGGCGGTAAATGATGTCCTTGTTTAATTAGTAATGCACGAAGTATAGCAGTTAGATCGACTGTATTCGATGATGATGATGTGGAAGTCTCGGATTGAGAAGTTTTGCTCTTTTGTTGGTGTTCTAGAAACAATTGATTAAGAGCAGCAACTGATGTCGATGCTGGTTTCTCTTGTGTTGAGTGAGATGGATTATTAGTAATAGAAATCGTTGGTTTTCGTCGTTGAGAGTTCTCATTCGAAGAATTTGTTGATTCGTGACGAATGAAGTACGAATGATCATGATAAACAATATATGCAGGAGAGTTGGGATCCACAGTTATGTAAATTGGTACGGGAGGAGCTGAATGACGAGCCTGTACAACGAAAGAAAGAAAGAACAGATAGAATGGAGTGTAGATGTGAAGTACGCACTCGTTTTGAACTAGGCATAGGTGTGTATTCGGTTTCATTGTCAAAATCATCATCATCACTTAGACCGGCTAATTGTCGATAATTTTTTCTTGTTTTCGTATTATTATTTTTATCCCGCGTCGTCATATTTGATTTTCTTAGTGAATTTTCCCGATGATTCGATTTGTCCATATCGTCATCATCAAGGTGAGTAGCATTAGGTTGATATTCAGACCAGCATTCTTTGAAATACTGAAGAAGACGATTTGCTAATCGACCCAGAACTAAAGAAGACAAGAAAAGATTCAAGCAGGCGATGATTTCATAAATGAATTACTGCTTCGTTTGCCGTTGTACTGTTCACAATTGGCGACCATCAGTTCAATGTCATGAACGAATTCCTCGGAATTATTAACATAAATTTTATCATTGATCTTTTGCTGAATAGTCGACAGATCAATGGGTTTCTAAAATAAGAATACATTCATTGATGATTGGACAAAACCCGTCAATGTCGGTTTTACCTCAATTATGGAGAAATAATTCGGTGCTAATTCTTCGGTAACTGCTTCAAGGAATGGCCAACTGTTCTCATTTGTTCGTAACAATGTTAATACTAAAAGAGAGCATCATTTATTTATATTTATGCGCAATGAGAACGTGTACCTTTTTGATGAACATCATTTGTATCCATTGGATGACTATTTTCATCATTGAGAAAAGATGATGACGTGTTGCTATTCTCATCAAATTCACCTCCATTCTGACCTGCCGAAGATCCAGCTGCTGTCCGACGCCGAATACGATCTGCACGTTCTAAATTCAAATAAAACGACATACTTTTCAGTTCAAAAACTCTTTCCATTGTTGTATTTACCTTCTCTTCTTTTCACACGTTCATTCCGTTCTAAGCGTTCTTTTTCTTTGGCGATAATTTCTTCCTGTCGTCGCTTAAATTCAAGAAATTTATCATGTCGCGCTTTTTGCTCCTGTGTTATTTCTTCTAACTCAAGTCGTTGCTGTCGTTTGACTTCGAGACGTGTTGACGACCGTTTAGGTTCATAGGATGTCCATCGACGAAGTCGATCACGATCCTTACGCGAATATATATCGGGCAAATCAGTATTTAACGCTTCTAAACGTTCGAGTAGTTTACGATCTTTGAGACTAGAATTCTTTTTCGAACATGATTTGCGAAAATTTTCAATAAAAACATTCCATTCATCTAATGTCCGACAAACACATTCCCATGTCGAAGTTCTAAAATATTCATTCGTTTCCAGAGCATTTCTATAGCAAAGAAAAGCTTTTACTCAGTATGTTTATTCCATGAATCACAATACAATCGCGTATCACCGAAATACCAGAGTTTATTTCCACGAGAATCTTCACCAAACGGTTCAAAACGTAACGAATCAGCAGGCATATTCTAGAAATCATTTCAATGGATAAACAACATGCAACATATTAGATATTTTACCTCTGTCACTTGATCGACTTCAGCTTTATTCAAACGTGCATCACACAGAGCTCGAAGTACAGTGACTTTTTCGAAAATCGACATTTCTTGCCATTCAGTTGTACTTATGGTATCATCAGAAATCGTCATTAGAGTTGACGGAGTGGAAGAGGTACTTATTGTCAGATCACATCGTTTGAGGACATTACTAAGCATGTTAAACATATTTGATGAACTAGAAGAAGGACAATAAGTACAATATTAATGATATGGCAAGCGAGAAACTTACTTGACGTGTAAACGTATCAATCCGGAGAGAAGAGAAATGAGAAGCTCTTGAAGAAATGGATGAATTTCATCGGGATTATCTGATAATAAAGCATCTTCCAATTCTTCTTGATGAAAGTCAAATAATTGAAAAGCATCACAAAAAACACGAGCAAACAGAGATATGTACGGGATTTGCCAACTGTTTTGTAAAGCTACAAGAAAATTTCCTCGTCAGCATCTATTCAAAGTTAACTCTAATTTAACTTACTCTTCTGTATATTGGATATTTGTGCATCGGGCCATTCTGATGACATAGCCCTGTTTGTTGTTTATTTATTTTCTAAAAAAGAAAACAAAACAAATCGCATATGACTCATGAATATATTTGACCATTATCGGAAATATGACTCATCATGTTGAAGTTTTCTCACTTTTTTTCTTCTTCTTTCATTTCTGACAATTACAATCAAACTCGCCAAGACCAAACAAAGCAATGTTTATGTTTACAAATCAAAACTCTCTCGGGAGTATTTCTTTCCTTGCGACGTGCAATTCGATTTAGTGAACAGAAAATCTTCCGAATACTGTGCTCTGGAATAGCAGAATTCTGAAGATATTAGAAACAACACAATCTGTGGGTTGCACAATACAGCATGCAACGCAAAGACGTCATTCATTCTTCTCTTCTCTCTTTTAACCATTCGACCAATAGGATATTAATTGAGAGCATTGTTTAGGAAATTTCCTAAACTTCACCAACATGTTTAACATCAAAGATTACGTTCGAAAAGCATCGAAAAAAACATTTTTATTTTTCACAAATGAGGGCGCCACAAGTATCGAACCGATTTTTGAGGAATAATTTTGCATTTTATCAACTTCCATCAAGTTGTCTAACGACATTAATTTCGAAGCAATGCCATTTTCCCTTTCTATGGCTTCATTAGCAGATATGTGAAATATTGAACAAAGTTTCTAGCAAAGCAGGTTTTGCTTGCTGCTCTACTTGTGTTGGTTCAGTTTGTTTTAAGCGAAGAGAATTCTATCCGATCAAACAAATGTCTTTCATTCTCTCATGTCTACCTTTTAACTCCAATAGCAACGTTTTCTTTTTGTTTGCAAACACAGCTTCAGAAGTGAAACGAAGTAAATCGTTGAATCGAAGACAGTTCTACACAATCAAATAAGCCGTGATGTTTCAACCGTCCGTTTTCTGTATTAAACTTCAACTTCACTTCGGTGGAGATATTCACGACATATCCGTGCCAACATACAATGGCGCTGAGCCAACCGTGAGCGATCTAATGAATGTTGTTGAACGAGACTTTCGTGTACCGCGAGTATTGCAAACGCTCGTTTTTCATGGTCAAGATTTGCATCCATATCCAAACGAACCATTAAGTCGTTTTGGTATTAAAAACGGTGTTCCTATTCGGCTGGTTGGTCGAATGACACCACCAGATATGGTACAAAAGATCAATAACCAATACGGCGTAAATTCATATCAACAATCATACTATACCCAACAACCATGTTGTAATCAACAACCAAATCTTGTCACATTCCATACTAGTGAACAAAGTTTACCTTACTACAGCGAACAGTATCAATATGCGCAAACAGCTCCTGCTGGCACATATAGTCCACCAGCAGCATGTTCGAATCAAGATCAGCCTCCACCACCAACTCCAAATCAGGGACAAACATCTGAACGTCCAAATACTGAAGGAAATAAATAATTTCAGTCTCATTCTTTCGTTTATTATATTCCATGCAGTACAAAATGAACATCGATATTTTGTACATTTTCATTAGAATTTATTAGGACATGTTTTTCATTGCAGTTCGACATCCTTTTCTTTTTCAAGAGAGTTTCTATTTTGCGCTTTATTTAATTTCTTTTCTGTTGAACGGATCATAACGAATACACACAAATAAATAAAAACAAACATCGAATTCAAGAATGATAACGAGACTGAATAATAATAATAATTTCTCCTCTTAAAAAATGAAAACATAAGCAATAATAGATAACAGGACAATAACACCCACAGTTAAACCAACTTTCGTCAATGACGACATTCGATTCAAATAAACCGCATCTTTACGATATTGTTGAGATAATGATGCAAGATTGGACGCTTTTTTATCAAGATCTACAAACCAGAATACAATTGATCACTTCGTTCATGTTGTTATCAAAAGAACTTTTTACTTTCTAATGTTTCACCACGTGCGATAACGTCTTGAATGTTTGTAACCATGATATTTTGTACATCGCGTAGATCGGTTCTCAATCGACCCATAGCTTCGCGTGACGTTCGACTATCTGCATATTGTTTCTTCATTTTCTGAATATAATTATCTACAAAATCCGAAGGTCAATGTCCTACAGCACAAGCGGAGATGATCAACAAACCGAATTCAATGAATGAATATGGCCGAGCAGCTAATTGAATCTTCTGTCCATACTGAGCAATAAATTCTTGTGCAAGATCTTCGAGATACGCATACGCATTCTTTCGTGGAAAGCTTTTCTCACATAAAGTTATATAACAAACATCATGATCAATTAAACAACTAACGAAAATAAAGTAGAAATGAATTTCGGGAAAAATTCAATAACAAAATTGACATACTGAAATATGTATGGATCAGTTTCAATGCTTGCTTTCGAAGGTGAATTAGATGCTAAACGACGGAGGATACTTTTAGCTTGGTTTTGATATTCAGTTCCACTACGACCGGACTAAATTGAAAGAACGGCATGAGTAAAATTACCGACAAATTCGAGATGTTTTACATCATCGCGGATATCATTATGAACAGAAGCAGCAAGAGGTAGACCATCGGCCACACGGCCGATCATTGTCATAAGAACCATGTTTCAAAAAAGAACTGAACTATTCGATTTTACTCGACGTGGTTTTATAACTTTTGTCCAATATAACTACGTGTGCATGTGTGACGTGAAATAACTGCTGTTCCATGTACCACACTAGCCAATCGATAAAGACCAATTCGAGATGTCACTAATGACTCAGTCGTTTGCCGTAAAACGAGAAGTGAAATCTTTTGTCAATTTATTTGTTGACCGTATATCGTCTTAGAGAAAGCAAAGATATTTGACTTAACAAACGAGAGAAATATTTTCATCAATAAGTAAGACAAGATTCTCATGACATTACAGATGGGTAAGAAAAGAAAAGAACAAAACAAGACTTCTGATAGATAAGATCGTTTGTACAAGAAATTAAAAGACACAACCACGTTTGCGAATTGCTAAATGACCATCATGCAAAAGTGAAAGACTAACACGATGTTTTATGTTTGTACCCGAACGACGTATAAGTAAATCATTGCGACCGACTGTTAACACGAGTGCAGGAACTATTTCCAAATCATCAAAAACTAAAAGTATNAAAGAAAAGAACAAAACAAGACTTCTGATAGATAAGATCGTTTGTACAAGAAATTAAAAGACACAACCACGTTTGCGAATTGCTAAATGACCATCATGCAAAAGTGAAAGACTAACACGATGTTTTATGTTTGTACCCGAACGACGTATAAGTAAATCATTGCGACCGACTGTTAACACGAGTGCAGGAACTATTTCCAAATCATCAAAAACTAAAAGTATAGGCGAATTACGTGAAAACCATGCACGTTGATACCATAGTCGACCTTCTTCAATTCGAACATCAATCGATGATTTGACTTCTACATCATCATATTGATTGTGAGATGCTTTATTTTCCAACGATGGTTCGATATGTTTCAAGCCGCGACGAACATCTTTGAGATCTTGTTCAATTTCTGAGGTTGATAAACAACGCTGTAATTCAATACCACCGAATGGTGGTAATAAAGAATTCGATCCACTGAATATCGAAAGATCCTTCAATGATGGTACTGTCGTTGCTGATGTGGCATTTTCGGAAAGAATTTCATTGGCAGCAGCACGTCGTAGATTGTACGTAGGGCGTTGATGTTGTTGCATACAATCACTCGAATGATGATTATGTCCATCGAATAGATTACCATCGTTCGTGTGATTGTTCATGCCATTGAGTAAATATTGATCAGTATCAGAATTCTGACGTTGACGGATGTTGATATTCTGATGTTCGTATTCCAAGTGACGACGTTTATCATTGAATGTGGATAACAATTTGGATTTGAAATCGACTTTTTTCATCTGAAATGTTTCGTCTGATTGACGTAATTCATGTGCGTACATCTTTTCGATCATATTAGATCGGTAATAACGCCAAAGATTTAGATTATTGACCTGTGAAATAGAAGATTTCGATAGATCAACAACTGGGTCTTCACATACTTGTTTCTCGTATAATCTCAGCAATTGATCTAGACGTTTTTTGTATTGTTCATAATGATTTTCATTCTCTTCGAGTTGTTGCTCGTGATTGTTCGATTCTTTTCGTGTTAAAATTCTCAGTTCTTCTCGTAGATGATTCAAACGTTTTTCAATCATTTTAAATGATATTGGTCGAGTAGATAATTTNATTCTCGTTAGATCAACAACTGGGTCTTCACATACTTGTTTCTCGTATAATCTCAGCAATTGATCTAGACGTTTTTTGTATTGTTCATAATGATTTTCATTCTCTTCGAGTTGTTGCTCGTGATTGTTCGATTCTTTTCGTGTTAAAATTCTCAGTTCTTCTCGTAGATGATTCAAACGTTTTTCAATCATTTTAAATGATATTGGTCGAGTTGATAATTTTGGCTTTGTGGCATGAGGAGATTGTCGTATTGAATCAATTGAAAACATGATAAGAAAATTTGAATGTTGTTTGTTTTTGTAAAAGTAGGATAAATAAATCAAGAAAATACCATCTGAAATGACAATATACTTCACTGATAAATGAATTTAAAAGGCGAATTAAACCAGGTCATAGATAGCGGTATTTATCTTCAAATGTGGTTAATTGTGAAGATGAGGTCGAATAAATATTTATCAATTAATGACTGGCAATCGCCGATGAACTGATAAGAGATCTTATTATTTAATTATTAGAAGAGAGATGGAAGAGAGAGAGAGAGATAGACAAAAAATAATACAATGTTTATTTTAATGGATAATAGATCTAATCCAATCGAAGATAGTAAATTAGACATGCGACATCTATAATTGAGGAATTCTTATCTTTATTTTCAAGAATTTCGAACAACGAATTCCTTTGAAAGAATGAAGAAATAAAGCTGTGCAAATATTTCGAAGTGATTTCGACTGAATTGATTGTTGATCTATTACACTCTATGAAATACGGAGAAAATTGCCATAACGAAAAGAATTCTTTGATGGTCTAGTTATCGTTCGAAGTGTGAAACAATTTTTCAGTTGACCTGAGCTTTGCATGGTTGAATGAGAACAGCTGCGTCTCGAAAATCATGTTTTATAAATAACATTTTTATTAACTTTAACGAAAAAAAAAACGAAACAGTTTAACATATAGATGTATTCACTGTATTTCACTTAGGATAACTGAGTAAGGGCATTTTGTGCCCATTGAAGTGCGTTTTCTAGAATCTGCTTTTGGCCAATTAGATAGATCAATGAGAATCGTTCATCGTCAGTTAGATCAGTTGACTGGTATCGTTGAAGATTTTCTTCCAATGTCGTTGTAAATGTTGCTTCTTTGAATTCATTTAAGATTTCTAATAGTTTATGGAGTACTCGTCGTTCATTGTCAACGTTTACTATTGATGAAACGAGTTCACCGATATTCGATATGGTATAGTGTCGTAGTTCTTCGTCTGTCATCACAAGTAAACGAAGAGTAGCGAGTAGATTGTCGGTAATGATCGGTTGGTCTTCAGTGATTTGAAGTTCATGATCAAGGAACAAATCGTCATCTAGAACAAAGTGGATTAGAGATGGAGTCGATGGTATCCAACATACCTAGATTTAATAGAAGCGTTTTCTTCATTTCCATTTCATATGGTTCGTCAGGATCGATTTTTAATTGAAGAAAAACCGAATCAAATGCATTGTTCTCAATAGCAAAACCATAATAGAGTAATAACTGCCAATTCGCTAATTCATTATATCGAATGCACAATTCTTCTCCTTGTACGATCTTCTTTTCAGTCGTTGTCAATACAAATCGATCCGTTTGTTTATCAATACCTTTCGTTGCTAGGTTTGCTTCCCGAGCCAATGAAACATGATTAGCAAGATCGACGACAGGTATCAATGTCGTACCTATTTCAGCTATTTTAAAAGCCCGACTGCTAATCACCGTGTATGCCCAAAGAAATTCTTCTAAAGTGAATGTATGGGAATGTATCAGATTGCACACTTCACTCATGGAATGATACATTGTTTGAGATAAATAGAAAACAGGTGTGCTTTCGAGATAATTTTCTTTATGGAACAATGGTGTTGAGAATGTTTGCGGTAGTAGTTGAATATACGGATACCAATGAGATTGAATACCTTTCGAACGTTCATGAAGGAGAAATAACGAGAGAATTAACGTTTCTTGATCAATGTGTTCTTCGCCCTGTTCGAGAAGATCAGATGTTGGCATAGTAAACGTTGAACTATTCTTTGCAGATTCGGTAGACATTAACAAACATGTTGGAATTTGAATGTCCGGTGGATGTTCGGAAGATGTACTGTATAGAGCAAAGCCATTGTACAATTCAGCAAAGCGAATTTCTGTATTGTCATAGAGAACTTTATGTTTACGAAGCCAATCTTCAAATAGATTCAATCGTTCTTCATTCTAAATAGTAAAGATGAAAATTTTTCATGAAGAATATCAGAATACCATACAGTATTTAGCTTGTAGCGTTGCTGTTCGATGCTATTTGAATTGTCGACAGTCGGATCTAAACGACGCTTCATTCTACAATAAAAACTACATTTTTAGAATATGAGATATCTCATAGTTTATCTTAGAGATAAAACAATATCTTTTATCATGGGACAAAGTCTATATAAACTCGTATTTTTCCATTTATCGCACATTTCTTTTCATTGTTCATAAAAACCCTAACAATCATGGCATACGATCTTGAATTGGACTTGTTCCGAGCGATGTGTGCAGCTGCTTGGATTCTATTTGCTCTAATCATGAAAAATCTAGTTCTACTCGTGATATTAGCTGTTCAGCGAAGAAAAAATGCTATGTATAAAGTGCCTGAAGATGTGGAAACGTTCAGTGCTGCTCAACAGCATTCGTCTACAGATGATTGGAGTTTGGCCGGACGTATTCAACGTGTATTAGCAAACGATACTGAGTATATTCCTTACTTCATAGGTTTACTCATCTTTTTCTTCTGCGGACTACCTGCTACCGGAGATCAGAGACAACATCATCTTGCTCGAGTGTTAACCTACGGTCTCTTCTTTACTCTTGGCCGGTATTTACATACAATAGGCTATTTAGCTAAACGTACATATATACGCATTGCTGGATTTCTTATTACTATTATTTTTCTTTTTGTAATATCAATCGATCATGTGTACTACGTTACCAAAGCCTTAAATAATTATAAATCGAAACCCTAGAGTAGTTATTTTTTAAATTCTAATCAGTCTCTAATAAAAATCAAACGAAATCTACTCTATTACCTTTAGCGTGTCTGAGCTGTTCTGCCGAACGCAGTGCTTATCTTAGTTTGTGAGTTGATTCTTCTGGTTTTTCTAGTGAAAATCATTGTTATCTGATAAAAACAGACAAAGATTTGCACAATAGAATTGTTAGTTTTTTATTTATTGATAAGTTGATCGTCAAGAATATGAATACATATCACCTAACCATGTTAAACAAATTTGATAAGAGGAATGTAGAGCATAGGATCACCATTAAACGAGAAATTACGAGAAAAGAATATACAGAAAAGAAAAACACAAAGCAAATTTAGATATTCACTAAATAGAATCATTTTCATCATATAAAATCACAGATATTTCGAAATACTTCAATGGAATTACGGAAGGGTTTCCGATTGTTGTAGAACACCTTTGATCATTTGAATTTGAGCCTAAGAGAATCATCGAATTAGCAAGAAAAATCATTTCAACTCTTACTTTAGTATGTTTTATTTGAAGTTCAGTCAACTCGACAAGATTTTTTCGGAACATTTGTACGCGGCGCGTTTTGAAATCATTCAATTCTACATGAAAAGAGCAAAGACGTTTTCGCAATGGACAAGAACGTTCTTTCCTACCGTCCTTGGCTTTTTCCGAAATTGTTTCGAACTTTTTCTTAATATTTTGTTGTGCTGCTTCAGCTTGTTGAACTTCCTTATTTTTCGTTCGTGCGCGGTCTAAATTTTTGTTCGCTGTATCGAAATCTGCCAAACAACGCGAACGTCGATACATTAAATCTAATGCAGCTTTCGAATCTCGCATATAGTATCGTAACGTATCCGATAATTTCAAATCGGCATCTGATTGAACACGTGATTCTAATTTCTATTGAAATAAGAAAACAAATCAACGAAGTATTCCAAATGAAAAACGAGTCATACACGAGCTTTCTCGAAGAAGTCAGCCAATAGGAGGAGATATCTGAAAAGCAATCGTTTGTTTGATATCAATAACTTTCTGTTGTTTATTTACCTTGATAGATCAGTTTTATCGGCTGTTGCTAATGTATTGAGACCACCAGATACTTTGATGTATGTATCCGCAACAGCTAAAGATAGGACTTCTTGACATATGATTACTTTTAAAGAATGCTTTACCTTTATGGGTACGCGTAGATTTATCCGCAGCAGCAGTTGCATCTTTGATTTTCGTATTGTAAGTTGTAAGAAATTGTTTTTGTCGTTCGAAAAATTCATCACTCTCCTGAGAAAAGTACGATGGTTTTCAACGAAACACGCGAAACAATTTACCTTTTGGTTAGTTAACAGTACTTCATCGGCTGTTTTCGTCAAAGTTTTAAAGAAACCGCTGATTTGTTCTCGAGCATTTTTACCACGAACGCTTAACTTGAAATAGGTAGAGAACGCAACAATACGAATTATGAAAATTAGAAGAAAGATTCGCATACATCTTCTTTATATTCCAGAAACACCCGGAAATTATTATCATTTCGTAAAACTGGATGTGCAGCAAGTCGTTGAAGGAACACTTCATGCATCGAAACAGTTTTCTTAAACATCGCTAAATATTCTCTACAACGTGAAAATGCAAAGATTAGAAAAGAGGACCGCGTCTGTTGGTAACTTACGCTTCTAATTCTTGTTTCATTTTGTCATACTCTTCTTTCGTCAGTGTACTCTCACTGTCACTTAATTTTTGTAGCTTCGCACGAGATGAGTCAAAATCTGGTCGTGTAGGAGCTGGTGGAATCTAAAATAAAGGTATTCATCGGTAAAAATAAACCAAAGACTTTTCCACTTACGATTAAACCAGCGTACTCTTCGCTTTCATTGAAACGATCGTGTAACCAAATGAATTCTTCGTGCTGTCGGGAAACACTGAATTCGGAATTTTGGAAATTTGGTAATTTCGTCTAAAGATACACATTTATATATAACTGTGTACTGACAAAAGTTTTCATCCTTTTACTTTTGTATGAACGGTAAATTTCACTTTATCTTTTTCACTTAAAGCATCAGAAATATCGATAACTAAATCACTATCGTTAAGGTCCACGGTATCAGCACGTTGCTATATAAAGTCAAAAGAACTATTAAATCATACGATTTTTATCAAATTTTCTACTTTGCCATCGATTTCATCCATACTACCACTTGGTTCCTACAAAGAAAAGCTCTTTCATTTGACGCTCTCAACACGCTTCCCTTCCTTACCAGCATAGCCATATTTGGTTATTGGACGATGATTTTATTCAATTCAATCTAAAATAAACAATACACTTCAATATTGAGTACGTTTCGGATTCTCAGAGGACGAAAACAGTAATTTACAAGAGGATATTCGTCTTTCACGTGTAAGAAGTGGATGCACACAGACATGAAGACAAAGAAGAACTAGTTACTGATAACACATCGTCGACTTTTTCTTTTTCTTTTTTATCTTTTTCAAGTAGCAGATCGAAACAAAATATAGAGGTTTGTGTTAACAGTTACAAAAGAAAACAAGAACAACTATCAAAAAGAAAATGAATGAAACTATTTGTTTATGGATATTGTCGCTGATCACGTTCTTCGTCGGGGATATGATTCATATTCCAACGACGATGATACGGATCATAGATTTTCCACCGAGGATCAACAAGATACAAACGTTTGTTATATTTATGATCGCACATCTTCTCAAGAATTTTGCTTCGACGATTAGCCGCCATTACGTGCATATCTTCTCGTTGATTCTGTTCATCAGGCTTTTTAAATGTCCACAGTCGACGTTGCTTTTGAGGATGAATATAACCGCCCCAACCCAGACGAAAAAATCGTTCTTGAACATGTGGTGAACCTTGATGTTCACCAATATCGTTAGCATTTAATTGAGGAATAAATCCTTTGTTTTCTTTGTATTTCAACCATGTATGTGTTTTCGTACGAAATGGAATTAAGTTTAACGATAGAGAACCACGTGACAGAAGTAATACAGAACGATTCATCTAGAACAATAAGAAGAAGGCAGTGCTTGCTTTGTTGTGCTGATGTAAACCTAGTTACATTCGAAATGAGTGGCCCTATGCTTTTCTTATTGTATGACTTCGAAATGATTCTGAATGTGAATCTGCGTGATGGTTTATTTTACTCTGCGATATCTCTGACGGATAATCTTCTTTTTTTGAGAGAAGTAAAACGAGAGATTAGAATTTCGTTCTTATAGATCTTTTTATTGATGTATTGGCAAAACCAAAAACGCATGCAGACAAGAAATAATACATCTATTCATATTTCTCGTCGTTGCTCTCTTCTTATTTTGGATTCGTTTATTCTTTTTCTTCAGCACGTAAACGAGCATTGGGATTAGTAACCTTGATTGCTAATTGTTGTGCACGTTCGATGATTTTCTTACGGTTTGGTGCCGAAACTGAATGAGCAATTTCAGCGGCAAATTTACGATTTTGCATCAATAACATTTCAAGTTCTTTGACATTGTTAACAAGAAATGGTCGAAAACCATCTGGGCGCATGTGACGTGTGCGTTTGTCGGAACCGTAACCAATTGATGGCATTATGTAAACNGGATTAGTAACCTTGATTGCTAATTGTTGTGCACGTTCGATGATTTTCTTACGGTTTGGTGCCGAAACTGAATGAGCAATTTCAGCGGCAAATTTACGATTTTGCATCAATAACATTTCAAGTTCTTTGACATTGTTAACAAGAAATGGTCGAAAACCATCTGGGCGCATGTGACGTGTGCGTTTGTCGGAACCGTAACCAATTGATGGCATTATGTAAACACCTTTGAAACGTCGTCGGACACGGTTGTCAATACCACGTGGTTTACGCCAGCTTGGCTAGAAGAAGTTTCTCCAGTTAAATCGATGAGCGAAAGAAAAAGAGAAATGACTTACACGTAGACGAACATATCGATCACTTTGATGGCGAATGAATTTTTTTGTACGTTTTTTAAGGATTCTGCCCTTGACTAAGGGACGTAATTTGGTCGATGTCGCTGCCATCGTTTAATAAATGATGATCTAGAAGAGTTCATTAGAAACCAATTAATATGTTCTTTTTGTTACGGTCTTGTGTAGAAAAAGAAATGCAATAGAAATGTTCGGCGATATCTGGTTTTATTTAAGCCGTAGAAATTTTTTCTTTGTTATCAAAAACAATTGAATGAAGATAACAAAAGTTTAATTTTTTTTTCTATTGTTATTTCTTTTTCGTTTATTGTTGATCGGCACCACCGCGGTTACCATCTGGTAAACGACCTCGACCATAACCGCCACGCTAAATACATAGCAAATATCAGTTCTGAGAATGATCAAAGCCATTTTTAACTCACGAATTCAGGACGAGCTGTTCCAGCACCAACTTCACCTTGTTTGTCATATCCGGAACGACGATATTCTTGTCGGCTTTGATCACCAGAGGGTGATGATGGACGAGCAGTTTCGACTAAATTATTTGGATGAGAAAGAGTCTATTAAACGACAATTTCGATCTCTTTTACCTCGTTTAGCTGTTTTAGCTCCTTCGGGACGTGTTGGTCGTTTAAGTGTTGCTGGGACAATTTCAGGTGGTAAGTGAAGATATTCACGTAAGAAATTGGTACCTTCGTTGTTTAAATACCAATAATAATGACGCCAGGCAAATTGTTCTTTGACCAAATTACGTGATTTGAGCGACTAAAAAGAATAGAATGAAATCTCTCACTAATTCGTCGCATATCCAACAAACTTGTAATGCTTTGATAACATGGATATTTGGTACCGCAATAGCTGGATGTTTATCGAGACCAAAATCTTTTTCGGCAACAACGACACCTTCTTTCATTAAGTACTCATAGATAAGAGTACGATGTTTTTTTGGCATCAACATTTTCGAGTTGTTTCAATTGAAATCCTAAGATGATCTAAAATATCGAGACAAAAACGATTCGATGTAGTTACATTTATTGAAGACTAATATGGTTGTTTATTAATGTTGGAATGGATTTTATTGGATCGACTTGAGTAAAAGNAAATCTTTCTCGGCAACAACGACACCTTCTTTCATTAAGTACTCATAGATAAGAGTACGATGTTTTTTTGGCATCAACATTTTCGAGTTGTTTCAATTGAAATCCTAAGATGATCTAAAATATCGAGACAAAAACGATTCGATGTAGTTACATTTATTGAAGACTAATATGGTTGTTTATTAATGTTGGAATGGATTTTATTGGATCGACTTGAGTAAAAGACGGATTGTTAGATGAACATCGCCACAAAGGTTGATTATTTAACCTAATTCAAAAAAGTTAAAACTATCGATTTGAACTTATTTATTCGAATAAAATTTTTGAAAATCAAAACATTAATTTATTCATAAGAAAAATGCGGTATGATGAATTGAATCTTACGCCATCTATCGGACATAAAAATCGTATATGTACTTATATATTCAATCGCTGAACGTGATGTAAGCAGGAAATTTCTTTGTAGAACAGAATAAGTTCTGGTAGAGGATATTGAGTATCTTCAGCGATCATGATTTTATTTAATGAACTATTCATCACATATATATTTATCTGATTTACAATGAACCTTTTGCCGGAAATCGTTTCAGAAGCGTGCCATCCGTATAGATGTATTTTCTCTGTCATAACAGAGGAGTGAGTTGTGTAATATAGTATCTTGTCACTTCTGAAACATATGCCATAATGATGAACGAAACGTTACTTGCAGACAGCTCTGATTGACGACTGGGCTTTCTTTTAGGGTGAGAGTGTGTTCGTATTTATATGTCCACGTTTTGGTTGCTACTTTCCTCTCATGTAATCTTTGGACAAAATTGTGCGTTCAGGTGCATTCCTTCTCTATAGATTCTTTCTTCTCATTCTATCTTTTCATCGTTATTTGTCTTAGTGTGTAAACTTCACTCAATCTGAATAGAAAAGAGAAGATTCGAAGAATCAATTTCTTCAAATTATAAATTACAGTGATCAATCTGTAACACTATCTTTGGTTTCGAATCGGATGAAAATACCGCCCGTCCTTATAGTAAAAGCAATAAGCAGTACTAGTGATGTATTCTTCCACGAGAATATTACGTTGCATAATTTTCAAGCTGTGTTGTTTGTTTGTTGCGTTCTGTCACATCGGTGTGACATAGCAAAAAAATAGTGATGAACGCGAATTATATAAAGCAGCATCAACACACAACATGAGCCATAAAAAAATAAGTATTAGATCTTCAGACGATTATACATATCAAGAACAGAATTCTTTTAAAGGTTAAATTATTTGTTTTCCGAGTGTATGAGGATGTCATAAATTTAATAAGAGTAAATAAAATATTTTTTACATTGAAGATCATGTCTGTCGGTGAATACTTTACGAAACTCAATACGAGTCTTCCTTCTACGTCCGCGACTACTCGTATTCCTGCCTTCTTCATAGCACATGGCTCTCCAATGCTCATTTGGCCAAAACAAATACCCGCTGCTTCAAGCTCTCTTATGAGATCGCTAATGAAGACTTCAGGTCCTGATGGTCCGCTTGCCAATTTCCTCAAAGCTCTTGGTCCTTTTCTTCTGCAACGTTACAGACCAAAAGCGGTCCTCGTTTTTTCTGCTCACTGGGAAACCGAAAGACATATCGAAGTCATGGCTAATGATGACAAAAATGAACTCTTATATGACTATTACAATTTCCCTGATGAACTCTACAAGGTCTGACTAAAACAAATTCAGAGTATTAAACAGAATTTTGAACTTATATAAAATATTGAGTTAAGTTTCATAACGAAACATTTTGATGCCCGACCTAATCTCACATCCATATATATTTCCATGCTGAAAATCAATCGAAATTAATCTTAAAACTTACACTCTTCTGTTTAGGTCACTTGGGAATCTTACGGATCATCATCGCTCGCTAAACATGTTAAAGATCTTCTAGAAAAGGCCAAAATACCTGTTAAATTGATCAAAAATAGTGAACGTGGTTTCGATCATGGTGTCTTCGTTCCGTTCATACACATGTTTCCTGAACAACCGTTTCCTCTACCTGTTATCGAAGTTTCTATCGATTCAAGTCTCGATCCAGAACGAGAAATTAATTTAGGAAAAGCAATTGAATCTCTTCGAGATGAAGGTATACTTATTCTCTCTGGTGGTCTCTCAATTCATAATTTGAACGATCTTGGACAATCGTTGCCTGATGTGGCCAGTCCAAATGTGAGAGATTTTGAAAAGACAATGATCATGGCAGCAGAGTTACCAGAAAATCGCCGGCTCGATGAGTTGAAGAAATTGGTGCGACATGCAGGATTTCGATCAGCTCATCCTCGCGAAGAGCACTTCGTTCCAATGTATGTTGCAGCAGGAGCGGGCAGTCAAGGCGAGGCCAAAGTATTGTGTGATCTCCATGGCGCAGTGACCATTGCATTCGGATTGTAATTTCAAGTTTTTGGTTTTCAAATAAAATATCTGACTATATACTGAACAGTTATAGAAATTTTGAATCAAACGTCCGTAACTTGCCGAGTTACACCTTCTCACCTCATCTTCATATGATTTAATTTTTTTGACTGAATGAGTCTTTCAACGACATCAGCAGCGTCAAACTTGAAACTTTGATCTAATTATTCAACTATCTGTTCAATTCTTCGCGTAGTCAATAGCGATAAGCCCTCAACACCATCCAAAGCATCCTCAATACGAAGACGTCTCAAAGGCCTACTCGAACACTCGAATAATTGATGTTATAGTTGAATCATCCCACATCAAAGCTGTACGACAAGAACCGGCGGGATCAATGATTTTCCAATGATTTCCTGCAATGGGAATCTGACTTCGTATCCGGCCATCCGATTCGATTCCTGATGAAGGATCCGTTGGTCTTTTACGAGCGACGGGATGCGAACCGTAACCCACAGTTTCGGTTACGGTTACGAGCATATGAACCGCTACTTTCTCGTATTTTCAGATTTGAAATCGTTTAATACGATTTTCTCCACTAATCAGTATTTAAATACACAGAAATTTTACAACTTTATGATACGTAATCGATAGAGAGGTAATAGAAGCCTACCATTGATTGAGATGAAAATATTTGTTTGCATCTAATTACTCGGCAGACTGAGACAGCTGTTCTGAATTTTTTACTTTGGAAGTAATTCTCTACTTAAGATCCAATGATTCCCAACGGAAATTATGCGAATTTTTAGAAATACTGCTGAAAAATATTTGAAACCCACTTCTCAGTTGTAAAAATACAGTATCGTATGAAAGAAAATGTTCGATTTTGGTTATACTGTGAATCGGTTAATATTCAAAAAGTTGTCAAACGGTTAGTACACTCTTTCAAAATCTTACCTGTATACATGCATTTTAAATCCCCTGCTCAAATACCCATCTGCGTTGGTAACGTAGAATAAAGTAGTAATCTAATAAATAACTATCATAGCGCTATAGGTGATGTATCGTGTTTATTATCGATGTTTTTTTTTTATTAATTCTGAGTTCTCAGGAGGTGTTTGGTGGAGTAGCTACGTGGGGCGCATAAATGCAATATTAAGTTTAACTTAGCCGCAACTATTGTGCAAGGATCACATTATTAGATTCAATACCATTCTGCATACCGGTACTATCTATCTACAATGAGTACCAAGTCGCAACATCACAACTTACTCACGTATACCTTTTCAGTCATTCATCCAATTGCCATCCACCCGCCAACGTAAAAAAGGCGTGAGAATCAGATTTCACACGAGAAAACTAATGAAAAACTAACTTAGATCACATGATTTGATCAACTTTTTAATCGATTAAATCCTATTATAAGACTGATAAAAAATTAATTCGCTTAAAGACATTGTTTAATTTTCAACAGTACCTGTCTTCCATCAAAAATAATCAGTTCAAGTAGATATTACAATAGGATTCACCCGATTTCGGTTGATTATTTTTACTTTAATCGATTTCCAAGCTGTTTAGATCGAGTACTTTAATCCGATATCCCATCACATTTTTGGCCGCCAGTCTGATTTTTCCAGCACTTTTCGCATAGATGATCCCAAAGACATTTAAATCGCATTTCCACTCGTCAACAACGAGTATAGCCAGGGTACTCTTAGGATTTTTCCTAATAATTACTGAAATCTGAAAAAAATCATCATAGGATGCTTTTTGCTCGATTTCGAGTAGTAGTCAAATAAATTTAGAGATTAGGATATATTTGATTTTGGAAAGTAAATAGATTCCGTTCGTTCATGGTGACATTTCCAGCCGTTTCCTGAAGGATCCGGATTCCGGAAACATTATCTTGGGGATCTACTGGGTTTATCTTTTCTTCAAGGTAAATGCATTGAAATGAATTCTTTCGATCAATGTCTTTGTGTTCATTTAGAGAAACATTTCGTGGAAGAGAATCGATCGGATGACACACCATTCGGTGTTCTCTTGGGAATTATTACACTTTTGAATTTAATCATTCCGATAACCAGTGTCATTGTCAGTGCACTGTGGACATGTGATATCGAACGATTCAAAGAACCTTATCAACATCCACGAAGTTATTTACTTGCGCCAACACCAGCATTGGTCGAACAAGGACAAATCGATTATGGAGCAACGAAAAGGAACCATTCCCAGTTTTACCACCACCATTGTATCAAGATGTGGTCGAAACGGGTTTCTATCCATCGTCACCATCCCTCGAAAAACAATAAGATCCTTTTCTTTTTCGATTCTCTTCTATGAAATCATTCTGCAGAGTTTGAAATGACCAGACTCAATTGACATATGTATGCTGTATTTGTCCTTTTCTCGAACCGAATTTATCATTGAAATATACGAATGCAAAGATCAATGACTTTCACTCACTTCTTTCATGTGTCGATGACAAGAATGAACACTGACTTTGATGATCTATGTAGGTAATAAGTAAATGTTCAAAGGCGATCCAACTTGTACAAACGTCAACTCATTTACGCAGAACAGACTGAAAGATCAGCCATGTGGGAATAAGAACAAATGGAGATTTTTCATCAAGTGGCGTCTGACGCTGTTCGTCTACGCGCTCACTTCATGTTTAACACTTTTATTGCCGAAGAACTCTATGAAAATGAGGATTCTTTCAGAACGTGATTTCCTGTTTCTTGCTCTACGGAAAAAATCGAGCTTAACGATGTCTTGTCAATTGCTCTACTTATCACCGTCCAGGAGTGAATGGTAATGTTGTCACCGTTGGAGCGTCTTCTTCCTTGATTTCTGGAAGGTATGGCCTGAGAGTACTTGTACATTTTTTATGGCTTTCGCGTGCGAGATCTTTGAATGCAGGTGTCTTCAGATCTAGTTGGGTGCAGATCTGGTTGCAAACATGCGTACGAAAAAATTCGCACATGCCCTTATTGCCAAGATTGGTCCGTGTGTGCTGAAAGCGTAATAAACTATCACAATGTACGGCTGGATCTGTGAGGTGATAAACGCCTTCGTTTTGCACACCTTGCAAATCGACGACCATCAGACGACCATTTGTATATTGATACGTCCAATGTGAGAATGCTTGTAAAGCCGCGGAGAAGTTCTGTAGAGAGACGTAACCACTGTTATTATTCCATTTGCACCATTGACCTTTCAATTGTCGTTCTACTTGATAGATCTTCATCGGATTGTATTTCTGTTGAACCACGTGAGCATCTACATAGTGAATCAGGTTCTCTTTCACCTTCTTGTTGAAAGTTTTGGCGAGAAATTGAGAGATGACTTGGATTTCGAGTTGTTCGTGGTAGGCTGCAAGTGTATTCATATCGGGAGCAGTACTGATAAATTCTTTGTAGACCATCTTTGTATACCAAAGATCTTCGTTAGTTAGTTCGCCTTGAAAAACGTAACGAAGTGAACCTTTACCGAAAGGATTTAATGCAATCTTCATCGATCCACTACTTTTTTCATCACGGAGTGGTCGAAAAATGTCGGCGAGATCAGTCGGCGGCTGGAGTGTCGTCACGTCAACTTTGATGACTGATATGTAAACGGGATTCGATTCCTCGGAGCGAATGGTGTAGTTCTTCACTGTACTATTTCTGATGCGAAAGGCGGACATTGTTGACGAGATACCCGATACGATGATAGAAGTAGCTTCTTTACTGATTTCTTTCATTAGTGCAGCTGGGTCACTAATATTGATCTCGTGTATTGGACCATAAATGAAAATGAACTTCGTGAACATTTTCTTGGTGTCAGCAGTTAATTGAATGCTACAGTAGGTAATTCTCAGTCGTTTGAGGGAGTCCAGTAACGTTTTAGCAGTACGATTGTTCGGATCACCGTTTGGATATTTATCGTCTGTAGCGCGTTTGAGATCGTGATAGTCAGTGCCGTGGCATGGCGCATCACAAATATGAATGAGGATTCGGTTAGGATTTTCCCAGTTTAGCTTGGCGACGGTTTCTAATCCACCTATACGAAAAAAAACAATGCCTAAAGTTCGACCAATGATCTGCTGGTGTTCGAATATGATGTCCGTTGAGAAACTTTTTGTTGGATTTTTCCCAGCATATAGCTTAAAGGTACTCCTGCCCCTCTTTTTTCATGCTTCTCAAATCTCAGAGATGGCAAATCCAACTTGATTGAAACTTTCAGTAAAGATAGAGCGTGAAAAAAGGAGCCGATACGTGTTTTTGGAAAAATTTCTTATAGCTCATGTTCATGGTTTTTTATCGAGAACTCAGGTTTTGCGAAGTTCTTCATCTTACCATTGGACTTGGATAGCAAAAGTCGTCCGATTAGACTCAAACTTTACTGTGAGTACCTATCCTTATATACGTATCAGAGCTACTTTCCGTCGTTTTGAAAAATCTTGCTTTGTTTTCTTTGTAGAAAGGAAATATGAAAAGGTTTTCCAATGAAGCAACTTTTTCACACGGAAAACCTTACATATCGGGAACGGGACATCAACATCGAAAATGGCGAAAAGTTCCTCTGGGAAGGGGCCCAAGATACCTGTGATAAAAGTTTCAGCCCGATCAGACGACAAAAAAGGGTGGTTGCTCATGGCACAATACAAAACGTCGTTCCAAAAACTGGTTGTGAGGAAAATGCAAAACCAGCTGCAGAAGAGTCTGAATTAAAAAAAAATTGCATGAATAACTTTCACCGGAGAATCTACTGGACGCAAAAAAGGTTTTTTGAAAAACGTCTTTTTGGTCGATGGTTTTTCGTGAAAACTCAACAGCAGCTGAGCGGTATGCGCGATTCATGCCGTTCAAACGCGGATCGATACACTAAAAGGCGGTCCGTGCATAGCGCATGAAAAGAAAAAACTTTTCTAAAAAAAATTTACTAGGAAAAAAGAAGGGGGAGTACTCTTAAGGTTCGTGTTTGATGATGGTATGCGATTCTTGGATGTTCCTGCTTTCTTTCTGCGTTCAGGTAACTTTTTCTTAGGACACGATTAACCATTGGAAAATACTATGACTGAACAGCTTTGTTCTCTTCTCAGAAATATCACCAGACGAAAGAAAAGATACGATCATGAACAGAAAGAGAACTCTACACCATTCTACCATTTGATTTGCTTTATTTGCAAATTCTGCTTTAGTGACAGGACTTGACCATTAGTCGTTTTTTTCGTGTTCAAACACTCCAAATGGATTTTGTGAAATACGGTGAGTAATCGAGATCCGACCTTCCCTATTCGCTGACAATCAAACAGAATATCATTATCTGTCTAACTAAATCTCAGAGCTCATTTGATCGAACAAAAATTTTGCTAAAGGCTCTCTCAAGTAAGAAATATTTCTTTGGAGCTTACTAAAGACATCTTCACAGATATCATCACCGCCACTGGCCTGCACCCCATCCAAAAATGTTTTAAACGAATCGGTCTTATCGGTGAAATCCAACTGATCAATATTTTCGTTGATATCTCGATAGCCAATAAAAGCCAAACGAATGCGAGCATCAAACATCGCCGTGATCGTATCCGTTAATTGAGTGATCTGCGTTTTTACTGCGGTAATATATGTGCTCATGCTACCAGTACAATCGACGAGGAAACAAATATCCGCTGCCGCTAATGATTTCATCGATTCAATCACTTGATCGATTTGGGAATTACGTTGATCGATCTCCTTCCGCATCTGCGTAGCCCGTTTCTGGCCATCATCTGTCTTCAATTGCGATGTCCATTTTTTTATATCTTCAAGACGCTGGCGTGAAGTGGTAACTTGTTCTGCTAGGGAAGAGTTTGTTGGATCTTTGCGCGATGCATCGGAGATGTTTTTGTACTTCTGTGCTGCTTTTCGGTATTCAGCGTTTAGTTCGTCAGTGTTCATATTGATCAGAGAGTCGGCCGGTATGCTTTTCGCCGAAGCATTTCTTGTCAAGAAGAAACATTGAACACAGAAGAAAGTGCAAAGGATGAGGGCGAGGGAAATGATGATTTTGAGAAAGCTGGTTTCGGCGAAGAGGAACGCAATCATTCGAGATGTTGCTGCCAACAGACGATGACTCTGGTATTATATCTATGAAAGAGAACCAGGTTAGTGATGCTTCCGTCAGTTTGATCGCGTTTTTCTCCAAGGTTTCTTTATCGGATGAGGGAGAACGTTGCTGATAGATCGTCTTGTGGGAAAAAAACAACAGGAACAAAAAGTCTATCGACGCAGGGGTGTTTTTTCTCTCTGTAGAAGCGAGAAATGTTGAAGATGAGTCAACCTTTGGTATTAGACGATGGTTTTGAGATACTGGAAGAACGATCGAATGTTCCCCACGAAATTCAGATCCATATGAAGTATTTTTCTTTCGAATGAAATCCAAAAAGTTTGATGTCATTCGTTCATTTTCGGTATGTAGAGGGAAGATGAAGGTAATTTTCATTCGTTTACCTCAGATTGATGAGTCATTGAAATAGTAGAAATGGCTCGAAGCGCTGACTTCCTAGTCGTCCTCTTTTGTTCTTTTGTTCTTTTCTTTCTTATCTAGTTTTCTCAATTTTCTTGTCTACATTATTACTTCGCTTTTTTGATAAGCTTATATTGAGTGATGTTTAACTTTTTGCAAAAAGAAAACGAAAAAAATACTCCAAGAAAATATATTTCCTGAAAAAAAGAGGAAGTGGGAAGCCAGCTCGAAGCGTCTTGTGACGTTGTGAAGACGCGTGTCCTTTATTCGAGCTTAGAACCGACAGACTCGCGTACTCAAAGCTAAAAGAGAAGAGAAAAAGACAGAAGAGTGTATGCGCGTCTGTACTGCTATCTAACAGTCTGCTATTCGTTAAGTAATCCTGATTAACATTCGAAATATGGGCAGACAGCCACTGGTATTCGCTAGTCAGTAGATAGATATGTATTTGATCACGAACGGTTAATTTCCCAAATGTCTATTTCAGTCTCTGACACGTCATTGCCCAATGCGAGTCTGACGACGTCAGAGAGTAGGACAACGATGGTATTTTTCCCATTCTCTTATGAAAGATATAACGAGAAACGAGAACAACAGTCTATGTCAATAACATCGTTTACGATTGCCGTTCTTTGCACCCAGAAATCGAGCAGAAATCCGTTGCCTATACTGTCTTCCTCCCCTCTATATTCATACTTTCCTAATTAACTAAATATCGTTCGGACAGGAACATCGGAATCCAATCAGTTTCAACAACGGTGACTAGCGTGAATGAATATCGTTCCTTCTCTCTAGTTAAGATTGTTACAGTTACAACTTAGTTCCTAAGAAAAGAAACTGCTCGAGAAATAGAACAGGTAAATATCTCACTTGAAAAAACTCGAAGCACATCTTGTCCCGTTTAGAAACACAGTGCGTTAGTTCGTTCGAACAGAAACTACAACACTCCTTAATGTGTGAATCGAGCAAAACGAAGAGACGGGGTACCGTTAAGGGGTACAGTTTGGTGGACTCATGACGTAACATCGCTAACTAACGATTACTCTACTTGAAGGAACATTTATCCTTTAAACTCATGTTATTCTAAAGATATTTTCTCTTCAGAAAAAAACCTTTCCAGTTCACTGAAAACACTCTCATTTTGTTTTGTATTGCAGATATCTTAGATAACGGTCGAACTCTCATGGCAAGGAGCGATGATCTGCCGCCGCCAACATCCATTGAAGCGGCGGCTTGTCGAAACGCTTTTATCGAACCGAAACATTTCCAAAGTCTCGTCCGATTATTGCCCGAATCGTGTTCCATAACACAGCGTCAAAACGTACTATGGGCTTTGGCATCGACATTACCGTGTCAACAAACTGCTGATATCAAAACTCAGATCGAACTTCTCAAGCAGTATTTAATCAAAGAGCCATTCAGTTTGTGCGTCTCGTTCATCTTTCGTAAACTCTCCGAAGATGCATTCTTGCGTAAAGAAGTTCCTAAAGACGTTTGGCTTACACTGGCCGAGTCAGTTCAACATCTAACAGGCAATCAAGGAGCACAGACGAACATTGTGAACGCCTTGAGCAATATTCTCCAAGACATGGACAAAGTGGCATTACAGACAATAAGAGATCGACTAGAAACTTTATCTCAATCCGTTGCAATTTCTAATAGATGTTTAGCTGCTGTATTACACGTCCTACGTTTACTCGTTGTTCGCGATATCTCGATGAAAACAGTCAAACTAGACCGAATCTCTACGTGGCTGGATATCGACGATGAAGGTGTGGGACAGCGTGCACGTGAGCTACTCGAAGTTCTTGATGTTACAGATGGGCAGTCTGCTTTCACCAGTCCGACTTGGATGGCTCCAGTTGTCACCGAAATCGCAGCCATCCACCATCAATCAATATCTAATGTAGAAGAACTAATCGATCCAAAACCAAAGACAGAAATCACTTTTCCGATTTTTGAATTTTTAAAGAGCAGAACCGCTCAACAATCGCATCAGTTTCGTCAAATGTCTGTAGAAGAACTTCTTGACATGGCGACCGCCGATAAACATTCCGAAGAAACTCGAGAACGCTATTTGTTAGCATTAACTTCTATGATGAAACAAATGTCCAATGAAGAATCAATTTCCGAACATTCGATCGAGCGAATCGGAAAGTTACTCAACGAGAAATCGATACGTATTCGAGAAGCAGCCGCCATTGTCCTGTGCTGTTATGCAAGCGACAGACGACGTCACTTGTCCAATGAAGTACTCGAGAAACTAGGCTCGCTGTTTGTCAACAGTGATTATCTGCTGGTTACAAACATTCTGTCCGTCTATTTTAGCATTGCTCGAGAGAAAGGCCATGTGCCCAGTTGTATCGCCGCATTTCTCCGTCGACCAGAACCGGACTTGCGGGAAAAAACAATCGAAATAATCGAGAAGGTTGTTGCCAATGGCCAGAAGTTAACTCTATCCGTCCTCGACGAACTGAAGAACTTGGTCCACGATTCGGCATTTCATATTCGAAATAGAGTAGCAAGTGTTTTCATTGAGTCTTGTCGTGAGCGACTCGTCGAAGAGACCGTGATCAAGCGACTTGACGCTTTACTCTCTGTCTTTCAGCGACCTTTTCAATTAAAAGTCCGAATTTCAGCTCTTGAACTTGTTAAACAACTGATTCTAAAATGCGATGTTCTCTCTGATTCACTTTTACAACTGATCGAATTGGCACTCGGCGATCGTGAAAATTCAATCGTTCAAACTACTATCGATATTATAAAATTATATGCAACAAAAAGCAAACTATCCAAACGAATAACCATCGTTCTCGAACATCTCTTCTCTACCGAAACAGCGTATCAATTCGAACTTATCAAGATCTTCATTTCTATCGTCGGCAAGGGACAATACCTTTCAGAGAAAATCATCGAATTTCTCGGGCATCTTCTATGGCAAAGTGATCATTCACCAGACATTCTCCCTCTTTTAACTCGTATCGATCGTAATCAACCCTTGCCATTGAATGTCAATGATCTTCTTCGAGAACATTATCTTCTCCAAGTTCTGCAGAACTCGATCTATTCGGACACAAAACAAATCGCTAACGATCGACTTCAATCGTTGACTCGCAACGGTCATCGACTTTCAAAGGCGATTCTCCAGGACATCGTTGATCTAATCAAAGCAGGTAACAATCAAACTGAACTATTGAAGGTTTTGGTTCATGTCACAGCAAATGGTCAACATCTCAATGAACCACAAATGAAGATCTTACAGGAACTCTTCTGCAAAAAACCAACTTCAGAATGTCTTCTGCGAATCTTTTGTCATTTGATTCGCTACAATCAAATACTTCCGGATAATATTATGAATGCCATCGAACAATCAATCAAAAATGGCTCGATCAATAACGATGTTATACAGATCTATTATTATCTCATCGAACGAGAGAAGTCAGTCAAAGAGTCGACTATCAAGGAAATCTTCAGTTGGATCGAACCAATCAAATGGGCCACACTGTCCAAGAACTGTCGATACCAACTGGTTCGTTTTCTTCAAGCAGTCGCCAAAAACCAACCTGAACTAGCGACGAAAGTGGATCTTTCTGTGCTCCTCCAATCGACTCAATCAACTCAAACTCTTCGAAGTGCGCGTGAAACAGCAACCGTATTGAAAACCTACAGGCAAACCTTAACCCCAAACGCCATCGATGCACTGAATAAACTCATCAAGGATGAAAAACAAGAAAGCACCGTTCAAAAGCGAGCTCAACAAGTACTCGGAGGCACTCCATTGCCGATGGCGATTCCACTTGTCAACAGCGCCGATGATCCTATCCTCAATCGATCCGATGCGTATGAACAGAAAACAAGTCCTAAACGTTACACCAAGCTCCAACAATCTCGTCTCGCTACGAAGCCCGATCCAAATGATTCCGCTACGGATACATTTCTTGCTGCGTTGAAAGCAGGTCGGCAATTGCCATCTAAACATCAACGGATCATCGAAGCAAAGTTCACTCGATCGCCAACCGTCAAGTTAACAACAGTGATTCGATTGTTAGCTGAACAACAAAAGGAATTGAAGAAGGAAACATTCGACACTTTACTCGCGATTCTTCTGAAAGGGAGAAATAAACAATATAATCATGCTGTCACAAACACATCAGCAACACATCATCGCATCCCGATGGTTATTTTCATCCAGTCTTTCTTTTTCTATCTCTTCAACTTGATGTGTTTCCTCTGGCATTTCTCTTTGGCGATTGTTCTCCGACTACCCACGAACGAAACTCTGAGTGATGCGTTCACCGCTCTGGAACACGCTGCTCGACACCAACGATTACCGACAGAAATTCACAGTTATTTCCTCAAGCAATGTTCCAGTTCATCCGCAGATATTGTTCGACGAAGTCTCACGGCCATTCGTTATCAATTGATGCGCAACGATTTCATTTGGGATCCTTCCGAACAAGTCCCACAAAAGATTCTCTCACCCAGCGGAGTTCCCCTCGATCGACTGGAAGAACTCGAAGATTTCGATGTTTATTTCAGCACCATTCAAACGCTTCATTTCGTTGAATATGTCGATGAGAAGATCTTCGCACAACCTGTCGAACGATGGTCACGGGAATTTCTCTGCTATGATCTTTTGGCTCGTGTGCAGAACAAAACACCCGTTCTCATCGGTCTTTTTCATCATCACCTCGCTTTACTCGAACAATTTCACAATTTCGGTTTGTACAGCGATGAACGCGATCTCATCCTTCAAGCATTGATCGAACGACAACAACGACATTCTCTGACATTGGAAAAAGTCAATCAAATCGTCATATATCTCTTCACATGGAATGAGAATTCGAAGTTGCTTCTTCGATCCACTGAAGCGGATTGGTTGAAAAAGATGCGTCGCATCTACGTCGAAGAGAAATTCGAGCAGTACTGGCCCAAAGGAAACCAACTGTTTCCCATCGATGAACTGGTCAAACTGAAGAGTTTAACTGCTGAATGGATTGGTTTACTTCTTCAGATCGTTCGAAATGCGAACGACGTTCAATTATTCTCTCACTGGATGACCGAATACCAACTGAGTGTTCGAGAAACGACGACATTATTCACTGGCTTGTCCAGTACGGACACAATCGATTCGTTGGGCATACGAATGAAACGCGTTGTTCTTCAAAGTAAAATCAAATCCATTTGCCGAGATTCAGCAACGGACGTGAACCGAGCGGGTGAATATTTCCAACAATTAATGAACAAGAAATGGTCATTGACAGCAATGGAAGTGTTGATCAAAAGTGCACTGGAGAAATTGAAATTACCGAATGGCTTTGAAAATTTTCTCACCTGTTTGAATCTCCTGGCTGATTATCCCGTCGAAGACAATCTCGTTCGAGATCTTCAACGGGTGTTTCAAGATTTCTCGAGTGAATCTTGGCCAGAGAAAGTTCATCAGATGATCATTGAAGATCAATTTGCTTCGCATAGCATGGAGAAGAGTCGCTCGACATTGATCAAAGAAATTACTCAATTGAATTCCAAGGAGATTTCACAAAAGTTGAAAGAATCAATGAAACGTATCGATCGAGCATTTCAATCAGATTCAGTGATTTTCCCTCAAAAGAAATCCATCGACAAGTGGCAAATAGCGGATATTCGATCATGGGCGCGCGGAATACTCGAAGCACAAGAGGACTTCCAATTTAACAATCATCTGATGGAAATCTTAGCTGTCGTTCAACGTGCTGTCTATCTGCATTGTTCATTCGAACTTCGTACCGCCCAACTGCTCTCCGTTTTGATAATTCTCCATTCGAAGCAATTACCCAGTCGACGATTGCTTCAAGTCTGTACCGGCGAAGGGAAATCGATCATCACCGCCATCGTCGCCGTGATCAAAGCATTAGAACACAAACACGTCGATATCATTACCAGTTCAATGGACCTGGCGCAACGTGATGCCGAGAAACGAGAGAGTTTCTATTCGATGTTTCATCGCACGGCCTCGTATAATGCCGATCGACGAGATAGCTTCGGAACGGTGAAGAGTTGCTATAGAGACAATATCGTTTATGGTGATGCCAGTCATTTTCGATTCGATGTTCTTCGTGATGAATTCGCTCTGCAAAACACGCGTGCCAATCGACGATTCGATGTGCTCATTGTTGATGAAGTGGATAATATGTTCATTGATGAAAGCAAAAGTATTGCTTATCTCAACGATAAAACACTCGGCACCGATTGGCTCAATCCTGTTCTCTTCGGCATTTGGGTTTCGATCAAAGATCGAAAAGACGTGAACAGTGTGCGAGACTTAATTGTCGATAATTGGAAAAGATTGATCAACGATCCACAATCAACCTTGAAAGTTCCTCGACATTTGCGTGATTTTGTTCTCGATTCGATTCCCACTTGGGTTGATCAAGGTATTCGAGCGAAAACTGAATACAAACTTCATCATCATTACACCATAAAAACCAACGAGAACGATGTCAAATGCATTGTACCGATTGACTATTCCAATACAGGTGAAGTGCAAATTAATCGAACGTGGTCCGATGGTTTACAACAATTTCTTCAACTGAAACATGGATTGAAAACTGAGCCGATTAATCTAACCACGAATTGGATGTCGAATTTCAGTCTACTCAGTCGTTACGATAAGAAGGAAATCTACGGTCTGTCCGGGACGCTCGGTTCGATCGATTCGCGGCAATTGCTCCAAAAAATCTACGACGTCGATTCGGTCATTATTCCACCATTTCGTGAGAAACGTCACGTTCAATTACGAACTGTGCTCAGTTCCAGCGAAGACCAATGGTTGAGCGATATTGTTTCATCGACCGTCCTTCACGGCAAGCAACGTCGAGCAGTGTTAATCATCTGCGAAACCCAGTTCGATGCAATTCGAATCAGCAAACAATTGCAGCATGTCGAAAGCACATTGCACGTTCATCTGTGCACGGATAACACCGATCAGAATGAATGGCAAATCCTTAGGAAAGAGTTGGACGCCGGGGATATCATTGTCGCGACCAATCTCGCCGGACGAGGAACAGATCTGTTAATCAGTTCATTGGTCCAGCAAAACGGCGGATTACATATTTGTTTGACATTCTTAACACGAAATCTACGCGTGGAAGAACAAGCCATCGGCCGAACTTCTCGACAAGGTCAACGAGGAACATCACAATTAATTCTTGATCAACAACGAACGTATCGTCAACTAGCTTCGTTGCATCAATTGACTATCGAGGAAAGCAAGAGATATCTCGCCGATCCAATCGCTCTCATTCACTATTGGCGAGGGAAAACTGAAGAAACCTTTCTGAAGCAAATCTCAGACGAGCATATGCTTGCCGTCAAAGAAAAAGATCAATTATTTCGAAAGTTTTGTGAACTTCTCAGCCATTTACGAAAACAATCGGAAAATAAACATCGTTTGGCGAGTGTCAATGAACGATGGGCCTTGTGGGTTCAATCAGCGAAGTGTGCCGATCGGGAGAAACAAGCTTTCCAACAACGACTAGTACAGTTTCGTTTTAAGTTGGTCAAAACTCATCTTGGTGAGAATGGCCTGTTCGACGCTTTATCTCATCAATTGCCTAAAAAATTCACTGTCGATGAAATCAAAAGACAAGCAATCGATCATGTCCATGCGAAGTTCCATCTTTACAACGCGATTAGCGACGAAGAACGATATTCAGCTATAAGTCGAGCATTGAACATCAACATGTTTGTCATTCGTAGTGATATGACAATGCCATGGATATTTCAACAACCTCGTGCGCAGTACACCTGTTGGGTTGGCTATGAGGTTTACAGTCATTATGTTTCTCTTCAGCCAATTGATCCCACTGAAACGTTTTTCGAGCCGATCGACGATGAACTAGATGAATTACCAACCGTCGAGCACACTGTCAATCTTTCTCGTACACTTTTCACCAATATGCTCATTCCTGACCTTCGAATGGATTATTCAACTTTCCAACAAACGATAAACGACGAGTATCTAACCGATGAGATTATCCGAAATCCTTGTTATCTTGTACACGAAGCAGAGGAAATCCTCGAGAGTATCTCCATTTGGAAATCAATTGCACACTTTCTTGCCCCTACTGAGATGGAAAGCTCCGCGGAAAAGATTAAGAGGGCCATCGCCCGACTCAATCGAGCCATCGCACTCGATCCGATCTTCGCGTTCAACGCTTCGGTTACTCGTGCGTATGTCATTCTTCTTGAGAAACAATCACCAACGGAATACAAAGTTCAAGCGAAGAAATGCTTACGTGACGCGCAAGAGCAAATCGGTCAATATCTCCTTCCGACGCTGCACTCCATGCAAGCTCTTCTCAAAGATGATCAAACGGAAATGAACGCATCCGATGCATTGGCCAAACAACTTCAAGCTAAAGTGGAGATCTTCTATTTGTATTACTCCAAACTCGAAGAAGCACTGCAAAGCATCGAACAATCGCAAAAATTGGTTGATGTCAGTGTTAAAAACGGCCAGAGTGTTCGATTCGGTCGGAAGTTATATCATCAGGAAGTTCAAGATTTTGTCGACTCTGCTCAAGGGACGATCGGGCTCAGTTTTCATAGTCTTACCGTACATAGTGACGTCTTTACGCATGATCAAGCGTTGAATTTACTCGGTTTAATCGCCCACAACGGACAAGACATATCCATTGATTTCCCTAACGCCACTTTGGAGTCGATGGAGAAGATCGTCTCGACAAACACGGTGACTGTGAATATTCCATGTTTAGAGCAGAGCGAAGTGCGTCAGTTAATCAGCGGTCGAACGATTGATCTAACTGTCCAAGCATCGATTGAGGATTATCGAAAAGCGATCGAGGCAGTGACGAACGACGTCATCATCGAGACTGAATCCAGAGAAGAAGAATATTCACCGACCGGCGCAAAGGAATGTCTCTCCAGGAATGCCAATGTGGTCAGATCGATTCGCTTTCGTTCGTTAGATGCGACCAGCGTAGAGAAAATCTTGAACAGTGCGCAAAAGGGTTCATTTACGGTACAAATTGATCAACTTCAACTTTCGACTGTGCGTGAATTAATCGAGAAGATCCAAAAGTCGTTTTCATTGCATTATCGCAAACTAACCAAATCGGAAGCGTCGAATCTCATTTCGAACCTGACCGAACGTCATTTCATTCTCAATCTAGAAAATCTCAGCAGTGAATCAGCTCTCGGCATCCTCAAGAAGTTCGATCGCAACGAACAAGACGTTACCGTTCAACTGATCTCAATGACTGAATTTTACACGGACACCAATCGACCGAAAGAAGAACTGATATTATTCCAAAGTATGATGATCAGTCGTGTGATCGTTGTCAACGAAAATAATCCCAGACCATGGGTTAGTATTTGCATTGTCAGTCTACTTGGCGCTGCTCAAATCGCGGTGGGTGTGTACTTAGCCGCGTGTACCGCCGGTCTGGGAGTCAATTTGGGCATCAGTCTAATCAATGAAGGTGTGAGCGATATATTCTATGCCATTCACGGAGCGGTCAATCGACAGTTTTCTTGGAAATCGTATGCCGTTCAAAAAGGTGTGAGTGTGGCCATTTGCATTGGTTCATTGGGATTCTCGGCGTATTCACAAGCAGGATCGATTCGAGGTGCTGGAGTGCTGATCAAGAACAGTGCACGAGTTCTTGGCAAGGAAGCAGTGAAAGGTTTTGCAAAGAATTCCCTAAATTTGGCAGTCAGACAAGCGTGTATTATCTTGGTGGAATACGGCGCCAGTGAGTTGATCAATGCTGTTGTTGATACCGGTGTAGAACAAATGATGTCCCAGTTAAGATCGACGATCTGTAGCAAAGTAGAAGAACAAGTTCTTCCTCAACTAGGAAAAGGAATCTTTATCCAAGTGTTTATCCGTGCTGCAGCTGTGGATCTGTGTTATGAACATGAAATATGGCTGAATAGAGCTGAACGAATAGCTGTGCAAATTCTGACTGAAGAGAAGAGTCGATTATTGGAAAGTGCCGAATCTCTCTTGACGGGATTGAGCAAATCGATTTTACAACAGTGCAGAGCGAAACAAAAAAGTGGGTCAACCGTGCAGAAATATCTGTTCGCAGCTGAAGTTGCTCTTTTCGTTGGCAAGTGTATCAAAGAAGCCGCAGAAATCCCAAACTTAGCTGAAAAATTCTTGGATGTCTTCGAACAGAAACTGCGTGAATTTCAATCCACGATACCAACGTTCGCAGATATTCTCGTGAAGAAATCCAACGGATCGATCGAATCGTGTACAGCGACAGATATTTACCAAAGCTTGGTCACAAATCAAATCCTCGATGTACATGGAACGATTCATTCTTCAATTACGAATGATCGAACGACATCAAATCAGAAAAATGAATTAAGTGCACGAGTGGCACGGATCACTTTGATCGATAAAGCTCACAAGAAATACATCGAAGAAGTCTTGAGCAAGATCTTACCCGTCGATAAAAACGCTTTCGCAATCGATCGAGTGAATAAGAAGATCATTAATTTACTATCCAATCATATTATCCGAATCTTACAGGGAACACTCATTGGTTCATTAACCCATCTGGCTGTTAATCATGCCGTTCACTTTTTGTCGGAAAACCTGCAGCGCAGACACGATCCACGCGGTACGGTCGCTCAACAACTGCATGAATCGGGAGCACAACGGCTGATCAGTATGGTTCTCACCGATCTGAAGCGAGATATTCAAAATGGTAAAGTGCAGCTTGACTACAAAGACACGCAAAAATTAGAAGAGCTGAAAATGAAATGTCATTGGAAGGATTTTCGAGTACAGGATGACACGGAACAGCTCGCACTCGATGTCATCGGACAAAAACAGGGAGGCATCATCGAGATAGCTCTTCTCGCTGCCTTAACGGGTACGACAATGAATATTATCCAAAATAACGAACAATCCAACGGATCAATCAACATGAAGGAAGGTTGTCAGTTGATCTACAAAGAACCGTACGTCGATCCGAGCACCGGGATCTACCATGACGGACATTATGAAACGACGAACGGTAGTACAGGAGCAGCAGGTGTCAATGATTGCTTGTACATCAGTGTCTTGGAGCAAATGCCTGGCAAATTTGCATCGGTGCAAGATATGCGCGATCAGTGCGCTTCGTTAATCCTAGCATGTCCAGAATTGCTCGCTGCTATAAAACCCAGTATTGATATTCTTAACTCGAATCCTGATCCATGCAGACGAGGACAATTAATCATTGAGGGTGGTGCTCGAAAGAGCGCACCGAAAAAAGCTGTTCGTGCGACAAGAATCAGACCGTCTGACGAAGAAATCGATCCGAACCTATTGGAGATTTTGAAACAACAACGAAAAGAAGGTAGGAAATCTATCTCGCACAAAAGTTTGATCATATGAATGGGTCATACATTCAAACATTTGTTGAGATTACTCTAAATCCGCCAGTTCTTTTGTTTTGTAAGGATGAGTGTCACGATCTCATGTACATATAAGCTTGCCATGAATTAAATGTTCTTAGAGAATTCCTCTTTCCGCAAAAGATGATTTTGCCAAACGACTAGAGACTTCTATCGTAGTGCAAATCTGACCTGATCATCTTCATCGAATTACTTCGTAGAAAATAATCCAAGTATGACACGAACTGCTTTGATCATTTCTGAACACTCGACGTTCGGCTGTACTTTGAAGAACAATCTGCAGTGACAACTAAAACCGTTCATTTTCTATCCAGATCGGGGGTTTTGTGCAACGCGATCGTGACATTAGTATACGTCCAGGGCCTGTCGAAAATCCATAGATACGTTCAGAAAAAAGATCAATACGAATTAGCAATGATCTTTTGTCAAGTTCGTATGTTCGGATAGAGAAATAGTATCGAGGAAGAACCACTGTTTTATTATTGTCACCCAGGTCAACAGATCCGATGTTGAATCCGACCATTCGACAAAATCCGATCGGATCCGTCGAATTCTTGTAGGATCCGATAAAATCCTATATTGGATCCGAGTACGGGACTGATCGACCTGGGCAGAATAGTTTGACTTTTCGAGCGTTTTTCTACATCTGTATCCGTTTAGTACTCATGCCTGGAATGCTCCAGTCGCTGAAAAAAAATCCTGAAGGTCTAGAGGACATGAATTTCACTGATCAGAACGGTCCGACCATACGATACATTTGCCGACGAATTAATTCATCTTCTGACGGTCGTTCGGTGCAACGCACAGAGTATTATTCGGTCATATTAACTGATGCTGATTATCGTCGTTCTGGTCGTGACAATTTCCCTCGTTCTGGTGCCACTAGTAGAGCACACTTGAGGAACTATTTGCATTCGCAATCGCTCGACGAGCGTGGTCATATTATCTCCAACGCCGTGGGTGGCGTCTCTGAGCCGCATAACATGACTCCGCAGCATCCATCCGTGAATCGAAATGTGGGATTATCCGGTGTCCGTGGAACTTGGTATGGGAATGAAATACAGATGAGAGATTTTCTACGAGACGGACAAGGCTTTGTCCGGCACGAGGTTTTTATGGTCTATCCGGATCTTCAAACGGGCCGACCAAGTGAATTTCAGTGGCGAACACGATACTACTCCCGTGATAATATTCAACTGCGTGACATCGAAGGATCTATGAAAAACTCAGGTCCTTTTTAATCAGTGAAATACCCTCACCCAATGCAAAACAGTAAATTCATATTAAATTACAGTGAAAATCGATTTAGTTTTGCAAAAATACGTCTAGTGTTGGTTTTATCCCTCGATAATCTATCGTTTTTACCGGAGATAACGAACGTATGATAGATCCTTGTCAATCCTTTAGTTTTTCGTTCATAACTGACGCTTTCTCCTGTCTTTTAACGATCCCATTCATTTTCTGCATGACTTTAGTTTTTTGTAAGCTCCCTTCTTGGTGAAGATGGTTTCGAAGAAGGTCTTGACGAGAAGTCCCTCGAGAATGATTGCTGTGAATGGTTTTTTAGAATCCTCCGATTTTTCTATGCTCTTCAAAAGTTTTTTGTTCGCTACATTTTCCCAATAAAATATTTGGAAGTTAGAATTTCAATTTTTTCATCTACATTCAGAGTGATTCAAAAGTAAGGGAAAAAGGTATTTGCTTCCGTTTATATATATTAGATGGTCGCTTAGGTCTGATACTTTTAGCACAGATACTAGGTGGAAGAAGTCAAATATTGGATAGACTAAGAAGGCTTAAACACCGAGATCTATTCAAGCGCGTACAAATACATAATGATCATCACGAGCGAGATATATGAGTCTCTATGAAACTTTTACTAAAAGTTCGAAAAAAAAGAAGAAACTCAAAGAAATGTATAGATTTATTGAATGCTCTCGTTTTGAAGACTTGCACAGACACTGTTCGATATGTTCACCATTCAGATCTCTGCAAAGCTGCAGGCGCTCAAGTACTGATTGGTAGGCGCTTTGACAGAATCTTTGTGGTAAATTTCGCATCTGGATGATCACAGCATCTTTTAATGATTGAAAGCTTTGAAGTTTGGTTGTGTATACACGATCTTTGAACACACCTCATAGGAAGAAATCAGCTGGTGTGAGATCCGGTGATCGTGCTGGCCAATCAATCCATCCGCGTCGACCGATCCGCCTATCAGGGAATGTTTCGTCTAGGTAATGTCGAACAACTTTGGCATAATGGGCCGGCGGTCTATTTCTGTTTCGATAGTTGGAACAATTTGTTTTTGAAGCATTTCGAGATAGCTGGATGCGTTAACGCTGCCACATCGAAGAAGAATGGTCCGATGATGCCTCCAATCCAGATTCCAGTCTACACAGTAATTCCTGGGCTATTTCTTTCTTAAGTCATGATGGCGTGACGGTTCTCTGTAGCGTAATAGACGTAGTTGTGTCTGTTGACATGACCATTTAGTTTGAAAATTGCTTCATCTGTTCATAAAATTCGACCAAGTGACGAAGAATTCTTCGCTAACGCGTTGAGAAAGATGCTGGTAAATTCGCACCGGCTGTCGGGGCCATCTTCGTTCAGAGCATGCACCAGTTGTGAACGATACGGTTTCAATCTCAGCTCGGTCATCATTCTCTGAAGACTACTTCTAGAGAGATTCAGGTCGAAAGAAGCTCTTCTTTGCGAAGTCTTAGGATTTTCTTCATAAGCCTTGAGAACATGTTCTTTGTTCTCGTCGGTGCTGATGGATCGAGGACGGTCAGATCGCCGTTGATCTTCAAGGCTTCCGGTTTCGTCAAACTTTTTCACAAGAATTAAAATACTCTTTGATGTTGAACGAGTTCGATTGAAACATTTATGAAACTGACGAGCAACTTCAGTTGCATTTCGATGAATGGCGTACCATTTCACATTTTCAGTTTTTCCGCGTACAATCAAACGAAAACTTCCACTTATGGCGAAGACAATGTGAAACAACAGCGAAGATTATGTGAAGTATCAACATCATACGAGAACAAAAAGATACATCGGTGGACGGGAGAGATAGCCACTAGTGTAACTGTCTACCAGATACCACCTATTACTTATATAAGCACGACTAGACCACAAACAGCAAAGTAGTTCTTTTTTCTGCCGAATTCAGTGAGTTCGTATGCTTTTAGATCAATCTCGGCGTTTAAGCCTTCTTAGTCTATCCAATATTTGACTTCTTCCACCTATATAGTATCTGTGGTAAAAATATCAGACCATCTAATATATATAAACGGAAGCAAATACCATTTTTCCTCACTTTTGGGCCACCCTGTACATAGAAAAAGAAAATCATTCGGTTTAAAAAAGTCTTTGTTTTTTTATCTAGAATAACTTTTATACGTAGGAGAAAAAGTCCTATATGGATGATGTAGTTAGCCTCCTATACTTTCCTATGTTTTCTCACACTAACGGTACGAAGCCAGTCAGTTGAATAATATGAAAATTTTCCGAATTAATCGATAATTTATTTCACAAAGCAAAAAGTGAAGATAATATTATTCAATATTTTCTTTAGATCAAGGCATTTTAGCTTGATCATCAAAACGAATCATTTGAGCAATAGATGGTTTACCCATACAATCAATATAAAACAGCATATAAAATCCGGGTGCAATCAAAGCAATTCGAGCTTCAGGTGTTGTAAATTGTAAGGTGGTAGATGATGATGTTTCTTTAAAAGAAAGATTTATAAGACGTTGCCCGCCGTCCCATCCATGTGTAGCTGATCCTAATTTGATAAGTACTAATTTATCACTTTTACTTTCAGAACACTTCTTTGGTAGATCACTTAAATGTATATTATACTGACTATTACTATGTAGAAGATAATATCGTCGTCCACTAATAATACTTTCGAATTGATAATCAAGTGATTTTACATAACTTAGTGCAACAATCATTGCACGTCGTTGACCATCAATGTAAAGATAAGGTGGATTGAATATTTCAGCTACCCATGTTTCTGTAGGTACAGTTAAGGAACCTTGAGTACCTTTAGATAATCGTCCATCATCAAACATTTGTAAATCTAGATGAACATTACTATTATCAGGTAGCGGTTGTTTACCTGAACTCGAATTATGTTCAGACAATGGTTGTTCTGATAATGATGTGTAATGAATAAGAGCTCGAGCTGATCCTCCACCGGATATCCATATACGACCATCAGGTAGAAGAAGAGCTACGTTATGATATAAACGCGCTTCTACGCCTTCATTCATACGTGTTTTATTATAATAAAGAAAAACGCCAGTTACTGGATCAAATTTTGGTGTTAATAAAATTGGATAATTTACAGATCCATAAAAATCATAATTAGCTCCATTAATAATAAGAACTTGTGATGTTGGTAAAAGTATTGCATAATGCATTGTTCGATCGTCTTGAGACTCTTCCCCCAAGAAGTTTGATTTTAAAGACCAATGACCACCACCAGCTTCATAATATGAAGAAAAGAATTCTTCTAATTTTCGACTACCTCGACCTCCGGCATAACGTTGATAACCTATTAGAATTCAATAGAAAAGTATGAACATCGATCATTTTCTTCTTTCTAAAAACTACCTTGATGAGTATCGTCTCGATACAATTGAGTTCCGGGTGATGTCGGTTGACCACCGAAAAGTAGAATTCGTCCACTATTTGGATCATTAATTGTCGTTCCATAAGACGTAATATTTTCAGCTCGTGATGGGCCAGGTGAAAATTGTACAGTAGGTGATTGTCGAGTTCCACCAATATGCATATGATAAGTAGCTTTTGTTTTACGCATAAAGGCTGTATCATGTGTTCGTGCGCTTACCCAATCACCTTCACGTGTTAGATAGATTCTATTTTCAGCCATCAGATAAGCTTGTTCATAGAGTTTGAATACGTCATATTGATTATCTTTTATACAACGTGCAGTACAATTTATTCCAGGTGTTGGTTTGAAAGTTGGATTAATAAGATTTGTAAACGGCCCATTTAATGTTGATTTAACATTAACTTTAGTCCAAGCCAATTGTTTATCAGATGATGATGCAAATATTTGAGGATCAAAAAATTCAACTAAATCGTTATTTTCAAATGAATACATATCTGTATATCCATGATCAAAACCTACAAAACCACCCATCACAACAAGACGACCATCAATTAAAGGAACGAGAGATGCGTACCAACGACCGCGTTCCATTAAACCTAAAAAATTCAAACAATATAGAATACATACGAATGATTTAAAGAAACTATCTACCAGAAAATAACCATGGATTTTGAAATTCATTTTCTGTATCATTTAAACTGGGCATACGTCTCCAATCAACTTCATTCCAAGAAATGTTAGCATGTTTACGCCAATCATATAGATAGGTTGCACGATTGCCTGTACGATATGGATGATAATATTGTGTTCCACCGACAAATAATACATTGCCATCAGATATATGGAGATGTCCAGTACAAAATAAATCATTAGGAGCAAAATGATCCGACCATTTTGGATCGGGAACTGGTGTAGGATGTGGTACACGAAAAAATGTGTTTTTGTCAGGATTATAAACACCAACATTGTTAACTAATTGAAAATAATCGTCGATTTTTTCCATTTGAAATGGATCTTCTCGTAATTGAAAAACTCCTTCACTGCCTTTAGGATCATCCGATTGAGGAAATGTTTCAATTGGACCACGATTACGCCAACTGCTTCCACTAGCAACAAGAACATCACCGGAAGGAAGAAGCACTGCATGAACAGTTTGCATACCAAGACTTTTTCCAATTGCTGCACCATTGATCTCAGGCACAACCACTTGCCAACTACCACCTTCCACAGCATTTTGATACTCTTGACAATAAATAGTTTTAACAAGAAATATTATTACAAATATACGAGACATTTGCTTAATAACTTTAAAATTCGTTGACAGCAGTATACTTTGTACGACGTTTTATACTGAGATTCCTCAATGCATTTACTTGGTCGCCCACATTTGATTTGTCATGTCATAATTAGTCACTAATAAAAAGCGAAGTAATGCATTTGTCATGTTGGTATTTCTTTTTCCCAAGTTAATTGAAAATAGTTTTTAGTACATTTATTGATAACAAGGCAAGTACCATCACATTATTCCGGGGAAGAAAAAGAATATCGCTGATAATAAAAGAAACCGATAATAAAATCAATCGTTTTGCTGTTATCTACATTCTCTTTCTTTGATAAAACGTTTTTAACAAAATAGAGCAGTTTTCTGAGAAAGTATAATCAACATCGACGCCCCCCCCCCCCCAGATTTAGTTTGAGTAATGAAACAGCTGGTCAACACTTGGTAGCTTCGTCTATTAGCAATCCTATTCATGGAACTGTTGCCAATTCATCGTCATCTATAATTGATGTACCGATTTAAAAAAATCATTCTCAGGCGAAGCCACATCAGTTGAACATATTGGTAAGTGTAGTTTTGTCAGACAACTTGTGTTCGTCCAAGAGTTTCCGCCATAAACTGAGCCCCAACAAGAAGATGTTTATGACCTTGAAGTTGCACAAAACATGTCGATAAATCTGATTTTCCTTTTAGATTCGTACAACAACAATCTCGTATCGCAAGGAGTTCATGCTTTGAAAAAGGCAAAACTAATGGCTCATCAGTTACGGAAACTATACCCAGAAATCAGAAGCGATTCAATAGAAAGATAAAACTTGAAGAAACAAGTATTTCGGTTTCAGTCTTGCCATGAATGAACTTACCTTTTTGTTTAGACGAAAAACTACCGAAATGTAGAATATGGTGTGAAGCTGACACGAAAGCTTTTATTTCAATTTCGAGTGACTAGTATCCTAAACTTATATCTGGTGGATCAAGAAATACTGCTATTCATCAAGTAATGGCCAACGAGCTTAATCAAATTCTACAACATCGTTCAATGCCTGGTGCAGAAGTGAATTCTAAGATCACTAATCTCGTAATAGAATACCGGAAGAAGAAAAAGACAATGGGCAAAACAGGAGGAAGTCCACCAAAGTGATCTTTCTGCGAATTGGTGGACAAAATCTTAGGTAAAACAACTCTCTTTGTGTTCTGATAATTATCCTTTTCATGCGTATATCTTTTTCGATGCGAGCGTCCATGCAACGATGACATTTTATTAACCAATTCAATGAACATTGAAGATGAACCAATGTTACAAGACACAGATAATGTGTCCTCAATTGATCTCAATGCTACTCAAATTTCGGGGCCAGTTGACGATTCAGTTCCTACAGATATTGGTGCAAGACAACCCACAAATTCTTTAAGTCTCGACGCGTTACCAAAATCGGACCTTGCTCCTGTTAACAGCTCGTGCAAACCCAGAAGTAGTGGTCCTGCAAAAAAGAAACGTGCATCCGAAATGAAGTAAGAAAAATTCATTTGTCTCAGGATACAAACATCGCTTGTTCTCTTTTAAATAGAGTACGCCTAGTCCAAGAACTAATCGGAAAAATAGAAGCTGCAAATGAAAATGCTTCTCGTTCTGAGATCAAAATTCTTGAACTGCCCGAAAGACAAATGCAATTCCATCAGGAAAATACACAAAATGAAAACGAGTTCTTCAATATCTTCAAAGTGAATCATGGCAGAAATGTCCTCAAAAACACTGTCCTTGATATTTTGTCGTTTAGAAACGTCTTGTGACTGAATGCCCTTGAAAAAAATGTCTTCTAAGAATTGGTCCGATATTTGAAAATGTAATTTTCGCTTAGCTACGACAATTTAGAATGAAGCGTATCTAAAACATGGATGACGCTACGTAGGATACCTTCGGACAGGATTCGTCATTTTCTTGAGCGAATTCGTTTCACAGCCACATATCGTGATTTTAACACTGGTTCCAGATCAAACTCGATGAATTCTATCGGTTCCAATCATAAAAAATTTTCACCCCACCCACCCTCAAAAAATAGTCCACCATGATCAGCAACTCACGCTCTATCAAACCGTGTGTAAAAGCATAAAAATAAATTCCACTCGACTTTTGCCTTGCGTGCACCTTACAAACTCCAATCTTTAAATCATTTTAGCGCACAGATAAATGTGCGTATGAAACATGTCAATGGCAAAAGGACACTCAGATTCACACTTACATTCGTGAATAATTTTATTTTGTTGTTGAATGATAAGATAAACTTGGACTGTTCAATCAGCAATACTAAATGTTTTCGACTGCTTTCATGTGCATGAGTAATCTGTACTTGCTGTGCCCGATGAAGAATGAAATACTTTGTCTTTTTTATTACAAGCTTCCAAGATAATTTCGACTTCTCGTCCATTGTCTTTTGATTCCAACGTATACATTTTATGTCCACACATATCATCAATGAATATACAAGCAAATATCTGTGGAGAAATCCAACAAAAACTGCCGTCAGGATGCGTCCAAGTCAAATACCACCAATCCGCTCCAGTGCGTAAGGAACCAGTATGAAACGATACTTCACGATAATCTGAAGTTTATTGATTATTCTCGATGTTTCTAAAGGTATTAGTATTGACGTGATCAGTGCTGCACTTATGATTAAGTCGTAGCTCATTAATATACTTGCCAGTGATATTTTCCATCCGAGCTTTTGGTCTGTTATGTATGCAAGAGTTAACCAATGACAAGAGAACCAAAAGTAAAACAATTAAATGCTTTTTCATTCTAGAAAAAAGCCGTGAAATTCGAAGCGCTATATTGAGAATTGATACTGAAAAATTTCAGATTAGAGCTAAGACACAAGTATTTGCACTTGTACTTATTCAAGCTCCGTTTCACGTGTCAAAATCCAGATTTATTGACTGTATGAAAACAGCTACTATAACTCTGCTGTTTTTCAAACTAAAGCACATCCTAAATAGTCTGTCATATATTATTCGCACGTATTATTATGAAAATCCTCTCGTTTGGTGGAAAGGCTGATATTTATCTTCCGTCCCTAGGTCGAATCCAGAATCGAACAGATTTGAGAGCATCTTTCTTCACATACGAAGCCAAAATTTTCCTTTCTATCATCTCTCGAAAATTACCCAGCTTCCAGGATACATCTGACTCCGCGATTGATGACCGGAAACAGTACTTTCGAGTTTCAATGCTCTTCAAAATTCGAGTAAATTTTGTGTACGTCGGTGAGACATTTCAAAATAGTTTTCTATGTTAAGAACGTCATTTTGGATGAAATTTTCTCGGAAGTAGACGGAAAAATCAGTCTGATTTTGACTGTCAATTCCGTTAGGATACGATGGGTTAATATAGGTGGACAGTTTACATGATTTCTTCTTTGACGGGCATGATTAGCTTCTTTCGAAAGCGTCTTCAAAACCTGTTGCAATCGAAATCTGTTTAAAAATCGGCATAGTAAACTCTATGGATTTCAATCTACAACTTAAACCTGATCTGCATTTTCCTACGTGCAAAAGTCCAGATCCATTTACAAGACCAAATTGGAAAAAGAAATATTATATTTATTAATGCAACGTTAGAAAATGAAATGGTTAACTCGAAATGCAATAGTATTATTCAATGTACAAACAGCACTGGTATAATAGAGAAACAGCGATACTGAAAAAATTGAATTCAGCAGGATTGAAGCAAATTAGGCAAAACGAAAGGATGAAAGTCAATAATTAAACGATATATTCATTCAGAAACACTACGAGGTGGCATACTCGTCTTTTGGCGAAGCGCATCACCGTCTTCAATTTGACCATTGTCGTCGTTTCCGTCATCATCATCATCATCGTCTGTATCAAGTGTATCCTGAATCATTTGTGATACACGTCGATTGTATTCAACTCGATTGTCACGATAAAGTAAAGCAGCTTCTAGATTGGCTGGACTGAGTGGATTTGGATCAGCAAGAAGCAAACGAATGGAATGAAGTATTGCTAAAACATCATAGGATGGCAACCAGCCATCTTTAAGAATATCGACACAAATAAATCCATCATCCCACCAAACGTTAGGATGAAAAACTTTTGTAAGAAATCGTACTTGGGGAGGACGAAGTGGATAATCTTCGGAGAAGGTTAATTGAAGTTGATAGGCACCGGATTCATAAATACTATCTTCTGGTCCACAAATAATGGCATTCCAAATGAAAAAGTTCTCTTCCGATGGACTAGCATCAATTCCATCGACTTTATTTTTAATCAATTGTCGAAAATCTTGTTGTAATCGATGAAGTGCCATTGCTGCTCTTGTTGTTGATGATGATGATGATGACGGCTGATGATCAAAAACAAGAAACTAATAAGGAATTGTATCTATAACAAATACACAAAGAAAATTTTCGTAATATCAAACAAAGTGAGAAGTTGAGCTTTCTATTAAATTAAATTTGTATTCAAAGTTATTTTACTTCGACAAGCTTCATAGTACAATGGATTATACTCTTCATCATCGATCGATACCTAAAATAAACAATAGATCAAATTGATCAACGAATCAACTATATGAAATGTACGTTTGCGAGACTCGATAGAATGTTTTGGTCTAGTTCACGTTTAGTTTTGGTATTAGGTGCATCTGGAAGCGGTAGAAGAAGTTCATTTGAGGCAATTGAACGTAGTAATAAACAACGATCAGAAGCACATGAAAGAATAAAATGTCCCGAAGACACTTCACTCGCAGATGAGCAACTGTTCAAACGACAGATTAACATCAGTTCCTATTGAAACAGGTAGAAAAAAAGATGATTGAAATCAACGCTTTCGACTTACATTTTCACGCAAATATTCTACCAAAGTGTCGAATGCGATTTCATTCTTTTCTATCAATTCAAGATTGTATTTATGACACGAAGTTGGTAAAATTAGAAATGGCTGAAACAAACAAACAGACATCCAGGCAGACAGGTTCTCAGAAGAACACGCTTGCGACTAGGAGTTACGCATCGCTACTATGAGCTTCACACTCGCATGCTTTTAACGCGTATTCAGAAGATCTGTCTGACCAAGTCCATACCATTCCGAATACCATTGATATACAGTAATTTGTTTGTTTGATGAAATTCACTGCTTTGATTTGATAAATTGGCAACGATAACGATGATGATGATGTTCGATGTGCTGTTGAGATTCTCGATGGTTCAACATACATAAACTACAAAGTACAATTCATTACAAAATCGAATACATAAATGCACTTATTTACAAATCTCTCGTGGTCCATATTGTGATGAGGGTTATTGAGTATTTCTTGAAAATCACATCGGATTATAGGCCATGTATGATCAACATGTTCTGCTAAAATATGATCGAGAAATTCAATTCGCTTGTCGTTCTCAAATGGGGTACTGGTTGTAATTATTTGTTTTCATTTTACCTCTCGGGTCTCGATACGCTGAACAAATGACGCTAATTATCAGTTTGCGTATTTGTACTTTCTACTGACGACAAGATGAAATTATTTATTGATGGAATGAACAGCAGAAGAGTGTATGCCAATTCAAAAAAAAAGTTATTATGCTAATTACTGGATCGACTGTGTCGGTCTCAGTCTGCTAGAATTGGGAAAAAGAGAAAAAAATCTGTATAAAATACGATACGCAGCTATTACATTCAATTCAAACAAATCTTGGTGAACAGAAAGGATCGATTTTCTCTGTTAGAATGGGTTCGTCAAGTCGACTAGGTTTCCTGGGACTTATCCTGCTTCTTACGACAGTTGAAATCAATGCTGGCTACTGGATGTGTGATTGGGTTAATAATCGCGGTTGGGTATACTGCGAACGTGGTTATTGCAATAGTTTTGGTCGCAAACGAAATCTCGATATTGTTCGACAAAAAATGGATTTCATCCAAAATGACGATGGTGTTTTTTGTGCAAACAAGCAATTTTGCTTTGCATGCCGCCCTATTGATGATGGCTCATGTTATTTAACCCTTTTACAGAATTATTCTCCTTCGAGTGATTCAAAATTATACAAGAAAAGATCGGAAGAAGCTTGTGGATAAAATAAACTATTCTTGCGCTTTTAACTTACTTTTCACACTAGCTGGTAAATAAAGTTGAAGGTGTTCACTATCATGATCATCGCTCAGCAACCATGACTTGAAATAAAGACCCAAGGAATATTTGTCTATTCACACAAAACAAAAACGTATAAAAGGAGAAAAATACGTCGCATACTTTCATATACATATTTAATATTTAGTAAATTCGATAACAATATGTTTTGCTTCATTAACTCAATTTCATCATTGTTCTTGATACATACCAGTTCGATTTTCTAAATAGATCGACATAGGAGAAAAGAATACCGGCTATTTATATAGATAAAGCTAAATGGGAAGTGGATAATATCATGATCGACAATGATTGGCGGCTGATTGTATCTAATTGCTACCTTTCAGTGTAAAAAGAAGAATGCAGCACAGGCGATAGGTAAACGAGGCAATTGTGTAACGAGACGTAAATTACGCACTTTTTTATCGATCTGATGACTTTGAGTGCATTGATATATTTCCGATAGAGTGGAATCAGATAATCGATTTGTTAAAATAACGATGTGATAATCGTTATTGTTCGTATTTGTTGTGACCTTTGAACATAAAAAGACAAAGGTATTCAATAACTGAAATGACAAGAGAGAGAAAATCTAACCGCATGCAATATGCACGCTTTCACTGATATTTGAAGTATTCGTTGTTCGTTTCTTACAGGTGATAATAAACAAACGATTAGACTTTGGACTGTTCTCTAACCGCAATAAAAGGTTTACGCATAGTGTTATGATATAATCATACATTTGATGTTTATTTTTGTTCGATACAAACTAAATTTCTCTCGATTGATTCATCCTATAGTGTTTGTACAAAATTGCTACAGCATTCGACACATGTAAACTTTGTCCATGATGTTCAAGTAGATGGAGAATCAATAATCCATCTTGTTTCAAATAATCCCGAACAAAATTTTTTAACATGAGTTCATTGGTAACCAATTCGGAGGAATTTATTCGTAGTAACGTTCGAATGAAATGAATTCGATGTGTTAATGACAGTGTTTGATACAGCGTTGAAATGAATGAGACAACATCTATGATGAACACGTATGAAAACCAAAACCAAGCCAAAGAAAACACTTTCTCGTTCAACATGTTTATTGGTAATACACATTGAACTGTATACTGATGAAGATTTCCAATTTCACGTATGCGTAAATCACATAAGGTTACGCGAGGAAAATATGGCGAATCTTTCACCATGGAATTTTTTATTAGAAGATTATACCAAAGTTGAAAACCATAAAACCATCCTGATTGACCAAGAATCCTATTGATAAGAATCAACTGAAGAAATGAATTGATTAGATATAAACATTTCACCACTAGTTGAATTGAACGAAGGTAATTCCCTAAATGTTTGCCACTGGTGCAAAATAATATTCGAAAGAAACGATTTCGATGATCAATTTTGTCTCTTTGATTTGCTTGACAATAGTATTCAATTTTAGAAACAACTTTGTCAAGTTCAGTTTCGTGAATAAGATATTGTAAATCAATACCGGATCGAAGATTCATTGATCGCCAAAGCATTCGTGGAAGATAGAAACCAAATGCAAATAGAAGAAGAATAAATGGCGTCCATTGGTAATAACCTATTTCAGCATGTTTCCGATCAAGTTTCGTCGGTGGTATCGTGACATTTGTTGGAATAAAATACGTATTTGTTATCCAACAGTAATTGTTCGTATAAGTCAAATATGCTCCAGTGAACTGAGCAGGCACCCAACATGTAATACGATTGAAAGCAAAAGAAGAGCTCGTAACAATGAAAGCACAAACAAGCAAGAATCCAACGGTGTAACGATGATTTATACGATCTGAATGTTCGTCATCGATCGACTTTTGAAACGATTTTATCCACGGAAGTCCATGAATAAAATTAAATAATGCGACTGACATGAAACTTGTTTTCTGTTCGATCGAATAATATGAAGCTTATCTTAACCTTTCATTAGAAAATCTTATCTCGATTGCTCTTTATTGTCTGCAAGGTTAACTATATTCCCAAGAGATAAAACTTACATGATGATCATTTCGAGTTGAATTGATTTGAGTTAAAGCTAAATGTAAAGCTGAATGCCATGAGAAAGATGCATTTGTTGGTCGATTTGGTTTTGTCGACCATTTTTGGCCAAGTAATTGTAATTTACAAAGCGCAACTTGAAATTCCATACGATTATTATTTGTTGATGAATATGAAATGAATATCTTCAATCAACAGAAGTTTTCAAAAGGAAAAGAGCTAAAGGTACTTACCTCACTCTGATTTTGCCCGTTGACGATCAGCCCGAACATAGGAATATACTGTATGCCTACGTAAGTTGTGACAATACTAAATAATTTATCGAGTCCATGACAAATATCCTGCATCGTCTCTTCACTTAAACCATAATCGATAAGTAATAAACGACCTAAATGGCACTTTTTTTAGATGAATTTTAGGAGAAATGCGATGAGAGAGAAATACCGGGATAGATTACTCGAACAGAGCGGCTAGTTGATAGTTTCGACATGTTTGGAAAAGAACCGTCGACTTCATTTTAAATTTTAGTTTCTTCCTTTCAAAATATGGTCAGTTGACCAATGGTCTCGATAAATCGATCGTTGTGCAGGTGGCGCATGGAGTCGAAAATACTTCTGTGTACACAGAAACCATGGTGTAGTATTTTTATTCATAATAAAACAAGAAAATGACAAGAAAAAAGTGATTAAATCTAATGTATTGGTTCTAAAAGTGTGTTCATAGAGAAAGCAACAACATCTAACTTAGCAATGATAAACAGAGTGGAATGTATTTTTAGACACCTGATGATTCATTGGGTGTTGTGACCAAGTGTTTGCCGTTTTGTAACGATGTTTTGAATTGTTCAGGTATGGGATGTTCTTTGTATTCTCCATCCCCATATGGAACATTAATTGTCATTTCTGATGACTTCGAAGTAATAAATTCTGTATTTAACGAACTTTTTGATAGATAAATATGACACCCGTCCGTTTTTTCTATTTGAACAGTTGGAACGTTTTCTATAACTTGAGCTTTGATTCCCCGACAGTTGATGAATTCTATCAAGGAAACGACGGATGTAAATTGAATGCCAACTTTAGTACATTGATCAAGAACGATAGAATTAACTTTTCCTTGGATGGTAATTGTTGAATTCGAACATTTATAGATGTAAACAGTTTGTTTCATGTTGACTTCAACTAGTTTTAAATCTGTACGGCCAGATTGATATTCAACAAGCCATTTGTTACCTTCGAGAGCTAATTTAGGCGTGCCTGATGTCGAATTGGACGAAGTATTGGATGAATGTATCTAAAACATATACGATAAATGTAAACATGAATTCGAGATATTTGACTGAAGCTAACCTGAGTTTTACTCGTTCGTTCAATGGGCTGCTCTCTCAATTGAGGATTTTTGTGGGTTTTAAGTTCATCTGGAACTTTTTTCAAATGTGACGTAGCATTCGTACTTAAAGAATTAATTGAAGTCATAAATCCGTTTTTTGGCGAGCTATCATTGATTTGCATCTTTGACAATGCAATCGTCGGAGCTGATGGCGGATTGCGAGGAGAACCATTGTTCGTATCGTGTAGATTGTATGAGCCCCAGGTCAAACCAGTGGTATGATATTGTTTAACATATGCGTGCAATTCTGTTAAAATCTTTATCCATTGTTTAACCCATTCGGCATGGATGGGATCTTTGTCTTTGAAATCTTTTAAGACTCGGTTAGAATAGAATTGTGCAGCATCCGACATTTCCTTTATGTGAGGAGCAGGCGTCGGTGAGATAAGAATCCAACCAAATGCCGGTATACCTTCAGATATTGATGACAAATGATTAAATAGCGTTGATTTACGATTTTGGTTCGTAAAAGCTGGAAAAAAGTAGATTCTGGAAAGTACAGTGAAAAGAGAGCAAAGTTGTTAATTACCAACGATAGCTTCAATCTCGGTCGATTGTGGTTTGACCAAATTTATTGTTTGTTCGTCATTCGTTGGTTTCTTTGTTTGAACTGCCGTGCGAAGAAATGTCCGTTGAGCATCAAATAAACGTGTTAAATGATCAACCATAGTAATTAATTCTCCACCGATTTTACGAGAAGTTGTTACGAATGGTGCAAGTGTTTCATTGATGATCGTATTATACTCACGTAAAACAGGTAAAGCATCTACTCGATCATCCGATGAATGTTTCACATTAGTTGAACCTGTTCTACCGCTCGGCGATTGCAAAGTATTTGCAACAGAATCGAGACGGTTATTTAAATGATCAAGACGTTTAACGTGCGTATTCATGGTTAAATATCTAAAACTTTCATTGTGTATTTTTCGAGAAAAAAACCAACACTAGTCATGAGGACATCACATGTGAACAGAAAGAATGTTATAAGCTCATGAACTAAATTTCTCCTCTCTCTCTCACGAATAAGAATTACTAAACTTCTTACTTTGGTGAGTTTACAACTGATCGTGCTCCATAAAAAGGTTCATAAACTTACTCAACTTAGATTTAGAAAGAGACAGTTATGTTCTTCATGAGTCAAGCTGAAAGCTGACAAAATCATGCAGATCAAAATTAATAAATCTCTCTCCAAAGTCTGAATATGAAAAACATGATCTCGATCCTCCTTCTTTTTTGACGTGTGCGAAGCTTAAATCAACACGATGGTAGGTATGAACAGAACGTGATCGATGTCACAAATGTTTCTTTCCACTGGTCGGTTCTATTGACCGAAGTTTCTTTTTACTCGCTTTATTTGACAGAAAGAGGCGAAAGATTCATAGAAGGAATGAATGACTCATCCGACAGACGGAACAAGCATTCATTCGTTCTTTAATTGACTATTCAGATGTCGACGTCGCTTCTTAATCAAATAAATGTTTAACATTCATTCCAGTACATCGATCGAAAAGAAAAAAAGAATATCTCGCAGCTCGAATTTCACTTCGTAATCGTTAATTCAGATTTGTTTCTTTCAAGAGCGTCAAGATGTGATTCTCTCGACTATTTTTAGATTAATTCGACCATATATAACAAAATATTCCATGGTACTCAGTAGGTGAGTATATAAATCCATATTTTTACTGACTTTTATTCATATTTTACACATTGAAGCCACTAAACTTCATCGACTAGTGAGTGACTGTAGCTGAAAAATATGCGATTCGAATGTCGATTATACTTTGCCGCTAATTACATCGCACTATCACAGCAAATTAGTACTAAAAATTTGATTTTATCGGTTTAGTGTTTGGAAATTGCATCAATCTTCGATGGATATGTAATATAAATCGAAGAATGACCTCTACCATGCATATACGACGAGATGGAATCGCATATTTTTTTCTAATCATTCTCTGTTTTCTCGTTATTTTACTTTTTCAACATCATTATGCATCGAATCAAAATGTTGATCAAACTCCAATCAAACCTATAATCAAAATAACAAATAAGTTCCGAACGCATTTCAACACACATTCGTCGGTAAGAATTGAACTAATGAAAACGAAGGAAAACCTCCTGGTGAATTATTTAGGTATGGTATCGAGAGAAGTGTTTTCGAAACAAACATGCAGACCATTTGGCAATAGAAAATCTACCGAAATATCTACAAAATGCTCGAACGTCAACAAATGAAGCTTGCCAGTTGGTTTCCTCATGAAAATATTCTTTTTTTGTCAAAAGTTTCTTTCTAGAAAGTTCGTTCAGAAATTCGACGCATTGTTTCGCTTGGAGGAAATCTATGGTGCATTAGAAATTTCACCGATTTATCTAAAGAAAATCAATGGTTGGTTACGTAACGACGAACAACTTGTAGAACAGATAAAGAAACAAGTAAAAGAATCAGTTCTCAATTAGTTAAAAAGTGTTTTTATCTTTGCAGCGAATCATCAAAATTTACAATCGATATACACACGAAGAAATGTTGTACAATTTCATGCGAAGTAAACGACCCCAATCAAAAAGTGAACAATCGGCACAGAACTAGTACGTTGAGAAATGATACATACGAAAGTAATGAGCGGTTATCTTCAATCATACACTTACTAAGATAACGGGTAACAGTAAATAAGATGTGCTTTTGATTGACAACTGAAACCGAGTGGATTGTTTAAAACTGATCTATCTGCATGCTTTTCTTTGTTCGTAGTACGTTAACTTTGTTGGAAGAAAGCAAAAAGAATTGTGATTTTTGTGGAAGAAATTATCTCAACTCAACTGCCGAAGATTCCTTTGGTCGTCTTGAACATCGCCTTTCGTATACAGCTGCAAATACGTTTAAATACGACCGTTGGCATACATTGATTGTCTCTCGGAATCATGATACACTACACTTAACCGAAGACGAAATTGGCGACATGTTCGAATTAGCAAAAGAATGGTTTGAGAAAGTTTATTCGACCGAACCGAAATATACGTGTCCGGAAATGATTTGGGATGCCATGCCGAAAAGTGGTGCCTCACAAATACATACACATCTTCAAGTTAGTTTAGGTTTCGATATTTACTATGGAAATATTGAACGAACAAGACAAGGTGCTCGTTTTTATGCGCAAATGAATGACGGAAGAAATTATTTTAATGATTATCTTCATATTCATCAAGCATTAGAGTTGACAATACCCATTGGAAATGCTCATATTCTTGTTCATCTAGTTCGTTGATGCATGTTGGATGAATGAGATTCTATTCAATATTCGTTTCTTTTTAGACGCCGATTAAAGATCTCGAAGTGATGGTTCTCGGTGCGTCGCTTGAGAAAGATTTTTACAAAGCATTGCATCTTATCTTCCGGAGTAAGTCTTTCGAAAAACTAAATTAATCTTGTACGAATGAGAAATGTTTTAGCTTTTATCGATGATTTACAAGAATATAGTTTCAGTTTTGGAATGTTTTTACCGCCACTCGTAAGTTCGAACTGGTGGTATGAAATACTTAGAAAGTGATATGTTTCGTTTAGAATGAAACATCGATCAATGGTCATGTCATGCCTGTTGTTTGTCGTCTTGTCTTTCGAAATCCTATAACGAATTTACGAGCTGACATGAACGGACTTGACTTATATACGGTAAACTACAGAAAAATCTTTTTCTCTTATTATGAAATAAGTCTTCTGTTTTTCTTTCAAGAGTTCTGTTATCGGAAAAGATCGTTATGTACTCTATCGACAGTTGAAGCAGGGAATATTGAAACGATCGAAATAAGAACAGGATCATAGTGTAACAGTGGCAAGTAAATGAATAAATCATCTAAGCCGTTCTCGTCCAATTAATCTCATGTAATCAATAAATCAAAATGGGTTCGTTGTATCTTTTATTACTATTCTGTGATTGTGTTTTTTTTGCTTTTTCTTAACTAAACTTTTGTCAGTGATGCTGTTGTTGTTTTTCGTTTCTTTATTAACTTCACACTTTTTTACTCTTGCATAGTAAACGAATTGGCAACGAAAATAAAGAGATAAAGTTTGAAGATAGAAAATTTATTCTTTATTTGTGATTATTCTCATATATTTCATGCAACACAAAACCCGGTTTTATCTATATTTGCCTCCTTTGTAAACCAGTGTATCGTCCGGTGCGTGTTTGAGTGCCACAGCCAAAGCAATAGCGCCGATTAAACCACAAAGTTCAAGCAATAAAACACCTCCGAGTGAACCTCCGATGATCGGTAAATGCTTATTGAGAAAACCGATGATGGCATCTGAGCAACCTTCTGACTCCGGTGCGGCTAAACATCGTTCAGAAAGTGTAACTTTTGGAGGTTTGCCGTAGTCTGAGATGTTATGAATACCACAGCATTTCATTTTATTCTCCAATTCTTGAAACGCGTGTATCACACTCGTTTGATTTTCGGTCAAAGCTTTGTCAAAGACTTTGAATAAGGTATCTTTGTAGACATCGGTGAGTTGACCTTTGTACACGAAAGCCATAATGAAGGCAACTAATTCCAAGATCATCAAGAGACCAAGAACGAAAGCATAGATGTACAAGAAACATCGATTGTTCCACAACGCGCCTATACGAGATTGATAGAACAGATTATTGAATTCATGTATGATATGTAAAACTTACCCATGCAACCGAAAAGTGCGATCAGTAAAGTAACAACGCCTCCACCGATCATAACAAACGCGAGAAAGCCGAGAGCTTGACCACTAAAGTCGCTATTGTCAGCAATTTTACTTAGAACCGATGCAAAATTGTCATCGACTTTGATATAAACTCCAAGACCAATGAGTGTAATGCCAACGATTACGAATAGAATATTGAAAACCAGCAAAGCGCCTCTCATAAATTCTATTCCACAAGAAAGCTGTCTTGCCATCCCGAAGATATTAAAAAACTGAAAAAAGTTGTATAAGCAAAAAAATATGTCTTTGTGCGCCCTTTTTATACACTCTATCGACCAGCAGTGCAATGATATGATAAGAATCAGCGAAAAAGAGATACTTGTTGACTCAACGTCATCTACATTGCATACAAATTTCTCGACTTTAGTTTGTAAATGAAAGACAACTCTAGATAAAACTGATTCATCCTTTCTGGTATCATAGGACATAAAAAACAATGACGTCGTTGTGTTTGTTGCTATAATGTTCGATGTCCACATTTAATCTATCGAAACGACTAGATGGTAGAAAATCTTCTCGTTTGTCCGCAAGACATCTTTTCTTCCTTAATCATCACTTTAGATCTGTTAAATGTGCAATTTTTCAAGCAAATCTTAATTATTTTAATAATAGATCGGTAAAACATACTTGGTATTATCCTGTGAGCTGATATACCAGAGGTATAACTGATGATGCGTTTTTCTATGAGTAATACTCAAAATAGAACTTCGCGAATTCGATCTTAATGAATTTTTCCCTTTCTCTCTTGATTTGCGTATGTACCTACTCTTTACCGATTTGTTAAACTAGAGTTAAAAAGCGTCAACCTACTCAAACTCGAGTGATAAGTAGCTGAAATCGATAAATTCGAATTCGAAGGTGGGCTTTTACAATTTATCATGAGTTATCTTATTACCTAAACAACAAGCTGTTACAAATATTTCTTTTGCGAAAGATCACTTAAAGCCACTTATCTATAAGCATCAAATACTTGTCGACAGTTTTGCATATTCTCTAGACGAAACGAAGTGTGCCGTTAGTTCAAGTTCAACTTAAATAATGCTGTGCTCTTGTATTTCCTCCCTACTATGATACAAGTATTTTGCTTCCAATGGGATCAAAATTCATGTAAGGAGAATATCTAATGATACATTGAATGTTGTTGCAGATTGATCATTTGTTTATGCGATGGTTCAACTGGGAAAGATGTACTAAATTATAGGATCTTTTTTCTGTGCGTCTGTAAGTCTTAAATGTTTCATGGTTTTCATAACATCTCTATAAGAGAGAAGAGAATAATATATGATACCTCGATCGATAGCGGCATCTTCTCATGAAATCATGTATGTGTAAATTCGCGCATTTGTATCACTTATTCTTATACCTATCAGATAGTATCAACTCGAAAAATATAACTTCATGCGATGGTTATGACTGAAGTCGATAAACTTGAAAGTTAACGAAAACGGGCAGACCTTTTTCGTTCTGTCAAAGAAAGTAAAATGAAAACAACACTTATGTTTCTTATCTATTATTATCGCTCGATTTCATCTAGTATTATTTCGTTAGATATAAGTTCAAAAGGCAGTCGATAATATGTCGTTACGAAAATTAAACGTCGAACCATTGACTAAGGAAGCTTTTGCAGCATTTGGTGATGTTATCGAAACTGATGATCGACCTTATCGAATGATTAATAATGGTTCGACCCGTCGTTACCACGCTCTTGCTCAGGTTGAAACAGCGTATCCGGCTGATGGTGACCGTGCTGTTATTAGTATTTTTCGTGCTCAAGTAACCAAGATGCCGTTTGTAATTCGAATGCTTGAACGACATCCACTTGGTAGTCAAGCTTTTGTGCCACTACTTGGTCGACCATCACTTGTTGTTGTTGCTCCACCGACAGATCCTTCAATCAATGGTGATAAACCTCAGCTTGATCTCATACGTGCATTTATTACAAACGGTAGACAAGGTATTAATTATAGTCGAGGAACATGGCACCATCCTGTCTTAGCTATCGGCAATGAAGAAGATGAGTTTCTTGTTGTTGATCGTGAAGGTACAGGTAATAATTGTGATGAACATTTCTTCGAAGAACATGAACATATGATTCTTGATTATCAAGGCTAAATTCTAATATTGATGATATTTATTAGGAAGCCGTTTTTTAATTGAAACAATAAATGAGTAAAAAGATCTAAATTAGAAAAATTCGAAGGCATGTATAACAATTAGTGTTGAGCTTTAAATTGCCGACGTCGACGGTGTAGAATCAGTTCCGTGTATCCATTCGGTTGTTTATCACCGTCAAGTATCAATTCCAATGCAGCTTGAAAAGCTACATTCTGATCAAAATTCTTTGCCATTGGCTGATAAGCTGCATCATCAGCATTTTGTCGATCGACGACATAAGCCATTCTCTTCATTGTTTCTTCTACTTGGTCTTTCGTAATTAATCCGTGCCGTAACCAATTAGCCATCAACTGACTAGAAATTCTTAACGTTGCTCGATCTTCCATCATTCCGATGTCATCAATATCGGGTACTTTTGAGCAACCGATACCTTGATCAATCCAACGAACGACATAACCGAGTATACTTTGAGAATTATTCTCTAACTCATGTTGTATTTCTTCTTTAGTAAGGCTTGTTGTTAACACCGGAATAGTTAGCAAATCATCGAGATAATCTTTTTCTAATTCAAGTGACGAAAGTAATTCTATTTGACGGGCAAAAACATTGACTTGATGATAATGAAGTGCATGCAGAATAGCAGCCGTTGGTGATGGTACCCATGCACATGTAGCTCCTGTTTTAGGATGACTGATCTTTTGTTCCACCATCAATGCCATTTTGTCTGGGATTGCCCACATTCCTTTGCCAATCTGTGCACGTTCGGACAAGCCACATCTTAATCCAATAGCGACATTGTTCGTCTCATAGGCATTTAACCATTTCGTTTCTCTCATTTGAGCTTTACGTACGAGCGCACCTGCTTCCATTGACGTATGAATTTCATCCCCAGTACGATCGAGAAATCCAGTGTTGATAAATACTAGACGATCTTTTACTTCTCGAATACATGCATGGAGGTTGACGGTTGTGCGACGTTCTTCGTCCATAACACCAATCTTGAGTGTGAAACGGGGTAGTTTCAAAAGATCTTCGACGCGAGCAAATAAATGCGAAGTAAATGCAACTTCCTCGGGACCGTGTTGTTTTGGTTTGACAATGTAAATTGAACCTTTACGAGTATTTCTTATCCTCCCTGTCCGATTTCCATTCAGATCATGCAAAGCAATCAATGTTGTTACTAAGGCATCAAGTATACCCTCGGGTATTTCTTCGTTATTTTCAGATAGAATCGCATCTGTGTACAGCAAATGGCCAACATGACGAATAAAAAGAAGTGATCGTCCAGGTAAACATAATTCTGCACCGGTTTTCGATGTGTAAATTCGATCCGATTTTAATTTTCGACAGATGATTTCTTTGCCTTTTCGAAATTCTGCTTCTAAAGTTCCCTTCATCAGACCAAGCCAATTTCGATATAATTCAACTTTATCGTCTACATCAACAGCAGCAACTGAATCTTCGCAATCGACGATTGTCGTCAATACTGATTCAATGAAAACGTCCTTGATATTAACCGGATCATTTGGATTGTTAGTATCATTGGTCAAACCAATTACAATTTCAATATGAAGGCCATGATGAAGGAAAAGAATGCTGTGAGGTTCGTTCAAATCACCTTGATAGCCAATAAATTGATCAGGACAGAGAAGTTGAGTGACACCCCCATCTTGTAACGTAGCCTAATCAATTAAAAACATATTTCTCTACGTTCTCTAATAATGGGAATCTTACTTTCAGTTCGCCATTCGCGATATGATATTTCACAACATTCGCATGTGATGCATGGTTTGTCAGTGGAATTGATTGATCAAGGAATTTTCGTGTATAGGCGATGACTTTGTCACCTCGCTTTTTATTATATGTATTACTCTTCTCACAGCCATCGTCTTCGGAAATCACATCTGTACCATACAATGCATCATATAATGATCCCCAACGAGCGTTAACAGCATTAAGAGTGAATCGAGCATTCATTAATGGAACAACAAGTTGTGGCGCCGCTTGACAAGCGATTTCATCATCGACATTTGTTGTTGTTATTTGAAATTGTTCTTCGTGTTGACGTGCGGATAAATAGCCAATGTCGAATAGAAACTTCTTATATGTACCGATATCGGTATGTTGCCCAGGATGTGTTCGATGCCATTGATCGATTTGGACTTGTAAAGAATCGCGTGTTTGCAAGAGTTTCTGATTTTCAGGAGATAAATCAGTTATTATGGATTCTGCGCCCTTCCAGAACGCGTCTGGATCGATGTTAGTACCGGGTAACACTTCTTCATCGACAAATTTGAAAAGACTCCGGGCGATTTTGATGTTCCCAATAAGTACACGTTCACTGTTCGCCAGCATGCCCGCTTTTTATCTGAGTTTTACTATATGCATCTAGTCATACACAAAGAATCACCTGATCATATGGGCGATCGAATAGGAAAACTCGAGACCGACAATTTGATTTGAGTAGGAAACGAGTAATTCGGTTCTGTATATTCACAGTATGAAATCAGATGTCGCTATATTCAATAATACTCGGTTGGAACTCAATGAGTAGTTGATTTATTGATGATATTAAAAAATAAAGCTCTTTTCCTTCCTCTTATCATATAGGGATGTGTTTAAAGCGAGATCCACAAAGCAACAAACATAAGCACAAACGAGACCATAGTCGGACGTAGATACATTCCTGCAGAGGTTCGTGCAGCACTACCTCCGCATTGACTATATCCAGCATTTCTCACATACAGTGTATTACTGTCCGAACTAAGTGAATAAATAATTTGTGAGCCACGAACTCCAGTTGTCGAAAATGAATAACCATATGGATTAGAAAATGTTGATGTCGACCGTGATGATCCACATCCTTGTGTATCCGACGAAAAGATCAGATCTGAACCAGATTCCGTCACTTTTAAACTTCCCGTATAACAGCAACAATGATTCACTTTACATTGGTTATCCCATTTGTAAGTGCCAGCCCATCTTTGCATTGTCACAACTGATATAAGCAAGCATAAAATTAGTAATATTCCATTTAGGCGAGTATACATCATCGATTAGCAAATGCTTCAAACTGAATGTACTTGAATAGTATTGTGTGATTCAATCTTACATACAGATTTATAACATTGTCTTAACTGATCAGATCCTTATCGCTTTTTTTTGTATTTAGAGAAGACAAATGTTTTCTTAGTGTTGTATTGACAGAACTATTTTGATTGAAAAAAGAAAACGTACATATAATCCACAATTCAAATCAAATTCGAACGCCTATGTATTAATAAAATGAATCGAAAACATCAACAAAGATAACGAGTTAAACTAATGTAGGAGTTTTCATCGAATTGATTCTCCTAACCAACAAAAACATGTTTGTAACTTGTCACGGAAGTTCACATACTTCCGACGCAAATAGATGATGAAAATCGTTATCAATTTTCATAGGAATCGCAATCCTATCGAGGGAAATCATATTTCTATTCGATTTTAATTCTGCATTGCATATATCAATCATTAATTTCAAGAGAAGTCTAATGTACCATATCGTTCTCTCTCAATGTTTTCTTTTTGAAAACAATTCCGCCTCTGCATAGTTTTGTTTAACTGGCGTCAGCTGTTTCCATGTATCACATAAAAGGAATCAAGTGCTTGTAGCCGACATCTTGCATATTACGCCCTGCCAATTCGACGTCAATGGGGTAAAGTTTCACATAAAGGGAAAGGAACAAAAAGGAAATATTGTCGTCGTTTCTTTTCTCTTTTGAAAAATATCATCACTATTCATACGCACAAACGTCTATATAAACTAACAGCACAAACGAAATAGACAACATATAAACACACACCGCGCACAAGTCTTTCTCTTTCTCACAAATCATTTCAAACAGTATCCCTTACGAAAAACAAAAACTATGGCATCTGGACGAGGACATGGAGGTATGTCATTAAGTATGAAGCTCATTCGATTGTTAATTGTTCTCTTCAATTTGATGTTTGTCATCATCGGTGGATTATTACTTGCAATTGGCATTTTTGTGATGAAAGATCCTAAGTTGCAACAGTTACGTCCTTTACTCAATCCCGATGTCACAGCAAAATATTCGCAGAGTTTATCAAACATTGATATTTTTGCTGTCGTATTGATTGTTATCGGTGGAATTCTGTTGGCCATCGGATTTCTTGGTAAGAGAAAGAAATGAGATTTCATTCGGATTGATTCGAGATTTCATTTAGGTTGTTGCGGCGCAGTAAAAGGTTTTCGATTTTTACATCTTCTCTATGCTATCATCATCGGTGGAATTATTCTCGCTGAAATCGCATTCGTTGTTGTTTATATCGTCTATCAAAGCCGTTTTAAAGCAGAATTTGTCACCAAACTTCAAGAATCAATTGTCAAATATTATGTTGGAACACCAATCAATAATTCAACGTCATCTAACCCTCTGTCACTTTCATGGGATATTGTACAATTCAACCTTCATTGTTGTGGAGCAATGAGTAAAGCCGATTATGCTAATACAACAAGTTGGAACAAGATAAATCCATATCAATCGAATACAACTTTAGTCGTTCCATTTACATGCTGTCCATTGAATACAACAGGAAATTGGAATGCACTACCGACGAATATGATAGAAGCAAATACATGTGCAACAACTGGTGTGAATGCTTATTCTCAAGGGTGCTATGACAGTTTAATTAATCTGTTATTCTCTTATAAAACCTATACGATTATCGCTGGTGCAATTATAGTTGGTGTGGAAGTGTGCGCTCTGTTATTTGCAGTATTATTGTATTGTCGTAAGGATGGTTATGACACTTTGTGATCGATAAACTATTAATAAAATTAATTGTACGATTAGGATCTTTCTTTCGTATTCTTTGTATGCGATCAATAGAGGAGACAGTATTCAAGGAGGAAGTAAAACCGTTTGCAAATAAATCATGATGCTAAAGTTCATTGGATTTTTATGTGCAAAAGTGAAGATCAGATGACATGATCTTTACCTTATCTTGACTACTATTTTTAAATTGACATATCGTATAGACTGAAATATGAGAAATATCGAATTGTTTTACAAAACTACAACCTACATGATTAAAAATTGAGTAAACTGATGCAGTGACAATGTATTTTTAGGTACAACCAATTGATACGATAGGACATTGGTAGTCGACTTCGTTACTGCCATCTTTGATGATTTCGTGAAACGGACGAGTTTGAATACCACATGTACGTTTGAGAAGTTCGGCGGTAGCATCTTGATTGAAAGACAGTTCGTGATAAGGCATCTGTTTATAATGATGAGTAGTGCTTGTTTGATTCAGGAAAAAAACATAGGTGCGACCGTGAACTAGTGCTCGATAGCAAAGTGGATTATCTGAAATCAGTTATTTGTTATTCTAAAATGATTAGTTTGCTTTTTCTTTTTCATTTACCGGGTAATGTGTGCTCGATAATAATGTTTTCTTGTGCTGGCGGAATGCCTTTCAGTGTGCATCGAACAACGAACGTTATATTGAATGGTTTGGTATGATTATTAACCGAAACAGCTGTGGCCGTTTCAATGATATCGCCGTAGACGATGAGAGGTGATTGGGAGAATTTTATTGAAAATGGTATCGTGTCTTGACATATTGGTCCACAAATACTGATTATAATCAACGAGCAAAGTATAGTTAAAACCGTTGCCTTTGAAATGATCATACTGAATGAAGTGAGTGTTTATGATGTAAAATGTAAGAATCAAGAGCTTATATACATTTGTTGTCTTATCTTTTTCTTTGTTGAACACTTAGCCTGCTTATGACAGAGATATGATCATGCGTTTCTTCGTTATCTTTCAAGTAGTAAACTCAGTTATATTATTCAGTTTGTATGTTATGTTAAACATGAAAACATGAGGAAATTCTTCTTTTCTTAAAGCAATGCGTTTCAAGTACGGAAAGTAGAACATTGAATATAAAAGAAAGAAATGAAAAAATTCGTGTATTCACGCCATATCTAAGCGTTTTTAAATGATGGCGTCACAATGCTTTGTAAATTTGATCGAATGTTTTGATTTTGAAAGATTGCATCAGAAATTTGTTGAAATACTGCGATCATTTCAGTTTGATGCGAGTTAATGTAACTAATTCGCTTATGTTCAGGTACAGTTAATAAGATCTTCGTCATAAACCACAGTAATCGCCAGTTGTGAATTGAAATATGCTTATATTTGCGCATACATTGACCAACATAAGCCAATGCCATGATTACTGAATCACCTTCAGCTAAACAGCTTGCATAACAACCAGCATGGCTCTCTGCCATACGAGTATGAGCTAATAAAGAATCTCCACCGTATAATTCACGGCATTTACCAACAATTGAGCGACACAATGGTGGTATATAAGCTTTAATTAAAAGAATTCGATCGATATTGTTCTCTAAAACTTCTTCGATGTTTGTTATCGAAGTCGATGAGTCGAGTTGAAAGTGTTTGATAACTCGACGAAAATAACAATCCATTTCACACACTTGTTGTATCATGGTTTCTATGTGATCAGTAATATAGGAGAATTGGACTCGCTTACTATTATAAACTTTGGTTATCACATGTTGAAGCATCGATTTGGCGCAGACAAGTGCAGTGGCTGATAGACAAAGTCGACCAACTAATAAGCGATTAGATAATTTAAAGAATAGTTTTGGATATTTTTCTGAAACTTGAAGATTTCCTGTAGTCAGATCTAATGAACAATACCGATCGAGAAGATTCTCAGGCGCAGTACTAAAATCAGTAAATGTAAGGGTACCGAAACAATTTGAGCGGAAATCAGCACGAGCAGGACATGATTCAATTGATAGGCCAGGTAGAACAACACCGTTATTACGTATTTGGACCACTATTGCGACAACATGTGGCGTGAGAAACAGTTCACCGATACTAGTCGTTACAGCGACGGGCTTCTTACTCTTAACGTCGTTAGCTTGTGCCCATTTGGCAAGTACAACTGCATATTCAATTTCAGGATTGCCAGCATATGAAATCCATCGTTTTTTGGCGCCATCATTTGGTGTATGAACAATGATTTTCTTTGTGTCTGGACTGTAGTAAGCAATCGTGTCGCATAATAAACCTGATAAGACTCCAGCGCTTTTTTCTGTTAATGCAAAACATCCTAATTTCTTTAATTCTCGCGCATCTTGGACTAGTGCTGAATGTTTCTCGGTGCCCAGTGCTGCGATAGAGCCAGTAAATAAATTAAATTGAACTGTAAACCAATTGACAACGTCGTTACTATTTGTGTAAGATAAACGTTCATGAAGAACGATCAAATTATATGGATCTAATGACGCTAATGCCTTTTGAGAATGTAACATGGCGACTACTCGACGTAGTTGTTGAAGCACAACAGTAGGATCGCTCGGGTATATGTAACCATTATCAATACTGTCTGATTCTTGTAATTTCGTGTGATAATCATCAGGTAGAAGAGTGGTATAGCTCTCAAGTGAATCAATTGAACAAGTATAGAGACGTTTCGGACGGTAGCGTTGAAATAGAGCGATGAGAACAAAATAAAGAATCAATGGTAGTATGATAAAGGTCAAGAATTGAATGAAATAATCCATATTGATGAGAACAAGACGTCTGTTGATGAACGATTCAAATCTATAAAGTGAAGAAAAGAAATAGGCACAAAAAACTCATTTGTTTATATGTGAAGCGGCCAACAGGCAGTGGGTCCGTACGTTACATAGGACACTAAAGTATAGACTATCAAAACTTGTTTCGACATGGAAACCAAATCACTCGGTCGAATATACCTAAGAAACAAACAAATTATTGATTCAAGTCAATATTCAGCTATCCAATAATAATTTTCGATGTGCTTTTGTGTTCACTTCAAAAGATGTCATACTATTCACCATAGACATTACAAATTACATTAAATCGAAAGACTATTTTCCATAAAGATGACATGAATGTTTTTAATTTCGCAATGATCATCTGGTTTTATTAAACGGATTTATTTTTATAAGTAGCTTCCACAAATAAACACAAACAGTTATCACAAGTTTTCGTCCGATGATAAATCTTCATCCGATTTCATCTAAACGAATAGAATAAAACAATGTGTGAATCAGTATACTAAATCAATCTTACCTGTTTTTTCTCCGTTGTCGAATCGCTTTCATCACTCGGTCGTTTTTTCTTTGTCACTGCTTTTCCTAGTGGTCCCCATCTCGCATGAGGATTACCCATAAAACGAATTAGTTTGTTTTTTCTTGCTTCTGATTCCCAGTCTGGATGTTCGGTGAAATCAACTTGAATTGTCGATGGTTTCGTCAGCAGACGGTAATACGGTGAATCAGTGTTGAGTCTTTCAACCGCTGAACGCTTTGTCGGTGATTGTTCAGCTAAGGCTCGCATGATATCCCAAATAACTTCATGTGGGGCGTCGGTTTTGATTGCATCTTGACGAGCATGTGTTGATGACACACGATAACCAGCATTTAATATCGCTGACCTAAAAGAATGACTGTTCAATGAAGAATTTTGCTAGTGCAAAATATCACCGAAGAACTTTGTTTTGTGGTACTTGAGTGTGCATGATTCGTGCAAGTTTTGTATTATCGAAATACAATGGATTAGGTAATTCTTCTTTGACGACATACAACATGCTCAACATTCGATCCCGATAGGCATAGCTAGAAGAAAAAAAAAGCCAGAATGAACTCACAAAGAAAGAAAAGTATGAAAGTACCTATCGTGTGGTGCTTGTTCAATGGATCCTATTAGTTCGGACACAAACGAATGATCAAATAGTGGTCCAAGCCAGATGGGTCCACCTACTCGCAAACTGAACTTACATGTACAGGAAGAATTCGCGAGAAAAGTAGAGTGCTCCTACTTTGATCCACAGTGTGTACAAGATGTACCTACGGGCGGTCCCTGTGCATATCTAAACTTGGCATTATTTCGTTCATCGAGGCTCGCTTGTCCATATGGTTGGAAGAAGAATGATGTACAATGAGTGCAGTTGTACACAGTTGCAATATCGCCTAGTTGACTTTGAGCTTTAGCAGATCCATAGTTGATACGTACAAACAGACGTACGTAGAAATCAATTGACATGCATAGTAATGGTTCAATAATTCGATCGTACCGAGCAGCTTGCATATGTAGTGAATAGAGTATCATGCGCAATGCAAATTCATGACAGAATGGTTGATGTAACGGAATCGATCCGTACTTTGAATAGCAACTATTCATGAAAACTGTTGAGGGTGTGTGTTTTCAGTATGACGCATAACTAACCTGTGAGGATTATTTCCACACAACGATGCCATATCAGTTGCTGATTCGACATAGAATGATAGTAGAAGAATATGTTCTCAATTGTGTTCCGTCTCTTACCAGTTATGCATAGAACACCATTCTTTTTTATACATTGCACTGCTCCATCTGTACAATAAGCAAAGGTTTAGTTTCTTCAAACAGAGAAAACAAATGATTTACCGAGAAACTGTCCTGGTGTTCCGTACGGATCTAAGTCCACAACATGAAACTGATTCTCCGGTTTTCGATGGCTGTATAATAAGTTCATCGCATCATCATGACTTGCTTGAACGAGATTTTGAACATCATTTGATTGAACATTGTGTTTTATTGATTCAACTGCTCCTGCGTCAATGTCATTCGCATAAATTGTGTCAATTCCTTAATTCATGAAAATGTTATCAGCAAGTCATTGATGAATCCTACCTGGAATCTCTTTTGCATATCGAACCGATCGAAGACCTGTTGCTGAAAGAGCCTCAGCTATTTTCAATCCATTCTCTTGTCTCACACCCGCAGATAATTGTTCGAATGGAATACAACTCGTCTGCGGGTCGTTCTTTTGAATTCTCTTGCATTCATTTTCGTGATGATGTTTCGATACCAAACGAAGGCAAGCAACACTTAAATCTCGATTGTAGACCTGAGCGGGATTGTAGAAAACAGCACCTTCTGGTAAACGAATATTCGCTTTGCCTTCTTTCACTTGAACACTATCGGTCATGATGGTTGACAATGAATAATCGTCGTCGTCGTCGTTATCGTTATTCTTAGTTTCGATAGTAGATAATCTACGAGTAAGAATTGATGTTCGAATCAAGATTTGATATACACGTTTTCGTGTTAGAGTAAAAATCATCAATGAATATCAAAAAAAGAAAATAGACTGATGAAAGTTTTACCATTCTTAGAGACTATCACTCTGTTAGTGGAGAGCTTCTGTACGTTTATATTAAAAAGGAATGAAACATGAAACGACGGAAAAGTTTTATTTTAACATCGTTTTTTCTTATTCGTACCGATGAAAACATATCTCATATGACTTATCAAGTTATTATTACAAAGAGAGAAAAAGAGCGATTATGAAGAGGAATTATTCGATGCTGCTGGAACTTGTAAACGAGTTACTAATTCGAGTATTGTTGGATACAATGAACATTCATCTAGAAAGAATCTTTTAGATGGAAACGAGAAGGTTGATAGACTCTTTGATCTTACTTCTATCGAGGGTTTCTTTCAGTGCAGTCAGTAGCTTTGTGATGGTTTGATATTTGAGTTCGTGTCCTATGGTCGGATGTTTACTTGACGACCCATCCCAAAGATTTGTTTGATTATTCGCCATATCGTAGATTAACGGAACAACAAATGTGGATGTGTGTTGATTGTTAGCGAGCGAACTGTCATTAGGATTGAGTCGAGAGGTAAATCGGAACTGGAAAATAATTAAGTAATATATTGTGAGAAGAAAAGGAAAGGGGGAAGTCATACCACAAAAAGAAAATGTGATCGGTTAGGTTGGTAGTATATGCCAGGTTGACCAACTTGTGAAAAACCACAACCTGAAGGAATTGCCAAACACCAATGTGCGCGCCAGAAATGGTCGTGACTTTCAGGACTCTGAAAAGCACAAAAAAATTATTCATCTTCGGGATTGAATCTTTATTGTATGAAAATCTACCTGTTCGAGTTCAATTATTTTCACTAGGTCTTTCAGGGTACGCGGCTGAATCAAAGTAAGCATCCGATGAAATGAACCCATTGCTGTACTCAAATTTTGTGATGCTTGCAAAGATAGAATATCGATCGGTGGCGTCGTTATGTTTGTGTATGGCGATACTGGGAAGAACGTTTCATTGAGAAAGGTTTCCATATTTTCCAGTTCGTTCGGCGACCAGAATATGTTCGATGATTGTTGTATCGGTAATGCTGGATCAAAGATAGAAATCAAACGGATACGGTAAATATTTGTAAAACTATCGAACACAAAGGAAATTTGAAGCGATAAACGCTCGATTCGATAAGTATCTTGTTCGTTTGGCACCGATTGAATCTGAATGAATGAATGAATGAATCGAAATTCGTTAGGAAAAAAGCCTTCTTTTCTTACCGTAGTGTTATTTGCATCGACCGGCTCCGTCACACCTCTAGAAAACTGTCGGACGAGGATCGACGCCGCTAAGAATGACTCTAATCTTGACCAACAACGACCATCGGGTGTATAAATCATTCGAAAGAATGTTTTCTGACTCATATATACAGGATAATTTGGTTGAGTCAACAGTTCATGATTGTAACTATAGGAAATAGACGTTTGTTGATCACCTACAACGATTAAGTGTATATAAAGCGAAACAAACAGTGAACAACTAACCGGAATGCTCTTTTTGATTATTTGACGTTGCTATAGCTGAAGTAACTGGCAGCGAATCTCGAAATATAGCATCTACAAACGGATCGATGGTTCTTTTTGGAGAAATATATCATAAATCGCTTACCATAGATATCACTTGGTGATGAAACGGGTGGTTCGTTTGTTGTATCCATCAGAGAATTATACGCCGTAGAATCATTACCATTTTGATTTGCTGTAGTCAATGGCGGAAGTGTTATTTGCATGTCGGGTGATACTAAATCTTTTTCATGAAAACCATCAGTTATATTGGAAAATTCTAGTGCTAAACCATGGTCATCGGCGTATGACGAGAGAAACTCCTATGTAGAAGAAACATAATCGTATTGTTCTGAATCAAAGAAAACGCAGATTACTTTCAATCGAGGAATAGGCGATAGATCGGACAAGGAACTATTCAACTGTACACTAAATGAACCATCACGGACAAGAATGAGATCTGGACCGCAAATTTGAATGTCCAGAGTGAACACTTGGCCAAAGATTAAGCGCCATCGAGATTCCGTGTATGGAATAAGTGTCAACAGTGGCTGAACGCAACCACCCTAGAAAATCGAGACTACATACAGAACTTTCCATTCGATTCTAAGTAACTAACCTGATGAGCATAAGTGATTGGTCGATTAAAACAATTTAATCGAGCAATTGCCGATATTGGTATCGCAGTCATGTATAATAACTAAAACAAAATCACGTATAGAAAGTTTCTTTTTCATCTCTCAGATTGTATCTTACGCGTAACAGTTGTTTTAATGATTGTGTTTGATTCAAAAATAACAATAATTTCCTATTTAATATGCGATGAGCTGTTGCTAGAAATGTTGTTTTCTTTGTTTCGAATCGAAAATCAAAGATTTTTTCTGACGCTAGTTCCGTTTGCTTACTATTAAATGCTATCGTCACCTACAAGAAAAGAAAACTCAAGTTCAAGAGATCAAAATCGTTTGTCACCTACAGAGAAAGCAAAATCAGGCCCATAGTTAAATACACATTGAGAGAAATTAAATAAAACTAGTTTTGATATTGCATGAAATTCCACGGATTCTGAAAAGGAACGATGAGCGAATGAAAAACATCGACTCGATTCGATTTCAAATTACCTAATAAAGCTGAGGAATAATCTTCAAATAAATACGTCAATTCAAACGTCTTGCGAAATTCATGTAGAACAAAATCGACGATGTTCGAATAGAGTTTACGCGTTGGGTGTAGGAAAGTAAACAACAAATTATACGGAGCTAAAAGCAACGAAAAACAGACATCGCCCGAAATGATTTCTCAACGAAAGCCATACTCTTTATGAAGGCATTGCGAAAGTAGTTATTATTGAAGAAAGTCAGCTAGAAAACAAAATTCACTGCATTTAAATCGATAAATCTCCATCAAGACATTACATTCGTTATCCATAGTTGATCGACTGACGTTTTCTCCTTTGACGAATCGTACAAGGTGTAATTCATTCGAATTGTACTTGATTGTATTCGGGGCCAAAAGTATTCATTAACATAACCGATCAAATCCACATTTGATGAATCCGATTCATTGTTCATCGATATTCTATACGAATATCAAAAGAATCGTGAGGATGTTTCGTCTCGAGAGGAGCACTAACCGGGTAATTGTGAGATAAGGAATGCCAGTCCATGAGCAATAAAGAAGATTTTTACATGATGCGTTTTTACGTTGAAACTAGAACGAACAAAGAATGGTGTTCGGTTTTGACATCTATGCGATAGTTACGTCATCTTTGAGAAAGATAAACGACAGCATTTCATCATAGTAATTGACAAATTTCACCAAAGATTTCAACGATGAAACTGATACCTAAAATTGAGTCAATCAAATAAGATTTGCCGTTGGTTTTAAACTTCGGTCATTTTACCGCTTGAGTCCGAATCATCCCTAGGTCATCGTGGTCGTCATCATTAGTTTTTTTCGAGTGTTGGAATAGATGTTTGAACTACAGGAAAGAAAAGCTCTCTTTTGCCGAATCGTAGAGTAGATAAAAGCACAAACTTCAAACAATTCTTTTCGTAGAAACATTGTTGGATCTAATGGACATAAAACTAACGGTTCCAATGTCCACTTTATCTCTTCATCATTCGGTTTTGGTTGCTGATTCGAAATTTGCTGCTGAAGAACAAGCGGTTCGTGAGTTGACAGACGTTTTTCCACAATTAATAAATAATATTCAAGTAATAACTGTTCGACATTCGAAACATAAATAAGCTAAAACAGAATTTACTGTTTGAATATCAATGGAGCGAGTTTAATGTAAATTACGATGTAAAATCCTTCATGATGAATCAGTTCAATAGCAACGGTTTTGTTAATAAACGCCACAATGAGTTCGTTCTTCTGATTTAATGTTGGAATTCGTGTATAAATTCGACAATTCAGATGGGCTAGAAGCGGCGGGACACGTTGCTGGATCAACCAAATTCTAAACAATTCATACTGAAACAATAACATTTAAGGCGATAGCTAAAGTCGTACTTAAAAGAATTGATTGGCTCAGTGAGATTATTTGGATTATTATTGAGAGCACTTTCGATTTGTTTTGAAAAACGTGTTTCTAAATAGACAATGACATGCCCGAACTTGGCAAGACTCTAATTATCAGTTTACCCATATACGAAGCGGCTCTATATAAACCTGAATAGGGACTAATGGAGATGAATAACCTTTCATCAGACGTGCTCTCAGGTAGAAAATCGCATATTAATACTGGAATAGATGCATCGATTTTAACTAGAAACAAAAATTAGTTATTGTACCGAGAGAACAAAACTGAACAGAGCTGTTTTCCTACTTGACATTGCAGCTGGTAGGAGTGTTTCTCTTAATTCCTAAACGAAATTTTTTTACAATTGTGTTCGATATAGTCGAGAAGAGATAATCAACTAACTTCAAATCGACGCTGACATCGTGCGTAGATTGTACGATTCAAGATTTCTTCCATTGTAAATACAGGTTTCTGAAAACACAAATTCGTTGAATGTAATTCTTCTTTCTCTATTCATAAAATCAATATAAAGAATCACGCTCTTACCTGTAGTATGTTCATTATTGCTATACTATCATCAACGGGTAATGGTGGCCAGTGTTGAATTTGAAATTTACCCTCATCGTCACATATGATTGTCATGCCAATATCTAAAATTGTAATGTCATCCGAATCAATCTTTTGGATTTCCCAAAAAGTGTCTGTGTGTACCAATGGCTTTTCCATTGGCAACTTGTTTCCTTGATTGAGTATTGTTATTGAGTGTATTTGTGCTATAATCTTTCCAATATTCGACGGAAAAGCTTTTGCAAGGTACGTATTTGGATATGACTAACTCCCTTTGCTTTCCAGCTTGATTTCCTATTCGGTGAGCCTTGACACAAAAAAAAAAAGATTTGTTGAAACTAGAAGTTCAACTCTTGACTGTGCTTTACTTGTTCGAACAGAATTTGTAAACGTAATGCTTGACAGTAATAATCTATTCAGATAGTGATGACAAATAAACAAAAACAAAGAGTGGATGCATACGAAGGCGTTGGTAAAGATCGACTAATGGCTTGTCAGATTCATACAGCAAATTTTGAATAAAATTTGTCATCACTTGCATCTAAAGAGAAAGGTTTGAGTTATTTCATTGTTTTCTACGGAGGAAAATTTCAACTAACCTGCATCGGGTGTATAAGTTCTTGTTCTTGAACAAAAAGACGCATTTTTTCCTCATTCTCCGATATCTCTCGTTATTTCGTTACCTGGCTCTTCCGAATCTCGTAGGAACAGTTTCGTTTGATAAATATACCACGGAGACGAAAGATTATCATTAGCAACACCCAGTCTAACTTCAAATTCGCCTTCAACTGATAATGTCACCATTCCATTTTCTATTAGAAAACAATCGATAAGACCATGTTATATATATATATCACTCTGTCCGAATGTACGCACTGATTATCACATCAGTAAATTGAATTGGTAATTCTGATGTTGATATTCTTGCCATGAGAATTTGCTGTAAACGTGGTAAGATCTTTTGACGTTCTTTCTCTGTCGCGGGCGTGAAGGTTGTTGTTACTTCGGCGATACGTTTAGGAAGAAAATTCACAGTACCGAGTGTTAACACATCAATTGCATCTGTAACTGGAAAATTTGGTACACGAGCTTCGAGAAGTTTTCCACGTGCAAGTAGAGCTAAAGTATCGGATGTATGACGTATCAATTGAGCACGAATTTCCAGAAAATTTTGAATGTCCTATAGAGAGCGTGCGAATAATTTACAGATACCGATTGTTTTGAAAATATCTACTTCACACGCCGTGACGCGGCCTGTTGTAGCCACCCATTTGACAATTGCCAGTATTCGGATGAACAATTGTCGTGTGCGATAGACAAATCCTACTAATTCGATTTTTCTAAGAAAAATAAACGATGTCTATCTTTTTAAAACAATTTTTTTGATCGTTTATTACCTTTCTAGCGCTGACTTGTGGACTAAGCTAAAATAGGCAAGAGAAAAACGGTGATTCGGCATTTGAAATGAATGAAGGACATACACATCTGCCATTGTATATAATTCGTGGTATGTTTTTTGTACAGCTGCTCTGAGCAAGTCGGATAAACGAATTTTATCGAAGATTGGTAGAACGATAGCATTGTTACCACCAGTTGGTGGATTAACAGACATCTTGGAAGGAAATTGGCTAAATATCAAAAGTCCTAAGGTTTTTTTAAGTTAAGAAATTTCCTATTTGAATTTCAAGTTGATTCAGAAATGAAGTGTATGAATAGGTTTTATACTATACATTTCAGTCAAACTTTATTTGATTGGTTTGTTGTGTCAATGAATGATGTCTTTGAAAGGAGAGGAGAAATTTTTGAATGCTATTCACTGACATCTACGTCGACCATTGTATATTATTGATCTTATTGTGAATGAATGAATAATGTGTTCCTTGTTTCAATTCATCCACTCTTAATAATGATTTATTAAAAGAAAATTCTAGTGGAAAATAACTGTTTTAACGAAAACTTCACAGAAAAACAAGATGAATAGTCAAATCAATATGTGACTCTCAACGAGTTGTCGTCCACATAAGAATCGATGTTACTTCCACCTGTATCCTTCCTGGTGAATCTCATTATATAATCAATACTTCGTGTTCCTTTTGGTAATGGGAGATTTTTTGAATAGGGACACCATCCAGGATTTGTCGAACAAGTAAGTCCGCCAGATGACACTGTTTGGATTTCGGCGTAAGTCACCGATCGAAAAGTTATGATTACTTCAACTTGATCATAACGCATGAAAAAATTATTCCAAGTTTGATAATGAAACTCAACGCGTGCCACGAGACGACCAGAATCAAGTTGAGTCTCTGTGAATCCTTGAATACCACCTAACAGTGGAACATTTTGTGATAAAGCTGATATATCACCATTAGCTCCATATCCACCGGCAAAACAGAATGTTCCAGTTCGAGGATAATAATCTTTGTTAAACTTTCCCCCTGAATCAACGATGGCCGCCGCAGGACCTAGCTGTGTCCATCCTGCGATGTTTCCAGCTTCGGCCCCAGGATTTTTTAATAGATTAGGTGGAACCATCGTTGTTGTTGCTAAAAGGAAAGGTATTCGAAAGATACACCAAATCAACTTAACATTCTCACTTGTGGTTACAGTCGATGTCTTAACTAAAACGAAATACATTAGTCATATTTCGTATCAATGTATAGCATAGACTATTACCTGTCGTTGTTGTCGTTGTTGATAGTTCTCTTTCCGTATATGCATTATCCATATTTTCCGTAGACATAAGCAAAGTTGTATCCATCAAAGCCGTATCTGGAAAACTCAGAATATGCGTATCAAATGAATAGTGATCTTATTTATGGTTGACTCACTCGTCTCATTTAACTCCGAAAACACTTCATATACAAAGTAATGATCAAGTTTCCAATGAATTGCGACTATAAAGTAATCTTACTCATCGTTGCTGTTGTTTCAACTAAATCACATGAACATATCACTATAGATAATTTGACTAACATCAGAGCTTACATAGGACTAAAGGTGCCTCAGACTCAGATGTATCAACTAAAATATCGTTCGAATAAAAATTGATATGGACTTATATTTGGACATACTTCTATTGATGGTCACGGAATTGTTGTTTTCTATAATGAGGAACAATTGAGATGTCATGTCTTATAAATTATCGATACTCACCTTCCGTCAGAGGTGTTGTCGAAGTTTGTATTATGGTTGTTGTTGTACCTATTTTCGAGAAAGTGTGCTATTAATTCAAGTGATATCCAATATCTGAGACGTTACTGGGAGCTATGGTCGGCTCAGATGTTGTCGATACTATGAGACAATAGTTGGTTTGATTAGATTACAGACAGATCGACAATACCTGTCGTCGTGGTTGCAGTTGTCTTCCGCGTTGTCGTTGTTGCTGTCGTTAGTTTTGTTGCTAAATATACGAAACGATTTCCGAGTAAAACAATGCTTTAAATGTCAACGACAGTACATACTAGTCGACGATGTTGTAGAAGCTACGGAAAAAAACATTATCATGGTTATTTTGAATATTCAAAGAAAAAATTTACTCGTAATGGTCATAGTCATGTTGTTTGTAGTTGAAGTTAAAGCTAAAAACGAAGATCATAGAATGTCCAGCTAGAAAAACATTTACTTGTCGAGAAAGTACTCGTAGTCTCGTTGACTACTAAAATAGATCCTTTCATTCACATTGTGAAATTAATATATGGACTCTTACCATTTGTTGTTGGTGAAACCGAGAGACTCTGGTTCGATGTTTTTATCAAAACAACTGGTACAACAATCGTTGTGATCAATACTGATAAAATAAGAAGTATCACTAATGCCGTAAAGACAGGACTCGAAAGAAAAGATGAGCAAGTTGATTTACTGAAAGAAACTTATTAAAAACGTATGAAACTGTATGGATAAAAGTTTACCGGACAGGTGCTGATTGATTAACATAATTATGCGAGACGCGGACTTTGTTAGAGAACACCATTTCGATGGAGAATTAATCGAAGAAATCGTACTTCTTTCTGTTCTACCTGTTTGAAAACAATTGTTTTATTCTGTTATCAATCATATCATGAACAAATATTTCTGTATACCGATTAACTCAATCGATAAATTTAATCTTGCACTTGACACATTTACTCTCGTTTCTGGATCCTACAATGACGACAGAATTAATTTCGTTTTTCGCATTTTCAGTCGCTTTCATCTGTCTTATGTAGAAAATAGTGAGATCCAAAGAAGATATCAGCACTTGTGATTAATTTATCAATATTGACAAGATATTCTTGTTCCCTCGACTGAATGAAAGAACATTTGGATGCATTCTTACACAAGTGATTTTTAATCGGACAACTCTCTAAGCATACAAATCATTTCTCTAACGTTGTTCAGAATGGTAACAGCTGAGGATGAGGAGTGGCTCACTAGAGGAAGACCGCCAAACGATTCGACGTTACTCGGATTAAGAAGTAAACATTTTTTGAGATATGACTAACTAGTCCGATTCAAGCACTAAAAATGTTTGTCTACATTATCTGATGTGGCTGATGAACAGCGACATGATCACTCTGTTTCTGTACATCGTCAGCGACGGTGTACGGCGTTAGTTGCAGCTAGATGAAGACTCATCTACTTTCACAGTAAAGTTTTCTGGGTACGTTGAAGATACTGTAGTCTCCGTACACTGATACAAAGACTAACATTTAGAAGTAAGCGAACATAGAAAAATGCGAATGTCTTTTTAAACAAATTGAAAATAACAGCAAACAATGAAGCGAAGTCAAATGAATAGTTTATGATGTTTAAGTTATACATCCAATCCCATAACTGACCAGTCGATTAAACTCTTTTCTTTCATTGTTTTATATTTTGGAATATCAGTTTTGGCGATGACGATCAATTCGACTTGATTCGATGCTAAGGCTGCAGCTCGTATCATGATTTTGACTTCTTCATGTGATAGTTTTTCAACATTTGTTTTTCCAACAAATATAAGCACATCATTCTTACGAAGACCCGCTCGATACGCAGGTGACGCTTCTTCTACTTCACCAATCACATGAAGATGTTGGTATTGTAGTACTAATCCATAACCATCATACCTTTTACTCTTACGTAAACGACATAATTTCGCTTTCAACGGCTCTTCTTTACTCGTTTCATCGACCGGTGTTATGGTGTAGACTTCACAACGGCTTGATTTTGATGAAGTTGACGTTGCTATTGAGCCAACGGACGATTGTTTTCGTAATTCAAAACGACTAGGACGACGCTGACTAGGATCTACATCTGCATCTTCATGGGATGTTATAGGAAGTTCTGAGACGAGATTCAGTCAAAGAAATGAATACTCTTTTCTCCAATCAGACTTACCTGGTTGTTTTTCTTCTATGTCATTCACTGGCTCTTGGAGTAGCAGTAAATATTTTGGATCATTAGCAACAGTGAACACGATCGGTGTCATTAATTGCATTAGTTTTCGTACATCCTCATGTTCAAGACTGGTCACATTGATACCATTGATTTGTAGAATTCGATCTCCGTCTTTCAGACCAGCTTGACTTGCTGTTGAATCTGGTTGAATATTACTAAAGAAGTGTACTTGAGATGTTATATCAGCTTGAGGAATAAATGAATTGAAATCCAAACCAATCGCTTCGGGAATGGTTATATAACGTGTTTCACCTGGTTCAACCGCGAATCTCGAACTACTTGCCAATGTATTCGAGCTTTGTTTGTCTCAAATAAATAAATACTCAACTCATGAAACAAAACCTCATAATAAAAACAAACCATCGTCGCCATCATCATCGTCATCTGTCTGCAACGAAACTTGTTTCGGGATCGTCTTTTCGTTAGCCATCGTATCCGCGCAAAAAAGCAAACGTTTTATTAATTGTACTGAAGGAGGACATTGATATGCTTCGATAATCACACGTGTATAAATCAAAACAAGGCAACGAAATCATGTATCAAATATTCGTACTATCCAATAAATACACTCGACGAATCCGATTTAATACTATAAATATATATGTCTACGTCAAAACAAACGAAATCGCAGTGAATTCGATAGAAAAAAAGACGCATTTGTCGACGAATGTGTTGTGTATTTTGTAACGATAAAGACAAAACAATAGAGCCACATTAAAGACATGACAGGAATGCACGAATGTCATATGTTAAAAAGATGATTAAACAACAAAAAGATAGATAAATCTGATCTTTGGCAGAAAAAAGCAAATGAAAATTAAATGTATAAAAAAACCAGATTTGTGTACATGTGTTCTACTAAAAATTGTCGAATGAGTATTGAGAAAAAGACTGTTGGATATGAGAAAGAATCAATTGGAAGTATCACATAAGATGATAAGAATGTCGAAAGTTTACTGGTCGCTGGTTTTATTGTTGAAATGACGATGAAGTCGGTACAATTGATCATCATTTGAATGTTCAATGACGTCAGATAAAAGATTGGGGTACAGTTGTAGTAGTCTTATAATATAGAAGTATGATTGACTTAAGACAAATCGAAAGAAATTAACATACCGATGAATCGTTTCTCGCGCGCTTTGTCTCTGAAGAGTTTTTATTCGATCATTTAGCAAAGATGATTGATTCACTCTTTCAAACCATCCAACGACGTCTTTATCATTCATCCAGTCTACAGTCTAAACGAAAGAATCAAAGATGAAAACGAATATATGATCAAACGTTGTTTTACTTCATCGCTTCGATCTTCATTGAACCATTCTTGCAAGTAGTTCAAGATCGTCAGATAATTAAACGAAGAATCGGCAGCTAGGATGGTTTTAATCGCACTGTCCTCCGCTAAACGTCGTTTCAAGCGCCAATAAAAAAATTCGCGACTTGTTCGCCAGTCAAGAATATTCTGAAGAGACATTTGGTTTTTTCGATGATCGATCGAAATTTTGTGATTAAACTTACTCGAATAACTCCTTTTTCTAACATTCTTCCCGGCGTGTCATGTAAATCACAGAACATCACAGCAGCTTGCTGATATATCGGCAATAATTCATTTTCTCTTTCAGTCAATTGTTTTTCTAAATCTTCTTTGTTATTGTTTGTTGTAGTACTCACATTTGTAATTAGTTCACGACAGATCGGGTCGAGTCGACGGATTGTCTTAATCAAATCTTTTGAACGATATTTGATTTCGACAGTTCCTTCGGGTTCTAGTACACTACCGCGACTGAATCGATCCGCATACATTTCCATGTAGGGCAAATTTATCGTTGGATCGACAACTACCCAAGCACCGCCGCGCAATTCTCCGTACGGTGGAATGTAAATGAAAACAGGTTGATCGTATTCGCGTAAAGCGTCAACAATGTAAGCGCCGAACTTAATGATTTGATCGAACATGTCTTTCATTCCACCACTGAAACCACGCCAATTCGCGAAGATCATCAGTGGCAAATGTTCACGTTTGAAGTCGTTGATGGCTTGAGCGGTTTTAAACGCTGAATCGGGAAACCAAACCTGACCAGCTTGTTGAATTGTACGTGCGTCAGAATCGAAATTAGCTGGATCTGCTGGTTGCTCCAATTCAACTGTACGAGTTTCTACCGTGATAACACCCATTGCTACATGAAAAGAAACGGAAGAGATGCTATGAAACAATGTTTTAATACAACTTACGAATGCCACCGAGACGTGCTCGACCACAAACGACAGTTTTTGCCCAACCTTTCATAATCTCAATAAATGAATCTCGGTCAAAAAACCCTGATTGGAATGCAGACGAATTCGATGTTCCTGATTCGTTTGTATTTGCTGTTGCTGCGGCCGACAATGCAGTCATTTGTCTTCCTTGAATCATATGTCTCGGATCGTAGGGTGTTGATGTAGGCATAAAATCAATTGGGCGACTGACTGAGTCATTGAATTGTGCTAAGACTGGTGGCAAATGTGACATCGTTTCAGGCATATATGAAAGATATCGAAGTATAAGTACACATCCTTCGAAATCATCCTTAACAACATCATGTGTGACACCATTGTTAAACATGATTTGCGTACCGCCTAGCTGATTGTTACTATTGTAAACTTCCCGACCAAGAACTTTGTTTAGTGCCCCAGCGCCCGTTAGAATAATATGGGAATTTTCCACTTGTATTACACGTGAACCTAATCGAACAAGATAGGCACCAATACCAACTGCTCGACAAGTAACGAGACTAATTGTTGGTACAACATTATATGCGTACGAAGTTTCACCAGCAATCATGCCTGATCCACGTAAATTTTCTACCCCTAAACTGTTTTCTTTACCAAAAATATCAACGATTTTATATCGGACTTCTCCATGTTCTTCGATTCTTTCTGTTCGAACAGAATTCAAATGTGATACACGACTATAGCCATTTTCTGTTAAATATAAATACTGGATGCCTTTTTCAATATCATTTGGATCATTCCAAGCGATATGATAAAGATCTTTCAGTTCTTCTGCTAAGCCAATACGTGCACCGCTATTCGCTGAAATATATACTCGTGGTATACGTTCGAGACGTGATAATTCCGAAGCACGTTGGAATAATAAATCTTCATCCATGCCAAATGAACCGATTTTAAACGTTATATCGTTGGCAATAACAATAATCGAACGCCCCGATGGGCATTCAGGTGTTTTCATATGAAAACGCCATGCAACTATCCCACAATCATTTTCCGCTGGTGAACGTCGCCGAATTAGAAGACCGCATCGTTTGACATGATCTGCAGAACCACTGGCATGCGATGACGATTGTGTGTTACCTGGTAACAATAAGGAGGCAGAATCCGTTTGATTAACTATTGAGAAGCAAATAGAAGTCAGTTATTTCGAAAGAGTAAGAAGTTTTACTTTGATGTGATACGTCAAGAATAAGTTCTTCAAAGCTAAAGATATCAGCTGGAATCAAATTGTCCTTTAGTTTATTTTTCTCTGCATGTTGTTTCCAAATTAATAGCAATGCTTGTCGAAACATCTCAGGAAAATCATAGACATACGGTGTATTATTTGACTGAGCAGTGAAACGTTTATACTGTAAATGGTCTTTTGTCACGTATGGATCATACAAAGCTCGACCATCCAAAGGTCCTGTTCTATCGGTAGCATAACTTTGGAAAATAGTCCGTCCTGTCGTTTGATTTTTCACTTCACGATAAAGAGATATGTCAAGATAGTAACCACTTTCATAGGTTAGAAATGCACGCATGGGAATCCGTTCAGAGTCAGGTGTTAAGCGTATGGTCATTTTTAACTCGGCTTGAAGGATACGAAGTTTCCATAATCGAAGTCCTTGAAAATAGAAAGACATAGCGACATGTTCTATTTTCACCACAATACGACTCACCATAACGTAATACCATTTTACGAACACTTTCCTCTAGTCTCGGCGGATCGATACAAACCGTCGGCACAAAACACATGAAAACATGATTGCAGTCGGTTTTACTTGCTAGTGGATGGGAAAAGGCGATTTCTAACTCATCCATGGCTTCTAATAACGTTCGTTCGGCTTCATTTTGAAGATAATCATAACTTGCTTCTTTGGTAACAAAATCGGAATGGCGAATAATCGATCGAACAAAAAATCGATGGTCAATAGCATCATGTTGTTTCGAATAAATCTTCCCTTTGCCTAAATAGAGATGCATTTTGTGATTGGAAGTAGGTATAAATTCAAGGTCAAATGATCGTAAGCGATAGATTTCTAATTGATACGCGAGTGCTGGTTCTAAATTTCGATAAATTTTATCTTCTTGAAACTATAAAAAGAACAAGCAACTTATTAAATTTTAGATAAACTCAGCCATACTTACATCCAATCGTTTTCGGTAAGTATAATACATAGGGAATTGACGCTAAAGCAGAACGTAATCAAAAGTTGATATAGATTAGTCTTTCGCTTTACTTTGGCAGCGACGGAAAATGTCACCCGTCGGATATTCTTCGCTTTGCAGACTTCACTCTAAAAGTAACAATATTTCTACTAAAGAAGACATTTCCATTGCGATGGGATACACACCTTCGCTTGTATAAATTCCGAGAAAACATGTTCAAGTTTTGAACCCTGCTGTAGGTTCACATCATCTTTGATAAAAACATAGATCAGATTTGTTGCTTCGTCAATCTAAATTGAACAGAACAAATCTATACACTCATTGCATTTCCCAGTTTTTACTCTATTCGTATGTGAGAGTGATGATGAGCCGTCGTACGACGATTGCCGATTGTGTAGCTGCGCGCGCTTAGCACGAAACTGAGATGAATGTGCATCAGGATATGTCGTTGTAAATGGTGTTAACAATTCATCAAATGAGCTAGAATCGATCGAATCTATGTTTCAATTCGATAATCTTCAATCGTGACAAACTTTTTCGCACGGTCCCAACTTTCGAAAGCAGCGAAAATACCATTACGTTGGAATAATTCTGAATCCAGACTACTTAGTGACATTAAATCACCGCTGACACTGCCAACACGAGCGATATTTTCATGTTGAAATAACCTGAAAAATTCAACTCAATCTATGTGATCCTAGTGTGCATCTTTCAGACCGATTCGGGTGGTTATGTGGAAGATACATGGCAAACTGAACAGCACAAGTTCCGTCGGATAAAAATCGGTGTTGGATACTATTCAGATCATACGAAATATATGATCGACGTACGTAAACCTACAAACAAATTGTCGTAGACATTCGAAACATATAGACACGAAACGGATACCTCTAGTGCTGCTTGGCAAACTTGAACATTGGAATGGTAAAAAAAGCTATGTAGAACATCGAAGATACTTGTTTCAGACAGGATTAGTTTCTTAAGAAAACATTGTTAATTTCGCATGGAGCTTTTATCAATCCTTACTTGAATATTTTCTTGACATAACTTATGTCCGTACATATCAATTGCACTGAGAAAAATCGATTCCATTTGATTATGTCGTAATTCATAGGGTGGTTGTTGAAAAGCAGTTTTCACTTGTCGAGATTTCAAAGCAACTTTCGAATTGGTTACATGTGTTAAGGACGTTAATTCACTTAATAATACTGTCAGTTCATCAGTTAATGTGGGATCACGATCAAATAATAAGTCAATTAACATAATTACAAGAGTATTTTTTGCATTGTAATTCGCATGTGAAAAAACAATTTCAACAACTTTATGCATATCGATTTTATGTTTATCGCGTAGTAATGTTAAGCATTTATCGTATTGTCCGTATTGAAATAATGTTTCGATGTTCAAATAGTTCCTGATCAGATCAGTTATAAACGATTTCATATGACCTTTGATACCTGTTCGATATCGTTGAACTAGTTGTACAAGACTTTGTACAGTTACAAAGAATGCATCGCGGTCACTTTTTTTCTCTAATTTTGATGCGTAACTGTCAAAAACAGATGCGATTGCTTGAGAAGGGAATTGCACGAGGACAGATGTTAGATTGCTCTTGTAGCTTTTCATAATTTTCTTCGTTTCTTTTTCGACTTCTTTAGGTATGCGATCGGATATGTTCGACAGAATATCTTCAACTTCGAGTAAAGGTAATGCAGGATCGCGTAAAATTGAAAATAACTGTTCGACATCTGACTTTAGTCGTTCGCGAAAATACGGTTCGGGATAAGAATAACCAGCAAGGATATTTTCTAATGAACCTTTGATTATTTGAAAGACTTGGTTGACTTTTGTGCTCGCTAAATGATTCAAATTCTCGAACGTAAATTTCCCATCGTACAGTTTTGATTGCTGAATTTGTTGAGAATCATCAAATATAATACGTGCGAGAATACACGAGGCGTCAAGTATAGCTCCCGATCGTTTATTCCATTGAAGACTAAAGACACAAAGATGATTTTCATAGATCACAAAGTAGCGAATTCACCTACTGTCCTTTCGATGGACAACGTAATTCTGTCACCATCTTCATAACTTCAATTTCAGCGTAGACTTGTCCTGCTTCAATAGCGCCTCCGTCTTCAACTGTGTAATGAAGAAGTTTTCCTGCCGATGGCGACCTGTGAAAAGATTTTCTTTAAGGAAAAAAAAACGAATGACATTTGTTTGAGTTCAAACCTTAATATTGATGGGTCGTTTTCTTTTTGAAATACACATGATTTATTATTAACAACAATTCGATAACTATCAACTTCTTCTTTCATAAATGTTAAATAACTCGAATTTTCTAAATTGATTAATATTCCACCGTCCTTCATACGATGTGCTTCTAGTTCAACATAAGAATCGTTCATGACAACAAAAAATCGAGTGGGACCGCATTGTGTCACCTATTTACAGTTAGTCATCGTTCAACAGAAAACATGTAGCTGTTTTACCTGTAATTTGTATTTGATATATTCATAAATGAGCTCCACATGATGTGAAATTGAGAGAACACTCATGGGTAATATCTGACCGCTAGAAAAACAGAATGATCAGTATGGTTAATCGATTGTTCGCTTTCGATTCGCTTAGAAATATACCGTTCGAGCGAGGACTGGAAATTTTGGAAATTATTTCTAAAAGTTTCATCTGCAATATGTATTGCACCACAAACCACAGATAAGATGATATCAGGTTTTTTCGTTTGAAAACGTTCAGCAATTAAACCGTCGAGCCAACTAGTCTTAATAGTATTGTTGATATAATCGTCTGTTTCGAGTAGTCGGATCAAGATTTCCACTGAAAGTAAAGAGCAAATATGAAAAATTTCTCTTCAACCGTTTGGCTATTACCGGTAGAATGAAAGTCTCCGCGAATTGATAATTCTTTTAATGCTACAACTAAATTTCTGAAGGAGAGCAATACAATAGATAACTGCGAAGGAACTCAACATACTTTTGAGCATCTTCACGTGTATCACCATGTGAGAAGATGTGTCCGAATTGTGAATCAGCATACTCATGTAGGCCACCAGCTGATGAGATACTGAAATATCCCCAGACATTTTGCCCACTACGAAAATTTAATTCTTCAACTGTTCCTGAGCTTGGTTTAAAACCCTGTAGAAAGATGATGAAACATGACAAATTTTGAACTCTTCACCAAGACTTACTTCATTTGGATTTTCACTTGTGATACGCGCGGCAATGGCATGTCCGTGTGGATGAGGTTTTGTACGAGGAGCATCGAAATTAATCGGTCCAATTCCAAACGGATCTTCTTCATACAATAAACGAATATCTTTTATCCGATGTAAGCATATTCCCATAGCAATTTGTAATTGACATGCAGGCAGATTAACATCGGTGATCATTTCCGTGCATGGATGTTCTACTTGCAATCGAGGATTTAATTCAAGAAAAAAGAATGTTTGATCACTTGGATTATACAAATATTCAATCGTTCCCGCACTAAATGAAATGACATTTGAATTTACTCGATGAAAACTTTAAAAAAAACAAACCTAACATAGCTGACCATTTTAGCTAAACGTACGGCCGCTTTCTCCATCTGTTCAAGAATCTCTGGTGGAGCGATAATGGCTGGCGCTTCTTCAATAATCTTTTGGTGTCTTCGTTGAATGGAACAATCTCGACCGAACAAAGAAATTGCTTCGCCGCTCTGATCAGCAAGTATTTGCACTTCTAAATGCCGGCAACTATCCGCATATTTCATAAGGAATATTGGAGAGCCGGGAACTTCAGCTTGGACTTGACGAAAACAATTCTCGAAATCGTCACGATTCGTCACTTTACGTATGCCTTTTCCACCGCCGCCTTCAGATGCTTTGATCATCACTGGAAAGCCAATTCGACTAGCAATCTAATTATTGGAAAAAAAAGATCCATAATGCCTCATTTGAATTCAGACGTTCTTCTTACTTCAACACCTTCTTTACCATCGGTCACACATGCTCGTTCGTATAGTTCGATGGGAACAGTAGCATTTTCTCGATCTTGATCGTTCCAATCCAGTTTCAGATCTAAAATTTTCATCGACACATTTTCTAAACAAACAGCAACTTTTTCCGATTACGCGATCCGCTCCATGGCAATGTTGGCACGTCAGCACTTTGAGCAATAATTGTGGAAGCTATCTTGTCTCCTAACGCCCACATGGCTTGCTCTGGTGGACCTGTTTTGACATAAGCAGACAATAAGCATCTCATTCGAAAGTATTGCTATGCATACCAATAAATATTATTCCGTGACTATGTAGTAGTTCTGGCAGTTTTGGATTTTCGGAGGCATGGCCCCATCCGGCCCAAACAGCTAGAAGAGAAAACGGTTAAATTATAATTTCATACCGAAGAAACAACAATCATCAAACCTTCGACAGGAAATCGTTTTGCAATATCAAGAATTAATTCACAATTCGAATAGTTCATATGTGAAGGGCCACCTTGCACATTAACATAATGATCTGCATATCGGATATACTCTAGTGGAGATGTCAAAATTCAGATTCTATATTGAACAGAGAAAGTTAAATCAAACCAGCATTCGCTTTCATATCTTCCGGTGTAACCATTGCAACAAATTTGATCGCGTTTTCCTGTCGAAACATCTCATATGACCAACGACGTATTGAACGCATACATTTAACCGCGGCTATTCCATTATTTGCAATAAGGATCTTGATAATGAAAATATCGACATAAATAGTCGTACTTTCGTGTAAAAATGTCTTACTTTATTTATAACACGAGATCCACCTAATAAATCACACAATTCTTTTGGTGTCGAGACATTTGTTGTTCGTAAGCCAACAGATGCCATATTCGGACCAGACATGTTTCTGTAGAACGTCGATGTGCAACGATAACATCATTAGAAGAGAAATCTTACCTTGTGTAACGTTTCTTAGTTGATTTTTGATCAATGGAAAGTGCTGATGCTGCCGGCAGTAGAGGATTGCCATCATTTACGATGGAAGCGAGCGGAGATGGCGTCGGATCATCAGAGTGATCCGAACACTTGAAAAATGTGGGAAATTCATCTGATGAGTCATTGCCATTGTCTATATTTTGGCAGAAACCGAGATCGAATTTGACTTGTGGTGTTTGCGAACTACGTTTGCGTCGTAAATTTGAAGGCGAACTTTCCTCTTCATTATTAGAAGCCATTAAAACCGAATCAGTTACAAAAACAAGTTAATCTATCTATAAGTAAGTCGAAGAGCAAAAAAGTTTACTGGACACGAATATCGCGTGAAAAATAGAATAAAAGTCATACGGTCTTTTTCTCGTTCTCTTCTATTAAATTTACTTTCCATTTCGTCTATGAATCATACATCACACACCCTATTTCTTCGCAGCTTTTAACTTCCAACCAACAGACGTTGATAGAATTAGATATCTGTACTTCTTCTTCTATCGCATTGTTTACTGTACTCAACACTGATGATAAAAAACAAACCCGTCAGTTACAGAGTATGTTGGAAAGATTTTTCTCGAGAGCCTAAAGTGTTTTGATCTAAAGCAAAAGAAAAGCATAGCAATACATGAAATAATCATCTTTTATGCTCAAACCCGATTGGATTAGCAAACTTATATTTTTTGTTTACACTATAAACAAACAAACAGGCAGACAAACAAATATTGCTTTCGATTTTCACATGACAGAAAAGAAAAAACAAAGGTGATATTCAGTTAAACACGATTTTCGTCATAATCAAATTGTTCTTGCTTATAACAATTGACATGTAGTTGACTAGAACCATCACCATCTTCATCTTCATCGTCATCGTCATCATCATCATCATCACCACCAACACCACCTTCATCATCACTACCATTTAATGATGATTGTATAATTGCCCAATCTTCGATAATGTCCATATCGGACAATTGATAAAAGATCGCTAAATTATCTTTATCGATGTTCTTGTTCGTTCCATTCGAAAAATTCATTTTGCGTTGCTTTTTATTTTCTTTCAGAGATTCTGGCGATTCGAACCGTTTCTTATTCGGTGATATCAATTGTTGATGATTTTGTGGAAACATCTCTTGTAAAATGTTGGAACATAACTGTGTTTTACTTTTCAATGTTTCTAATTCCTCAATCTTCTTCTCAATCTCTTCGTGCATTTGATGATGTAAAAGAAACTTATCATTTTCTAATGTTTGCTGTAAACTCAATAATTCAGCTTGATAATATGTTTCTAATGATTCCAATTCGATCTGACGACGTTGTTTCGCGATTTCCAAGCGCAATTGCATGTCATCGTTGAGTTTCCTCAACTCGTCTTGATATTCTGGTGCTTCTTCATTTTGAATTGATTGAAGTTTTTGATCAATTAGAGATAAACTTTCGTCGTAGAGAATGTTTTTCAATTGTTCAAATTGTTTTTCGACATTCATGATTTCATACATGATCTCGTAACGCCGAGAATCGAAATAATCGATTGTTAATGCAGACGAATCGTTGGTACCAAATGTTTGAAGAATTTGTTGGATATCGTCCATGGACTCGAAGCCATCGTCATCAATACCTTCGTCGTCGTCATCGATGTCATCCAGATCTGTCAAATTTGGATAATTAGGATTGATGTGAGGTGATGAGATAGTTCCAGTTTGAGGCGAAAGATTCGCTGGATCGTCGTTTGAGCTCATGATTTGTGCGAGAAGAACGATATTTTTCAATCGGATAACAAATAGCTGTGTTTGAGTGAACTAAAGGAACGAACGAACGAACGAACGAGTATTATATTATTTAGTCTTTCTATTATTTGTGAGTGGAACAAGAGACCAATCAATAAGCATTCGGCGTGAAGAGCGACATCTTTTGTTTTTGAGGTGACATTTTTCCGAAAAGTTTTGTCTTTCTTTCCTACGAAAGAAAAAAATACGTCACCAAACATTCGAGCGAATCAGATGACAGTTCGCGAGCAAAAAGAGCGAAAAAGAACGTTCCGGTGCCGGGGATCGAACCCGGGCCTAGACGGTGAGAGCGTCCAATCCTAACCACTAGACCACACCGGACTGCTACTCCTTCTTCTAGAACGTAATCTCATCATCTTCTCTAGCAAACGAATAGAAAAAGCCTTTTCAAAAACTATTTGTTTTCATTTTTTTCGTGTTACGACGCATATGATGCACTAGTTTTGGTTATCGTCAAGTGATGACACGCAGTGAAGTATAACGAAGGAAGCATATACGTGCACTTTTTCAGCTGTCTGCCTTTGCATACTAACTCGGCCGGGATTGAATCATTCAGTATGAACATACAGTTTTCTCGGGTAGCACTTCAACCGGGTGAAAAAAGATCGGCTCAAGTTTGATTTTCCAAGAGGAATGTTCATTCAGTGTGGATTTTTATTTTAGTTAGCATATTTTAATCATGAAGAAAATCTTCAACAGGCAATACACACCTTATTTCAAGATAAAACATTCGATGTACCATCACCAAAACTGATCATTACGTTAGAAGGTGGATCGCAGACAAGTGGCGAACGATCGAATGATTTTAATGAAAAGCAATTTTCAGCATCAGTAGCCAAACTACTCTTGGATATAGGTAAACGCTTAAGTTCAATTTGTATCGAAAATAATCTTCTTTTCATCCAGGACAAAACAAACTAAATGATCAAAATGGTACTCCATGGTTATTTACTTCTGTTCGATATGTACGATTCTGATTTCGGTAGCATTTGAAGTATAGTTTTTCCGTGTATAGGATCCCGTTGCTGGTCGTATTATTCAAATAGCAAAACAACAGTATCTAGCCCATGACATACCATTATCAAATTTTGTTAACATCGGTATTGACGTTTGTGAATCAACATCAGTGAGTTTCATGTGAGAAAAAGTAGAGAAAGCTTTTTTCCGGAAATTCTAGGTGAATTCTGGTTTACACGATTATCGATCGATCGTTCATGCGATTCGAAGTACAAATGTCGATCTCATACCAGATGGGTGTAGTAACTCTAATCGCATCGTAAATAAACGACTATCACATTTGATTCTATATGGAAAATCGAACGAAGATCCTATTGACCGATATGCCATATTACAACAGTGCATTGATGAAATAAACCAAAGACATGAAAAAAGCACAAATGACAAGTGTAAGTTTTAATGATATTTCTAAGATACGACTGCTTATGGATTTCATGGTAGTAAGTATATCAAAAATGATATTATTATACGGTGGTGATACAAATCATATTGAACCACTCCATCGATTAATGAATGTGCAAAGTCAAAACAAAAAGTTTAGTTTGATCATTATTCGGGTAGGGTTCGCTGTTTCTTTCAATGGCAGGTACGGTGCATTGTAAATATATTCCAGGGCTCTGGAGGTTTAGCGGATATTCTTGCTTGGATATTCGAAAAGATTCGAAACGGTGGTTTGATGTATGTGTATAACTCCAATCGAAAGTAAGTGAAAGGCACGTTTAATCCTTATAGGTCAACGTAAATGCGTTTGAAGGTCATTAACTTCGATGTTTCTTCGAGAACTGAAAGTACTTGTCGAGCAATTACTGTGTAGTGATATAACCAACGATTTAATTATGTTGACTAATTATTTAACATCAACACGATGTGAAAAAGTTTGTGTCTGTGATGAGAATGATGATCTATCGCTATATTTTCTTGAGGCTTTGATTGCTGGTAAGTGTTCTACTATCGATCTTTTCATATCTCCAATATTCATCCTTCCAGAAAATCAAACAGAACGTTTATCTTCGTTGAAACTACACCTATCATTAGCTTTTGATCTAAATCAACCAAAATTCGCTAGTAGAATACTACGATATAATCAAGATCTTCCAGAAGAGGTAAAGTTTTGTTCTCAATGGAAATTGTCAACCTTCATTTCTCACAGGATGTCATTCAATTAGCTAAAATGGCTATTATTCGAGATCAAGTGGAATTTTTCCACGTGTTAGAAGACGTTTGCGGTGTAACATCGGATAATCTCGGAGAGAACTTCGATCGTGAATTGAGTTCGAAAATGGTTTGGCGAGAAGATCGCTTGTACACATATCATTGTTTTGTCTGACTAGAACTACAACCACGCTTTGTTTCTTGAATACATTCAACAAGATTTCGGTTGTGATCTTGACGAAATGTATCAACCGGTAGTGTTGTGTCGAATGGAAAGTAAACAAAATATTGGTTTGAATGTTTTAGATAGGCGAATCCAGTGAACATACAGAAGACGAAATTCATTCAATTAATGTCAAGCTATTTCTATGGGCGATCTTTTTTGATCATTATAATCTATCATTGCATTTCTGGAAACGTTTGAATGTAAACTATCATTGAAATTTTTGGATATGTTTCGATAGATTTTTCTCTCAAGGATCGATTATGTGCTGCTCTTGTTGCTGCACTTGTGTATCGTCAAACTGCTGATTTGTGTGTGAAACGTAGTTCGACCGAGAGTATCACTGTGGAAAAACTTCGAAAGCATGCTGAGTAAAACATGTCGAAACCGCACTTTCCTCATTATTCGCTCGCTTCGATTATTTCAGTGACTACGAAAACTTGGCAATACGTTTACTTCAATCTCTTTATACCAGCAATCCAGATATGGCGAGACTGGCGATCAAAAGAGAGAATTATGAATTTAATAAGTTTTCATCACTTGAAATTGCAAGTAAGTTCGACGAATATTGATCATTTTCTAACACTGACTGGCAGTTATGTCAAATAGTGAAAATTTTGTTGGGCATACATGTGTACAAGAAGTATTCGATATCGTTTGGTTGGGTAAATCCAACGATAACGTAAAGTTTTTGAACAAAATATTAGAGAGATCATACGAATTTCGTTTAGTCAAAGAAGAAATCATTTGATCGAATACTAACGGGTGCAACTTCTTCGTTTGGACAAGCGACAAAATCAATTGCGTATGAATGATGTGCCTCTGTATTTAGAGAAGCCCGAACTTTATTTGTTTCAGAGTTACAGATTATAAAAACGTGTTGAAATATTTCCTAACAATTAAACACCACTTATCACGTCCACAAGTGAAATATCACTTACATTTCTTATTCTACCTGATCTTTCTATCTCTACTTTCGTACTTGGTTTTGTTTGTAAAAATACCTTTACTTCAAGTTGACGAAGCATGTTTAGAGACACAATGTTTCAAACAATCATGGTCAATGTTACAGATAATAATTAATATCTGGATATTTATGTTCGCGCTCGAAGAATTTCGACAAGTAAGAAAATGATTGAACAATTATTCGTGTTACATACTGTTCTACATAGGCGAAAGCATTAAAGACAAAAGAAAATGGGATTCGACAAACGTTCATCGTCTATCTCAGCGAATCGTGGAACAAGCTCGACGCCCTGTGCGTCACTTTGTATGTCGTATCGATTGTTCTTGAATGTTTTAATACAAAACTCACTTTGAATGCTGCAAGGTCTGTTTTGTTTTCATATGAGTTAGTCAAACTGTTGATTATATTCGTGATAATAGAGCTTTTCTTGCCATTGATGTTGTACTTTGGTTTATCCGATTATTAATTTTGTTGATGATTGATCGAACGGTTGGCCCGATGCTTCTTATGATTCAAGCAATGGTAGGATTGGTGTGTGTTAGAATAATATTTGATTCACGTCACTTGACGTATTTCGAATAGAGCTTCTGTCCGTAAAGAAAAGTACACGAAAAACTAAAAGTTATCTATTTGTAGCTTAGTGATATGGTTACGTTTTTCTCAATATTCTTCGTGTTTACTTCGGCATATGGTGTTGCTTCGTTTGCATTATTGAAGAGTGGACAATTATCTTTAGATTTGACATTATTTCGAAAAATTTTTCATCAAGCTTACTGGTATTGTTTACAGTTAAGTAACGCTCTACAGACTTCCAGTCTCTTTATATAGGCATGTCTATGGTGAAATCAATGATCTAGATGATATCAAAGGTAACTTACTTACAAGAGACTTTGAATTTATTCTTTGGTTATGTTTAGATAATTTTGAATTGACTGGATGGGCTGCTTTTGTCTTACTCGCCTTCTATATGGCTATCAGTAATATCCTACTCGTTAATCTATTAGTAGCTATGTTTTCGTAAGGAAACTTCGTTTGAAACCTTAGAAAAATAAAATCGTCTCGAGTTGTATCTTTGTATAGAAATACATTCGATCGCATGTTTGCAAAAATGGATACTCTGTGGAAATTCAATCGGTATGTGAACCCATTCGACAGAAAATCATCTTATCTGCCTTTTTCATGTCAGGTATTATGTCATCAAAGAATATACAATCCTTTCTCCATTGCCACCACCATTGAATCTATTCCATACTAAAAACCATCATTTAAAACCATTTAATCGTATGCTTGCTATCTGCTACCAGAGAATATCTCTCTGTATTGTTTTTGATTTTCTTCTTAGCTGAGTTATCACAGGAGCAAATGATCACCTTACAACGACGTGAAGCATTGGCTTATGCAAGTGACTTGTTTGAACATGAGACTAAAGAGAAGCAAACAGATATAGACCATCGCGAAAAGATTGATTCACGTCTACATCAACTGAGAAAAATGCTAACTCGTGTGAAAGTCACTTGCGAAGCAGCAGGACAAGATGTTGAAGTGTAATATCTACTAAATCTATATGAAAATGATGCTAGACGTTGTTTTTTTCTTTCGTATATTGAGTGTTATATGATCAGTTTGTAAAGAGAGATTTGATTTATTTAGAGAGAAAATAAATTTAAGTAATAAATTAATCATCAATAGATTTGCTTCAGATTGATTAATAAGAGCAAAATTATGAAGGAATTGAAGAGAGTCATTGAAGTTGAATGTGATGACTGGCTGCAAAAGTCAGTATTACAACAGCAAATGGTGACTTTAAGACCGTTTATCCATATTTTCTCACAACCGTCACCTGCTTCTGCAGCTATTGTCTCCTACTGACCTAGTTATATTACTTTTTCCATCACTTTTGATTGTGTGCTTCTATAAACATATAATAACTATCACATAGAAAAGTCTTTCAAAACAAATTACGTACCTTACACCATTCGCCGGGAGATGAACCGTTTCTATCGTCAACCTGAAGTGGATTGAATGGTTCTTTACATACTGGTCCTGTACAACTGTGGCATTCTATGGCAACCTTGGAGTAGTTTGTCGAAACAACCGGAACTGTCAATAGAAATGTGAAAGGAAGAAAACTCTCAGTACAGTCACAGTTCTTCTCATTTGCAATGACATCAATCTGAAAGTTCAGTTTAGTGCGCTGATACGTCTAGACATATTCAAAAGTTTCTTCGTCTATTGATGGTTAGAATAAAATGTAGACATATAACTAATCGTCACCTTCTGGATTAGTGTGTTCTTTATAACTGTGTTCGATACATTGGATGAAATAAATCTCTCAATATATTTGGTGAATGTCCCAATGAGATTTAATCGTATATATTTTACTGTAACAAAAATGGGCGAATTATCCACGATATAATCGTAGTTTGAGGCCCTCATAAACGAAAAAGCAGCTTGAATATACAAAGTGTAAGAGTTTCTTTTGGAGCTATATCTGACGAGATCATGAACCTTTTTTCGTCTCTAAAGCACTTCGTGAAAGCGAAAAAATGGGTTGTCTATATCTCTTGTAAACTCATCAATCTTTATTTTTTAGATGCTTTATTCCTGAAAAGATAAACTCTGAATTTTTCTACAAAATCCGTATAACCGTTGTAGTACAAACGAAAGGACTTTTACATCTCGTTCGATCATAGTTGCCATGGCATTGGAACAGTATTTACGGGTGGGAGTATTGGTCGTTGAATTGTAGTTTTTCGAGCTTCGTCTCGAACTGTTTCGATGGGATAAGTCGCAAACGATGATTAACGATTGCTCAAATAAACCATAAAAGTTCGAAAGAAAATTGACTATTTTCTGTCATGTAAATGGCGACATTTTTCTTACTTATATCAATCGATTAAAATCAGATCTCCAAGAAAACGATATAATCGCACATTTTCGTGTGTGTGTTCTCTGCCAACGTCATTCATCTTATCTATGCAGACCATGATTCGAACAGATAAAAATAATGTCAAGTAAACTGCAACAACGACGATTTGTATAGAAGCGAAGTTGTACAAATGCTAACATTCGCATCTTTTATTCTGTGGCAGGAGAAACGACCAGAAACACAGCTTCTCACCTTTTTCCATGCCTTATACTGCGAGAGGACGGATCATATCGAACACGCGCTCGTTAACTTGGCCCCGTTTTCTTCATATATTCGATTCGATAAACAAGGAAGTCTTCCTCTTATCTGATTGTCAAGTAAAAGAACATGAGTGATGTCATAATCCCGTTACACCCGGTATTCATCCAAAAGCAGACAATTCGCCACGTTACCATATGCAGCTGAGTCGGTGTATCCATTTTGATACCCGAAAAGAAGTGTATCCTGAAAAGCTAAGAAAGATGAGTGAATTTCATGTGTCCAGCTACCACCCTCACCCTCACCCTCAAGATGGATAATGATAAAGCGGACAATAACCAACGATTCAACGTATCGAAATAACTCGGTCTACACAGGTAGAATTCTAGTTAATTTAAATGCCGCTAACATCGATATTGAAGCTCTTGAAACAAATCCCATTACTGGAGAATCCAAAAAGATTGTCTATCGATATCAATTACTTGACTCTAAAACTATTTTACAGAGATTATTGGAACGTTTAACAACCTATGGGAAACTACGTGACGTTCAAATTCTTCTTTGATTAATCATAATATTTGCACACATATCAAAGACAAATTTCAAAACACGTATGTTCATCATTCGACTAATAATTCCACTCAAGATACCGAAGAGAAATGGTTAGTTGTCATCATCTTGGATGCATTTTTACTTCGTCAATTTTCCGATGATGTCAAGTTTACTCGACCACAAAGTAAAATTGATGAAGAACAAGCTGAAGAATATCGAGCTAACCAGCAGATTTTGTCTTTTCAATGTCATGATTATTACATTGAACAAGACAATCGAATGGGAGCTTGTACACATCATAACGGATTCATTTATGATGTTTTTTCGGTAGACTTGGCTGTATGTATTCGAAAACGTGTCATTGAAAGCCTATTAGACGAAGAATCGCGATTCAATGGTAGACTCAATCGTAACCCTCCAACACAGGAAGAGAAGGAAAATTTTGAACGACAAAAACATCGATTCAGATATATCTGTTGCGATCAAGTTCTTCAAATTGGTGGTGCAATGATTGGATGTAAACGAGACAAGCATAGTGAACCAAATGTTACTGGTGAGCATTGGGAAACAACTTGTAATAGAAATCAAGAATACCGACAGAAAAGATTGGCACTACTTAAAAAACGAACTCAATAACTATATAAATTCACTTGATCTGTTTTAGAGATAAATAAGAATGCTTGACTTTCGCTCAAGAATGTTGAGGATCAATGTACGACAGATACGATGTTTTTGTATTCTATCTAAAAAATAACTCAGAAAATATGCTTCTTCGGAATTATTAACGAGAAAATCAATAGAAAAGGATGAGGTCACGGTATTATGATGAATACGAGTGACCAACGACTATCTGTGCGAGAGCTCGTTTAGAGAGGCACAAATTCACATACTTATACGAGAAGGAATGGTACACATCGTTCATTTTTTGGTGAACACCATGATTACGCACCGGAATTGGTGAGATAATGTAGAGCTTCCGAAATCGTGGAATTGATGTAACGATTTCTACGCTACTTGCAATGGGAAGATTCGTTAGATTTGAAAAGAATGAATTTTCCTCGGGAACAACCACAAATATTGATGTTTGGTACAGCACTTATTTTCACTTCTTACAGAGACTATGTGCGAATACAGAGAAAATGTTTTGGTTTAGCCTACTTCACGCAAGTATCTTTTTGATGACATCTTTATAACACGTTGATGATATAATTTCATAAACCCGACTATCATGTGTTCGGTGGAATTGCATTTGTTTGTATTCATCAAAGTGCAAATAAGAATGGTTGCTATAACACTCATAGCAGATAAAACAATCTTAGGCAATAACAAAACAACAGCGACAGTAATAAGAAGAAAGGCAGATCATATTAAAACTAATGCTACTTATTTGTGCTTTTTTTGTTGAATGTAGCTAGATCATTTGCAGATGAAGTATCAAGTGGAACTTTCAAAACAGTACAAAAAATTATTAACACAACTACAACTATAGATCAGCAGAAGGAAAAGGAAAATTCCAATATTTCCGTAGCCTATACTGCGACGAAGAAGCAATACTTTGATTAAAAGAAACCATGAGAAAATAACAGAAAACAGTACAATATCGAACGAGAACAATATTCAACAATCCATTAAAAGAGTTTCATTTCAGCCGACTAGAATTCAGTTTCTGTGATCTTTCATCAAATGAGGCAATTAACAGAAAAGAAGAAGCATCTTCGAAAACGTCTATAATAGTTTTACTATGCGAAAAAAACCATTGAAAGAGAACATCGTTCTCGAGCTGAAAATATCGACTATTCCCTTGAAAAGTACCAATTATTCAATATGATTCACTTTCATGCAAACCAAAGTTTGTTCGAGTGATTGTTTATTTCGTTCCGTTACGTCAAGTTGATCGATTCGTTGATTTCCGACGAGTATGATACTGATCGAGATTTTCTCAAAGACATTGGGGGATATCTCTCGATTCGATCGAGTGTTCGAACGGACGTTTTCATATAGAGCTAATCTTCGAATAATTTTTCCTTATTAAGTCGCAGATCTGTCAAGATATTGTTGCCACATCTGTTCGACTGATCGATCATCAATAATAGTTAGTATTTCCAGCTGAAAGAGTTTATCGCATTTTCTGCATTCTACAGGGTGTAAAGGAACCATTACTGTCCTTTCTACAATGTAAAGTACAAATGATACTACAATGTATTTTATATCAAATTAAAACCCGTGAGAAACTGCAACTATGCGCGTCATTACAAACAAATTTTTGTTAAATTGGTTTAAAAACCAATCGAAACAAGACATAATGAATGTACATTGACGTACAGAAACAAGAACGACAGAAAATTTTTTATCCCACTGGATCCAAAATGGACGATGAAAACAACGGACTTTCGATCTCGTTTTCATATTCCATTTCGATTCATTTAAATTCGAACGATCGTCGAAGTATTTTCATGTCTCGCTGTGTTTGTCTCTATCATTTTACAATGCCATCATTATCGTCTCTGTATGTATGATTTTTGTTTGGTTTTCAATGATTGATTTTTTAATACCGTTTCGATAAACCAAAATAAATGTTTTTCACATCTGCATGACTATTAGCTGTTTCTCCCGTGTCTGATTGAATAAAGCTGTTAATTAGTCTATCATTCGCATGTGATCACTCTCCCCATTGTGTTTCCCGTCCATCTCCTCTCCGTAAATACATCGAATCGTCTATTTCAGTCACTCTCTCGATCCACTGACTAGCTCATTTCTCGACTGATGGCAAGAGATGTTGTAAGATATTTTGTGATTTTCAATCAGATCGAGACAGTTTTTTCTCACGTTTATTTTACTAATTCATTCGCGTGTTTTTATTTTTATTTAGATCGAAGTTTTGGTCAACGAGATTCCCAGGACGATGATTCCTGAAGCAGGTTTCCATGAAATCTCCGGAATACCCCGGAACCGGTCCTTTCTGTGCTGGATTGTTTGACCTGAGTTGATCTGCTTGACCAGCGAATTGGCTAAATGAAGTCACGCGCTGCCAGCGGCGTGACAGCCGAAGAATCCGACCTTATAACTGATCTGGCCGTGGAAAGAGCACTCAAGAATAAAAAAATTAAGAAAACTTAGGAAAGGTAATATCGTAAAAGTGATTATCGTTTCAATTCTATCACTTCATTTCGTAGAACGCGACGCAAGATTGCGCCGAAAATAATGTCTCTTCTGATTTCATCGAATCTGATAGTGATGGTTGTCGCATTCGTCTACGTCATGTTCGTCTTTGTCTCGATTTTTTCGCTCGCTATTACTCTGTAAATGAAAATAAAAAGAATCAATGTAATCCAATCACATTACTAATGATGCTCGAGAAGATGAAAATATTTGTAGATCTTAAATATGAGCGATGTCAGTAGATATTTTCACATGAAACATTGAAGTCTTCTGTGTGATCATTGAATGGCATAGGAAAAAGAATTAATTGACAAGAATTTCACCAGTATGCATAGGATGAAAATCGCGAACATCAACGTAAGATTGACGACTCAGGAAAGTATCTCGTTCATTCAATGGATTTTCCGTGCTCGGAACAATCATCGTCATCGAACGTGAAAACAAAGCTTTCATTCGAACAGCGACGTGACTTTTGATCTTCTATAAATATTTTCTTTTTTCATCTCTTAATATGTTCGATTAGATTTTAAACGGCAGATCTTGACGATAAGACTGATAGATAGAATGACAAGTTTCGTGTCATTTTCAAATTCTTCAAACGAGGATGATATTTAATGTGACTGGAAAACGAATTTTTCTTTCTGTGTACAAAGATAGTAGCTCAAGAGCTTACACGAAAAGATCTAATGCATTGTACATAATGATGTTTCTAATCGAAGAAATCCGAAAAAGTGATATTAGCTTGGTATCATCTTCGCTTTGTAGGCTACATACATCATGTCCTTTCATGGGAATTTAGTAGAAGTAGTTCGCAAAGTGATATACCCGTCAGTGGAATTCCATCTTAGTAAATACAGACGCGTGGACTGTAGAATCAGTTTTCTGAACACATGCAGCGCTATGAAAGATGAGATTTATCACTGTCTCAACGAAAGTCAATGGTTTTTGAACGAACATAATTTATGTGTTTTCGAGCTTCGAGAATAGGGATTGCACATTATCAGCGCTTCAAATTGAACAGAGCAATAGAATATGTACTGTAAACTACACAGTTACGAAGGGAGGTCGAAGAACGACTAGGTGTTTGAATGTTAGATTAATCCTAAAGTGTACGCTTAGAATAACCTTGTCAGGCTTCCGATAATTTTGAATGGGATTTGATGAATGGATATTCCTCAATGAAAATATTCGACAAGGTATCATTTCGTTGACAGGAGAGAAAAGAATCGGTTTACCCCTGGAAGACACAAGCGAATGTTCAAACTTTTGAAGTAGTCTACTGTATATCGTCCATCTATGAGTGACTTAGTAAAGCATTTATGAAAATTTCCATGCGCATGATGTGAAAATAGAAAAACAGATGGCAAAGGTCAATCGTTGGCCGTGAGTGGCCGTCTGACTAGCCGTTGAGCGATGAATTTTTCAGTCAATATAGTTAGTGCTGGAGAATTATCCACTGGCAAATGACTAATCGGTCTGATTCCTAAAAAGACTTTTGCATCCTATTCATTCTAGTGTGTGACATAGTGCCATGATTCAGCTGAGCACTAGTAGCAATCGCAGTGCGTTTTTTCTCTTTCGAAGTCCCTGAATGTGTTCAGCATTCGGAAAAGTCTTTCAGAAAAGGATCAGCGAATCCGAAGGACGAGCGATACTTGTGTACTGGAAGGACACTATCGAGTACATCCATGTACGTAACAAATACGCATTAGAAAAAAAACTTTTTTTTCTTGCTTCTGTATGTTAAACATACACTATAAGGAGAAAAAAAAGAAATACAAGATGGACGAGTCGAAGAATAACTACTTGTAAGAGAAAGAAAGAGAAAAGAATGTTATGAGAACATGTGCGATGCTGTCGAAGTATCACAAATAGCGATTGTCACCAGCAAAAAAAAACAAGAGGCCCTCATAGCGGGTGCGCGAAAAATAATAGTGGTCTCAGTGTATTAACTACAGTTTCTTTTGGGTTTGTCCCTTTAAACTGGTTCTTTCACCAAAAGATGCGCCATCAGATTATTCACAAGTTGATCATTGCACATACTTCTAAAGTGAGTTCGTGAAAAAATTACAAAGTATTTATCGAAGGCATAAATAAAGTCGGACTTTCAAAACTAAGAATTGACTCATAACGGGCTTGTCTTCTTACAACTTTATCTAATCATGAGAGTTTTCTTATCAAAATAAAGTACAGGAATAGATACAACGTGAAGCGCTGTACACGACATATACAAAATTAAATTTTATATAGATAGTATTCGATTCCCAAAACGAGCAGAAGTCTGGGTGCCCAATTTTCATTCAGACCATTTTTCGTGTAATTAAATTTTATTCATTTTAATAGTAGAAGATGTACATTTAAGAGGAACTATTCACTGCAAAGTATAGAGTTTTTGACGTTGTATTCTGTGGTATGCTTTATTTTGTTTTAATTAAATATGCTATGTAACAGAAAAGTAAAGAAGAAAGTTTTAATTTGCAGTTCTCCAAAAGTTGATTTTATTCGAATTATAGGAAATTTGCCGCAGAAAGTTTTGCCTGTAAACTTTGTGTTTATAAGATACAATTTAATATACATCTTGCAGAACTTTTCGCGCTGTATCTTGCCTCCACGATCAACGCACTCTTTGCTAGTCAAAAAGAGACACAAATGTTCATTAGTTTTGAAAGTCCGACTTTTTTTATGTGTTCGATAAATACTTTGTAATTTTTTCACGAACTCACTTTAGAAGTATGTGCAATGATCAACTTGTAGATAATCTGATGGCGCATCTTTTGGTGAAAGAACGCGTTTGAAGGGACAAAACCAAAAGAAACTGTAGTTAATACACTGAGACCACTATTATTTTTTGGCGCACCCGTTACGATCATTGTGATTTGAATACTGTGCTATTCATTTGTATAGATGTCAAAATTCACTTTCACTCTACTAACTAATGAATATATTCCTGATGTTCGAGCACTTTTATTAAATTCGTTTTTCCTTCATGAACCATTGAATGAACGATTTGGTTATAACTTACCAGATGAAGTAGAAGATTTTATCGATGATGTAGTGAAATGTGCTCTCCGTGATCAATGTTCATTCGTTGCTCTCGATGGAAATCAACTTGCAGGTATGGCTCTTAATACGATTTGCCAGAAGAATGATGCATCGAAAGCCAACAAGTATCAATCAGCAAGTTTACAATACATTTTTACTATGCTAGGCTTACTACATCAAGCAAAGAATGTTTATGATCATTTCAATGTTGATCGTATTTTATATACAGCAGTAATTAGTGTTGATCCAAACTATCGTGGTCAACGATTGAGTGAACAACTGCTGGAGAAAAGCCTCGAATATGCCAAAGAATCGTTACATCTCCAAGCGGCATACACCGAAACTTCATCATATTACTCGTTGAAGGCGTTCCTGAAAATGAATTATGAAAGACTCTATGAAATTATGTACGAAACGTATGACAAAGAAAAATTATCAAATATGGGAGTTCATGATCGTTGCACATTAGTTGGACGAAAACTGTGAAAAGGAAAAGATGTCAAACAAGATGACAGTTTTATCATATTATTTCAGCTAATAAATATATATATATATCGATCTTCTATATGCATTTTCCTTTTCGATATTTAACACCAAAATCCCTTAAGAGTAATCTAAGATAGGATAAGGATCTATTTCCACATCATTCGTTGTATTTGTGTATTCAATTTTCTCTTCTCCATAATTTTCAACATCAATTAGAATTATTTTTTCCTTTACTTCATTTTCTTGATAACTTATATTTTATTCCCTCAATTGAAAAGAGAGTGATACGAAAAAAAGTGACCAAAAAAACGAAAATCCGCTTGTGTGTGTGTCCGTTGCAGGTCAAAGATCAAATATATATACACTCACACAAGGTATAAAGATTCCTATACTATGAGGGTACTCATTGGTCCTCGAGTCTTATATTATAAGCATATTGGTCAGGTCTAAAGTCCTGTGAGAATTTTTTTTTGACATGGCGAAGGGAACATTCGCCGATCGAAATTCTGAAAAACTAGGAAAGTTGGTTTTCAACTATGTCAGGAAATTATTGGTTTCTTTGAATAGTGAAATAGTCAAGGAGAGGAGTTTTCGACATGGTGAAAGGCATGTTTGCCTTGATGTAGATTGGAATTGAAATATTTGCTCGCTGTTTCTGTTAACTATAAGGAGAGTTACAATGAGGCAAAAGTTGTTCTGTCTTGCGATTTGAGTATCGAAATTGGAGATTAAGCTTGAGTATGGGGAAGTTTGGAGCAGCGAGTCGTGAGTGGCGTCCGATAGGGGCGCTGACGAGCGACGAGCTGCTCCCAGAGATGTTGAATGATCGATCGATGCGAAAACCTGTGTGAAGTAGTATATGCGGTTGAGACGCAAGCGTTGATTATTGAACAGCATCCATTATCCTGTTTAAAAAAAAAGAGCAGACATGGTTGAATGTGAGAAAGTCATGATAAGGACCCTCATAAAATTACTATTCCATTGAGATAGTGATAATCATTTAGAAACACTCGATAAATAAGAAAATTGACAGCAATGCTTTAATTTGTTGTTGAGCCTATGAGAGGTATGAGAAACATCTTCAAAAACAAATGACCCCGCAGAATATGTTTTATATATTTTTGTCTCTTCGTGGGGAAAAGATTCGTGAACAGCATTGTAACTTGTATTAAGTTACTAATTCAGTCGAGGGTAAAGCGAGTCAGCTTCGACGAGCGTTATTTATATGTTAACATTTTTCATTGAAATTCGCTATTCTTAATCAGGCTGATCGGGTAAATTTCGCATTACAGTAATAATGGAGAACTTTAAAATGTAGAAACCAAAAGGCAAATAATTTCGATTTTTCAAGTTGAAATATTCAGAAAATAAAACGAGTTCTTGGATGCTTTCCTTGAAACACAGGAATCTATCGCAATCTATTCGATTTGAAGATCGGATATATCTTTAAAGAATTTCTGTATATCATCAGTTCCCTTTTACTTCACATCTCCTTCTTATGTTCAAAATCTCTATAAAAAGGCCATTCAATTGTAACAACATATTTATTCATAAATATGATCCGACGAATTTTCAAAGACCACGAGTATTATACATAGCTCGCTGAAAGAAAATTAAAAAATGCTTCAATATTGGATGCAGCTGAAAGTAAAAAAATACAATTTTTGCACTTAATATGAAGTCTTAAAAAATACAGTTGAAAAATTCCAATTACAGAACATGCGCTTATAAGATTTTATTCTACCATTTTGTTATCACATCTGCTTGGCAAGATGACTGATCACATTAACGCAGAAGACGATATTACCATTTGTTTGCGATCAATGCATAAAAACAACATCTATGTGGATCAATTACAACCAGATGGAGATGGAATGGATGTCTATGAATTCGACGATGCTGGCGAATGTGTTGAGTATCTCCTGACATTAAATCCTGGAGATGTGTTCGTTTTTCTTTGGCTTGGCTTCGGCTGGAATCATCTCATTCCTATCGTATACGATTTTGAACAAGTTCGATGTGTCTATCTCAGTGAACCCGTACATCTAAAAAACACATCAAAAGTCCATGGTGTATTTACTGATGCTGAAGAATTGTCAAAACAAGTTGAAACGAATATACGGATTGTCACCGAGATTTGTCGATACATTTGACTATGCTGAATGATGAAGAGATGTCAACTATTCATAATCCACAAGGAAATGCTATTCATTCCCTATGGTCTGAAATACTTCTACAAGGACTCATTCGTATGCCTCTACCTTCTAATGATGTTTATGGAGAAAAGATCAAGCAAGCACGCTTTTTTTATCAAAAAATCCAGTTCACCTTCAACAAATCGATCATTTCGAGAAACATTATTGTGCTGAAGAAGCGATCAAATGGTATTCACGTGGCCCATTCATCTATCGTCTAGTTAACAAAGCCCTTCGAATCCAAAATTCGACTATTCTCCAGTGATGTCATAATCCCGTTATACCCGGTATTCAACCAAAAGCAGACATTTCGCTACGTTATCATATGGAGCTGAGTCGGTGTATCCAACACGATACCCAAATAGAAGTGTATCTTGGAAAGTTGAGGAATGTGAGTGGATTTGGTGTATCCAGCCTCCACTCTTACCCACACACACACCCTCAAGGTATAAAAAAGTGCCATTTTATGGGAACTTTTGGGCATAATCCTCAGGGTTTTTCGCAAATTCTCGCTCTATAGATAATTAGAGATATCTTAAAATTTGATCAGCGTGAACTTACAGTGATTCTGAACCATATAACAGGATCACCCAAACAAAAATTTATAGCGATCATACTTCACCCAGGTCATCTGGGTGGAAATGTTTTAGCCCCACCCAGCAGTTCCAGCCACGGTTTGTGCATATTGGGGGTCTAAACTCTCTATTTATGTGATTAATTCTTTCTCCATTTCACAAAAACCCTCTTCGGCTTTTAAGGGTTAATATGTTAAACAAAAACTCAAAAATGATCAATTGCTCTTTTCGAATCGAGAATGACGAGGATGAGAAAAATGACAACAATGATATTGCTGATTACCCGCCAGACGAACGTGCTAATGAATCCTTGTACGATTCTCAAAATGCTATCGATGAGGGTGGTAATGAGGAGGAGCAGGAAGGTATATTAGACTCAACGAAATCTGATCTCAGAGGAATGAGGATTGCTGATAATATCAATCCAACTTTAAGACATTCATATTTCAAAATTAAAATAAAAGATAGAAGTAAATATATGCATAAGCGGTCGGCGTGCTGGTTGCAATTGAATCAAATAAAGAAATTATCGAGCGTTCTTTTATCTCGTGTCATGCAGGAAACATCTAATAGCAATTAGTAAATTTCTTGCTTATGCTTTCTTTATTCTCAACAGTTGTTACTTTTATTAATAAAGAAAGCAAGTTCTTTACATTTTTCTAATTTTATTTCATTCTGTCCCACTAAGCTCTGAATTATGAAAAGCGTTTCAAAGTACTTTCTTGTACTTTGAAAGTACTTGCGGCCACTTCACATTACTTCAAGCTACGCCAACTTGCTTTGAGTTACTTCATAATACTTTGAACTACTTTCCTACTTCAAGTCTCCCTTTTCCCCCTTGACAACAACTATAAAGCGAGTACACAATGTTTGAAAACTGTCTAAACATTACGATTAATTTTGATCATTTATTGTTATTTTCATGTTTTTTTTACATTGAAATAATGATAAAGATCAAGATTTAGAGTTTAAGCCATTTGAAAATGAACTCTAATAGGTTCAAGCTCAATTATGGCAGTTCACATTCACCTACACCCACAAGATGCTTTTCTTCGTTTGAAAATGATTATTTTGAACAGAATCTTGCTAAATATCGAGCCATCTGATGAGTTTTTTCGAGCAAAAGGCGAACCGCGTCATGGTACCTCATCTCACCCGAACAGGTCGAAGTACGGATCTCATTCAACAAGTGGCGCACTACCTATTCTTATAATTCTTTTGAAAATTCGCTGATATTATTATTTCGAGTATTTTATTCAAATAAAAGTTTCAGTATGTGGTTAACAGCTCAAACAAAAATTGAAAAACAAAAGCGAGAATATGAATGATGCAAAATACCAGTATAGAGTCAAGATAAAGCATGTTACTCTGACGATAAATACATGATTCATTCTTACGTTTTAGCAATGAAGTAAAACACTAACTGTATTTCCATTAGTATTTGTCGTAACTATATCAGGTTTCCCATCATTGTTGACATCAGCGATCGCAACTGAGCCTGGATAGCTGCCAGCTGCATAGGTAGTTTGAGAAGAAAATGCGCCAGTACCTGTATTGAGAAGCACACTAACTGTGTTTGCATTGTTATTTGCCGTAACTATATCAGGCGCCCTATCATTATTAACATCAGCGACCGCGACTGACTGTGGGCCACTGCCAGTTACATAGGTAGTTTGAGAGGAAAATATGCCGTTACCCATATTGAGAAGAACACTAACTGTGTCTGCAGCGGAATTTGCCGTTACTATATCAGGTTTCGCATCGTTATTAACATCCGTAACCGCAACTGAGAATGGATATAAGCCAACGGAAAACGTGAGCGATGCGAGGTACATGCTGTTGCATACTGTGAAATACAAAAAAAAAATAGGAGTTGAGGATGTGTGTGTGTATGCATCGATAGAATATAGCACAAAAAAGAATGTAAATTGACCGATTCAGATCGTTGACTGAGAAGAAACAAAACAAAGCGACGACCACGTAAACTCTTAGCGAGCAGTCTAAAACGTGTTTTCTTTTCTCGACCGATGTAGCATTGGCTTGTTATACAGAAGTATATTTTAATAATAACAACAGAAAAACATAATCTCTCGCCCTACATTCTTAGATGTTCGATCAGTTCTTCGAACGGTCTGATATAGCGACGATTGCACTACTGTGCAATGCAAAATGAAAACAACTACTGCAAAGACGCACTTGCCTCTGACAATGATATATCTACAAAATACATTTGACTTACTAATACTCGTTGTAGTAGTAGTAGCGGTAGTAGTGGTTGCTGTAGTGGTAGTGGTGGTTGATGTAGTAGTAGTGGATGCTGTAGTGGTAGTAGTGGTTTCCGTAGTCGTAGTGGTGGTAGCTGTAGTAGTAGTAGTGGTTGCAGTAGTGGTACTAGTGGTTTCCGTAGTGGTAGTAGTGGATGCTGTAGTAGTAGTAGTGGTTGCCGTAGTGGTAGTAGTGGTTGCTGTAGTGGTAGTGGTGGTTGATGTAGTAGTAGTTGTTGCTGTAGTGGTACTAGTGGTTTCCGTAGTGGTAGTAGTGGTTGCCGTAGTGGTAGTAGTGGTTGCAGTAGTGGTACTAGTGGTTTCCGTAGTGGTAGTAGTGGTTGCTGTAGTAGTAGTAGTGGTTGCCGTAGTGGTAGTAGTGGTCGCAGTAGTGGTACTAGTGGTTTCCGTAGTGGTAGTAGTGGTTGCAGTAGTGGTACTAGTGGTTTCCGTAGTGGTAGTAGTGGTTACTGTAGTAGTAGTAGTAGTGGTTGCCGTAGTGGTAGTAGTGGTTTCCGTAGTCGTAGTGGTGGATGCTGTAGTGGTAGTAGTGGTTGCTGTAGTAGTAGTAGTGGTTGCTGTAGCCGTAGTGGTGGTTGCTGTAGTGGTACTAGTGGTTTCCGTAGTCGTAGTGGTGGTTGCTGTAGTGGTAGTAGTGGTTGCTGTAGTAGTAGTAGTGGTGTCTGTGGTGGTAGTGGTGGTTTCCGTAGTCGTAGTGGTGGTTGCTGTAGTGGTAGTGGTGGTAGTGGTGGTTTCTGTAGTCGAAGTAGTGGTGTCTGTGGTGGTAGTAGTGGTGTCTGTGGTGGTAGTAGTGGTTGCAGTAGTGGTAGTAGTGGTTTCCGTACTGGTGGTAGTGGTTGCTGTAGTGGTAGTGGTGGTTGCTGTAGTGGTAGTAGTGGTAGTAGTGGTTACTGTAGTGGTAGTAGTGGTTGTTGTAGTCGTAGTAGTGGTTGCTGTAGTAGTAGTGGTGGTTGCTGTAGTAGTAGTAGTGGTGTCTGTGGTGGTAGTGGTGGTTTCCATAGTGGTAGTAGTGGTATCTGTGGTGGTAGTGGTGGTTTCCGTAGTGGTAGTGGTGGTTGCTGTAGTCGTAGTGGTGGTTGCTGTAGTGGCACTAGTGGTTTCCGTAGTGGTAGTAGTGGTTTCCGTAGTGGTACTGGTAGTAGTAGTACTGAGGGTTTCCGTAGTTGTAGTGGAGGTGGTTGTAGTAGTAGTGGTGGTGGTTGTAGTAGTAGTGGGCTCGGTGACGTTGAATGAAGAAAAAGTGACGAGAAGATTGAGGCTGATACCGCTACTAAGTGATATCGCGAAGGTAACTGCTGAATCAGCCCTTTGGATTGTGTTTTCAATGCTAGTTATATAATGGTTGGTACACGCTTTTACTTGATTGCATGAACTTGGATAGATAAATTCAGTGTCAATTGTCAACACTGTTTTCCATTTTAGGTTGGTGTTATTTGTGGTCGATGCGCTAAAATTTAGAGGTAGAGTAAAATATGTTTCTAGTATAAGAGGTACGGCTCATTTATATGTTGTAAACTATTATCATACAGCTCGGAGGATTGTTTATGAACGGAAAAATGCATTTTTGTATCTTCATATGAAGACTCGTAACTTGTTTCCTAGTTTCGTCTTGCTGACAGTATCTAGTTTTATATTCAGTATTGTATTAGAATACTGTTGAACTTACCTTTGTCGTCTTTTTCGGCTCAAAATGAGAGATTGAACGAATCGAGCTGAAAGTACTCGTACCATATTCCGGGACACACTGTACTTTTTCGAAATCTATAGTAACGTTGAAACAGATGTTTTATAGTAGAATCAAATTTATTCAAACAATCATTACTTGATCAGCAAGTCCTGAGAGATCAGTAATCTGCGATGATCCATTAGTTGCGAAGTTTGTTTCATAGTTCAATGTAATAATAGTCGAGTCTGCAAGGAACATAAAATTGTTTCGATTATGAATGGGATATCATCATCATCATCTAGTTGTTTACATACTATTATCGCCGGTGAAACCGATCAAGGTAGTACTAGTTGCACCATTTTGTAGAAAAAACATGGCGACAAAACTGGAAAGAACGCCTAAAAGCCATAACATAAAGGCGCATAAGACGGTCAGTTTGATAATTTTCCGTGTCCTAAGAAGAGAAAGATCGTTTAACAATAATAGCGCGACAGATTCCTGTTCATACCTTGATGATATGTTCATTGTAAATAAGAGATCTGTCCTTTGAATGATTAACAGTTTCGCTCGAATTTATGAGTAACCTTATATCCTCGATGCCCAAATCAATATCTAATAAAGAAAGCGGACCGGCTTGAAATCGAGTCGATACATAGGGCATGCCGAAAGCAATGGCGCCGACCTTGTTATATTTTATGGAAGACTTTCGCAATTTTTTTCTTTGTATATTCTAATAACCTAAGTCTTAATCCATAATCTACCCTATGTCACAGTTCTTCAAACGATGTGAATAATAGTAAAATTATAGCAAAAACAGTGCGTTGTTAAAAAAAAACTCATTTTTGGCCTGAGTTTTTATCGGTTTCTTATAAAAGAAGAATGTTGTGATTGAAATAAATACGCAAACGTCGGATTCTATCCGAAAGTTAGATGTACTGCAGAAAATAGCTTACATATGCTTTGGATGTTAAATTGAGTAATATTTAAGCATCCTCGCTAAGCAGTCCTAAACTAGAAGGAGATATCCAGGAAAGAAATAGAGAAGAAATTGAGATGACTTCCTTGTCCTTAAGCTATTTTCATAGTAGATAAATGCAAATAAATAAACAAATATATAGAAAGATGGAGAACTTCTATCGTTGTCGGAATATATAATTATTTATCCAAAAGAGTTGTATGCAAACTTCGTGTCATGCAAAATTTGACCAAATTCTGTTACTTGATTCGACGCAGTTTTTTTGCGCTGAATCAGAATATCTATAGACTATTTAGATAAAAAGTAATCTTCGCGGAGAAAATAAAATAATACTCCAAAAACCATCAGTTGGAGAAAACCATGTTTTTTTCTAGGAATTTGACGATAGGGCTTGGAAAGATTTTCGTATGGCTTTGAATATTTCACTCAATCCATATCTTTATCATTAACGAAAATTCACTTCTGTTAACTCATCCGATGATCCAGTGTCTCTCATTGAAAACGCATCAGTACTTTGCGTCCTTTTTTCAGAAGAATCTGCCTATGATATTTTTGTCTATCTATTTGATTTTGTATTGCCATAATGCGGCAAAAATCAAGAAGAAAATGTCAATGAGCAGCAGCTATTAGAAATCGTTGGACAAAGAAAAATATCGATCGATCAGACGGTGTTTTTGACTCGAAAATTTCCATCAACGTGTCCGATCTCAATGAAAAAAATGAAGAAAATAATTTTTTGAAGAACAAAGTCAGCATATTGGATATAGGACAATTATTTGAAGCAATCAAACAAGAAAAATCTTCACGATCCTTATCGTATTTTTGTATACCCTGGCGAGTAGCTGATTTGATTTTAAAAGTTGTTGGTGGAGTTCGTGGAAAGAGCTACAATAATTGGGGTACCATTCTGGTTGAAGAAGATTTAGAAGAATTTTCCGAAGACAACAGAGGTCGTAAACATGATTTAAGCTTCTACGATATCTATCTTGAATTAGAAAATTTAGTCAAACTCTACGCTTTGGATGCATGTAAAAGAAAGGCAGCATCTTTTACTTCTTCAGAACTTGCTGGATATCTAGATGAACAATATTATGACTTAGTCGGACAGGTGAGGATTGTTTTGCTTCTAGATTTCCAAATTAGAAGTGGTTGCTGGGAAATATGTTATAGAAATTACTATCTCGCCAAAGTTTCATAGCGGATTAAATGCGATCGAAGGTTTATGGGTGCATCTAAAACAATTCATTAGGAATCGTGCAGATCAAACATTTCCTGCTATACTCAAGCTGATTAAAGAATCTAGATTTAATTTCGTTGAGAAAAATGTTTCTATGAAGTTAACCGGAAGATTCTGGTGAACTTTAGTAGCGTATGAACGTAGTGATACTTGTGAAGATATCTGCCAAATGTTTTTCAGTTCAATGTGTAAAGGTAGTATGGTATCACATCGAAAAGTGATAAACTCCGTTTTGAACCACTAATTATATCTCTTCATACACATACAGTGGCTGGTTTCATTTTTCCGGGTTAAAATATATTTCCTTGCCATCTATTCAACATAAAGACGTATTTCTTTTTCAAACAGTCGAATATCACATTCGTAAGGTATATATGCAAATAAATCAAAGAAAATCACTTCAAAATAAATCTCGCACATATATATGTGTAACAAAAAACAGCTCGATAAGTACTCATATTGACTACCACAAGGGTCTTTATCATTCTAAACAAATTGTTTGATTCGAAACAAGAAATTAAATGAAAAATGCTGCTAAAAAAATCCATGTATGTATGATAGGAAACGTCGAAAAATAACAGGGTGATCTTGAGAGCGAAAGTGAGTTAGGGAAAAAATAGGTAGAATGCATCTCTGGCATCTGTGAAGTGAAATGGTGAAAGAAAAAAACGTCCATCTTCATCAGAAATTGGATTGATGCGTTTTCAATGAGAGACATTCGATCATCGGATGAGTTAACAGAAGTGAATTTTCGTTAATGATAAAGACATGGATTGAGTGAAATATTCAAAGCCATACGAAAATCTTTCCAAACCCTATCATCGAATTTCTAGTAAAAAACATGGTTTTCTCCAACTGTTGGTTTTTGGAGCACTATTTTATTTTCTTCGCGAAGATGACTTTTTATCTAAATAATCTATGCATATTCTGATTTAACGCAAAAAAAGGCATCGAATCAAGTAACAGAATTTGGTCAAATTTTGCGTAACGCGAACCTTATAAATACGCATGCGTATATGTGCATATTTATCTACTATATATCCGGCTCGTAAGCTCTATCAGGCAACATTAGTTTATACCATTAGGCTCGGCTGTCTAAAGGGATGTGAGCAAAAAGTATTCTTAACAGCTATTTAAAAAAGCATACGCTCATTAATGCTTTTTACCTGATTGCTTTTGCCGTCATTTAAATGTGTAGGCATATTTATGCTAGCAACTCATATCTCTCTCACCTACGCATTGATGTTTTTCGTTATTACTCTGCTTTATCTCTACCAATTTTCCTCATACTTTTCGAATGCTACGCATGAGTAAGGCAGACTGAAAAAATAAAATTTTACCTGAGTATTTGATAAACAGAAATAATATTTTACCGATCTGTACGTGTGTTCTATAAAAAAATGCATATCACTGTGAGCTTACATGAAAGTAATTAATTTACACAAGGCGAGAGGGGTCCACGAAAAATTTGTTTTATCCCGGTGTATTTTATACTTAATCTATAACATCCTTCAGTCCCTTTACTCCTTTCACTCCCTCCCAGGTTATTATGGCACGGTCGGTTCCGGCCGGAAGTTCAAACGTAGGTTCCAGTCATTTCCCGACCGTTTCCAGCAAACTTCGAGCTGGAATCGGCGAAAACTGTGCCGGAATCGAGAAGAGCTGTACCGGAACCCACTCAGATTTCAACGGATCCAGTCGCCGGAATGATAGACCTGGGAACTTTAGGCCCTTTACTCCTTTTACTCCCTTTAATCCAGTGAATCCTCACCTTCATCTACGTCTGTCACTCAGACCTTCACCCTCACCTTCATCTACACCTGTCACTCAGACTTTCACCCTCACACTCACCCTCGCCATCATCCTCAACCTAACCATCTCCCTCATTCTCACACTCTAAGAGGACTAAAGGGACTAAAAGGACTAAAATACTTCATAAATTATCTATAAAGTTACACCAGGATAAAAATAATTTTTCGTGGACCTATGGATCAGTTTTATGTATTCTCTAAGCAAAAAGAATATAAAAAAACATTTGAAAAATGGATTGAAAGAATGCAGTTGTGTTTGGATAATCAAGGTGATTGTTTCAAATGTTTTGATGAAACAAACAATTGATAAATTCATTCTTGTATTCCTTTGTTCCATCCTCACTACCTATTGCCTATTGTGAAATAAATGGATGATTAGTTCTGATGAGAGGTAAGTAGACGAGGATGAAAGAAAGAAAACGAGAAAATGAAGAAAAAAAACAACACGTATAGATGGCTTTGTACACTCTTGCTACCAGATAGAGTTCGAGATAAAACGATTTTGTGGAAATTTTATTACTTTGACCTCATTTGAATATTGATCAAATAGCATCGAAAGATGGAGTAAAAGACGCTCTGTCGATTGGTGAATAGCAAATTTTTTTAAATTGACTTATGAGAGAAAACAAATCTTCCGCCACTGCTTTTCGATAACTGTAAGTATTTATAGTTATGTGTATGTAGATAACAAAAAGGTAAAGTATCTAAATTTGCGCACCCACTAATGATCGATGTGACGTAAACGTACAGCAGCCATTCGCAATACGCCCCGCTAAGAACATAATTACCGATCGAAAAAGTTTTTTTTCTGTTCTCTCATTTGGTATGTAGTACTCGTTTTATAAATAACAGTGCGCAATAAAACAACATAAACAAACTCCAGTCATGCGATAGATCAGCCGTCGCTCTATCTATATTTATATTGAGGAGAAAAATTACAGTAATATAGGATGCGCGAAGTTATTTGACTAACTTTATTCAATATGCCTCCCCGTATAAGAAGCCTCCGGTGGTTTCTAATTTGACAAACGTAAAAAAGTTCCAGGAGGGCCTCTAATATATTTCTTTATTTTTTGAAAATTTCGGGTACCTAAGTTTCTACAGATTTTTCAGTTTTATTCTGAGGTTATATGCTCTTTTGGGTTACTTCTACTTCCTCATCTCGAAATCTACTCGTCTCTCAAAATTTTACTGTGGAAAAGTAATGCTATGTCGTTTATTTATATTGTACGTATATGAGCAAAAGCGTGCAGAACAAGATATTTTGCACACTTCCTTAAACTCAAAACAGACATCCGACTATAATGGAGTGATTGCTTATGATTTCGAGTTTTCAAAAACGATATTCATTTTTTGTTTGTGACGTTTCATGAAGGAGACAAATCGTATCTCCTGACGCCAGGGTGAGGGTGATGGCGAGGGTGGGTGTGACAATGAGGGTGAAGGTCTGAGTGAAAGGTGTAGATCAAAGTGAGGGTTCACTGGATTAAAGGGACTAAAGGGAGTAAAAGGCCTAAAGGATGTTATAGATTAAATATAAAATACACCGGGATAAAACAAATTTTTCGTGGATCCCTCAACTGATCACAGCGTCATATAATGAAAAGTAACAGTCATTCGTTGGATTCGCTGACCTTTTTCTAAAAGGCTCTTCCTAACGCTGAACACATTCAGAGACTTTGAAAGAGAAAAATCGCACTGCGATTGCGACTAGTGCTCAACTGAATCATGGCACTATGTCACACACTAGAATCAATAGGATGCAAAAGTCTTTTTAGAAATCAGACCGATTACCCATTTGTCAGTGAATAGTTCTCCAGCACTAAATATATTGACTGAAAAATTCATCGCCCAACGGCTAGTCAGACGGCCACTCACGACCAACCATTGACCTTTGTCCTCTGTTTTTCTTTTTTCACATCACGCGCATGGAAATTTTCATAAATGCTTTACTAAGTCACTCATAGATGGACGATATACAGTAGACTGCTTGAAAAGTTTGAGCATTTGCCTGTGTCTTCCAGCGATAAACCGATTCTTTTCTCTCCTGTCAAGAAAATGATACTTTGTGGAATATTTTCATTGAGGAATATCCATTCGTCAAATCCCTTTCAAAATTATCGGAAACCTGGCAGCGGTATTCTAAGCGTACACTTTAGGATTAATCTAACATTTAAACACCTAGTCGTTCGTCGACCTCCGTCCGGTCGGTCGCTCACGGCTAGCTGTTGCCATGCTGCCTCTGTTATTCTTTTCGCCTTTGATCAACTTTCAAATTGAACGATTGGGCTTTCTTTTATTGTCACTTGGACAGGCACGATCTTCTATTTGCTTCGAAACGAACATCTTTCATAGCACTGCATGTGTTCAGAATACTGTTTCTACAGCCCACGCGTCTATAGTTACTAAGATGGAATTCCGCCGACGGGTATATCACTTTGCGAACTACTTCTACTAAATTCCCATGAAAGGACATGATGTATGCAGCCTACAAAGCGAAGATAATACTAAGCTCATATCACTTTTTCGGATTTCTTCAATTAGAAACATCATTATGTACAATGCATTAGATCTTTTCGTGTAACTTCTTGAGCTACTATGTTTGTACACATGACGTCCGTGAATAGCGTTCAGCTCACCATCTTCTACAAAAGATTTTAGAACAGATAAAGAAAAATATCTCCTTTGTAAAGAGGAAGGGACAAGTCCAGGCTCAGCGAATAAAACGAAATTCACCCTCAAATTCGAATTTTCCGACGTCAAAAATACTTCGGTCTACTCTGACAGTGGATGTTAATAAGTCGTGGCTAGTTAATGAAAAACTAATAATTAATTAATCAACACTAACCTCGGATTCGTGATCCTCGACCTCGATTACCCTTCGGTCTACCCTTACCCTGCATATTAATAATGTATGTCTAGTTGACAAACAGTTAATAATTAGTTTAAACTAACCTCAGATTCAAGTTCCCCGACCTCGATTATCCTACCGGTAATCATTTTCTAACAACTATCAATCAATTTCATTGATTTTAGAAATGCTGATTTCTGATTGGATAGGACAGACAGACTTTAGGCTTTTTAACACAGCATTTAAACGCTGTATAACCCGTTCTTTCAGAAAAGGGAACAAGAACAACGTCAAACAGCAGACTAAACTGTTTCTTTTTTCGTTTTACTTTTGAGAGATTACTATTTTAAACATATCATGTATATTTATCTACGATAATTGCTTGAATATTTATTTATTTATTTTATTCAACAGGAATTTCCAAACGAGCTGAGTTAATATATGAAGCTGTGAGCGAATAGAAGTGTGGTATCCCTGTTCTTAACTGCATTCTTTGTCTCTCGAGTACAGAGAAAATATTCTCAAGATGAAAAATATTTATTCACAAAAAAGAGAAAAGAAACATAATCGAGAAACGGACGTGCAAATCGTCCGATTTGAAATGAGGAAATGTATCATTTCAATGACCAGTTATTATTATTTGCGATACTACCTATATGTTCTAGTGCGATCAAATTGCAACGCAGTTATGCCACAATCGTTAAAAAATAGGTAGCATGGGTACATCCGAGTTCCTCGATCTCGATTACCCATCGGTCAACTCTTACTATCAACCAGTATTAGATAATATTTGAAGACAGAATGAACGAAAATCAACTCGTTTTTTTCGTGATATCTGCTCGACGCACTATACTCTTCTCAGTAGAGGAAATTTGCATTTACAGGTACTCTGAGTATAATAGATAAAAGCAGCAAAGAAGATAAATACACTCGTATTCTGTTGTCTAAAATAGAAAAAGCGAAACTAACTGTTAAAATGTTATCGTCATCGATTACTTTTTACTTATCTTTACTTTTGTGCTGTTCAGTGTTTTTCTTAACCGTGGTCGGTGAAGTGAATCGTCCAACTGTGGGTGTCATTCGATGGGATGCTTGGAACATGATTAACGGACAATATGATTACATATCAAACCGTAGTCGTAATTGGTTCATTCCTCAGCAGTATCATTATCGTTTACCATTTTTTGCCCAAATTCTATCAGAAAATAATATAACATTGAATGAAGACACACAAGAAGTGATGGATCAAGAGATCCTTTATGCGAAACTTGCAGGTTTTGACTACTGGGCATTTGATACTTACTGTGCCTATTCATCGAATTGTACATCAAATTCGTCATTTTGTAATGAATACATACATGATATTGCACCTGATTATTGTGTTTACAATCCGGCATATGGATTGAATCGATATTTATCAAGTCAATATGTATCTTTCATCAATTTCACACTTTTACTATTAGGTTCAACAATCTGTGATTCTGACTTACAAGATTATTATATAGATTTAATGGCGCGACCCCAATATCAAACTGTTCTAGACGGTAGACCACTTGTATACCTATTTCAATTCTCTGATAAACAAGCTCAATTTTGTGGCGGTAATTGGACGGGTTCTAAGCAAGTAGTTGATGGTTTTCGACAAAGATGCACACAACGAGGTATATTTTGCTATATCGATCACAATGATGAAACGACTTCTCGTTTGTTTTTGATTATGTTAGGTTTAAAAGATCCGTATATGGTTTATATGAGTCAAAACATATTAGAAGCTAAAAAGAATGGTCAAGCGTTAGGTTTTAATGCTATTTCCTCTTATGGTGTTAATGGTGGTGGCACTAATCAGGTAAATATTTGTCGGATTTAAATAAATGCGACTTGTCTTCTTTGAAGGGCGCACCGTTCAGCGATAAAGTTCAACAGAATGAACAGTAAGTCAAATGGATCCACTATTGACGATTATTAGTAATGACTCTGATCTATAGATGGTGGAATGCTGTAGTTGGAAGCGGCGCCAAAGTAGTCATACCTCTTTCGACTGGATGGGACACACGGCCACAAACTCGTAATGGGACTGCTCCGTATTATTTACAACCTTCCGACGAAGAATTACAAAGTTTTATGCGTAGTGCAATAAAAATCACTTGTGAGAATAGAAATGTAACCGAGGCAAATACAGTTCTTGTCTATGCTTGGAATGAATGTGCTGAGAATGGTGCGGCATTGATCCCGTCGTTGGGAAACGGTACGTACTTTGTCAACGCCCTTTCAAAAACACTTCCCATGTTCTGCTAAAGGATAACTATATAATAAGAATCTGTCTGTAATTGTTTTTCGATTGATATCATATTTTTATCAGTTTGGTTAACTGACCTGATTGTCTCAAAAGATTCGAAATAAAACCAAATTATGTCGCAAAAGAACGGTCATTATTTCTTCAATCGATAACATATAGGTTATTGAATCTGTACTCATTACAAAATGATAACAACAGCAATGGCATAAGTGGCATCACATAGACAACATCATATTCTTCAAATACGTTGTTTTTCTTCTTTAGAAATGAGGAATCCATTATAACATTACATTTTTTAAATTTCTATCCATCGTTAGAAGTTCTAAATACAAAAATATTGGTCGCAAAGCTCAAAGATCTTATATTATAAACTAGTTGAACGACCATGGTGCTTGAACACACATATGGCAGTTGGATTTTGCTGTGTCCGGGTAACCATTGATGGTTTTATTGGCTCAGCAATTTGAGCTTGTGAAGAAATTGAATGTCGCTACCAGCCAGATTTCGATCTTTCACACGTGGTCAAATAACAATAATAACTTTCACCATATTTCAACATAGAGAGTTCATACTATTCTGGTAAATTTGCTGAACGAATTAGCGAAATAATTATCTCGGGAGAGTGATGGTATTTATTTATATTATATGTACATATCGATCCTTATTCTTCACAATATTTATATTTATATCTACAGAGACTTTATCGAAACTTTGCTTTCGATATATGAAAGCTTTTGACAACAAATTCAGCTATGAACAAATCATTTTATTGCTCAGCAGTATTTTGCTTAATTCCAACTATTGAGTAAAATCCATAGTGATAACTTAATTGGCCAGACACTGGGTTGATGATCGTCACTATGTTTGAATGTTTACATTGATCGAAACATAATTACAAATTACTAAATTGAAACATATTGGTAAAATCATATTCATCGAAGGATCTTGAGCAAGTTTCTAACGACTAAATAGTCTAAAACCATCCATTCAACGCGAGTTGTTCGTACTGGCTGCATTTTTAGTCAGTATGTTGAACACAAGCGAGTACAGATGTTCTCGCTCACGACCAGCCACACGGTAGGACCCGATCGCATAGGGATAAAATATTAAGTTATCGCAACGACTTCTGGCAGGCGATCAGCTTATGGGACATTAGTATGACTATGTATTCGAACGAATGTCAACAATGTAAGATATGATTTTGGTATTTCAATCACGATAGCGTTTGTAGAACTGATTACAGTATTAATGATCGATCGCTTACTCACGACATGTTTTTACTTAAATGATAAAATGTTTTATTCGGAGTATTTTTATCATTAGTTCTGCTAATCTATTCTTTTACACCAACAGTAATAATCAAACAAAGCAAGAATGATTTGTGAACACTTATATGACTTGACAGTTTTTACCAAAGAAACATACTTAAAATAAAATGATTTCTATATACTACTTACTTGCAGGTGCAAATGAAAGATTTTTCGAAAAATTATTACGTTTGAGCGACTTTTTCTCTTCCTTCAATAACCAAAGAAGTTTTTGCATATTTAAGTACTAATATCATGGACATACATTTAAATGAGACAAAGTAATACAATAAGGTCAAGAACTTCGCATATCTGCAAAAGTTCAGGAGATAAGTCTGTTCAATTCAAGTAATATATATGAGAATTAGGCAGTGTTTTCACTAAAAGAAAATGTAGCCCAAATATAGATATGATCGCTTCGAAACTTTCTTAAACATTCTTCCAACAGGTGTTCAAAATTATCCCATGGTTTCCCGTGCTGGATCAATTCCAATTGATTAGGATGCTTAAACCAGACCACACGCTGTCTGGATCTCCGTAAAATGCGGGAATGTGTGTATATTTAGATAGTTCTGAAAAGACCTGTTTACATCCAGTCCATTTGAATTCTTTTAGATCATTAGGTTCAGTGTTCATATCGCCGGCTATGAGGGATATGGAATTATCGACACCAAGTAAAGTTCTGCATCGACTTTGAATAGTTTTTTGCGTTCAGAACTTGATGATCACAGTCAAGATGAACGTTAACTAGACGAAGATTTCTCGAAGGAATGGAAACTATTTCAATAGCTTCACCTCTTTCGAAATCTGGGATTCCATTGATAACTTGTATTCGTGATGCATGAGGATACTTCCAACGAATTAAAGTCAGAAGTTCGTTTGTTTCAATACTCAAACTTGAATTATTAGGTGCAAATTCAAATAAATAATCATCACCTTATCCACTCTCTAATGATGACAACAAATCTTCTTGCGCCTCTTGAATTATAACAATATCAAAGCTAAGTAAACGGATTTATGCTCTAATCAAATTTAAGCGAGTTTTGACATTAGCAACTAAGTCATACTCGGACGGATACTGTTCTTTGAGCACCCGACTTAGTAATGATAAATCATGCGATGATGTTAACATACTTTACTTTGAGAAGACAAGACTGATGTTAGTCAAATAAGCTTCAATTGAAATGAGAAGTGAGGTAAACCAACGAACAACATAACTTACTTCCTATCTGACGATGGATGAGTCAATAAAGGAAATTCGATTGGCTGTTAGTATTCATACGATGAGCCAATGAGAATATTCTAGAATAAATATAGCTTAATTAATTTATTCTAATATTCAATTTCGACACAAGTTCACATAATTATCTACAAACATTTCCATAGAAGTAGAAAAGTTTTTAACTCCTAAAATCGGTTCGAATCCTCCTCATATACACTGATCCATAGAATAAATCCATGTCCGACCAATGAAATTGTTTGGATAAACCGTGTGTCACGACCCTGTTCAAAATTGCGAAATTGGTGCTTTTCGAAAAAAAACAGATATCAGAATCATCGTTTTGAAAAAAAATGAGGTAGAAAATTCTATGAAAAAAGTTCATCCGATTTATTAACTTTGGTGCTATTGTTTTTATATTAGTTCGCTCCGAGTACAAAAGCGACTCGCTTCATCCATCTTAGGATGTGGCAAGAAAAAAGTCTGGCTCGATCCCAATGAAGCCAACGAAATTTCCAATGCCAACACTCGTAAGTCCTATTCTGTTTCACTAATTTCACTGCAAAACTTTCGGCCCTTCCACAATCATCGATTTCTGGTGTAATAAAGTTTATTACGTAAATAACATTGATCGATACACAGGAAGGGGACATTATAAGTTCTCATCTTTATTTGTCATCCTTTTCGTTATTGATTTTTGTATTGAATCAGTAATTGGCAAATACTTTGAACAAGAATAATAACGTCGATTACTTTTAATCTATTGCTATACTTACTCTTTCAGGTCAAAGTGTACGTAAATTAATTAAAGATGGTTTAATTATCAGAAAACCAGTGGCAGTTCACTCACGTTTTCGTACACGTAAGAACATCGAAGCTCGCCGTAAGGGTCGACATATGGGTCATGGTAAACGAAAAGGTACGGCCAACGCACGTATGCCAACCAAAGTATGTTCATTCTCTTCATTTTCACATTTTGTTTCAAGTAAGAACTATTGTTCTCCAAAATAGATCCTCTGGATTCGTCGTATGCGTGTTTTACGTCGTTTATTGAAAAAATATCGTGCTGCCAAGAAGATCGATCGTCACTTGTGAGTAATCGACTAACTTCAAACATAATTTCAACGGAAGGTGCATATTCGGGTATTTCTAGATACCATGAACTCTACTTGAAATGCAAAGGTAACGTTTTCAAAAACAAACGTGTACTGATGGAATTTATCCACAAGAAGAAAGCTGAAGTTCAACGTACGAAGATGCTTTCCGATCAAGCTGTCGCTCGTCGTGAACGTACAAAGGAAAAACGTGTTCGCCGTGAACAACGTATTCTCCAAAAACGCACTGAACTTTTGGGTAAACATCAAGATGATGATGATACAAATGTAGCTGTTCAACAAGCTATTGAACAAACAGCTGTTGCAACACCAGCATCGCAAGCTCAACCCAAAGCATCAACAAAGACAGCTGCTAAACAAGAAAAGAAAGAACAACAACCAGCTAAAACTCAACAACCGGCCAAAGCTCAACCACCAGCCCAACCACAACAACCGGTTAAACAACAAACACAACCAAAGAAGAAATAAAGAAATCTTTGAATAGAAAAGACGAGTGACGGACATGGTTATTACACTCAGTATGTCATCTAATCTCGCTTTTTTCCATCATTAACGATAAAAAAATTTTTCTTTGCCGTTTTTACATTATCATCAATAAATAAAAACAAGCAGTCGCGTATATACAATAAGAATTAGACAAAAAATAAAGACTTTCTCTTTTTCTTCTTAATTCATTAGCTAAGATGGCGCGTTTGTATGTAAATTCGCACACCGAAATCATCTGTTGATGATTTGTCGATAAGTTAGTTAGTCACATGCGAAAATCTAGTCTTATCTCGCCAATGAAGCATTGATTTGATAAGGCGTAGATCCGAACAATAAAAAGCGGTTGGATAGTCGGTTTGTGTATCATTTAACCATGAAGTCAATCTGTATTGTCTTAATACTTGTTGTGTTTTATGCGGAAGGTTTCCTCCTATCAAAAACGGATGGTACATCATCAAAAACGAAGGCACCAAAGAAGGGTAAATGCGATGCGATAAATCTCTCCGTGCAGTTTTCATTGTTCATTTAGAGAAATGTCTGATTGTCAAAGGTAAAGGCAAGAATTTTGTTGGTGATGTTATTTATATCCATAAGGATTTTGTTCCAACCTTGAAAAAGATCGATAACATTGCGAAACAGTGTCACATCAAACTAGCAATCAAAGGTTCCTATGAACGAGTGCCAGATCTATCAAAACCGCTCAAATTAACGACGGCGAATGTTGGCAAACGCCTTCGATTTGTTGTTATGGATCAAACTGGAAAGAAGCTACTCTGCAATAATATTTGTCTTGCCAGTAAGACTCTTTGTCATGTCAAACACGAACAAATACATAGTCGATTTTTTTATTGTAGAAGAAGGCGAAAAAGTTCCTCAAGTAAACTGCTTAGCCACGAATTTGCGTCGGGAAAATCTACGTTTTCAACCTCATAATGAATTCGATACACTTGATGATGCATCTGATTCCAAACCAGACTTTACTGAGTTTGCCCGCCGAACGCAGGAAGCATGCAAAGGCGTTAAGCTTTAATTTAAATTATTAGCTCTTACCAATCAAATAAAAAAAGCTATGATATCGATCATCACGGTCCAAATAACATTAATTCTAATTACTGAGAGAAATTACTCAGATTGTAATCATGTCATTGTACTTGTATGATGATATAATATAGTTAGAGGCAATGTGAACAAATGAGATGATTTTTCTTTCATATGAACAATACAAAAATACATTTAATCTCTTTTGTTCTCCTTTTGCTATAGAAAAAAACTTCAAAATACGCACGTCACTTTATGAAGAACGAAAATCTGCACGCTTAAATGAAAGATAGAAGCTTCTTCTAGCGTTTATGTTCTGAAAAAGTAACGACAAGGACTACGCATACCAACGTCATTCCTCTTCGTTTATCCTAAGATAATAAATAAATATGGTAGATTATCTTCTGAAATAACAGTGCGTATTCGAGCTTGTATGATAACGTCAGCGGCATGGCTTGGCCTCTGAGAGTATCTGTACAAAGTTTATCCAGACCGCGTGTCCCTCACCATACGATAGTTTCACATAAAAATATCATTCGAAGAGGAAAAATCGTAGTAAACTCTAGTGTAGAAAGAAAAAATAAGAACGAGGAGCATTCGAGCGTGACGTCTTATGTTTGTTATTTTTCACTTTTGATTCAAACCATTCACTGCACACATGGTTCGATTGATGATTTCTTTACTGTAAGTATAGACACGTATACGCAGCAAGTATTGACCTCAGATACAAACATTAAAGACTCAGAGGAAAAAAGCAAACATTACTTTCTTCGTTGAATTGACATGTCTTATATATATTAGTGAAATTTTTCGATGACATATGCGTATGCACGAGAAACCATGTGATATTATTATTGTGTTTTTGATAAAAAATAGTCAGGTCCTAATACTGTTCCTTCTCTACAGTCATTTTTTTAAATATTTAGTTTTGATGAGTCAAACGAAGAATGTCGAAGTGAAATAAAATTCTGTTTGTTTTCTTCTATATTCATATAATTCATCTAGTCGTAGTTTTGATTAGCAATTATACATCAGATATGCAATCTACAAGTAACGATTTCGAGCAATTAGCGAACATTCACCCACGTTTATGTATATTACACAAATGGGCACATTTTGATGGTAGGAAAACGATTTTGTTTCTTTGTTGAATGATAACGCTCATTGTTCGAATATCTTAGGGTATGGAATTCATTTAAGTTGTAATAAACACTCACTTGGCTTACGCATTGATGATGTTGAATTGAACAGTCCAGCGGAAAGCGGAGGTCTCTTTCGTGGTGACATTGTTCTTGCCGTCAATGGTCATTTTATTGCAAATGATGATTTTTTTGCAATACTCTTATGTATTGAATATGCACTTGAACAAGATCAAATACGATTCTTAGTATTGGATGCGAAGAGTGCAGATTTAGTGCAACGGTATCACATAAATATTGATGAAAATCATGAGAATTGTATTCGAACAGAAACATCGCAAACTTTTTGTAAACATAACGACTCTCTTCAAAATCATTGGCAGGGAATCAATCGAATCACACCAGACAATTTATCCAATGCACGTAAGTTCAATAGTAAAGATGAAAACTCCATTTCTTCTCTTTGTTATAATAATTAGATTCTTTGAACAATTTCAAATCTGAGCTGCGCATGTGTTCCGTAAATCTTCATCCTAATATCGGTCCGATTGGCATCACATTAGAATCCGACGCCGATTTCGGTCATATCATATCATACGTTGAACCAAATTCGCTCGCCGCTAGCGCGGGTCTTGAACCAGATCATCATATTATTTCTCTGAACAATATATCTTTGATTCAATTGCCTTTCGAAGAAGTTTTGTACTATTTGAAGAAGAAACGTGATGAGACAACACTGAATTTTCTTGTGGCAAAAAAATCTTATTTACTTCAAGTGTTACAGAATCACAAAATATCATTGAATGCACTTGTCCGAACAAATTCAGTCGGTTTACCGATGAGGCAAACATCGGAACATGTTCTTCATTCATCGAACGTTGCGAATCACGAGCGAGAAACGATGTCGTCGACAACGGATGAGCAATACGATCGACTTTCATTACAAATTTATGCCAATCGATATTCAGCGAAGCATAAGAAGAGACAAGGAAAAGTTTTCGATGGCATTGGGCCAGCAGCAGATCTTCGCTTTTCATGGAGTTTAAGAAGTGAAAAGACAATTGATTATTCATCGGCGCATTCGGATTCATATGGACGAAAACCGACTTTAGTTGCCTACGAGCCAACGGAACGTAGTAACTCGATGAAAGTTCCTCTCGATTTGTTACAAGTTGGAATGACAAATCCATCGCCAAAACAGCAACCACGTCGAATTTTAACCCACGAGAGAAGTCAAAGTCCGTTTGATAGAGAAAAACACACGATGCAATCGCCGTCATTTTTCAAAAGACTTCGAAATTCGCCAAGAGCTTCCCCAAGTCCAAGTTCGTCGTTAAAAAAGAAGAACGTTACACATACTCCTTCTCCAGCATTGAAATCCCTTCGAAAAGCCATGCCTATCGAACCGTCGCCAATATGGTATCAGGAAGAGCAAGGTTCGTTCACGATTGACTTTCATTTGCGGGATTTTCTCTATTTTATAGATTTATGGCAGAGATATCTTCGCAGAAAGTGTCCGATAAATTTTGTTCTTTAGATATGGACTGAGAGAATAGCTTCAGTAAAAATGATCTGTGATAGTATGCATGAGGCTACTAACGAAGAGCGAACATCTGTCTTTGTATCATTTCTTGCCTTTAACCTCCTGCCTCCTATACTTTCATTTGTAACTACGCATCGTTTGAATCCCATTCGTCCACATTCTACGTTCTACATGTTTACCTATTCACACCACTGACTCTCAACCGAACCTACACCTACATGTATGAGACTATGTGGGAAAGGACTATTTCTAAAGAACAATCTTGAAGGATACCAATCTGTAAGATGAGAAGATTTTCAATAGTAGAAAGCTTACTAATCGCTCACACTAAAATAAGAGAACTACTAATATTGGAGCTGTCTTAATCCTAAACAAAAAACGAATCTGGTTATGAATTGAACGATAGATAATCAATGAGAGCGATTCCTATTGACTGTATTATATCCTTTTAGATAATTGCCTTTATTCTCAACCGAACTTTTGTTTAAGTGAGTTATTTCGATTTGATAATTACAGATAATTCACACATTCGAAGTCAAAGAAAGGCATGAGTCTTTTGAGTAAATCTATTATTGATAAGAACAAAATGAATGCTGCTGAAGATGATGATTATCAATCGATAGGATCAGAACTGCCTCTCGATGAAGAGACATCTTCGGTCTCACCTCATAATGATGATCAAGCGACTGTCGTCGTAAAAGATAGTGAAATTAACGGCCAACAATCCAACCTTACGATGCTATATGGTGAGCCGTACAGATCGAATGTATTCGCATAACCTCTCACTAACAAATAGCTATTTAATCCTTTTCGAAATCGATTTACATGTTGTTATACTTTCTTTTTCTTTTAGACGAAGTACCTGTGTCAGAACTATCTGAACACGATTATGAAATACACAAGATTAATTTGATACAACCAACTGAAACTGTTCCACTTGGTTTTAAACTGAGCAAGCAAACGGATACGTTGCAATGTATCGTATCATGTATCGATCGCAACTCAAAAGCTGAACAGGCCGGTCTTCAAGTCGGTGACTGGTTGATTGAAATCGATGGCAAAGATATCCGTTCAACCGAATTTTCCAATATTTCGCAGCTGATTCGTGAAAAACTGAATGCCAATGTCTCGATTGATATTCTCGTTGCACGTAAAAAGTCTCACTTACCGCTTTCAGTTACCAACGACGATCAACGACCATCGACTGTAACCGCTTATGACATGCCGAAGCAAGCGAACGTTCTTCTATCTGTTGGCTTGTCAAATAAAATCGAAGAAAAACCCGCGGATAATGCTGTTGCTCCATTGCATGACACGGACAAAGAATCAATTCGTCACATAGTTTTAAACGACGCGTTCGATATAGATTTCTGTTCCTTTGCGCCTGACAAAAACAGCCCTTTAAAAATTCACGCTATAAACAACATTCGACCGTTATCACCAGCATATCGAGCTGGCCTAAGAAATGGCGATCAAATTTTAACCATCAATGATGTTGCTGTGGCAAATACCAATCATAAAACTGTCCGACATTGGTTGCTAGAAAAATCACCTGTATATTTAACAGTCATCAATGATCCGAATTATCTGGATTTTATTGAAAATGTTAAAAGTAGTCAAAATCGAATTTCCTTATCGCGACAGTCGTCAGCCTATGAAGCAATCGAAGAGCAGCCACCACCTGATGTTATCTCCGACGACCTAATCAATGTTCTTTTCATCGATGATCAAGGGCCAGTTTACATGAAACATTGTATTTTGAAAAAAGAACCAACACATCAATCTTTAGGCTTTGCCGTGCGTGATATCGATGATCTTCATGTGATAAGTAATGTAGACAATACAATGTCAGCTTATAATTATGGCATACGAGATGAAGATGTGATACTCTATGTTAATAGACAAAATGTCGAGCAAATGACTCACGATGATGTGAAGATACTTATTCGAAAATTTTCGATTTCCAATGAATTCTTTCATTTAATATTAATCAAGAAAGCTGATGTACAACGGTATAAAGATTACGAAGGAAAAAGTTTTATTGATTGGAAACGTATTCTCACTGATATACGAGAAGATCAGGCTCAAGAATTGGAACGTAAGTATGCAAATATTCAATCACTTCAACTAGCGGCTGAGTCTTCTTCATCGTCGACTTCACGTCGTACTCGTCATTGCATTTTAAAACCATCTATGGGTAATCCGGCTGGCTTTTCGATCAGTGGTGAAGACAAAGGACCATTCATCATTTCAAAGATCGATAAAGATTCTCCTGGTGAACTGGCTGGTTTACAAATCAATGATATTCTTCTGTCTATTGACGACAAGTCACTTCTTGGTGCCACATACGATGAAACAATACAAACTATAAAGCAAGCACTCGCGAAGCCATCCGTAGATATTCTCGTTAAGCAATCATTGGGTGCAAAACGACGGGAAAGTAGTGAATCATCGTCCAGTGATACGAGTGACGACAGTGTTGTGGGATATCTTCCAACTCCAGTTGCTGCAGCCCAAGTCTATTTTAGTGGAACCAATCCTATACAAGCATATCAATGTATGTTAATCTTCAGAGATATAAACTTCTTCCTACTATTTATCATTCCTCTTACCATATTGTTCTATTGTATTAAGATGAGCAAGTCTCTTCTTTTGTTTAAATACTCAAAATTGTTCTTTCAATCTGTGATTACTCTACTGAATGAGTCGAGGATTAGTCAGCAACATGTTTATTGTGTACTTCATTCCTTTCGTAAGCTAAAAGAGAGACAACATCACTTCTTCTTTTGTGTAAGTGGAGAAAGAGACGATGGTTTATCTTCGAGGCGAGTTTAGTTTGATTGATAACTTTCTTCGAAATTCTAATCATATTTTTCCTTTGTAGCACAGCGAACTCGAGAATTGGCTTATACATTGCGTCTTTGTCATTTACATGCAACAAATTCTGATGGTTCACCAGCGCCCACATTTGGTTTCGATATAACCAAAGAAGCGAAATACGAATATCCAGTTATATCACGAATTGACGCTCGCTCACCAGCCGAACGTGGTGGTCTACAAACACGCGATCTGTTGCTGAAAGTCAACGATCGCAAAACGAAAGGTGTAGATATAAATAAAGTTAGACGGCATGTCGATAAAGCTAAACATGACAATCGACTAGAATTGCTTGTTGTTGACGAAGAAGTCTACCGATATTGTACGTCGACGAATCGAAAATTCAAAGAGCCTTATATCAAAGTGAAACATATCTTTCCGAAAAATCGCGCGAGTGCAAATGTTGAAAGTTTGGACTCGCTTGTGGCACGCTCCAGCAATGCATCTGAGGACATTGTCAAGCAATTGAAAAGTGGCCCTGAATTTAAAGTTCATCGGCTGTCAATATCGAAGGATATACTCGTCGAAGATGAAGAAAATGCACCAAAAATCCGACCGAAGCCAATGAAAAAAAGTGCATCGATGAAAGAAGTCACAAAGCAATCCACCAAAGACGAATCTATGGTTGATTCGGTATTGAAATCATTTCATAATTATTTCCATAATTTCGACACTGATAAAATATTGAAACGTTCGTAATGACACGTCGCATCAATAGAACTTCTTCTAGAAACTTTAGTTTTGTTTTTTCAATGCATGTCAATCTTTTCATTCTTATTCAATATATATATATATATATATATATATACATCGACAGCATGAACACCATAGATTTTCTCTCTTTTTTCAGCGAAGATTGATAACATAACTGTATCTTCTCTTTCATCTTCAGTTGAGTACGATGTACCTTCTCAACAGCCGACGGACCCTCAGGCATCGGGATTGTTATTACCAGCAACTGTTCACGTTAATCGGAATCTCTCCGAAGAAATGTCGTATATTTCAAGATTGTATCAAGCAGCTTGTTCGAATCGTTCGAGTGGCCTATATGATTATATTCGAGATCCACGCCAGTGCATTTTGAAAATCGATCGGACTAAAGGTCTCGGTTTTGTTCTAACTGCTACTGGTGATTATGATCATACGATAACGTCAGTAGAAAAGGTTTGTTAACATATCGATTTCTTGATTGTATGACGTTCGTATGATGTGATTGATAGAATTCGATAGCTGATATTGCTGGATTACAAACGAACGATGAACTCATAGAAATCAATGGTATCGACGTGCGAAACATCAAATATGAAGATGTTAGTTTGACTCTCTTTGCACCGAAACATATCGAATGATTTATTATTTAGGTTGTTCAAATGCTTCTTGCAGCTATCCAAACACAAGATACATTGCAAATGTGTGTTTCGAACAGTCATTCAAACGACTTCTATCCATCAACAAAAGAAACAACTCGCGATGATAATACTCATGATACAATCGTATCTACAGCACACGGAACGAGTGTTCTCAGCGATATTATTTCAAGTAAGAACAGTCCAGTACATACTCCTAAACTACCAGCCACCAATACAAGTCATTCGGATTTATACGATAATGCACAACATTTAACCAATACGATCCATTGTGTTCGAAGCGAAAGTATTTCACAATTGAGCACAGGTTAACTGAACACCAGAAGATGCTTCTACAGATAGAATTCGATGTCTATTCTATTATTATAGGTATTACAGCTTCTCCAAAAGATATTCGTTCAACGAGCACAACGTCTACTTCTTCGAAAAGTAAGAATCAGTTCGACACAGTCAATAATTACTTGATGGCAACGTTTAGAACATGCAATAGATAACATACCGAAGAGAGATGCACCTGTTGCTCGACTCTGTCGCATTCGCAAATTTCCTTCATCACCTTTTTACGGATTTTTTCTGTGTGGTAACCCAAAGCGTCTCGGGTACGACATCAGCCCGTTCTATTTTCAACTATTCCCATTTCATTACTTCATTTAGACGAGTTTATGTATCAAACATAAAAAAACATTCCTCAGCTGCTATCTGTGGGCTACGTAATGGTGATCGCATAATCGAAGTTAATGGTGTTAATATTCAAACGTTAACTTACGAAACAATTTTAAATAAAATCAAACTACATTTGGAACACCGCGATCTTGAATTACTTGTCTTAGACAAAAAATCTTTACGATGGTATCGTGATCGGGAATATCCAGTCTCGTCACAGACATTACCAACAATCGTTCAAATTGAACCGATGATTAACAATATCAACATCGGAAAACAAGAATCTATCATCCAGAGAAAAATCAGTAGTTTTATTGGTAATAATCCATCAGTTTCCGAATAGTTAAGATATTGTTTATGCGATTATTTCTAGAACCTCAAGAATCCACAACCAGTCTGTGAAGTAATATGAACGTTCTATAATAATCCTTTAGTGTATTGTTTGTTTTTTTTTCGTCTATCAAATATCTGTCTTTTCTTTATAATACATATGCTTTGATTTTCTCATAGTAAATCCAGTTTTAGAAAGAAAGTAAAAAGGCACTGACAACTGTTGCTTCTATAACGAGTCAAATACGGTTTCATCGTCATTCGATAGTCCACACATTTGAAGAAAGTCAAAATCATTTGAGTAAGAAGCGTCACTTGCGTTCTCGTCTATATAAATTTGTGTTTGATCTGAATCTTCCATTGATAATAGATTCAAGGGTAAAGATTGATTGTTGTCGATAAGAGCGACATCGGATAGCCGCGTTTCTCGACTAATTGCATATTTGTAGAAAGCCGATGCAAGAATAGCACCGAGAAATGAAACGAAGACAACTAATGCACTTACACCGGAACTAAGACAGAAATTGATGATTGCACAGCTAGAAGAACGCAAAGCAAAACAATTATATAATCAGATACATAGAACTTACGCTGAGATCCAAATAAACTCTCCAACAGCTGTTACAATCACGTCCATTGACTAGATTTCGCTGACTTAGTAATGATCTGTGTACGTTTTCTTTATATAAAATGGAATAGATTGTCCGTAGCGCATGTGAACAAATAGTCGATGATGATCATCTTCTTTGTCGTTTCTTCTTTCTGCGGTATCGATTGAATAGACATTCTTACTGACATTATTCCAAACTCAATTACAGAGAAAGAAAATGTTCGCATTTTCCCTCTCTCTCTCTTTCTTTCTTTGTCGTCTCTTTTTATCACATGTTCTCAATTAAGATCAACTGAACTGTTAACGAGTGATGTATTTCTACGTATTTCATGATCTATTCATGTGAATCCGAATGCTTGTACTCATTTGAGACGCTTCCAAAGAAAAAACTACGATGAATGATGTAAAACGATCTTTCTACCAGTTTTGTCCATACAATCAGTAAATTGCTTGATAATTCATAGAATAAATATTGTTCTTTGCACGACAACAGATGACGCTCTGACAATGCGGCGCGCTGATTGAGAAAGCTCTCAGTTGATTTTATTGAAATATCTTTTATATACATATACAACAGAGTATTTTGTACGAAGTAAAATTGAACGTAGTTTTGTATGCGATTGTTTGACTTTCACTTGTAATCATTTCATTTTCTTTTTCCACTTAGACATAGCTTTGAGAAAACCAGTTCTAAAACATCATAATAAAATATTGAAAGATACATCTTCGTTATATACTTTGGTGGCTTGGTCGACGATGAATTTGTTTGTTCCTATCAAAGATAGAATCATCACGAAGGAAATCGTTTAGATGACTCTATAATAACTTACGTGTGAATTCGAGATTTCAGCTTGCGTCATAGCTACAAATAGTTGTCGATGAAAACGAAACATTGGAGATATTTAAAACTCACGAGCACCTGGCGGATCTTGCCTGTATTGGCTCGGTATTAATATATTTTCGTAAATATTTTCTCCGGGTTGACCCATAGGAAGCGACACTGGTCTGAGATAATGAGATGTAGTATCTGTGAAAATAAAACTCAATCGTTTGATAGCAGATTTAGAGTAACATGAACTATACAAGCATCTCCTGATGGTAATTGTTGATGGGATTGCCGCGATGGATTATGTAGACTTGGTGGATTTTGCCCACATGTTTTCTACAAGAAAAATGTGCATGGAGAACATCATTTTCTTGCATACATACTTGATGGATGGTCAGCATGTTCAGTGGTATAATGTTTTCACAGCATTGACATGAAGTTAGCTCTAACAGGGGTAATCGGGCAACCATTCTATGTATATGAAAGAAATTGAAAGCGATCGAACTAGTATTTTTGTATACTTCGCAAACCATTGAACATGGCGACGAATATGACAAGTTTCCTAGACAGAACCGACATGTATCATGTTTTGATGAAAGGATTTCTACTTTATGTGTTTCGAAATCATCGTTATTGACTGATTGGAAACAATATTCACATGGCACATAATAATCTCCTGGTGACGGCGTCGTCGTGGACGAGACTGGGAGAGCATACTGTCTTGTCACATTGCCAAAATTTTCGTAGATCGGTGAAATGCTCTGCTTTTGCGTGCAATTATCCTAAAGAGGAAGTGAGACGTCGATTGGCAATGCATAACTATTTACTTTTGAGAAACGATCTACATTATAATATTGATAGTGATTCGCTGATGACCTATAGCAGAAGAGAGAGGACTCAATATTCAATCTTCATTTTTTCCAATATCATACATTCTATCGGTTATTTGTTCAGAAGCATAATCCACACGAGGTATTTGATTGGATGATTGTCGTTTATTTTCAAAACGTAAGTTTAACAAAGACTCTTGTACGTCGTTAAAAGTCGGTCTTCGTTTTGTTTCCGTTCGTGTGCATTCGAGAATGAGATTCCACAAGTCACCTGAACACATACTCGGTCGTTCGAGTGGCGCTCCTTTTAATTTTTCCCTGTAAACAACATCTGTTGATACTAGATTTCCATAAGGAACTGCACCAGCTGAGCATGCTTCCCACATAAGTACACCGAAGGAATAGACATCTGATTTTTCTGAGTAATTCGTCACGGATGCATCGAGAAGTAATTCCGGTGCTGCATAACGAACGGGTATCATCTTCAATGTGGCTGACGCAGGCGAGTCGATGATCGAAAAGAGAGAACTTGTTCGTGTTAGTCCAAAGTCAGTTAACTTGACTAAGTTCTCCATAGGCTGAGATGAGTTTGAGCGAAAAACAAGGACATTTCGACATGCTAAATCTCCATGGATGATCTGATTATCTGCTAAGCAGATCATTGCATCCACAATTTGCCGAAACATTTCGATTAGAACTTCCAAAGTCGGTTGAAAGGTTCTACCCCGTAGAAGTTCACTTAGATCGCCTTCGGGCGCATATTCTTGAACTAACATGATACTATCAGATGTATTACTCTCCACGAGTCCATACGTTCGAACAATATGTGGATGACAACTGAGTTGAACATAGAAACTGGCTTCGCACTTCGCTTTAGCACCATCGATTCGTATTAAAACAATCGGTGGACCTTGTTTCGACATCCAATTGGCTTCATAGATTGTCTTACCAGGACTTTGAAAGATCGGTCGTTGTTTTGCCTTGCAAATGTCAATGTCAAGTCGAAAGCGATATTGTTTTTGCAGTGATAGAGATAGAAAATCTTCGACCATTTTTTTAACGATAAAGTTTGGCCGTAGAGATTTTAAATCCATCGGTTCACGCGTAATCGGACTTGTCGCATGTTTTTGTATCCATACTGTGATGTTTTCACGCTCATAAGTGTGCCCATCAGCTCCAATGACAGGATCACGGAAAAACTCATAAGTAATCGGACATTTCAATGAATTGATAAAATCCGATGAATTCTCATCATCATCCATACTGTTTTCCTTCGAAAATATTGAGAGAACGTGTGATATTTTACATGCTTATCTTTGCGTCACGAAAAACAGCAAGAATGAGAAAAAATATGTGTAAAAAAATAAATATAATAACATGATTCATTCTACCGATTTTAATAATAAAAGCGTTCTGTTACTGAATACAGTTATATTTTAGATAGATGGCGTCAATATTAATTCGATTGTGACTCTGGATATAGAGTCAAACATTTTGAAAATATTTACTCAAGGACATAATAGGTTGTAACAAACGACCGCGTGCAGTATTGAATCATGATAGGCAGAATGATTTTTTTTCTCTTTTTTACTGCTCTTCGAAAGAGTTTGATATGAAGCAAGTTCGTGCGAGTTTAATATGTATTTTCATGCTAATCGCTTCTAAAAGTCAAGGTTCAGAAAGTTAAAAGGAGTCATCATCTTCTTCTTCTTAATTTGTAGTATCCGTTGTCTTCTGTCGTTTTACTGGATAGATTTCTGAAAAAGGAAAATTCATCAATCAATGTTCTGATCTAAAAATGTCCTTACTGTATTTAATTTCATTTGATATGATCAGTGTTGACCAGTCGATGTCGTCTGGCTTTCCTTCCTCAGCAAGTACGACAGCGATAAGAAATCCAGCCGAATCATCATCTTCATTCATCATCTCTGCGTCTGCTGAAAAAATAAGCCAGACAGTTCTTTGTTTTGTTTCGAAGAACAAATAAATTTACAGTCTTCTGGATTTTCATTGACTGTTCGTGCATTCAATTTGAAGCCTTCCTTAAATTCAGTAGTGCATTGACGCGCAATATCACCAGAAATTTGAACCAAAGCCAATTTCAATCTGATATTAATACAAATAGTCAAATGTAAAAAGAAATCGATCGGTTAAATTCTTACGGGTAGCAACCATTTGATGAAACGTTCTTATTTGTATTGCTGAGTTTCAATATGAAAGGATTTTCCAACGGTATTTTGTGATTTTTCTTATCCACCACAAAACCCTTTAATGGATCTATATAAAGGCAACCCGAATGATATTTCACTGCGGCGACGCAAACCAAAACAGTTTTGTCGTTTTCAATCAATCTACGGTAGCGTTCCGGTAACTAAAGAAAATAATATTAAAGAATCTCAGACTACATTTGCTGGTTGAAGAACGACTTAAGAAAAAAAAACTTCGACTCAGCAATGATTTACCCACCCATCCTTCTCCATATGGAGTACGCCCATTTTCTTTTTTGGTATGGACACCTTGTAGATGGAATGCGTACTTTGTTGTACGTTTTCTTTTCTTGTTGATTCCGGCTGGTGTGCTTTGTGCTTCAGCTGGAATTTCGTTGTTTTTGACTTTCGGTCTAAACTCAATGCGAAGATTCACGCTGAAAGACTATGTTTTCACTTACTTTTTCGGAAAAATATCGCTTCGATATTGTTTCTTTTGCTCTGGTCGGAAATCATTGGTGAATCTATGTTTGTCTTCATTAACTAACTCTAAGAAAAGATCTGGTTGATATTGTTTAACTAGATCGACGAACATAACCTTACCCATCGTTGTTCTGCGCGCTGCTGCTGAGTCACTCGGCGTTTCTGTGCCATCAATGCTTGATACGTTTACTGCGGTCGTTTCTAATGTAAAAAAATGAAATTTCAGGATTTTAACATAAAAGACCTAGTTAAATAACTAGAACAAAGATAATCTTACCAAGATTTGTCCCATGTGAAGCATTATGCTCATCAACAGGTTGAGTATTAACCGAAGGTAAACTACTTTCTACTACAGTATGTCTAAATGGGAGCCCGTTATTTTCATCTAATTAAAAAAGCATAACATATTTCTAGATAATTTGAAAAGAAAATTTCTTACAATGATAGAACCATAGGCCTATGGGCCGTTTATTATTCTCTGCATTGCCACTTGAGCTATTTTGATACTGGACTATACGATAAATCTCTTGGAGACGTTCAATGGTGAGAGGTTCTGATATAAATTCTCCCTCGGATAAGCAACCGACAGAAGCGGGGAGATCAGTACCGGGAACAAAACGGCGTCCAAAAAAGGCTTCATGAGCAGTTTGTTGAAGTTCCAAAACATTGATATTACAAATATCACTTACGGGAACAAAACAGTTTTGATTTTTGTAATGAATAATTATCGTGCGCTCGTCCATGACTCTCGATTAAATATGAATGAAGAGATGAGAGACTGCTTCTGATACTTGTCGAGCGATATTCTTTCTCAGTTTTTTCCGTGAAATTCGTTTCTCGGAAATGATTGCATCATACGTAAATCTTTTAATAACTGACTAGGCAATATTGCTTCCTATTCTTTTTCTTTTCGCCTATGGGAGAAGTTATGTTTTTTTTCTGTTCTGTACGCTAAAACCGACAAAAAAACCGACATTTTACATGTGCCTCTCTAGTGCTTCGTATGAGTTTAAAAAATATATTTCTGTCTACTGTCTTTTCCTATTTTCTTACTTTATATTTTGATTGCTATTCGACATCTATCATTGGTCTTACCATGTCGCTTATTCTCATTCATAATGATCAAACAGTACCAGTTGAACTTCCATGTGCATTGGACGAATACTGCTGTTTATTTGATGAAATTTGTAAAACTATTATAAGCACATTCAAGCTCAACAATTTGATATGTGATTATTACCTATCATATTACGATCCTTTATACAAATTATGGATCAATCTGAATATTCATGTGACAAAGCGCATCACAGAGATTCTACGCGGATCATCAGCTAAAACATTGAAAATACAAATTCAACGTCGTCGACAAAATCTGACAACATATTCGATGACAACCAACAAGTTCGATCATCAACTAAGCAATGTAAATCATAATGATAGTAAATTGTACTGTATAGAATACTAAGTTTTCTCACTATGTCTTCATTTCAGAAGTGTATGTGCATACAGTTATCTGGTTGGATGAATCTATCGGTAATCCATATCAGCATAACAAATTCAAACGAGACTGTCGGGCTATGATCAATGCAAACACAGTCAGTCGCTTTGCCGACAGCGATAATATTGACGCCAAAGTTCGATACGACACGTATGCTGATGATTGCGAACGAATTTGGCGGCATAACTCACAATACACAACTGCAAAGCACATGTGTCCGTTCCAGTGCCATCTTTTCACTGCGGATAGTACTTACACGTTTTTCACATGTCTAAACACAATGTCGAAATTAACACGTTCCCTTTCGATTATTGCTTCCACGCAATTCGCAAAAGAAGTCATACCAATTGTACTGTACCATCAGCAAAAGCAACTCATTCCAAGTGAATTATTTCTCTATGTTTTTGATTCGAACATGGAAAGTTGTTACGACTGGGCATCCTATTACACGTTAGATGATCACCTTCCCCAAACAACAACTTTCCTATTGTTCGATGATAAAAAACAGTTATTCATCCGATTACTCAATGAAGTCAGACGCCTATTAGTTTCAGAGGCAGATGCAAAACGTGCCAAACATGAACTTTATTCTGCTCTTCAGTACTATTGTATTGCAAATCAACTATTCCTTAACTCATTACGCTGGAATCATCGTTATAATTTTGCTGAATTCGACCGGCTGAATCGAGTAATCGATGAATTAGAACGAGATGTCAACGAGGTTCTTCTAGAGAAATTTAAACCATCGGTTTTTGATAATATACAAATCGAACTAAGTGATGAACTTTCACAAGAGTGTTCCGAAATTTTCGAAGGATTATAAATAAAAATTGAGATATGAATCAGAATGATGAAAGTATTCTTTTCTGATAATTCATTTCCTTGAATGATATCTCCAGTATCCCCAGCTGGCCTCGATTGCTGTTTGCACGTCCGAAAATTCTGTTTAATAACAATCAAAGTGCTTCTGTTAGGGTTTGGTCGTTTTCCAGATATCTTCTTTTGTTTAGTTGCTAATTACACTGTCAACTCAAGGAAACTATATATAGAGATATACATAATCTTTTCTATGAAGATGTATCATCGATAGACTGATGACTTCTCACGTTCTTCTCCTATCATTGTCATTTTCTTGATGAGTTTTTCTTATGCTTGATATCATAAGCGTTTTTCTTTGTTTCTGTCATCAAAGAAACATCAAGAATATGCCACATTTGTGCTGCTCTTCTTTCTTAATTCCTGGAAGATTCACTGATACAATAATCATGTATCTAGAAGCATATACTTGCAGCTGTTTTGCCTCCCTATATCACTGATACATGACGAACGGAAAGAAAACTAGCAGTAGTAAACGATCGTTGTCCCTGAAGCGCGTTGTCAATCGTCTGCATGTCAACATGGACTTGACGTAAGTCTCTGTACAAAATCTAACCGAGTTTATTCATTCCGAAAGCTATTTATCATTATCAATGGACTCGACGTGATAAACTCATCGAGGAAGAATATTCTTAACGTTGATTATATAGCTATAACTTTTCATTTAGTCGACAGGCTTTGTTGAAAAGAAATACTAAATGATTGATACAAAAAAAATTTCTATTTGATTTCCATCGGATCTTTTTCTCATCTCGGCTCGTTAAACAAAAATCAACAATAGTAAGGTAAACATTTCTTTTCTCTCGTCACTTTCGACTTTACGTCATATTTTGAATTTTCTTTTGGGTCATGCAGACGCCGTGATCAATAATTTAATGCCTTTTTTAAGAACGTATGAGGTGAAGCCTTTTTTTTTCTTTCTTTTAACCATTATTCTATCGGTCTCGTTTTCTCTACCAGTTCTCCTTCTTTCTTTAGTCGTTTTCTTTTCAATAATGGTACCATATCTTTGCCAATGTCTATCTTCCTATCCCTATCGGAGTTTCTTGAGAAGTTCCTTTGACACCAAGTTTCTTGATTTTCTGCCCAATCACGTCGAGCGATCAGTTGTTATTCTACGCGGCAAATCTTAGCAGACTACATAATGATAAATCATGCGACGACAATTGAAGTTAAGTACATTTTCAATTCATAATTGTTTGTCAAATAGAGTCAATCGTTCGTACATTTTTTTGTGTCATTTCGAAGAAAAAATTGCTAATACTTTAATCTGTTTCATCGTCCTTCTGCCGTTCGTTTTGATGCATGGGCTTTTTAATCTAATCATATACGAACGAAATACAATGTATGCTTGCGTTAACCTTCATAGTTGATAATCATAAACGGAATAGGCGAAAACAACGTTAGACTTCTAGATGGTGCAATGACTATGTAATAGAATGCAAGTCGTTTGCGCTTGGAAAAAAGATGCAGTAACAACAACAACAACAACAACACCAGCAGCATTGGAGAGCAAAGAAACAGAAAGAACTTTTTTCTCCTTTCTGTCTGTTTCTCTTACTATCGCTTTGAGTCTCTTTTGTTCTGTTCGTGAAACGAATGGATCTGAATGTATTTCTCCTCCTCTTGATCGTATGCACGTCATCGCTGTTGTTATGTAGTGGCAGTGGCCCATTCATTCTCGTTTACAGGGCAATGCCTGCTGCGTAAGCGCGAGCGCTTACGCGCTTCTCTTATTGAGTAAGTTGTTGTATTTCTTTTCTTTCGTTCTGTCGTTTTTGCGTTTTTCTTCTTTTCTTCGTTTTTTTTTACTATTTGCATTACAAACTACCATGTATGAGAATGTGTGTATACGTAGTTGCAATAGCAGCATCAGCTCGTTTTTGTTACTGGACGCCTACTCAACGGCAACGATGAGAAAAAAAAACGGATATAATACACGTACGCATACGTACGAAGAAACGACAGTCGATTCGATAACTACCGTACGATTACGACGATATCACAACAATAACAACAGCAACAATATTTCGACAAGTTATGCGAGAGAAACGTACGGATGAAACAATCGAAAGAAGAAGAACAACAAACGAAGATCTCTGTAAGCAGTTTTATTACATTATTTACTTTCGATGCGATGGTAAAGCACAAAAAAGGTNCTTTCTATTAATGAATAACTAAAGTTCGGTAGCTAAGGTTTTATATGAAACCATATGCCAAAGTGGTTTAGCAGGATTTACACCGAACCTTGTGTACGAAACCATTTGATGCCATGATCGAAAAGATTTCGGACAGAACCTTTGCCACCAAACCTTTATTCTCGCCTTGTCCAAATAGGTTCTGTATGGAATCCATTTTTCTACTAAACCAAAAAAGGATCGTCCCGTGTATCGGTGGGAAGAACCTTCTTTAGTTCGGTAAAGTTCCTTTTTTTTTACAGTGTATGATACTGGTACGTGACACTCACACTAGCAAGGTTATCTAGAGAAAATAGTTAAATAGTTGTGTTCAATTATTGATAGAAATAAATTCCAATATTATCAACAACGCCATCATTCGCAATTGGAGCTATACAAGTGATAGTGACAAGTATTGTAAAAGAACGAGTCCCAGCTCGTACAAGTCCAGTAGCTTGACGAAAGAGCAATGATGATTGACTGTTTCGATCAGCAGCTAATACTGGGCCGATTGTTGTTCGATTGCCCAGCATTTGATTTGCTTGATCAGCAAAAGCTATTGAAACACGCGCATTATCATTTTGAGAACTCCAACCGCCAATCCATGCTGATAGATTGAATTTGACCACAGAATTATCAATTAAAACTGGATCAACAGTGTGTGTCACATTTACTGTTTGCCACATTGAAGTAACATTCGACACTTGTCCAAAGAAATAACAATTACCACGGTTACTAGAAAACAAAAAAGACAGCTGCAGAAAAGATAAACAGAATTCGTGGTATTTACCTCGGCCCAGGATCTGAAGGAGTAAGAACTCCATATGTAGGATTATTATAGGATATTTGAGTAATCGTTCCATTGTAATTCCATCCTGTTGGAGGTGTAACACCACCGCCTGTTTCGCAAGGACCAGTTTCACCATCACCGTTAATCAATAAATTGTTGTTCCACGCTATAAAAAAAACTCTTCTCATATAAATATATAAGTAAGAATGTATGTTTCTTTTGTCCATTCGTTATGCATTCAGTCTCTGTAATAATTAGCATCATCAAACATTCCATGGTACTTCTATAGGTCAGCGATTAGCCGAGAGAAAGTTGGCGAAGAGGCAAAGTAAAACTTCATCCAGTTTTGCTAAATTAATTAGCGTGGTCTTCACAACATATTTCAAAGAGTTTTCTACGATCTATAATCTATCTATTCATTGTAAACTTTCTGAGTGCGAATAGCCAGATGGGAGTTCTTTTTTCCATCGGTGACAATGAATGAAGCTTAAATGCTCAAGGTCAAAAGGAAGTTGATAGGACATGCAAAATTTATCTAGCCAGAATGATCATTTCAACGTTATTACAGCCATTCCAAAATGATAACTTCATGGAGATACATATCAAATTTGAGGGTGAGGGTGTGTGTGAGGGTGTGAGGTTGTGAGGGTGGGTGGGTGAGGGTGTGTGGGTGTGGGTGTGGCGGTGTGTCCGTGTGCCTGTAGATAGAATATGCGACAAAAAAGAACGTAAATTGACCATCTCAGATCGTTGGCTGAGAAGACGCAAAAGAAAGCAACCACGACGTGAACCCTTACCGAGCGGTGTAAAAAGTGGTTTTTTATTCCACAGATGTAACACTAGCTTGTTACACAGAAGTACATTTTAATAATAACAAGAGGAAGCATGCTCTCTCAGCCTACACTCTTAGCTGTTCAATCACTTCTTCGAACGATCTGATACAGCGATGATTGCACTAGTGTGCAATGGAAAATGAAAACAACTCCTGCAAAGGCGCACTTCCTCTGACAATGATATATCTGCAAAATACATTTGACTTACGCATAGTCGTGGTAGTAGTGGTTTCCGTAGTCGTAGTCGTGGTTGCTGTAGTTGTAGTAGTGGTTTCTGTAGTGGTAGTGGTGGTTTCTGTAGTTGTAGTAGTGGTTTCCGTAGTCGTAGTCGTGGTTGCTGTAGTGGTAGTAGTGGTTGCTGTAGTCGTAGTCGTGGTTTCCGTAGTGGTAGTAGTGGTTTCTGTAGTGGTAGTGGTGGTTGCTGTAGTCGTAGTGGTGGTTTCTGTAGTCGTTGTAGTGGTTGCTGTGGTGGTAGTGGTGGTTGCTGTAGTCGTAGTCGTGGTTTCCGTAGTGGTAGTAGTGGTTGCTGTAGTGGTAGTAGTGGTCTCCGTAGTCGTAGTAGTGGTTGCTGTGGTGGTAGTAGTGGTTGCTGTAGTCGTAGTCGTGGTTGCTGTAGTGGTAGTAGTGGTTTCTGTAGTGGTAGTAGTGGTTGCTGTAGTCGTAGTCGTGGTTGCTGTAGTGGTAGTCGTGGTTTCTGTAGTGGTAGTAGTGGTTGCTGTAGTGGTAGTCGTGGTTGCTGTAGTGGTAGTGGTGGTTGCTGTAGTCGTAGTCGTGGTTTCCGTAGTGGTAGTAGTGGTTGCTGTAGTGGTAGTGGTGGTTGCTGTAGTCGTAGTCGTGGTTTCCGTAGTGGTAGTAGCGGTTGCTGTAGTGGTAGTAGTGGTTTCTGTAGTTGTAGTAGTTGTTTCCATAGTCGTAGTCGTGGTTGCTGTAGTGGTAGTAGTGGTTTCTGTAGTGGTAGTAGTGGTTTCTGTAGTGGTAGTGGTGGTTGCTGTAGTCGTAGTCGTGGTTTCCGTAGTGGTAGTAGTGGTTTCTGTAGTGGTAGTAGTGGTTGCTGTAGTGGTAGTGGTGGTTGCTGTAGTCGTAGTCGTGGTTTCCGTAGTGGTAGTCGTGGTTGCTGTAGTTGTAGTAGTGGTTTCTGTAGTGGTAGTGGTGGTTGCTGTAGTGGTAGTAGTGGTCTCCGTAGTCGTAGTAGTGGTTGCTGTGGTGGTAGTTGTGGTTGCTGTAGTCGTAGTAGTGGTTGCTGTAGTGGTAGTGGTGGTTGCTGTAGTCGTAGTAGTGGTTGCTGTAGTCGTAGTAGTAGTGTCGGTTGTTTGTGTTGTGGTAGTAGTGGTGGTGGTGGTTGTGGTAGTTGTGGTAGTCGGCCCGGTTACGTTGAATGAAGAAAAAGTGGCGTCAAGGTTGAGGCTGATACCGCTACTAAGTGATATTGCGAAGGTAACGGCTGAATCAGTCCTTTGGATTGTGTTTTGGATGTTAGTTATATAACGTTTGGTACACGCTGTTACTTGATGACATGAACTTGGATAGTTAAATTCAGTTGCAATTGTCAATACCGTTTTCAACTTTAGGTTTGCGTCGGTAGTGGTCGATGCGCTAAAATTTAGAGGTAGAGTAAAATATGCTTCTCGTATAGGAAGTACTTTTCATGTATATGGTGTAAAAGTAGAAAATGAATTTTTTTATCTGCAGATGAAGACTCGTAACTCGCTTCCTAAGTTTCGGCTTGTTGGCTGTATCTAGCTTTATATTCAGTATTGTATTAGAATAGTGCTTAACAAACCTTTGTGGTGTTCTTGTGGTCAAAATGAGAGATTGAACGAATCGAGCTGAAAGTACTCGTACCATATTCCGGGACACGCTGTACTTTTTCGAAATCTATAGTAATGTTGAAAAAGATGTTTTATAGCAGAATCAAGTTTATTCAAACAATCATTACTTGATCAGCAAGTCCTGAGAGATCAGTAATCTCAGATGAACCATTAGTTNTGAAAAAAAAATGAAGTAAGTATGAAAATCGCAAGGAGATCGATGTGTTGTCTCGAATCTGACTAGTTTTGCAATCTGCTCGATATCAAAGCGCAGGTGCTGACTTTTCAGATACCTGACACGAGTCGAAAACGACGATGAAATCAATTCCATCTTGTTGATTGTTTTCCACTCTTTTTTTCGATTGTATATTTGTAATTTTTCAAATAAAAACTGTTTACTAAAACGCGTCGACAATGAATGTCTCGCGGACGATAATTGTCGCGCTATATACCTATATCAATAATTGTTTCTGTTTTGATTGAAAACAAATTCATGAATGATGCTCGATGAGTAAATTAATTAATTTCATCGCGATTTTTTTCTCGGGACGACTGCCTGTCACTTTCCCTTTCGATCAATTTGGTGCAGCCATGGTCTTTTTAATATCAGCGCTCGAAAGATATTTTTCTTTCATCGACCAAATTGAACCAACAGTTCTGTTCTATGGATTACTACTATGTACATGGATTCTTGCCATGTGGGAACATTATCTTTCTTATCGACAAGTATGTTCAGTTGTCTGCATAACTTCTTTCGAATCGTATTTCATTTGCCTAGTATCGTAACTTTAAACATCGCCGAACGGTACCAACCGAGCTCGTAGATGTAATGACAGATGAACAATTGGAGAAATCTCGCCTGTATGCAATGGAAAAAATCCGTTTCAGTCAAATTCATTCGATCTACGATGAAGTCGAAGGAACAGTAAAGGGCATCATTGTTTGTAGTTCGATCAAATTTACTTTTCGAATAGGTTCTCTTGTTAATCGGTGTTTTACCATGGCTGTGGTCAACTTCTGGAAGTATCCTATCGAAATTTGGTTATCATAATTATGACACCGTCCAGTCAATTGTCTTCGTTGTTATCATGATGAGTTACTCAACTATCGCAGGAATTCCTTGGTCGTATTATTATCATTTTGTTCTTGAAGAGAAGCATGGATTTAACAAACAAGTAAACAATCAATGATTGATAAACAAAATTCATTGAATTGTTTTAGACACGGAGTTTTTTCATCAAGGATACAATAAAAAAGATGTTGGTTACACTTTTTCTAACCATACCAATTTTCTCTCTTCTACTGAAAATTATTCAAATTGGTGGCGACTATTTTTTTATTTATGCTTGGGCTTTCATCGCGTCGATGTCATTGGTAAGTAGAGGTTGTCACGGAGACTCAGATAGATTTGTATTTGTATGACATAGGGTATTGCGATAATTTACCCAAATTACATTGCACCACTATTTGATCGATATGAACCACTACGAGAAGGAGAATTACGAACAAGTATTGAACAATTAGCTAATAAAATTCATTTTCCATTGGCGAAAATATTTGTAGTTGAAGGTGAATGACACGGATGTTGAATCCTGGCTAGATTTGCTTTGTGAATTTTTAAGGTTCGGCTCGATCAGCTCATTCAAATGCGTATTTTTACGGATTTTTCAAAACAAAACGTATTGTTCTTTACGATACTCTCATCAAAGGATATAATGTCCATGAAGACAAAGATGAGAAATCAAATGATGATGATAGTCGACTACCTGAGAAGAAACTCGACAAGGGCTGCGAATCGGATGAAGTTCTCGCTGTACTATGCCATGAATTTGGTCATTGGTCGCTCAGTCATAATATTATCAATCTTAGCATATCATTCGTACGTATAAAAACAATCATAGATAGTGATCTCGACAGAGTACCTCGAAGGGATCGTCATTTTCTGTAGTCGACGACCGATCGTCTTCAACGAAGGTTAAGATCTTTCGTGAATATTTCGAATTTTGAAGAAATCACATATGAAGATTAAAGTATTTAATTACTGCATTTTTCTCTTAGATTAATCTATTTGTGATATTTATCATCTTTGCGTTGCTGTTCAAACGGGTTGGTCTCTATGATGCTTTTGGATTTACACAAACTCAACCGATCATCATCGGTTTATTGATTATCTTTCAATATGTTCTATCACCTTATTCCGCAGTAAGTCATACGAAACAAACAACTCGTCTTTTCTGGAAAAAAAACTTCTCCTTTGTTCTTTTCCTAAGGTTCTTTCATTATGCTTAACAGTTCTGTCGCGTCGTTTTGAGTTTCAAGCGGACAATTTCGCTTTGAAACTTGCGCATGGCGATCCATTGAGTCGGGCATTGAAAAAACTCGAAATGGACAACATGACATATCCATATTCTGATTATCTCTTTGCAAAATATCATTATTCGCATCCAACTGTACTCGAACGTCTCAAGGCACTCAAGCCAAAAAAGCAAGATTAACATATTCACGAACATGCCATTTGCATTAATTATTTGACAATACTGGTTAATAAATAAATTTATAGATGAATTTCGAGTCTATCAGACTCGCTTTGTTTTCTCTGAACTTCTGAGCAGATCTTCGAGAGGGAAATTATGCCGTAAATGAGAGTGACATCTTTCGTGCCGAAGATCTATAATTAGAGGATGAAGTGAAATAAAATTACTTGTAACAATCTCAGTCAATCATGAAATAAGTGTGTCATTCTATTTATTTCCCATGGATATTTCCATTAAAATTGGTCAACGTACTGCCAATTCAGATTCAGATTAACAAAATGTACTCTGACGATGAAGTCGACGACGGTGAGAACAATCGAAGAGATTCTGTGCTTGAATTACAGAGATTTCTTGATCGGTCTCATTTTTATTTGGAACGTTTACCCGTGCTTAAAATTGAATTAAACGATGTTGATCGTATAAATCAACCAGATGTGTACATTGAAAAGCTAAGTGGGTATAGAGAAGATCAGAGAGCGCAGTGCAAATTGAAGACAATTCTTCTTCTGTCTATTTAGACGAAATCGGCAATCTCATTGTTGATCTATCGCATAGTATTCGCCATACTCAACAATTACACTCCCAATTGGACGAAAATGAATACCTAACACTTGATTATCAGATCCATCGTCTTCTCAAAGAAACTGAACGCGAAATGAGTGAATTTCATCGACTTCGCGAACAATTCAATCTATCCATGAATGAAACAACACCAAATCTCACTGACGAAACTGATCAATCAAATGAATTACAACAGCAACAAGTGACTGTTACCCGTGTTAACGATTCCTATGACTTATTAGAACGCGACTTAGCTACGCTACGAGAAACGATTGACGAAATTGCAACACTTCTTGCTCGACAAGAACAGATGATCACAAGAATGCAGCAGCTACGAGATATCGCTCAAGTTCGTGTTCACAACGCATCCTTATTCTTCCACAATATTATTCACAATCGTTATATGACAATCACATCCGGTGCTCTAATTGGTGCTACTCTTGGCGGACCAGTTGGCTTTATGATGGGTATTAAAGTTGGTGCACTTACTGCGCTGACTGGATCAGCGGTTGGTGCTTTATCAATGGATATCATGCGACAAAAATTAGTCGAACACGATGCACCACACCATACGACGCCTGCTTTGGATCAAGCAATGCTCTGATCGGACCGTTTCGCTTTTTCTCTCAGTAAAAGACGAATTTGTTAATTGGTTTGTTTTTATATCCGTTTTTAAAACAAATATATGCTTATACGTTTGGATCTAGAATCTCGTAATGACATTTATCAGATTTCGTGTCAGCAATAAGTAGATTTATTAATCCAAATCGAGTTATTTAATGTCTCCGTGTTCTGATTGTTAATCTATTGATCTTATTATTTCGAAAAGACATTCTGTGTTTTCATTATGCATTGTTTTACATATGGATATGTGTTCAGTAGCTGGATCGGTAGGGATGAGAAGAAAAAGAAACACTACAAAAGAAAGGAAGACAAGCAAAATGTCTCTCCCTCTCTCATTCTTTCGGTTTGTTGCCATCGTGAGCGCAGCAACCAAACAAACATCTAGAATTTATGTTGTATATATTCTGTTGCCGGCCACATCGCCGTCTCCTCGGTGATTCTCTATGCGTTTTTCTCTTCTTCACTCTCTCTCTCACACATTATCCACGTCCGTTCGTTTGCTATTTTTTCTGCTGCTGCGATGGTGATGTGATATGTGCGTGTGTTTGTGCACATAGTCTCTCGATTTTTTTTTCGTTTCAGTCGCCGTTGCCGACGTCGTCTAACAACGCATACATACACATAACACAACACACTCTTTTCAGTTGCATCCACTTCATCTCTTCTCTCGTTTTCTCTTTTTTTTTCTCGCTTGCTATTTAAAAGGAGAAACTCAGTTCAAAATTGCCTCTTATTCTTCGCTGTAGACGTACAAATTCGCTCGTCGTCGTCGTTAACACATATATCCATACGTTTTCTTTGAACATTAATTAAAACTAAATCAAAGTAAAAGAATTTGCAGAAAGTCATGCAAGTACAAAGTTCATGTTGCCATTGTTTAGATGCGTGAATGTATCTCCATCCATGTCGGCCAAGCCGGTGTTCAAATTGGTAATGCTTGTTGGGAACTTTACTGTTTAGAACATGGTATCCAACCCGATGGTCAAATGCCATCAGACAAAACCATTGGAGGCGGTGATGATTCGTTCAACACCTTCTTCAGTGAAACTGGTGCTGGAAAACATGTTCCACGTGCTGTTTTCGTTGATTTAGAACCAACTGTCATCGGTAAAAATAAACAAAAGGATCCGTAACAAAGAGATATCGAATGAATTTCTTTTCCTTTGTCTTAGATGAAGTACGCACAGGTACATATCGTCAACTTTTTCATCCCGAACAACTCATTACTGGAAAGGAAGATGCCGGTAAGCAATAGAGACAAGCAATTGCGAATTTTCACAATGCCATTTATATTTGTTTTCTAGCCAACAACTACGCTCGTGGTCATTACACCATCGGCAAGGAAATCGTTGATCTCGTACTCGATCGTATTCGTAAATTAGCCGATCAATGTACTGGTCTTCAAGGTTTTCTCATTTTCCACAGCTTTGGTGGTAAGTTATTCTTTTTGTGCAGAAAATATATCCTAATTAATCAATCATTGATTGCTTTCAGGTGGTACTGGATCAGGTTTCACATCATTGTTAATGGAACGTCTCAGTGTTGATTATGGTAAAAAATCAAAACTTGAATTTGCCGTTTATCCAGCCCCGCAAATCTCAACTGCCGTCGTTGAACCATACAATTCAATTCTTACAACACATACAACACTCGAACATTCGGATTGTGCCTTTATGGTCGACAATGGTTTGTATTTCATAATAAAGAGTTTTGCCAATCCTCTACTGATGATTATTTGACTCGTTTCAGAGGCCATCTATGATATTTGCCGACGTAACTTGGATATTGAACGACCGACATATACCAACTTAAATCGACTTATTGCACAAATTGTTAGCTCAATCACAGCTTCACTTCGATTTGATGGTGCCCTAAACGTCGATCTTACTGAATTTCAAACCAACTTGGTCCCATACCCTCGTATCCACTTTCCTCTTGCTACTTATGCACCAATCATTAGCGGTAGGAGAACTTTGTTTTCCAACTCGAATGACATTACATGTTTGTTGTTCTGTCTCTAGCTGAAAAAGCTTATCACGAACAATTGACCGTAGCCGAAATCACCAATGCTGTTTTCGAACCAGCCAACCAAATGGTCAAATGTGATCCACGTCACGGTAGGCTTTTTGAAGAAAGTCTTTTGAGTCCCTTGCAAATCTCATGCTCGCGTTGTAGGAAAATACATGGCCTGCTGCTTGTTATACCGTGGTGATGTTGTACCAAAAGATGTCAACGCAGCCATTGCTACCATCAAAACAAAACGTACCATCCAATTTGTTGATTGGTGTCCAACTGGATTCAAAGTTGGTATCAACTATCAACCACCAACCGTTGTTCCAGGTGGCGATTTAGCTAAAGTACAACGTGCTGTTTGTATGTTATCTAATACAACAGCTATCGCTGGTAGGTTCCCTTCATTTGAATCTGCGGAAGTTTATTGCGCATGTTGTACTTTACAGAGGCATGGGCTCGTCTTGATCACAAATTTGACTTAATGTACGCCAAACGTGCTTTTGTTCACTGGTATGTCGGTGAAGGTATGGAAGAAGGTGAATTCTCAGAAGCTCGTGAAGATTTAGCTGCATTGGAAAAAGACTACGAAGAAGTTGGTGTTGATTCAGTAGAAGTATGTTTTGATTGATTGCTGAAGTGAAACCGTATTTTCATCGATTGAATCCTTTTTTTTCAGGGTGAAGGTGAAGGTGAAGGCGAAGAATATTAAACGAGCGACAACCACGAATCTTTTAAAAGCACAGCAACTCTATCAAGGACCATTTTTCAATATCTTATCATGTACTTTCTTTTCTTATTTTCTTCTTCTGTATCTTATTTTCTCCACTAATGCGATCATAAACAAAAGATCTCGATTAAATTCAATGTAATTCTTTTCTCTTATTTTCTGCTACCCTGTGCTTTGCCTTATAACAGCAACAACAACCAAAATAAGAACTTAATAAATAAATGATGCACTTTATTCCAAACTACAGTCAGCTCTTTCATCAAGAAGAAAATCGTTGTAAATGAAAAGGTGACGAAGTCCGCTGACGGTTATTACTTTCGGTATAACTGCCGAATGGTACTTGAATATTCTGTTCAATTGAACATTGCGATTCGTCATGGCGAGGAGAACGTTGAGAGAATAGACTGGGCACACCAGTAGCAGCAGCCGGAGCACTGGTATTTGAAAATTGCTGTGATACATACGTTAATAGGCCAGTACTAATTGCTTGACCTGCGTCATATACGCTACAACGTACTAATGTGTCAGGAGATCGATGATTTAGTTGAGAGTTCATTTTTTCTCCCATAATTGCTTGTTGGTCACCAACACCGATGGTATCGTGTTTGATTTGATTGCGAGTGCAATTGATTCGTTGATCGTCATTTTTGAGTTGTTTCGATTGAGACTTCAACTCAACTGGACGCACTAATGCATCATTTTCATCTTGTTCGATAGATTTCTCCCAGTCATACGGGTCGTCATCATGATATCCGAGTCTTTGTATTGTTGATACAAACAGCAGTCTAAGATACTCATAATTAGGTTTGTCTTCATATTTCAAGTCATTGATATGTTCTAGAAAGTTTTCGAACACATCAGGCAAATTGGCAAAGAACTGTGTATAATCGTATGTTGCCTAGAGCAAGTGGTTCAATGATAGTGTGATCAGCGAATAGTTATAAACATACTTTCATGTGACCAACCGTCTCTTTGTCTTTCATCTTTGACCACGGCAAGGAACCCAGTAAAAATTCTATCAGCATATAGAAGCAACTCCATAAATCATCATGTCGCCCAAGATCACGACTATTGTGTGCGTTGATGGATGCATATCGAATAGTTCCTTCAGTCGGAGATCTTAGTTGCAATAGGGAAAACACATTATTCTGTCTTACCACGAAAGCCTGCTTCTGTTCGAGCTGGTCTCACATGTTGACCATAATCGGTATATTTTCTTGCGAGACCAAAGTCAAGAATATAGATTTGCCGACTATTCGCTCTGCCAATGGCAAAATTCGACGGTTTAATATCACGGTGTAGAAAACCAATCGAATGAATAGACTCAATCGCTTCTAAAATTTGTAAACTAATACGAAGTGTGGTCGATAGTGTAAAACGCTGTTCTTGTGTATTTCGTCGTATTTCACTCAGACTTAATCCGAGCAATGTCATGATCATGTAATTGTACAATGTTGACACTCCACCAGAGAATAGTTCACAAATATGTTGACGGTTTTGTATACGGCGTAAAACAGTGACTTCCATTCGAATGCCTTGCCGCGATTGAGAATTCGATTCGACTTTGACGGCGACGAACTCTTGCCGTAGTTTATCGTAAGCTTGATAGATCTGTCCAAAGCCACCACCACCTATCTTATGTGTTATTCGCCATCTCGATTTAATCGAATCACCTTTTTTCAAAAGATCACAATCCGACATTCATTCAATAAGTTGATCGTTAAAATGGCATCGATAATCATTGAGACAAAGTGTACTTTATATTCATTTGTATAATCAAGATATGTCTCAAAATAAATTAAAATAAAAACCGATGAGTGTTAGTAAAAATTTATTCAATGTATTATTTCTTTGGCGCTTTGGAATTTTCTCTTTTATGTTGTAAATAAGGAAGTTATACTGTTCGTATTGATATCAGGGGTGAATGACTCAAATCAATTGTCGAATTTGACATTGCAGTGCTGCCCGTATGAAAACAGATGCATTTACTTATACCATTGTTTGAGTAAGTGTGGGGAGTGTACCAAGATCTGCACATTCTTCTCATTGTTACTAATCATCTTTACTTACGTTCAAACTAGCAACACGTTGTAGTTAAGTAGAAGAATTATCTACCTGAAAAAGCTTGCAAAGTTTTTTTGCGAAGTACTAATGCAAACCCATCGCTACAAATTTATACCCGTCTTTGTGGCTCCGCACTTATTAAAACTATGGTACAGCTGTAGTAGTGTATATTATAGAATAAGAAAAATATATACGAGTAGACGCTTACTACTTACATACATTTTTCGTTTTCACAGAAAAAGTTTTTCTTGTACTACACCAAATGATGATTTTATTTCGTTTTATTGAGAGTAAGTAAAGCGCACTTGACAAAAGCATTGCAACTAGATAATACAACGACTAGAAATGAAAGAAGCAACAGTCATTGGGTGCTATTATCGATTCAATTCATCAGCGTGTGCGACAAAGACGATGTCGAATGCTTTGAAACACTCGTACCATGTATGGAACAAACAATCGAATTCCAGTTGAAGTACCGGTAAATATACTTAAGAACGTGGTTAAGATTTCCATTTCATCAAATCGATAGTATTGTGTATGAATACAGTAATTTGGTGAACAACTTTTGAAATAGTCTTCATATGACACATTACTTTTCCATGATTCAATAAACATTTCATAAGTTATTCGCTCAAGTGTATCATTTACATTAAATCGTGTCAATGACTCATGTAAACGAAAATCATTGCCAATAGGTATGTCAGGGAGATTGAAAGATATACGTAGAAACTTTTTAATACAAATGGAAGAATAGAAACATGAGAATGATGAAAGTAAAACTGTTTCCAAAATGTGACAACCTAATTTGAGACCTGGAATGATAAATAATTCTCCATCAAGATAATACTTCACTGGCGCTGTGCACGTTGACACAGTAGCACAAGAGCAACTTGTATTTTGATTTTCATCATCAACAAAAATAGGCGCATATACAAATGAAACATTGTTCACCCTACTATTTCCAATGCTCTTTACGTTCCAATTTAATAAGAACATTGACGACAAAGCATTTCCTTGTGCACTCATACGAATCAGATCTAATGTTTGGGCAAAAGTAATTGATATTCTCTTTTGAAATTGAGTTATGGTACTGTTTATTTCACCAGTGAATTCTGTTAACGGCTGCAGTTGGTTTGTTAACATAGTTGAAGTCAGAAAAACATGAATACTATTCTCAACACTTTTTTGCGCTAAGGAACAAAGTAAATCCAATGAGTCTGAATAGAATTTGCGTAAACCAAAAAAGTTTCTGCTACTTGTTAGGGATTGTCCACTATCCGTCATCCCTAGATGAAACATTCTCACACCTTCATATTCTCAAATTCTACTTACCAAAATAGAAAACACTCCTAACAACATCTGTTGTACATGCTTCATGGAATGTATTAACTCGTAGTTCATTGATGAATTCACCATACGAAATCGATATGCGTGTACAAGGACATCTAAGATCGTTTGTTCGAAGATTTTTCACTAGTTCGCTGTAATCTCCAATTGAAGAGACATCATATGTTTTGCTTGTACTACGTTCAACAACAGCTGTGTAAAATAGAATGACACTGATAGTAGTTATGTAAAGAACTAGATATATTCGAGTGTACATTTGCTGTCGGCGAATAGTTACATCATCGGTTATTTCTGATTTGAATAAATTCATTCTTTTCACTGAGTGATAAATATTTGTTAAGAAATATGTCAAATAATGTCGCCCTGAGTTTGCTAGATAGAAAAAACAGTTATGGGCAAGTTTGACGTTTCAGTCGAAGATTCTCACCACGTCGTTGACGACGTTCTTTCCACCAATCAATACAGTAGAACAAAAGTTTACCGGATAACAGCACAGCTATTCGTAGGATTGCGTTCAAACCGCCACATATGGCGATAAGAAGAAGCAATGATGCTAGCGCATTACGGCGTTGTACACTGGTATATGAACAAGATTTAGGTGCACATTCATAATAAAATTGGTCGAAGTGTGAATTGTTACTGACTGCTGCTTCGGAGAACAGTTCAAGCAATAAATCTTCCGTTTTGACATCACCGAAGCGACTGGGAATTGATGCATTGAGAGATTTGATGTTTGGCGGTCTTTGCGATTGAATGGCGAGTGAATAGGTTTCTTGAATATCTTTCAGATAAGTACTATTGTACCACCAACCGATCTGCGATTTAAAAAATCCAGTCAGAGGGACACAACCTACTGTGATCACTTGAAATAAGTAAGTCAGTGGAAAGGCACCGAAATAGGATGCATTTGTGAATAACAGAGGTATCAGTAAACACTTTTTGTAGTCGAATGCACATGAACAGACGGCGCTACTTGAACCTTCCGTAGCTGAGAAAGTCGAATATAGAAAATATGTAGCAAATTGAATGTTTAGTTGGTCATAAATGTCGAAAGTCATCTGGAAGATAATATTTGCTCCGTTAAAAAAGTGACCAGCAGTAAATGCAATATCGATCCAATCAATTGTTCGTACAAAATTGTCACGAGCTGCTTTGATAAATGAATCCAGTATTGATTGAGTCTTTTGATGAAAATCTGATCGAGAAAGAACACGATCATTGATGAACTGAGTAGTAGTAAAAACATGTTGTGCATCAGCAATGTTAGTTTGAACCATTGAACAAAAAGTAGATAACAATTGAAAATAACTAATGCCCATTACTCGAAAATCAAGGGTACCTTCAGGTTGATATGACATGAAGTTAGCACTGGTTGGATCAAATAATCTCACATACGATATCCATTCCGATGAGACTAAATCACTGAAACAGACTTGATGTAGAACAAATGTAACATTCATGAAAGATTTATATGGAACAGATATTTGTGAACAGGGACATTGTAATGCTGTTGAATAATCATTATATAACTGGTCATAGGTAGACAGAGACGGATTAGATACTGTTATTAACTGATTTTGTTTAGTAAGGAATATATAAAGCCCAGCACCAAGTGAAGAGATAATAACCAGAAGAATAAAGATTTTGGTTAACAGTCGTTCTCGAAAGAGTTCTGTTGCAGTATGTGGTCTCGCGCTTTCAAATACATTCAGAGAAGTGACTAATTCTCTAATGTGTCTTGGTATGTGTTGAATATAATTGTATATAACGTGAACTACACTCCAAATCAATTATGTGTTGTGAATGAATTGAAATACAACTTACCTGGACGCTGTGGTGTTGCTTGACTTTTTGAAATGTTGAGATTCGGTGCGACACGATTCCTTCGATATAATATAATCATTGCAATCAAAAGAGCAAATGATCTCAGTCCGAACGACAGTCCACCAACAATACCAATGATCGTCTTAACGATAAAAGCAGCATGAAAACGACGTGTATATGAATATGAACAATATTGAGGATTACATTGAGAATAGTATAAGTTAAATTTCACATCACTTTGTATCTCTTCAATCATCAGTTCGTTGAATATGTCTTCTATCATTGATCTTGGAGAAAAACGTTTTAGTGAACTGTTGGATAGTGGTTGAATATGTATAGGCAATGCTTGATGTAAAAGAGAAATACATGTTTGATTATAATAACATTCGAGTGTTGATGCGAGTGTAGCTTCGATTATCAAGCAGTCCATGATCATTCCAGGTATAGTTATCAAATGACCTTGACTATCATTGAAGATAGCTGGACGTGGACAACCTTCGATATTTGTACAGGAACAATTTCCAAACGTTCGAGGAGTCATTCGAATATCTGAGCTCGAGAAAAATTTTAGGTAATAGTTCGTTTGTAGACCGGACACAATCTGATTTCCACTTGTCATACGACGAATAGCGAGTAAAGTTCGAATGATTGTTGTTTGAGAAAAATCAATTTGATCTTGAAATGCTGCTTGTACTTGAACTCGAAGCGTTTCTTCGGCAATGGCTGTCGGACTAAGAATATTTGATGTTTGAAAATTTGCAACAGCACTTTCCCAACTTGCTCGACTTGCATTACATAGTCCTCCAATAGTTTGCCAAAAGAAACTCAGTGTAACACGAAAATCATCGATCGATTGCACTGAGATATTTTCATTTGTGAATATCATATTAAACCATGTTTGTTCAATAAATCGACTTGAACAAACAGGATGAAATTGAACTTGAGTTATCATAAAAGCTTGGTAACTAATCGCGTATTTTGAACAGGGACATTTGATTGTACTTGGATATCGTTTTGCTAATTGTGTAAATCGCGTGTCTGATGGTTGAGATTCAGTTCTTTCAATTGTTCGCACTATAAAGGCAGTTATTATTGTAATTGTGATTAGAGAAGTAATGAACGAGCAGGTATAGACACGAGTTGCAATTAATTCTTTTCGAAGAGTTTGCTCTGTGCTATCAGATTTCTTGAAAAAGTTTAATCGGAGAAACTTTTGCCAGAGTTGATTTGCACTGTCCAAGGTCATCTTGAAGTGGATTGAGCGATTAGTTTATGTGTGAGAGAGTATAATCAGGGAAATGATGAATGAAACTAAGAGTTGGAGAACAAAATAAGCGTGTTGAATTCATTAGAAATAATGATGAATTGTTGTATTTCATTAAATATTTTCTTTAGAATTTAATAATAAACAGAATTTTGATAACACAGGTTGTTGTTTTTCTATTCAGGCAAATATGTCGTCATGGAACATACGTATCATTCATCTCTTTTTATGATATGATCTGAGCACGATAATGAGATTTTGACATTCAGTTCGATGAGAATCGAGATACATTATGAATCTCCATGAAAATATAACTCCGTGTTCCATACAAACATCCTGATTTGTCGTTCTGAGAATCATCATAGCACGTACATACTTATGATAAATTTTATCTTAAATATGTTTCTAAACAAACAAGAAAAAAAAACACATTTCCTAATTTCCAATAACACCTTTTTGTATTTCTTTTTCCAAATGTTCCTTAGTAAAACAATCTTTCACCAACTCGACTTGTTTTAATAATTGTTTCAAACGATTAATTTTATCTTGATGTCGAGGTATAATCACATTTTCCCAAATATCTTTCGTCACATCGATTTTCAAATGTAAATGTGCATGTTTTCGAAATGTTCCATGATTGATGGCCAATACTGGATAATTGAGTTCATTAACATTACCACATTCTCGATTAATGACTTCAACTGCATCTCGCCAAAATGCTTCTATTTCACCATTTTCGTCATTCAGTTCACATAACCGTTCGATATGTCGTTTTGGAGTTAAGATAAGTTTCGGTCGATTACGAGAATCCAGCCATGAATAAGTGTACTTCTTCTTTCTCGTTCTATGCAGGAAAGAAGACAGATACTTGTATAGATCACAAGGCTGTTATTTATTTCTTTATTCTTTTCTGTCGAAAACAAAACCGCCGAAAAATAAACATCTCCAGCGGGAATCGAACCCAACAACCAGAGACTGACTTTCCGGGCCAGCACTCAGACCACTGAGCTATCGAGACGCACTCTTTTTCGATATCCATTCTTCGACGGTAGAATGTGTGTGNCACAAGTTGACGAAAGAACAGAGCAGCAGAATTTGTTGAGACAAGATTAGCAAGACTTGTAGAGCATTGAAACTTCAGTCCGTTTGGTAATTTGTCCGGAACAAGCCATTTACTTGAGATTGTTGACATCATGTGATTTTTCTTTTGTTTTCTCACGGAATGAAATATAGGCAGTATTTATTTTTTGTTATTCTCTCTCTCTACATATATATGTAGTGCTAACGGCATACATCTTTCGGCGACTAGTTGGTTTAACGTAATTGCGCAAGGATGTAAGAAAGTGACTCAGAATGAAAACTAGTATCAGTCAAAAAAACAGAATTCTGCGAATTTGCTGATATTTTATTCGAAAAATGTAGAAATAAAATAAGACAGTTCTCTCATCGATGTCTATGTGCTCAGAATATATCTTTGAGAAGTATTGTGTACCATTCCGTATGATTGTATGTTTTGTTTAACATCGTACTACTGATAAACCAACATGTATCGACTTTAGCTGAAGAGAGACTTTTCTTTCTCGAAAATGCTATAGATTTTGCACGACAGAAACAGTGCCGTTCGCAATATTTCACATCATCAACGAATCGGCGTATGTCTGAATCTTGCTGAAGTGAATCTTCAATGAAAAAATTCTCGACTATCCACATTGTAGACTACCGACTATCTACCTCACGAGTTCGTCATAGCTGGACATTCGACGCATTCTTCGAATTTGGTCGTATCGAAGGCCCATTTTCGCGACATTTGGTGACATTACCAAATGCGAATATAGTTGTTGTTGTTGTTGACAAATTAAATACAAGACTAGTCGTCGAAGTCCTCGCCTCCATGACATATAAATCGACACCTAGGTATAATATCGAAAGATTCGATCACCATGAGAGTTTTATTTTCAAAGCTTCTAACTCACTAAATCGGAATAGCAACTGTTTTTTTTCCACTAAGATAGCTCTTTTTTACCTCGTGTTTTTGAAATTTGAGATGTTTTGAATATTACTGAAGTTGCTGCAATGGCAGCACCAAATATGATTAGAATAATTACAGTGATCAAAGTTGAGTGACTTCTTAAACACTGACATTTCAAATAATCAGTTACCTATATGCTTGATGAAAACTGTTGAATTTATACGATTTTCATGTTTTGACGATTGCTATTGAATCAATTGGAACGAGATCTAACGATTGGGACTATAAAGCAAAGCGACATGGTTTTAATGAGACAAACTCACTATAGGAAAGTGATAAGCGAGAGCAAGGACGATCGGTATTGATAGGTAAAGCATCGAATTGTTCTTCAGTTGAATTGTCTAGTTTAATAGTGGCTCTTTCTAGTTTGAATTTAATAAAAAAAGACTCAAGCATACGAGAATTAATATAAGAAGAATCAAGTATATTCGAATAACAGTAATATTGAAATGACGTTGTCGTTCATTTTCTTCTTCTCTACCGTTAGGTTTTGAGTGAAATAGATTGAGATTTTGAGGATAGCTTTTTCAAAGAAAACATCAGTTGATAACAAAAATTAACCATGATAAAAGTGTATTTTCGCTTGACTATAAATCTTCTTGTTCAGCAAGATAAGAATAACCGGGTTAATATATGATATCAGCATTTGCGTTTAATATAAAATACATCGTTTTTTTAATTTTTTTCCTCCCCTAGAAATGAAGGTTTCCCGTCAGAAAAACATATGGAATTGTTATCGTTCACCATTGGTTTTAGAAACATTTATACTCTTGTTCTTTCCGACTTTAAGTCGACATTATAGTTATGAAACAAAACAAAGTATAAGTCTTTGGAGTAAGGTACTCTATTTGAAATTAAAGTATGAAATATATCTTTAAACCTATAGATACATCCGAATGACCTTCATTCAACCCAAAATTCAATATATTCATCACGAAAATTGTAGGTATATTCTGAAAGAGCATCAAATAATAAACAAAAACCTCTCCTTAAGAGAATCATCACCTTTAAAAACTCTAACATCTGTACTAAATGCGTTATTGACAACTATTACTATTCTGGTCATAATAGGAACTATCACTTCGGTAGCTATTATTAAAATAAAAAATAAACCAACAAAATCAAAATTTGAAGTTACAACGACAGTGATGTCGACAACAACAACTAGTATGATTTTATTATAAAAGAAATCTAAGATCAATAATGTTTGAATTTGAAAAATTTCAGTGTTTGCCACTAATATTGATTTTGATTCAGCCACCCTACGTTTCCTATTTACAATGATTAATCAATCGCCTAATGTATTTACTCTGATCAAAAGTGATCGATGGTATGGTCACTTAGATGCTCCTGATCATAATCTTGAAGCAGGTAATGCAACGCATAGCAATATACTTCAAATTCGCGGTGTTAAATCAACACAATTTGGTACAGGCGTTACTTATGCACTTTGCTTTTGTATACATAATAAGAATAACTATCGATTGAACATTTACTTACAAGTTGCATCTTTCTTTCATAATAATTATTTTGGATGGACTTTACGTGAAGGAGAAATATGTGATCAAGCAAAAACATGGTGCGGCAAGGACAAATTTAATCGAATAAAAGAAAATTGTGCTGATCCTGTATTAAATAAAGGAGGCACACTAAGTTTAACTGCATCATGTGATAACATGAAAATCGAAATGTTGACAGATGATCTTGGATTATCAACACCAAACATGATTATTCAAACAGAAGACATCAATGAAGACTAATACTGAAAATGAATATTTCACCGCTTCTAATTTGCTTTTGTCACTGTATCCACTTTAACTTTTATTGGAATACATATGTGAAAATAAAACGAAAATTAGAGAACAATCCTCAATGAATATCAATCTACTGATTTATTCTCTTTACTGAAAGAAAGGGTTAAGATTCATACATGGAGCAGTTGAAAGAAAATGTTCATTTCAGTGAAATATATCTGAGAAAGGCAGTTATATCGGATTAAATAAATAGTTTGTTGTACGGAGGGGTATTACATATGCAGTTTAGGAAAGTATCATTTTTCTATTTATAATAGATATTTTTGAACATACTACCAACGCAAGACATGAAATGACAATGAACAGTCAAAACGACAGCTGATTTCTCATATAGTTGTTACACATTGGTTCTTTGGAGAATATTTTTAAGTTATAAATACAAACAAATAGCTGCAAATCTTTGCTGAATACGTATTTTTTATGCGGTGTTGCTCACAAACCTACTTTACTGCTTGATTTATATCCAATTCGATAATTTATTACTAAAGTTGCTTTCAATACGTTCATTATTAGAAACAAATTGAAAATAAACGACGAGGAATCGAGCTTTCAGATTCTGTCGAATTCCCATAGAATCTGAAGGAGTATACTCGCTCTGAGCAACCAATCCTTGAAGCATAATTAGGGTTGAGAACCTCAAATTCGACATTAGTTTCTTCTTGTGCACCTTTTTTTGGATCGTATACGATATATAATCTATTTGAAATGAGATCTTTCCGATCCATTATAAGTATACGTAAACCCCTTGCTCTTCTATGCTGAAAAAAAAGAAAATCATGTGAAGTATAGTAGAATGTCATTAGTGTTAAACATAGAATAAAGCTAAACGTATTCAATGAATTTGAATAGGAATAGAAAAACAGAGGATATTGTGGATAGGTCATTATAATCGCCTAGGCAAAAACGGCTTTTTTCTTTACAAAGAGACAAGTCTCTATGGTGTTTTAAGTATGCTGAACGATATAGTTCTACCATTTTAGTATCAGATCAGCGAGTTCAATGGGCAGATAGTACGTATATGTTACATGGGGATATTGAAATGAGTCTCATTGTGCACGTATTCGTTATCTCGAACTTGGTCTTCGCTTTTGTTGGAAATATTAGATCTCAACTGAAAATTCAACAAGATCGATCGTCAGAAGATGATCCTTTTGAGCCATGTGTGCGCTTGAATCAGAACAAATGTGGAAAGTAAGTATCTTTCTTCGTGTGTTAGGAGAAGTTTGTGCAACTACTGAGAAATAAAGAACATTAATTAATCCAGGCATGTTCACCTGGTTTTAACACTGTCAATTTCCTCTCTCTCTGTTTTCAATGGCAACACAAAGTGACTGTATACTCAGTTAAAGACTTTCAATGTTGCACGGCGTGATTTGATTTACTGGAAACGAAATGCACATATTTTCTTTCTTTAATTACATGGCTGATTTGAATACGCGCGAGCATGCTCATCTTTGACTGTGTCATATATCCGTATATACAAATCCTGTCGATAGCATCATATAGGACTCCGTGGATAACAGTGCTGGTTGTTGCAAATTTTATTGTTCATCTACAACACATACAGACCACTACTACACAGATGTATTCGTTGTTGATGCTCTATTTATAAACAAACGGAGACTATATGTGTGCAAATGCCTTGAATAAAAGTAAAAATATCTATATTTAGATGATGATACTTTGCATAGTTTCAGTTCTCTCGATTTATATGAGTGTACTTTGGTCAAGTGCTGTTAGTTCCTTGCAAACAGGCAGGGTATATACATACCATTTCAGATACATCTCAAAACTTACCAATACTTCAGGTATAAAATCAGCCTGGAGAGGCTTCAAATAGTCAAAGCCCATTTCTATTCAATGATCATCAACTCATGCAAATTTTCAATCACCGATATGTGCAGAGAACTCAAACACAGTTGCCGAAATCAAATGAAACGTACGTTCTTTTGCAGTGTAATGTTAGGAAACACTACGAATATATAATGTCTTAGGGCACAAACTATGATGTGCAATCATGCACAACAGACTGGTTTCAGTTAATTGTCATCATTCAAAAGATAGATCTCAGAACAAGGATACAATAGTTGTCTATCATTAGATATCAAATGTACCAGTCCGAATCTGACCGAGAAAATTTGTAAAACTAATCATCCTTCACATTTTCATACGTCCTCAAACTTCTTAGCCTTTGAAGCAATAGAGAGATTTTCTATGTAAGCAAACCATAAACAAAAAGCTCTGTTATCAGAAAAAATTACAAACAAGCTTGAGAGTATATTGCAATGCTTTTTCCGAGATAAAATGCTGCAACAAACACTTCCCTGATATTTTCCTATGAATCAATATCATTAGTGAATACAGCTGATCATAATCGACAAAATAACTTCTTCTCAGACTACACCAATGGCGAGAAATGATTAATCTAACAAAGCGATTTGGTGCGCTATTTTTTAACTATTCTCTCTTCACTATGCTATTCTAGTCACTTTATAACACATTGTTTCTTTTAGATGCACCATAGAGTTCATACAAAACGGATGAATACTATACCCTCTCCAAAAATGAACTGCAGACAAATATAATCCTTCGTTATCAAGCACTCAATATATTTAGGCTGTCGAATAACACATGAAACAGCTGTCTTTTAGTCGAAAACCGCTGCTAGTCGCTGTACCATGGCTTGGTCACTTTGTCGTTAAGAGAACTGACATCTGAAATGCATACGCGCTGTACTACTGTCGCTTCAACTACGCTATATCTCCGATATAGTCGAGCATTCCACAGTAACTTTGTCTCCTCAACCACACACTCTTAGAAACAAACTCCAAACCAAGAGAACCTCTCATGAACGCATCGCGTCATACTGCCTCTCTTCCACCAAACACTGCTCTGTTAAACCTTCGTAACGAAACCATTCACTTCCACTAATCCACATATATTTTTAACAGCACACCAAGCATTATCATTCGGGTCACATTCACTTCTCACAAAACAATTCATTTTCTATTCCTGCACTACTTCTCAACGTCACACAAATCACACACCGTATGACATCTATGGCATGTTCAATCCAAAAACATCCTATCTAAGAAAAGAGTCACCAGATCCACTATGACTTGTTCTTCGATTCCATTCACCCCAAGATCTACACCGGCTTGAAGTTCTAAGAATTACATAGAACAGAAATGCCCACTTTCTTCTAGCACAACATCGATCTTACTGCATTTCTTCGCAATGCATCCGCAATGTGTTGTGCGCCTTCACCACCGATTCTGTTATCGCTGAGGCCTAGTGTGGTTAGTGTCTATTGGTGTGCCATAGGCTGAATGATTTGTCTTCGATGAAATGAGATCAATATTACCGTATTCGTTCGCAGTACATCGACAATGTGTTGTGCTCCTTCAGCACCTATCCTGTTATAGCCAAGGTCTAGTGTGGTGAGTGTCTGTAAATGTGAGATGGACTGCGTGCTTCATCTTCTCTAAACTGAGATCGATATTACCGTATTCGTTCGCAACGCATCCGCAATGTTTTGCGCTCCTTCATCGCCGATTTCGTTACTACCGAGGTATAGTGTGGTGAGTGCCTGTAAGTGTGAGATGGACTGCGTGCTTCATCTTCTCTGAAATGAGATCAATATTACCGTATTTATTCGCAACGCATCCGCAATGTGTCGCGTTCCTTCACCACCTATTCTGTTATAGCCGAGGTGTAGTGTGGTGAGTGTCTGTAAGTGTGAGATGGACTGCGTGCTTCATCTTCTCTAAACTGAGATCGATATTACCGTATTCGTTCGCAACGCATCAGCAATGTGTCGCGTTCCTTCATCGCCGATTTCGTTACTGCGGAGGTATAGCTCGGTGAGTGTCTATAGATGTGACATAGGCTAAGTGCTTGGTCTTCTGTGAAATGAGATCAATATTACCTTATTTGTTTGCAATGCATCTGCAATGTGTTGTGCTCCTTCACCACCTATCCTGTTATAGCCGATGTATAGTTTGGTTAGTGTCTATAGGTATGCCATAGGCAGAGTGCTTGGTCTTCTGTGAAATGAGATTGATATTACCGTATTCGTTCGCAGTGCATCAGCAATGTGTTGCACTCCTTCATCACCGATTTCGTTAATGTTTAGGTATACTCTGGTTAGTGTCTATAGATGTGTCATAGGCAGAGTGCTTGGTCTTCTGTGAAATGAGATCGATATTACCGTATTCGTCCGCAACGCATCCGCAATGTACTGTGCTCCTTCAGCACCTATTGTGTTATTGCCGAGGTGTAGTGTGGTGACTGTCTATTGGTGTGCCATAGGTTGAGTGATTTGCCTTCGATGAAATGAGATCAATATTACCGTATTTCTTCGCAACGCATTCGCAATGTTTTGTGTTTCTTGCGTACCGATTTGCTTAGATCGGAGCTCCACGGTGGTAAGTATCTGCATTAAAGAAATATATTATGAAAAGAATAAGTAGCAAGGAGAATCTTTGACGGCAGTTCTAGTCAAATATATGTGAGATGAAATGGTTATGTGTGGTGGTCGGTTTTTCGGAGCGGCTGGATATAGATATGAGGGGTGGGTGTTTATTCTAGTTGTTAGTCAGTAAATATTGTTCACTGAACAAGTGCTTTGCCGAGAATCTAGACAAGTGATTACTGCGAACTGATGGAACGGAAAGAGTAGGATTTAGTTATGAATAGGCGTTGGATGTAGTGAGATATCTCTTTTGAAGGCGCGCTCAAATGAAATCGCAGTCTTACTCCTGTGAAATGCCGGGGTTGGATTGGGTGTACCCCTGATGAAGAAGAATATTCGCATAGATCTAGTAACTGTGCTGCTCAGCTTGCATCATTTGGACAGTTTCGTCATAAGTTATGGTTGATGCACTCTTTGTATCGAGTAAGTTACCCAGGCCAACAAATCCGATGCTGGATCCGATCGGATCCGAGACCGTCGGAATCGAATGCATGCTCGGTGTACATAGGAGAAAGGCTAAAGAGTCGAGGAATGCTGGATGTCGTATGACTTTGTACTGTGATTGTTTCACTCGATCAAATTGCTTGTGGACTATAAAATTACTTTGTCTCTTCTTGTGAGGAAATTGACAACATCATACATCATCAGGGTTATGTAAAGCACAGTCGACAAGAATGTTAAGATGCCAAGTAAACTTACTTGATATCGCTGGTAAGTACTCAGGATTTGATTGAGTCGTCGACAAATATTTTGCATTGAACAAAATAGCGTCAGCTCATTTTGATGATCCATAATACGATAAACAAGTTCGACAGGTAATGTGGAAAATGTGTTCATGTTGTATTTCAATCGTGCAGCAGATCGTACTGGGCATGTCCACGTAAAGTGACACTTCACTGATCAGGTTTTGAAAAATTTTTTTTTCAATAACAGCGTTTCTAAATACTGTTTCAGATGTAGTTTTTAGCGCTGATTACGAATCTGACGTTTATTTTGTTCGTAGTCGACTTTTTTCTCTAAGAAAATATTTTTCAAGCTTTTTCATAATCGTATTTTGGGTGGTCTCAGCAAAAAATCTCCTTAAAACATGTTCTTTTACATGTCATTCGATGCAGAATTTGATTCTCTACAAAATGACATATTAAGGTTTGGGTTTTGTAGCAAAAGGCGATTTATCAGTTCCTTTCAAGTTCTCGACTTATTGCTTCTAATATGGGCTTCTACATGAATATATTCATTCCATTTCCAGGTATAAATCATCACAATACCGAGTAGACTTACACTTTAAAAAATCACTTCATTCTAAGCATCCTAAGGATCTGAAAAATGATCAGCAAAAAACTGTGTCACAACGTTACGAAAAATGTCACAGCGTTACGTTTGTATTTCGTATTTTCTGTACGAAATAAAACAGTAGGAAGAAAATCTTTTTTAGCAACACAAAATCCTTTGAAAGCTGTACAAAACACTGCTTTCTTATATTTGATTTGAATAGTATCTTATGGAAAAATTAGCAACGAGAGTGATGTAGTGCAAGGTCAGGGTCCTTTTATGTCACGCTGTTACGCGACACTAAAATGATCGCAGAAATACAAGAGCTCAAGCGAAATCTTTGATTTTTTTATGATTGATAGAGTTTAACGAGCTGCATCTATGAGCGTTTGAACGAGATCCGTAACTTTTATAGTCTTCGAGAAAATCGAAAAATACTTTGTCAAAATGTCACAACGTTACGTTTGGACAAGCCGTACTGTAGAAGCTGGAAGCGATGAAAAATATATGATTTTCTCTTCTATGAGTAGTAACTCGTGTTGGTAATGTAGTTATCTATGTTTTTTGGCGAAAACAAATGACGTGTAATGATTTCAACAGCTACGAATTGTTGGCGTGCGTAGATAGATGGCATTGGAATATGTATGCTCAGTGAATTCCCTTTTGACATTTACCATGGAGAACTTCAGAATTGAAAGCAGAAAAACTTTTATGCTTCTGATTTCTTCGCAAGCCGATTCGATTTTTATCAGAAGGAATTAACACCTCTAAATTAATTTCTTTAAGTAAAAACTATAGTGTAACATGAAAAACCCCACAGATTGCATTAGAGATTTATTTTAATAATGAAAGTTTTGTCTTCGAGAACACTAAATGCTACCCAGTCTGTTTTCACTGATTGTTTTGCACCATTTGACGTTTTTTTAGTTAAAGAATACATAATTGTAATAAGTGTCACTATATAGTTAGCTGAGAGCTTCATGCAGCATCTCTCAGTGTGTTTATTTCATTTTTTCAAGTCTCATTCGTTGATCAATGAAACAAAAACTAGAAATGATCGTTTCTCAACCTGAAAAACCAATCACATGATCTTCTATTTCTTTTTTAAGCCACGAACTATAAAGCTGAGCTACGTTTCGCGCAGCGGTAACGTTAACGTGAACGTTTAAAGTAAAGTTAGATGGCCACTCCTAGAGTTAGAACATTCACCACCTTTCACATAAATAGAATGACAACTTCCTCATCAAGATGCTCTAACAATTCGCTGTGAATTCATTTTGATAGACTAATTACTGTATGGTATTTCGATAAATAAGAAAAAAAAAACGTGGAAAACCTTCGAAAAAACAAACGTTATCGATTCTCTTAGGCAACAAGTCATTTAGCTTATTGGAAAAGTGAAGCCGTTTGTCGATATCCTCAAACAGATAACTGCCGATTATAGTTCCTTACAATACGATAACCGTGATATACATATCCAAGCAAGTACAACGAAGAGCAAAAGTGGTACCTGATTTATTATTTGGTTGTGGAGGATAGTGTTTCATGTAAAGCGTGCTATATGTTATATCGTTTCATAGGATTTTGCTCTGTGCTTTCTGCAATAAATTATGAAACGAATGGAGCTACATTGTTCTAGTTTTTCGACATTGGCTCTCCTTTGAAATTATATTCGTATTATGAATATGAACAAATAAGCGTTTTCTTTTGTTCAAATGCATATTGCTTATATGATTTGCCTGAAAATCTATTTTATTGCTTAATTGATGCACATTCCTAGTCTCTTACTAAAATTAGTTTCCGCGATTTGATTTCACTGGCAACAATAAGATAAAAATCAACTAATACTCTTCGAATGATTGGCAATGCTAATTAAATACTAAATGCATAGTTCCATCACTTTGCTGTTCTGTAGAAAAGATGCATATCATACGGTCTTACCATCGAGCGAAATTTGCCTATATGTTTATTTTGGTTTCTTATTGTACGCTCTAATTATGAACATAATCAAAGTTCTCTCACAGCTTCTATTGCAATGTTCAGGTAGAGTTTGATCGATTAATAACATACTATTGTGTTAACTTTACATCTCTGTAGAACGGACAAACGTTATCTATCCAGTACGCATTGCGTTGGTTTTCTTCTCTTATCCACTGAAAACGAAGGGCTTGTTAAAATATTTTTGAGACAAAATGAAACTTTTGAAGGATTTGGTAGAAAAACTACGAAGCCATCAAAAAAGAGAGCGCAGCTCACAACAGTTCTAATGAGAGCATCGCGGGCTTATAGGAAACCTTCAAGAAGGCTTCGTCTGCGTCCCAAAATTGGTTTTGCACAACTCATTTTTTGTTTGCAGCGTACTGTGTCCTCTGCTGTATAGTTTTGACTGTCTAGACTCGGATACCATTCGAAGATACAATATACTATGTATTTAATCTTCTCTTCATAGAGAAGCTAATTTATTTTCTTGTCGTTTGGATAAGAGTATCTGTTCGGTTATGTCAGAAATAGCATCAAAGAACGATTGTTAAAAGAAACTAGTACAATAAGAATATGAAAATATCATATGAAAGACTATTTTGTCTTATTTAGCTAACATTCAATACTAACGAAATACAAAGAATGATGTCCTTGATACCGCTGGGGAAGGAACCGATTACGACCACGGTTTGATATGTAATCGTTTTGTCCGTTAATCATGTTCCAGGCATCCCATCGAATGACACCCACAGTTGGGCGATTCACTTCACCGACCACGGTTAAGAAAAACACTGAACAGCACAAAAGTAAAGATAAGTAAAAAGTGATCGATGACGATAACATTTTAACAGTTAGTTTCGCTTTTTCTATTTCAGACAACAGAATACGAGTGTATTTATCTTCTTTGCTGTTTTTATATATTATATCCAGAGTACGTGTAAATGCAAATTCCCCCAGAAATGAAAAAGCAAGATATTTCATGAGCAAATATGAGAAATTAGCGTCATTTGTTAAAGCTATTCTCAGAATTTTTTACAGTGCATATAACAACAGAATATCTGACTGAGCAAATTATGATATAGATAAAGCTGGAAATAAAAATAGAGACCAGTCCACCATGGTTCTATGAGGCGAACAGGACACAGTTGATGGAAAATTTTGATCATGATAGTATTTTCTCTTTTTCTTAGCAAATAGAATTAGCAGGTAAATAGTTGGGTATGCCTTGATGACACGGGAGACTATACGCCCTATCGGCACTCGTCATTCTATACAGACAATCGCCTTCTTTTTGCAACTCAATCACCAATCCAATGTATTTCTATTTGAAATGTTTACTATTCTTTGTGTCATAGATGATTTGACATAAGAAAAATTTATAAAAACATTTCAGTGCATTAAGAAAAAGACGAACTGTTGTTGACTTAACATTGAGTTCTGTACTTGCTTCGTTGTAAAGAGAAAACTTTCTTTTTTTCTTTAGACATGGCGTCAGTTCCACATTCTTTATCACATTACATCGTTTTCTCTTATCATAAAAATCATCAAGAACTTGTTTTCAAAGTTTATCAGTATTTAAAGGGTCAAAATTTGCCCGTATGGATTGATGTCGAAGACGGAGTCAACAAAGATCAATATAACAGGTATTTTCAGCAACAAAAATGTTTGTTTATTTTTCATTTCTTAGTGTTCGAGAAAAGATCACTGGTCTCGTTTGTTTCATGACACCGATGTACGAATCTTCGCAACGTTGTCAACAAGATGTTGAGTTTGCGAAAAATGAAGGCATACCAATAATTGCTTGTCGGATTCTACGTAATTGGAAACCCTCGGGTTGGCTTAGTAAGCTCGGATTGACAATCTTCATTCTGATTTGACGAATTCGATCCAAATGTTTAGATAAAGTTACCAGCGATTTACTAATCATCGATTTACGGGATATCAATGACAAGAATTTTGAAGATAAAGTTCAAAAGTTGCAACAAAAGCTAAACTGGCTTTTAGATACCGGAAGAAATTCACCAGTAATGTCTCAATCATCAGTAACTGATCCATCGATGCTGGGAGGTAGCAGTTGATCTTTCAATTTAATACATTGTTCATTTATTGTTCTAGACCGGTCAATTGTTTATAAGGAGCCTTCGACGCTTCCTCCCAAGAACAAATCGAGTATAAATCATCAGAAAAAACACCCAGTCAAATACCGAATGTTGCCAACCACTTGCCGTTTATATCTATCAAATGTCATGACTTGTAGTCATGAATACATTTTAATTAATGCCAATAATCATCTACATTTATTCGATAAAAATCTTCGGCTAATTCGGTCAAACAATGATGTTCGAATAGCGGAAATCGATCTACGAGACTTATGTTGGTGTCCCAATTTGAATAATTTTATTATTTTAACTCGAAAGCAAATTTATCTGATGAACCCTTTGACGTGTAAATTATCTTTGATTGAAAATTTCAAATCGAATGATCGTCTAGAAGAATATGTCTCGTGTTGCTGTTCGGATGAGAAACTTTATCTTGTTACATGTCAATTAAGCACCAAGACATACTTTTTCCATGACTACAACTTGCCAACGTTCCGGTTTTGTCGAAAACTAAGAATTCGAGATCTGATCGGAACGTCGCTGTTGATACAAAATGGATTGTTCAACAAATATGAGATAGAAGATTTAATTTCCATTCGATATTTTCAGCAGAAAGCTGCGATAATTATGAGAATAGCGTCGAATTGGTATATCTATATATTTAGTTTACACGAATTACCCGTTTTAGTGAAAGAATACCAATTAGACGGACGAAGTCGAATGGCAATTCTAAATCCATCAACTCAGTGGATCGTATTCAAAGATTATCTAGCAAATGAATTTATTCAAGTTAATATCGATTTAAAAAACAATGAAACAGATCAGAGTGTCGATTTCGTCAAAGGTTGTATCGATTTCGATGCACACTTACACAGTGTTGCACTTTTCGGGCCATCAAATCTGGTCCTTCTCATTGACAATGCACTTATTCTTTATAAAAACTAAAGATTTTTCTTTCTTTTCTAAAAATTCGAATTCGAATAGAACTAACGACATCTACCGAAAAGTTTAAGTCAAAGTTATCTACTTATTGGTCAATGATGGTACATCTTGGATAAGCATTGTGCATGCGCTTTTTCATACTTTCGAAACAGAACCTTTTATATACATAAAAAACGTGTCCTTTGATCTTCTAGTAGCTGAGTACGCGGAAATTTTCACAGACGTGTTCGAATCATGAGTGGTGATGATGAAATTTTGACGACATTGAAAATTTTAATTATCGGAGAGTCGGGTGTTGGAAAAAGTAGTCTGCTTTTACGATTCACTGATGATCGGTTCGATCAAGAAATGGCAGCAACGATTGGAGTTGATTTCAAAGGTTGAGATTCATTATAACAATCGAAATTAGATGAAAAACAAGTATTTGCCTATTATTTAGTTAAACAATTAGATGTCGATGATAATCGAGTTAAACTGGCTATTTGGGTACGTAGGAAAGTTTACGATTTGAGATATTTTAAATTTCTTCCGTCTTAGGATACAGCTGGACAAGAACGTTTTCGAACATTGACACCAGGCTGTATGTATTTTAGTTGTTCATATGAGATTCTAATCAATTTTCCATTTAGATTATCGGTAAAGTGATTGTAAATCTTCACAAGATGTCATCAATTTCGTACTTTAGAGGTGCTCAAGGTGCAATTCTTGTTTATGATGTGTGCAGTCGAGAATCGTTTCGACATTTGGATCGGTTGTATACTTTACCTTCTAATCTAAATATATTTGAAGTTTTCTCTTTTTAATTTCAGATGGATCTCCGAATTGGATACCTTTTCGAACAAGCAAGATATCATAAAAATGCTCGTAGGAAACAAGATCGATCAAGAAGCAAATCGCGAAGTCACACGTGACGAAGGTGATCGATACGCACGTAAACATTCGATGTTATTTATCGAAGCATCGGCCAGAACACGTCAGGGTGTTCAAACCGCTTTCGAAGAACTTGTTAAAAAGGTACTCACATCAGCTATTCTAACAAGTATCTTATCTCACCTCTTTGTTCATATAGATCATCCAAACACCATCGTTATGGGAAAAGAAAGAACCAACAATTCAACCGGACGATCATGATGAATCCAGTCGAGCGACAACTGGTTGTTCTTGTTAGATGACAGACGACGTGCTTTGTACATACATGTGTTGTTCTTAAAAGCATGAACTAGTCAAGCGAACTTTATATGCATGAACTCTTTTTCTATCTTGTAATTTATTTTCGCATAAACCAATCATATATATCTATACATCGAAAGAGGGAAATTGCGAACTTTTTTGTTGTTGTCTTGCAGATATGGAGGATGATAATTTGTTGTTGAACATTACGAGCGAACCGTTGCCGACGAAAAAAGCAGTTGTATGTGATGAAATCGTTGTTTAGTTTGTATTTTTGTGCTTGTATTTTATAGAAACGTAAACATGATACTGTGGACGAGAAAACGTCGCAGAATCTCGAATCAACAGCGAAGAAGAAACGAAATGAACGTGTAAAACTTGACCTGTGTCAAGGAAAAGAAATGAAATCACCAAAACGATCGTCGTTATTCGCAAATAATCCAACAATACCCGAAATTGACGAGTAGGTTTATTTAATATTATGTTTATCCGATAGACGTTCCATTTAGAAAAGTTATAGAAACAGCAACTGAAGAAATCTTTGGTTCAGCATCATCCCTGGACCAAATGCCTGTACATCCTCATATCGTAAACACCGAGTTCCCAACTGTTTCTTTGAATTTCCTTTCCCTCGTAGATTTCGTGTTTGAAACAGAAATTTAACATCACTCGTTTGACAAATGTTCAAGAAAAATCCATTCCTGCCATTCTTACAGGCGAAGACGTCATAGTTAAATCTCAAACTGGTAGTGGTAAGTACAACTAAACATTGAAATTTGCTTCTCCAACAAATGTTTAGGTAAAACGTTGGCGTATGTTATACCAACTATTCATCTCATGCAAGCCATCGAACCGTCAGTGCGAAGAGAATCTGGTCCTATTGCTATCGTACTTGTTCCAACGAAAGAAGTAAAACGAGTGAATTTGAAATAGTTTTTCCATAGTTGAATTTTTTTGCAGCTTGTTCAACAAACGTACGAAGTGTTTCAAAAATTGTTAACATCATTCGTTCGAATTGTATGTTCACCATTAGTCGGTGGTTCCAATCGAAACCATGAAAAGAAAAGGTAGTTCTTCCTTGAAAAACAACTCGTGTAAAATGATTCTTTAGGCTTCGTCGTGGTTTGAACATTCTCATTTCGACACCCGGTCGGCTATGTGATCATATCGATAATACCCAATCGTTATCTTTGAAGAATATTCAATTTTTAATCTTCGATGAAGCTGACAAGTAAACTACTACTTTGTTTTGCATTTTGACTTGTATAATTCGAATTTTGTCATTTTAGAATGCTTGACATGGGTTTTGCCGATGCGATTAAGAAAATTATTGAAACGATAGGCAAACAAATGGATCCAGATAAACGTTTTCAACGCGTTCTTCTTTCAGCGACACCAACCACAGGTTCGTTAGAAAACCTTTCCTTCTCTTATTTCAATGATTATTCACTCTAGCATTGAGTCATTTCGTTGACATCATTTTGAATAAAAAGGCTCTTCGGATTGATATTTCGGAAGAATTCAATCCAGAGAGTGTTATCACTGTACCGAAAACATTAAAACAAATGTTTACGATCGTGCCGAGCAAATTACGATTCGTTACGTTGATTGCATTTCTTCTCAAAATCTTTAACAACAAAGTAAAATTGATTGGAAATTAAGTTGATATAAATATTCATACGTGTCTTCCTTCTTGTAAAGGGAAAATCCGAAGCCAAGGTACTTTTGTTTCTTGCCACGAATGATCTCGTTCATTTTCATTACGAAATCTTAAATACAATGTTAAATGGCGATAAAGAAGACGATATCGATGAAGAAGGTGACTTACAATTCGGACATTTATTAAATGAACCTGTGAAATTATTGAGGTTACAAGGAGATATGACACATCAAGTAGAATCATCGCGAAAAATGTTTCTTGGAATACAATTTACATTTTTCTAGGAACGAACAAGTGTTTTTAGCGAATTTTCAAAACTCTCTCGAGGGATTTTATTATGTACGAATGTGGCTGCACGTGGTTTAGATGTGCCTAGTGTGACATGGATCATACAATATCATCCGACAAGTCCGATTGACTATATTCACCGAATTGGTCGAACCGCACGACTTGGTTTGTCTTTTTATATTACTTCAGAGAATAGAGGATAAAGTGCTCTTGCTTTGATTAGGTTCAATTGGTCAGTCATTGATTTTTCTCTTGCCCAACGAAGCAGAATATGTCGCAACATTGCAAGATAAATATAAAATGAGGTAATTCATTTCCTTTCTTCGCCCGTATGGATTGATAATGATGAATTTCTAGTTTGAAGGGTATTACCCCCGATGACGTTCTCGAGACATTAATGAACAGCTGTGAAAAACTAAAACAACATTTCGAAACTCGAGTAAGTTCGCAGCTACTCATCGATGATAATTTCTTATAATATAATTTTCGTAGACTGTGATACCAAAAACAGCTGAACAATGTGCTAGTTCGTTGCATCATCACTTTGAAGAATATGTCAATGGATCGCCTGTTCGTATCGAACAAGCTCGACAAGGTTTGCGTAGTTATATCGATATTTCCCTGCACGATTGATACTTGTTTGTTTAGCTTATCTCTCATTCATTCGATATTATGCATCATTTTCGCGTGAATGGAAATATTTGTTTCATGTGAAGAATTTGCATCGTGGCCATATTGCGAAAAGTTTTGGCTTGAAGGAATTACCAGATGAATCGAATAATCATACGATCAAAGAACGAAAAGAAACATTCGGATCTAAACCAAAGGTCAACAAACCGATAAAAACAAACGAGTGAGTTTACAGATCTATGAGGATCATAAACAGTAATTCGGTTCGTTTTAGTGACGAGATCGACGAGGAAGCAGCGCCCTCGACACCTCCACCTCCACCTCCACCAGTGAATACAGAGAAGAAGAGTCTATTTGATCGTCTACCGTTTGCGAACAAACCCGTGGCACGTACGCGGTTTCGTAATTTTAGTCATATATCTGAATTTGGCAGCGGACTAGAGGTGACCAGTAAATCGCATAAGAAAAAAGACAAGATCAGCGAATTCTTGGAGAAGAAACGCGAACGAAACACTAGCAAACATCAAATCGGTCGCAAAAAGACTCGAGAAAATAAATGAAAGCAAAGCGTTGTTTTTGTTGTTTAAAATCAAATAAAACAGAAGAAGAATTTGAAAAACCAGCAGATACTTTTCATGAAAATCAATCTGATCTGCATATGACAACTTCTCATATATTTCGACTTCAATGAAAATAAAACTTCACATTAACCGAAAAAACAATGTTTTGACTAAAAAGACATGTTTGCAATTGGACTTACTTTGTCAAATCATTGACCATAGTAAGCCAATCGTATAGCTTGGGATTCTTGGCATTTACGAAATAGATTTTCTTCAGCCCGAGTCGTTTGACGTCACTTTTGATCTGTTCTTGCAATGCTTCTCGATCTTTTTCTTTGACAAAATCAAATTTGTTGAAAACTATCATAGTCGAGACCAATTTCATCATACCTGAATTTTCCACCACTGTTGATTGTATCAAAATCAGAAGACGTGTCAAACTTTTGAAAAAACTTATGTATATCATACTAAAGTACGACACCTCATCGCGTCTCTATGGAACATCCCACAAAGTGAATTCTATACCATTAGATTCCGTAATTTCTTGAATTGTTTCACCAGGGCCTGTCGCAGTAACTTTCTTTTTAAGTAGAGCATCGAGCATGGTTGATTTGCCGGTTGATGTCTGACCAAACAAGCCAATATTTTTCTCTTTCAACTCGATTGGAATGGTTTGGTTTGCCAGAGCTATGAGAGTCCTCATTTTTTCTTTATCCAGAGCGGCCAACTCTTCGAATGTTTCGATTTTTGTTTCCCTGATTTCGTTAATCAATGTATCGAAACGGCACATCAGCTCGGCAAATCGTGCTTTATAACGATCGAGTTCTTCGCGCAACGTGGTCACTTTACTAGACTCACCAGGCTCTAAATTGAAAGAAGAAATATGATATACTCAATAGAGTGGCAGCTCAACGAGGTGAACATTCTACTAAAGTTAGTCCAGCAGTCATTTATGACTATCAAACAAGAAAAAATGAGTTGCTTACGTTTGTTCTGTTTATGATTTAGTAAGGCTCCGACGAGAGCCTGACCAGTACTACTAAGAAATGGTAAAAGCATTGCCATATTGGTAGAAAGATGTACGTTTAACTCGAAACTCAACAATATATATATGCATATATAACTTCATCGAACCTTCCAGAAACCATTTCAGATATCTTGACGAAATTTCCGATGATTCACGAAAGTGTTTTGAAAAAATGCCGATACATCTGACAAGGTGTATATATGATTAATCCTTGCATATTAGACACCCATTTCTACATTACTATTCATTGACGGAAATTCAAATAGTGCAATACGATGCTTTTTGATGTGAAAAAATATATTTAAATGAAACTGCTCAAGTTTCTACTCAATAGACTCATGCTACTAGAACGCATGTCATCAAAGTTCATAACTTATGCCTGTATATATAAAAATTAGTTGGCAAACTTTTTTGTATCCTATAAGATATTGATTTTTACTTCATTCAGTATATTTCTATTTAGACGACACGAATCTGAATGTTGCACGTGTTCCACCATTTGAGCAAGCTGCACAGCTTGATTCTTTTTGTCAATAAAATCCGAGACTATGTATTTAATTTTCTCAACCTGAACATGCGCATGATCCAGTAACCGTAGTGTCTGTTCAAACAACAGCGCAAAATCAACTCGTCTGTATTGATGCAACTCTCAGAACACCGAAGACAGATGAAGCTACAGTATTACAAAATGAAATAGCTCACTATCGTACTCGATATGCAGAATTGCTCGATCCATTTAAATCTTTGAGCGAACAAATGAAGAGAAAGAAAATCAAATTGTTTGAAGATCTCGCTACTCGTGATAACGAATTGATTAAAACTCTAATTGAATTAGCTCAGCTGACTGCCACGTTTCCATTAGAAGGAATTGCCATTGGCTTGTTTGGTCAAACATCGACTGGCAAATAAACCATGCTCAATACTCTCCTTGGCAAACAGGTTACGGTGAAACAACTCAAGAAATTACGGAATACAATCATGAAAAGTTTATTCTATGGGATGTTCCAGGAAGAAACGATGAAGTGTCATATTTCAGCATGGAATATATCAGTTTTGTCAAAGGCTTGACACGTCGTCTGATTCTGATACAATCAACAGTGATGGAAAATTCAAGTATGATGAAATTGGTCTCGACTATGATATAGTTTTCAACAAATTTGATTTTGTCAAAGAGAAAGATCACGAAGCACTGTAGGAACAGATCAAAAGTGAAGTCGAAGGACTTGATCTGAAGAGAGCAAAGAACTGATTTTTCGTCAGTTCGGAAAACCCATCCATGTTTCCTGATTGGTAGATGATGACCACCTACATAACAAGTGTTCAACATCAAAAATACATTCTGCTGTTACAACGACCATTGTTTTTCTAACTTCTCTCCTGGAATAAACACGAATATTCAGAGTTAACTAAAATCGGTCTTTTTATTGATTATTAAAACAGAAAACAAACAAATCCTGATCGTCTCTATTCATTTTCCTCTGAATCATCATGATCATCATTTTCCTTTTCTTCAACAACAGCAGGTTCAACAGATAAATCTTCATATTGATAAGAATATTCATATTGTTCAACATACGAATTGACTAATGGCATAAACGAATAATCTTTATACGTATTTCGAAGAACGAGTTTATTTCCTTTGAGTGCATGTACCCAATTTTGTTTACAAGTCGGAATCGACCAAACCATTCGAATCGACTTTCTCGTTTCGTTCGAATACCTTTTCACACGTTCGAATAACCTGTGACAAATATAATCAGTTATATCATAAATATAATCGTTAAACTTCGAATTCAGTTGACACAATTGTACCATGAACACAGTCGATTGTTCGGCATTCACAACTTGCAAACAAATCGAAGCGATTGGAGTGCTTCCTTTCGAATAAACAATGTACCGTTCGACTTCATCACGTATTTTCAGCATATGACGAAAAAATTTTTGTTTTTCTCGTTCAAGCAATGTTTGATAACGAATCGCCGCACCAGATATCAGAGCAATCAAGAAGCCCACTGTCCGAATAAGAGAGTATGTATAACTATAACCATAATTATTCATCTGATAATCAATGACCATCATAGTTCCGAAAAACAGCCATCCATTTCGGAAGGGAATATCAACGATCGAAGAAAAGACGTGTTTCGTATCGTCATCAAGTAAATATTTCCAATCTGATTCGAATTTCTCATTCGATTCCATTCGATCTGATTCCCAAGAGAGATCTTCCATGAGGATTTTCTCGTCAGGCTTCTTGTTTTTCAAACGTGCTTGCAACCACATCCGTTGAAAATAACCCACAATCTTCGACAAACAATAAGCAGAGCAAAAAAATGTGATCAAGGTGTTAAAACCAAACCATTGGTTAAAAATTCGTGATAAAATCGAATACAACATGATATTCACCGCGGACCGAGAAACTGTTCGTATTGCAGCGAATAAAACTTGAATTAGTGGAATAAGCATTTTGGTGATTAGTCTAAATACAAAGAAATTCGTTTTTGTCTATTTGGCTAACGAAGTTATAGAGTTCACAAAATGAAACAAACAATCATGTGAAGGACTAATTGTGAATCGCTTGATCGATTTTGATCTATACTCTAGCACGTCATTTCATCTTATCGATGTGTAGAACAGAATGAAAAAAAAAGGTGTTGATATCGTATCGTGCACGTTTTTTGATTCATATAACTGTGAAGACAATATCATTGCCGAGAAGAAGAACAGCTGTATTTGAAGAAATACAAAAGAAAAAAAAAAGCGGATAAGCTAATATGAAACTTAAAAAGTCAATAAGAAACATTTTATTTTGCGATTTTCATCGGCAATGCTCGAAGACGATGTTGAACATTGACAAGAATTAGAAGAGGGCAGAGTAAACCAAGACTACCGATTATATAAGTCGCCTTTTCACCAATTGACCAGTATGCTAGAGTAAAAAGCGAAAATTAATCTTTCAAATCCAATAGCAATCTTACCGAATGAAGCAGTCAATGGGCCAATTGCACGAGCTAATGCTTGTAAACTTCGAAAGATTCCGAGAATCGCACCTTTTTCATTTTGCAAACCTAAATCATAAATAAAAATTACATTCTGAAAAGAAATTCCAACGAACCATATTTCGATGCAAAACTATTGATAACATTGATAACAACACTTGAAGCTAATTGACATGGCATAGATAGAAACGCATTGCATGACAAAAAAGATTTACCGAAAGAGAATAATATTAGACCAAACCATAGTACGAACTTGGTTTGAGCGACCGCTAAGATGATGAACGACGGAATCAATATGACAATTCCCTGAAAAAGTAAAATTAAAAAGATTTTTCAGTCAATAAAAGTACAAAACGATGAAGATAGGTGACCTATTATCACATGGTGTTCTCTTTCTCTCTTATCTCTCGCATCCTTTTCGAGCAAACAAGAAAGTAACGGATCATTCTTTCTTCTCATTTCTTCAACTGCTGACTTTCGATAAGCAAGAGAATGTTCCGAACATCTCTTTTCGTGTTATTTATCTCCTCATTAACGATCCTCTATGCAATCCCATGTCCACGAGAATGTCTTTGCAAACCGTTAGAACCACTTTCTTATCAGATGGATTGTACAAAGGCCGAATTTAAAAGTAATAAATTTATTTATCGAGCTGAACAATGGGAGATCGATAGTGATAAGACTTCCGAAGATGTAGATGATGAAGAAACACTCGAATCTTATACACTTTCGATTGATTTATCAAATTCTACATCAGTGAAAAAGTTTACGAATCAAACGATCGACTTTACGGGATTTAAATTCGTTATTCAAAGTCTTTCATTAGCCAACCAACCAGGCCCGTGTATCATCACATCGAATTCGTTCAAATCATCGATCTACGAGACACTGAATGCTTTGAATTTATCATCTACCTGTACGAAACAAATCCCAAGTGATTGTCCTGAAATCTTCCGACCGTTGAAAAACCTTCGAACACTTGATTTAAGTGGATCGAACATGTACAAAACTTGTCTGAATAAACCAGGTACGTCATTCATATCGAAAAGGTTAGATATTTATCGATTTGTGATGCCCTTTGCCATGATATTTCAACGTTCTGATTCATAAATCTTTCGTTTCACATTTAGACACATTTTCCTACATATTCAATCACCTGATATTACGCAATAATGTCTATGAAAGGAGCGCATTCACTTCCTCGAGCGGATTGTTCGACGGTGTGAAGAAAATTTCTCAACTCGACTTACAAAATTCTCGTTTTCAATCCAATGCAAATACAAGCGAAACTTGTCTATTCGACATATTTCCGTCGTTGAAAGTATTAGATCTGTCAGGCATTCAATCAGATGATATAGGCATCAATACACTTATAGAGCGTCTACTGAAATGCGATACAACAACATCAAACGAGAAACCATTGGAACATTTATCGTTACGTTCTTTGAAACTTTCAAAACTACCTGCTTGGTTAGCAAGCGAATCATTTACATATCTAAATCGACTTGACTTATCGGACAATTACTTCCACAACATTGATTTGCAAGGATTCAGATATCTCCGCTCGATATCGCTAGCGTACAATCCGATTGAATTCGATCAAATTCTCTGGAGGAACGAGACAGTTTACCGATCGATTAACCTACGCTCAACGGTTCGATACTCCAAATTCGATCTAGTACATCATCTAAACAGTCTACTGGACTTAGCTCAAGATATTGACTACAGTCAAAATCAAGGTGAAGATCTCTTTAATGTCACTCAACTTTCTATTCAAGCGCGTGACACTTCTCTGAATTTCTCGCGAATGAATATCAAGGCATTTGGTATCGATTCAGATACGGTTAAAGTATTAGATGTCAGTTCGAACTACTTAACGAATCTCGACTTAAGTCAACAGAGAGAATTGAAATATTTGGATTGTTCAAATCAGACTCTTCAAACGCTGAGTTTAAGACACCGTTTATCGACATTAAGAGAATTACGATGTTCAAACAATAATTTAACAGTAATCGGCAACTTTCCATCGATAAGCACATCGTATTTAGAAGTACTTGATTTATCGAACAACGGAATTGATTCATTACGAGACTACTTTACACATCTGAAAAGTCGTACATTGCGGCAAGTCAATTTTCGATCGAATTTCATCCGTGCTGTGCGTTCGAAGACATTCCATAGAGACTTGGTCAACCTCGTGGAAATCGACTTATCGTGGAATCAAATCGAGAAAATTGAAAAAAACGCATTTCAAGCACGAAATCTTCAAATTCTTGATTTGACCGGCAATTCACTTAAAACTATCGAACCAAACGCCATATTCACTGCGTCATTACGATATTTTTATATTTCTTCTATCGGACTAGATTTAACTGATCGTTGTTTACAAACGAAATCAAAAGACCCTTTGTTATCGCTGTATTTCAATTGGTATCGACGAAATGCAACATTGATGAAGAAACTTCCAGTGAAATTCAGCTCGTGTCTTACTCGTTATCTACCTGAAAGTAAACTTAAGCGATTGACAAAGAAAACGAAACAAATGCTCGGTATCTACGGCCTATGGATAATCGTAGGTTTAGCTGTTGTTGTAGTCATCTTGGGTCTTTTACGGCATTATCGAAACACAGGATTTCCATCTTTGAGAGTGTTTCGAAAGTATAAAAAGGTCGAACGACAAGAGTTAATTGAAAATGAAATCGAGATGGCTGGGCATAGTCAAGAAGATGATATCGTTATGAATATCGAAGAACTACCTTACAATAAACACAACAATCCTCCTCGTACAGATGTTTAAATCGTGACTATTTTTTAAAATAAAAATCCTATTTTTTTAATGACTAGGTAAGACCTTTTATCGGCACTAAACGCGTCTGATTTCGGCTACTTACAGTCATTGCTGCTGTGATTTCTTTCCCGTGTGGAATTCGTCGTACGTAACCACCTTGTACCAAAGCCATACATAAACCCATAAGAAAGAACATCTTTCCTTGTTGCATACTATTCAGCAGACAATTCTCTGGAAGAAAAGTTCGTTTTCTTTCTCCTTCTTACCTGTCCCAGTTGAAGCGATTATAAACGAGGAAAGTAATGGTAAACTCTAAACCAGCGAATATGATCATGTAAAAAAAACTCGCCAAACCAAGTTGACGTAAGATCACAATATCTGCCGGAGATAAAACAAAAACTGTAATGAAAATAGAATAGAGTTCGTTAGAATACAGACCATGATTGAATTTGGCTTTTCGGATAGCACAAAATTGAAACAAACGCCATGGTATTATGGCATTATAAACATCTTTGATCGTCGTTTTTGTTTCATTCTATAAAAGCTTGCTTAACAAACGTCAAATCCACAAATGCATGATTTTATACTCGTTTTGCAATAGGTAATGTTTCTGGACAATATCGATAGATAAATCCGATATTGATCAATGATAAAATCAGTGAGACACATGCGGGAAAGATAAAAAAGCTAACTGATGATGTTGACCAATAAGTAATGCCAAATTGGCTGCAAAGCGCACCAAACAAAGGTCCAAAGATAAAACCAAGAGAAAATGCTACACCAATCCAAGCCTTCCGAAACAAAGAACTAATCAATAAGAAAAGAAAAACTTTGTATGTCCATGCATTACCATCGCATGATTTCGTTCTTTTTCATTTGTTGTATCTGATACAATTGCTAGCGTAATGGCAACATTCGCTTTTGATAATCCGCTCACAAGACGTGCAAACATAAAAATAGTTAAATTGTATGAGACACACCACAGACCATAGGAAAATGAGATGCCGATCTAGAACTCGTTCGGAAACAACCAAAAAGAAATGGGTGAGGGTTGAATTACCATGGAAAGAAGAAGAACAGGTTTTCGGCCATAGCGATCCGATGCGATGCCACATAATGTTGAAGAGAAGAATTGAAGGAGAGAGAATAGTGAACCAACGAGACCTAAATGAATTTTCGAGTTCAATGAAAGGAAACGAATTGGATGCTTGTTGATTCAACATACCGCCGAATAAAACCGAATTCCATTTCGCATCATTTGGTGCACCAGTCAGATCACGGACAAATTGAACAAATGAAATCGTTCGTTCGTACAATGTATCCTTCAATACAAAACGAATATGAAAATCGAGTGTTCTCTCTTACGAACTTACTTGTTGAGAATTTGTTTCACTACCATAATAAGTTAAAATTTTCGGTAATAATGGTAAAATAATAGTAAATTCCAAAAAATCGATAAGAATCGAGAAAAATAAGATGTTAACTACATTCGATTTCACTCCCATAATCGTAAATATGCACCTTATTATCTATCGATAAGATTTCTTCTGAATTAAATAGAAGTCTATTGGCTTATCGGTACTGTTTTCTTTCAGTTCTCCTTTAAAACATCTTTTCAACGGATACTACTACCACCATCTGTTTCGATAGATATCTAAGTTCATTTTATTACATAAAAAGGAGACATATTCGCAATCGATTAGAACTGTTCATGTACATTATAAAAAGAAAGCTAGGCGATATCGAAAAAAAGTACAAGTTATTCTATACTGATGTGCAGATTTTTGAATTATTTGGAGTAACAGTTATTAATGAATTGGAATGTGAACTCTTCGGTCGAGGCGGTGGTAAAGGTGGTAATGATACACTGGAGTTTGTAGTTTGTAGTCGGCGAGGTAAGGGATCGGTATTTCCTATTGTGGTGATATCAGTAGAACTATCTTTGGATCGAATATTCGTCATGGGTATGGATTGTATCGATGAAGTTTTCGTCGATTTCGAAGTTAATGTTCCGGACCTGTCTTTTCGCTGTGTTAGAGATTTTTTTGGTAAAGTTGGTTGTTGTTGACTTTTTGCATGTAAATGAGCTAAACGTTGACGTTTTCTATGTTCGATAATAATGACACAAACACGATAAAGTTGTAAAACAACAACGAGTAGATTTTTCGTGGTAAAAAACACATTCGATTGAGAGATGATCTTGTAATGAATAATCAAACCAAGTCGAAGACAAAGAAACGGACCATCTTGAAGTAGAATTGTACTAGAAAGTGCCTAGACGAACAATCAGATTTTCTAACAAATAAATTTCGCACAAAACAAAAAACAACATTACCCATAACTCAGTTTCCCAAAACAACTGACAACTAAAACATTGCTCTAACTCTTTCGAATTATTCTTCTGCCGTGTTTTTGTCGATGTCACAACCAGAGTAAACTGCATCAAACTTATTGACCATGCTGCCAAAATCAAATGAATAATAGTCAAATTCCGTTGAACATCATGTTCTTTAAATGCTTCGAACAATTCAATGATATCCGCTAATAAACATTTTCAAATCGATCCTGTTACGTAATGATCATTGTTTATCTTACCTGCTGTACCAATATAAACAAGTAATAGTTGAGAAAGCTGATCACGTGTCATTGTTTTTCCGACAGGTAGTAACCAACGTCCAATAATGAGAACAAGAAGAAGCGTTTGCTCGACTATTTGTGTCCACATTTCCGCTGGAATTTTCCATGGAACAAGCTAGAAACTCAAAATGATTATTGGGTGATTTTCAGTGGAATTCTTCACCGGTAACGAATCATCGACATCAGAATTGGCTGGAATCAATCCTAATGCCTGCGTAACATTGAAATTCAATCGTCTTTCGGCTAGATCAAGTTCAAGAAACCACACACTTGGTATAACGGTACACAAATAGAAAAACACAGACGGACAAAACCTGAAAGTCGAGAAATGATGTAATTCTAGATAGGTAAAATCAATATCTATGAAATCTATTTACCATTTCCATTCATGGCCATTGTTCATATACAGTGTTACGAAAAATTCCACGGGAATTCCGAATAATCTACAAAGGAACAAGCAAAATCGAATTCCAAAACTAAATGATGTACCACAAATATTACGTTATTGCTTGAAACCAGTATTTATTTTGTTTATAAACAAGCGCAACCCGCCAAATGGCCGCAATGCCATGTACAGCAAAGATGATTCGAGCCGCTGCTGCTGCCGTAACAGCGAGGAATTCTGACATACACCACTATGTACAAACAATAGATATGAAGAATTATTCTATTGATATCGATTGAATTACAAAGACAATAACACAACTTGAAAGCAATAGCAGCAGGAGAAAAAGAAATGTACATTGATTAGAGTTGACATAGCGAATGTCGCTTACTCGAATTTTCCCATATCCAGGAATATATCTTTGTTTGCCTTTGCATAGGAATCTGATATTGATAAGTAAAATAGAGATATGGATACACAGTAGGTCATCTGATAGATTTCACGCACACGCTCTCTCTCTCTCTAATTGTATTCAGAAGGACTGTTGATACATATGGTGAATCCTCTTGACCTGTATCAATGTTGATATCTAATCAAATTAATGTTCGACCTACCTTAATTCGTACGAGAAACGGTTTGTCTCGAAAATTTGATGTTGAGTTTAGCGATTTACTTGCATCATCCGCTGTTGGTTCATGTACAACGTATTTTCGTCGTGGCATCTTATCTTTCCATCAATGTTTATTAACTTGTGTATGTTGCTCGATACTTGTTAGCATATAAAATATTAGCTGATTTCAGTCGAGCATATTCAGATCGCACAATGTTTTTCTAACAACGAGTGTCAAGAAGGACATATACACATTCTCTCATTTTTTTTCTCTATATGTCTCTATCTCTCTGTTCTGTCTTTGTAAGATGAAGTCTCCTGTACACAATTAATTGAATGCCGGTGCCCTGGAAGTCAGATTCACAATGTGACAGAGACACAGTCAAGACCAGATGATTTATCAAAGGAAAAGATTAGACAAGGAAACTTGCTGCTTTGTTTCTATTTATTTTTCTAATGATAACTGAACATATTGTTACATATGTTCTTCGGCAAACAGATGGTGAATAAAATGACTTACTCTCAATTGATAATCTTGTTTGTCATTGTTGACTAAAGTTTCATCAACAGATTTTAACAATGTTCCTCGACGTAATCGCATTTGTTTCGCTGAGAAGTCGAACGGTGTATATGTCAGTGCAGATTTCTAACTACTGTTTTGTTCCGCTAGCGAACAATGCAATATTGTTCGTCCATAAAGGGAGAAAAGACATAGGAATACGAAGAAACAGATCGCACGTACATTCGTCGATGTAATAACAAAGAAAATAGCATACAATCTAATGTCAGTCTTTACATTTTTGTATTTGGGTCATGTATAAATAAAGAGCAACTGATTGACTCGATAAGAAAACGTGATCTGACTACAGTAATCGGTGATTGATCGAATTAGTTTCATGATTGAGGCAAGACTTTACATTTAGTTAATTACTCTTTCGGAATATCACATTCCTTGCTTGATGTAAATATTCGACTGATTCGTGATAAAGATTATCAAACAATAGATGAGTCTAATTGATCATTTGAGAAGGCGAACTGAACGTTCTGTTTCTTTAGTCTGATCAGGTAAAGCTTCTTCATATATTTAGTTGGCCTCTCGATTTCGAAAAGCAAAGCGAGATCAAACTTTTCCAGATGCTTTTCATGACTCATGGCAGTCGTTGATGTCTTCTAGTGTAATTCAATAATCTTATGTTTTTGACAGTATTATTTATCACCTTCATCGATAACAGTTATCATCAATGACCGGCATCAAGCATACTTCGTTCCTGCCGGTGCTATCAAATGCAAAACTAAAAACGCATGTCAATAGTTTTTATCGACTGAAGTCCTCGTGTAAGTCAAACCTATCGATGATGAAAATGTATAATTAATATTTTCAAGTGCATAAATCACCTCACATTCCGACTGTTCTTTTTTTTCTGTTTTGACAACGCGTGTAGATTTTGTACTCAATCGAATGGCAAAATGAAAGAATTTACAAGAGGAAATATCGAAGTTAGGTTAAAGTTTTACTCCAATTGATAGGATCGTCGGCTAGGATGACTCGTTCGACATGCCATTGATGGACACGATTCCATCGATCATGTGCCCATTTATTTTCCATTAACTAGAAGGAAAAAGAGAAAATAATTCGAGTTATGTTGCTCTTTCTCGTACTTCTTTATTTTTGGTGGTAAATTCTAATAAATATTTCGCTCGTTGTTGTTGTTTTTGCTTGTATTGTTCTAAGTCTTGTCGATCTTTTTCAATAATTGATTGACATTCAAGATTCTTTCTTCCTCGTTCTGTCTTATCGAATTGAATTTTTTCTTTAATTTGTTCTTTCAATGACGTTCGCATGTATTTACTTCAAAGAAATAAGATCGGGAAAATTGTATTGGGAACTTATGAAAAATACCTACTTATAGGATTCACGTTCAGCAATTTGAGAATAAGGATAAATCGTGTATTGAATGTGATCTTTGTTCCATTGTTTCTGTTGCATGGCTTGAGTACGTCGATAGTTGTGAAAATGCCGATCTTGTGTTTCAAATCTCGATGACATTCGATAAGGTTCATCCGGTCGGCTGGTAGTTAAGCGTTGCGGAGGAACATACTGATCGTATTGGTGACGAATGTCTTCACGTTGTAAAGGTTCCCAGAGGTAATCATAATCAGCTGGTTCGCGTATTAATGGTTTCCATATTCCATTATGAGCTTGGACAGCAGCAGATTTCGGAACTGGTAAGTGTCTTAGAGTTGTATCAGATCGTGGTAAAATCTTGATTTTTGGTGTTTGAATCCGTATAGGAGTAATAGAAACGCGCTTCGATGAAGTTAATCGAGTAGAACTACAAGGTGGTAGTGCTGTCTCAGGTGCACTTTGGCGCGATGACAAAGCTGTGTCTAATGATTGTACTGGTGTTGCTTTGATATCCAAGAACGGTAGGACAGTCATAGTTGTGCTTTATTTTACTTGAAAGTTAATTTCTGACATTCTCATGTAAGTATGTTAAGTAAGTTAAAAGTCAGTAGAAAAATATACTTAAATCATTTTTTTTCTTCAATTTTTTTTCAAATAGTAACAAAAGCAAAGGTAGAAAAGTATTTTGTTTGTTGTACAAATAGATGTTGTTCACATAGGTCGGTTAAAAAAAGCAAAAGGAAAAAAGAATAATAACAGGTTTCACTTATCGCCGAAGGGACTCTTCGCATACAAAACTCTGTCAAGTGTATTAATTCAAATTCTTGTTGTTAACACAAGAAGGATAATCATTTTGTCAGGTGTCAAGATAGTACTTTTATTTTGATAATTATTGAACGATTAAAAAAGGTTTACACACGATTTTTGTTTTCAAAGAATTATTAATAGAAAAAAAAAAGAAAGTGACTGTTGATGAAGAAAAAAAATACGTTGACAATCATGCTGGTTGTATTTGTTTAGCCTGTCATTAATTTGTAAAATTCTATTCGAACGAAAGAGACAAAATAGGAAATTAATATGGAGGAAATCACAGTTTTTACCTTCGTAATCGACAGTGCCTGAACCATCTTCGTCGACTTCAGAGATAATTTGTTCGACTTCATCATCTGGCATGTCGGGATCGAGTGCCTTGAAGATCATTTTCAAATCGGCAACCTAAATGATTTTTTAAAGGAAAACAAAATCATTCATCAATCAGTGTCAAAGTCATGTTTTCTCACATCGATAACACCACGGCTGTTTTTATCGAAGACACGAAATACTTCACGTAATTCTCGTTCATCTTCAGCTTCCTTGGTCTTCTTTGCCATTAAAGCAAGAAATTCATCCTAAAAGGAAAACATTACTTGACTTCGCTTCTATTTTGTCGATACGTACGAAATCGACGGTACCACTTCCTAGAGAAGCAAATCAGTTCGTTAGATTCATGTGAGAGAAAAATGAGGCTTTGAAAAACTTACCATCACCATCGACAGCTTCGATACATTCAGCTAATTGATCAGGTTTGAGATTGTGTCCTAAGTTTTTCATGACTGTACCAAGAATCGATGTTGGAATTTCGCCCTTTCGTTCTTTGTCGTACATGTTGAATGCATCTCGAATTTCAGCAATTTGATCATCGGTCAATTGAAATTCTTGTTCTTCTTCAGCCTGAAAATCGAACAAACATTCAACTTTGTTTGCAACTCTTACAATCCAACAGCAATCTTAACTCACCATCTTCTTCGATATGTATGTATTGTTTAGTTATCAGAAAAAGAACGTATTCCTTCGCAAATATCTCCTGATGCTTTTCTGAAGTGCAATTCCTCTAAACAAACCGAAAAGGAAAGAAAGAGAAAGAGAGAGAGAGGGAAAGGAAAAATAGGCGGCTCTACGTTGTTTGTTTCCTATAAATAATAAGACGAGAAAATTCTCTATATGTATATCTTTCTTCTGGTACCAAATCTATACTCTGGACAAGCAAATAACTAACTGTACAATTGTCGAGAAAAGAGGAAAAAAAGGAAAGAAGTCGATGTTGTCGGGAAAACAAGAGAAATGTTGCTGCACACATCGTGTTAGGCCATATATACATAAACGGATATCAACGAGTCAAATAAAATCGCTGCTACCATCGTATTTATGTTATGTTAGCTACAGAACAACTGAATGGCATCTATTCCATGTCGATATGAGAAACAAAGAATCAGAAAGGAGAAAATGCGTAGGTTATGCCTATATAGGACGATGGATGGTGATATATATTCCGTGGTTGATAACGATGACAAAAATAGAACTCGAGCAAGGCATATCCTAGGATCTACTTGGATAAACAGATATTTCGCGTTTTTTTCAATGAATAGATTTCACAATACATGATTTCTTTTGTACAGTTATGAATATGATATGCACATGAAAAAGGATCGGACAAGAAGAATAATATCAACAAACATCCAAAGAGATTTTCTTTCTTTTTTTTCCTGTTTGTGCCTCAAATTTCCACGGTGCATAGTACGATGTTCTACTTCAACACTTTAACCATCATCATAACAAAGAATGTTGTCCCCAGTGCCAACAACAATAGTCTAATAAAGAGCATCCAGTATTGAATGGATGTACGAAAGAATAAGAAGAAAAAATAGGAAGAATTGTTATGCTATGGCTGCTGTTAGAATGATGAGAGTATTGACTTATGCTCGCTATCCTTTGAGTTCTGATAATCGTCCTCTCATATACCAATACGGATGCATTCAACAAATTTCTGCTCTTCGCTTCTGATATTTAGTCGCACAAACATTGAGACGTATATTAACATAAGTAAAGCAAAGGAAAGACGGATATCTACAGAGAAATACATCCCTAGTAGAAAAATAATATCAGTCAGAACGAAATCAAGCATATAAAGAGAGAATCGACCAATATAAAAATACATAGAATATCGCAAGACGATTTGGACGAAACAGCTGGTTGAAGAAATCTATTTTTCTCTTCGTTTCTACTTCATTGTTTCAACAGCGATCTTGTGGCAAATCTAATTTCTTGCTTGTGTCCTTTTCTTCCTACTCGCATTTACTTCTTCATGTTCCATATTGTTATTGTGTACGATTCTTACCAAGACTACTGATGACAATGCGTACCAATTCGGTTTCAATCGAGCAAGACAATAGTATGTATTGTTTACTCTGAAAAATTCTTCTCTACTAATCTAACTTTGATTTCATCGTTTCGTAAAGAATTGAAAGAAGCATTTGCTCTATTCGATCGTGTCGGTGGAGGTGTTATCCGCACGAAAGATCTCGAGCATGTCATGCAATGTATTGGTTATCGGACGACGCCTGGTGAATTAGAGCAGATGATACAAGAAGCCGATATTGATGGTTCGTCATTCGCGAATGATCTTTGCGTGCCACACTGATGGCCTCTGTTTAGGTGATGGCCTTGTGAATTTCAATGAATTCAAGCTAATGATGAATCACAAAGGTGAAAATCGGCTGAACATATTTAACGATGAACTTCTCAACGAAGCATTTCGAATCTTTGACAAAGAAGGCAATGGATTCATCACCGAAAAAGGACTCCGCGCTGTAATGAATAATCTTGGTAAAATGACAGTGAAATCAGTCGTATTATTGTGCTTTGAATTTGTGATCTAGGTGAACAGTTAACTGATGATGAACTTCACGATATGATTCGAGAAGCGGATCTCGACGGAAACCATCGAATTGATTATGCGGAGTTTTCTGCGTTAGTTCGTCGTCTTCTTCAAGTAGAAAATCTTTCGTCAAACTTAACAGCAGTCACCGGTGCAGGTGCATATGAAGGTCGAGGTATAATTCCATATATTGATGATGATCCCGAAGAAGATGCAACGATGAACAAGAATATCAAGTGACGCTTTTTTCTTCTACAGCATTATGTCTGATGATGAAACATATGCACAAGCGCAAGAAGAAGCTCAATTAGTTTTAGTTTCTCTTCCAACGCATCAAAGACAAACCTTTGTATTTTAAATGATTATTTTTGTTATTGGAAACATATTTTTTGTCGAACACCCGAACGCATTTTGCTCAGATATAACTCTACTTGTTTGTACTATCTAATTATCTTTAATTTATTTGAAAAAGAAAGACGTTTTATACATAACAGAATAAATATTTAGAACGGTAATCTCTTTAAGAGCGCATCGGTGTCAATATTCATCGGCAAATCACCAAAGATCGAGCCGCGATCAGGTCCCAGACGGGATGCACAAAAAGCGTCGCTAACACTTTGTGGTAGACGACGGACAAGAAGAGCACCTTGAAAGCACAACGCTAACTGTGTTGCTAATGTTCGTGCGTGACGCTCAAGCATAGTTGCAGAAAGATCTTTAGATAATAAATGTTTTTCCAGGTGATCGACAGCAGCATCTAAGTGTTTATTTGAACCCTTAGTTTCATGGATAAATGATAAATAAGCTTGTAATGATTCAGGTGACTTTTTCATTGAACGTAGAATATCCAAGCAAATGACATTACCACTGCCTTCCCTACAAGCAAAAGTCTCAGTAACCGATTTCTTAGTGAAATGGGCGAGTTTACCAAATACTATTCAATGGCGCTTCACGATATATGCGTGGCATCATTGATTCTTCAACATATCCAGCACCACCGAGGCATTCCAATGCTTCGTAAGTCGTTTCAGGTGTACGCTTACAAATCCAAAACTTCGCCAAGGCAGTCGCAATACGTGACAGTGCAAGAACTTCTCCAGTATTGTTTGAGTGAACATTATTGTACGTTGCATCGAAAAGTGTGGACAGATACATAACAAATGCGGTAGCTGCTTCGGATTCCAGCAATAAATCAACAAGCACTTGTTTCATCAATGGTTGATCGATTAGCAAACGACCGAATGCTTTACGATGACGTGCATGCCAATTCGCCTACGAAAAAGATCTTGGTAGATGAAAACTTTCGTACTGGTGAAAATATTTACTTGAACTAAAGCTTGCCGCATTAGCGCAGCACTTGATGTTGCACTATCTAAGCGTGTTCCATTGATCATTTCAAGAATCACTTTCACACCATCATGCCCTTTGCCCAATAACCACTACAACACATGATCGGTTTGGAAATTCCACGAAGAAGTCAACTTACACCCTGAGTGTTATTCAATTCGATTTCACTTGATGCATTTGAACGGTTACCAAGTTTATCTTTTAATCGTTGGATATAGAATGGATTACGTTCCCCGTTAGGTAACCAACGTGGAACGAAAAAGCAAGATGGAATATAATGAGTAGGCGATGTGTTAACATTGTCAGCATCGTGAATTTGAGCAAGTATAAGAAAACCATCGCTCATCGGTGCAGAACAGAACCATCTGAGAAAACCCGAGTAATTTCTTACTAATGTGATTTTAATAAAATGTCCTCTACATACTTATGGCCAACAAGAATGTAACGTTTCTCTTCAGCATCATCACAATAAGCTTTAGTTGTATTTGCTCGTACATCACTACCACCTTGTTTTTCTGTCAATGCCATACCTAGAACAAGAATATCGATGACCTTCGGGTGAATTGAAGCATATATCCATTCTACCGATAGTTAATCCAGATTTAGCTTTTGCTGGTATACATCGTGAATCGTATTTTCGTGATAAAATTTTCTCCAATGGAAAACTGTCAACCAATTTTTTGCTTGTGCAGTGCAAGTAACGATGAAGAAGGGGATAACCCGAATAAGTCATTGATAGTGGACAACATACACCTGCTTCGACTTGTGTTAAAATATACAATCCTGCCTAGAACAAAAGATGATAAACTTCGCGTGACATATCTATTGCAACTGATTACATACTGTGTGCTGTAAATGTCCGTGTGAATTGATACTTGTTTGTGAACCAGGTAATGATTCCCAGGCAACAGAATGAACCTAGAAAGCATACGGTAAGGAACGAGTTTGGCTTTCAAACTTACGCCATATCTCATGCCGACTTGCATCAAGTCATGATAAACTGGATGGAAATTAACTTCATCGATACGTTGTCCATAGCGATCGAATTGATGTAACATAGGTACTTGCCGATTAGCTATTTGGCCTTGTTCATGCCAATGAAATGTACCCAATTCAAGTCCCATATCTTTGATCTGCCCTTTATTTTCTTTAGTAACAAATTCTCGCAGCGTTAAATCACTTTTATATAAATCGTTATATTCAAGTGGTGGAACTTGATTCTTGACCTGATGAGTGAATTGATTGGTTAATGGTCGCCGTGGCGGAGTATTTGAAACGCTTGATAAAGTATAATCATCGGTCTGATTTTGCTGCTCAGCTTTACTTTCATTAGTAACAGCAGGTTGTGCCTGAGTTCCTAAAGTTCGTTGTAACAACTGGTGATTGAGAAATGAAAGACGGGGCCGCAACATAAATATGTCTTTTCTGAAACACAGAGCATGGATTATTGTGTTGACCGATCGGCAAAATAACGTTTTACGATAGAGATGAGAGATTTTAAGATTAGATACGAAGTTTCATTTGAGTATTTGCATACTACATGAAATCGTACGGTAATTCATACAGTTCCTCATCGACAACTACGCAAAAGAAAAAGCAAAACGAATGAAAATATTCTCCCTCTGCATACGATGATAGTGTGTCAAATGGTTTTTCTTTTATTTATTTATTCTTTGTAGAGAGATAAAAATAAAGTAAAGAGCAGTCACACCTCTTCTCTTCAATTTCACTCGAATCGAACGAACGATGCACATACCGGTTCTGATTAGTACTTCGGAAATATCCATCCACCGATTCGTTGTTCATCAATAGATGTCACGTGGTGACAGACATGACGTGTTCAACATTCGGAGCATTCTGCTTACATGTACGAAGATTTTCTTTGTTTTTTTTTGAATTCTTAATTATCAATTATAGAAAATCGAAAGGAAAATCAGCAGAAACAAAAGTAAGAGACATGTTATGTAAATAAACGTTACAACAGATAACACAGATACAGTTAACATACGCGAATTGACACTTTGTTAGTATTGTCGACTTTCTCGACTACTGTTCGTTTACCTCATTTGAATTACACAAGTACACACGGAACAACAGAAGAACAACCCGATGTAAGAATTTAAGAGATAGATACAAAGCAAATAGTCATTCGGTCATATTGGTCGTTTACATAAAAAAAAAGAAGAAAAGAGAGAAAATACAAATCGAAAAAGCAAACAACAAACTAACATGTATGTATATATATATATATAACTGTTCTTTCTCGTTCTAAATGAACATACACGCACGGGTAATAGGAACTAAGAAACTTCTTTTGTTGTGTTTTTGTTGTGAAAAATATGCAATCAACACAAAAGCTTATATATAGAGAGCAAGAGAAAATGAAAAGAGATCATAGATAGAAGAGACTGTTCATCAGATTCATCCAGACATGTACTCTAACGAAAGCGAAACGCAAGAAAAAGACTGTTCTGTGTTTGTTTCGGTTGAATAAAAGAATAGAAGAGAAGAGCAACCAACCGGGAACACACGAGAGACAGTAAAAAATAGAAATAACCCGAATAAAAGAGACGAAAAACGAAATGGTGATGGATAATCAACGATGAAAATAATTTAAAGAAAATACACACGACAAAATGTAAAGAGAAACAACGGTATCTGAATAAACAAAATCAAAACTCAAGTTTGCTCGTTGGATACTTGTTCATTATCTTCAATCAGGTCAATATCATCATCTTCGTCTTCTCCGCCCACGTCATTTTGTTCATCGAGAATTTCCGCATATGTAGAATAATCTTCGGCAGTTAATTCTTCACCGTCATCGTTCGAATAGTCAGTCTTCATGTCGGTTGTTGATTTGCGCGTCGAGACGCTCGAAGTCGAATGTTGCTGTTGCTGTTGTTGTTTGAACACAGCAAGAATTTGTGGATTGTGCTCACAACGGCGCATATGTTTTTCTAATGTGCTGGCCACAGAAAATGGCATTGAACAATAACGGCAATGAAATGCTTCATTTCCACCGCGACCGTGCGTTTTCATATGTCGTGTTAATTTCGATGATTGAGCGCATGCGTACGCACACAGCTCACACTTATACGGTTTTTCGCCTAAGAAATATACTTTTTCAGTAGGGAAAGACAAACGATGAAAGATATTTACCAGTATGACTTCGACGATGAACTGTTAAGTTCGAACAGTTTTTGAAAACCTTTCCGCAGAATTCACATGTATCATTTCGTCGATCACGCTTGACGAATCGTTGTGCAGCAGGACTAGATACACGTGCGGTATTCGAATTGTTTTGAGTTAGCGTTCGAGATTGATGTGAAGTATTTTCATCAGGTGACAGTTGAGAATGATCCATCAGAGCTTGATCACCGGTATTATTATTCCCGCTTGCTATTGACAAATTCAGAGCCGCTGTTGCAGATGGCGATGCACCTGTTAGTGACGGAGATGAACGCGTAGATAGTAAACCACCACCGCTATCGATGATTGAATCTAGATGGAAAGATTAGAGGTTTTTTTTTATAAAAAAAAAAGTACTGTCGTATCAGCTTACTTGATTGTGGTGATGACGAATGTTGTTGTATTGTCATATCAGCATCTGTTGACGGTACTATTGATCGAAATGCTTGATGCAACCATTGAAAATTCTCGTTTGTGGTTGTTCCACTCGTTGTAGAATCTAATTCTCTGTCATGCCTCGATGTTGATCGATTATCGTCCGTAGTGGAGAGTTCATTTTTGACAGATACGTTTAATTGTTGTTGCGTGATGCCATTTGATAGACGAGTTGGCTTACGCTGATGACGTTTTCGTTGCGATTGAGATAATGGTTGTTGAATGGATGTTGCAAGCATATTGGATTTAGTTTTATTTTGATGCATTGATGTTGCCCGTTCATCTTCGGACGAGGATAAATAAACTGAACGTGCAGGAGAACCTGATAGACGACGAGGTGCACTAGCGGACGGTGGAACAGGCCGTTTATGTTCAATTTCATCATTTTGTCCGGAATCAGTTGGTCGTCGTCGTTTTTGATGTCGTGTATTATGACTGGCATCTAATTTTTCAAGGAGATCATATGATTTATCGTTCACGAATCAATCCAGAAATGATCCTACCTCCACGATTATGTACATTGTTGTCTGAGTTAGCATCAGTCTAAAATTGAAACGATGAGTGACCGATGAAATTGAACGAAAAAGCAACTTTACCCGCATAGGTTTGGGCGTGAGAAATTGTTGATCTGTCAATGATATCGTCTCATTATTAGGCTTATCTTTTCCACATGTTTGACACGCATGCTGCTTTGCTACTTCAGTAAGCAACTTGGCAATTGAACTTGATTGATGTGCAACTTCTTGTAATAGACTTGGATACGACGAAGGTGGAATCGATGAAACCAGTGTTGACAATGGCAGGTTGACCTTCGAATGAATACCTGCTGCGTAAGAATTACCATCAGTTGTCGCTCGTACTAATAAAGACTGTTGTTGTGCCGATCGAGTAGCATTAGCTGCGGCGATCAGTTGATTCGATGCGAATGTTGTCGATGATGTGAGCGATCGATTTGATGGTGTAACATCTTTCAATGCACCTTCAAGCAGATTTAGATCTACGTTCGATAGTGATGAATCAGTTGATAGTAGACCATTAGCTATTAACCCTGTTGTATGAGTATTAATCGAAGGATTTTCATTGAGACATGCACTGTACATTTTTACGCCATGTAAACGCTGATAATGTTGAATGAGATACCATGCTAAAAGTAAATGAATAGAAAGATAAAAGTAAAATTAACGTTATGCTTCGATTTTACCTGTACTATATACATCACCACATTGACTGCATTCGAAATTGTAAGGTTCGGCTGTAGAACAAGAACGAAACGGATTGACTTAGATCGTGGAAAATTGATATCGATCAACTTACCCGTATTGTTCAATGTATTGGCATTCGCATCAACCAGTACTTTAGAAACATTTGATTGTTTTTGTGATGCCGGATGTCGATGGTGAACGGTATGTTCGATTTCATTTCCACCTAGATTGCTACATGATTGACTTTTTCTTTCATCGTCGTCATCATCATCGTCGCCTTCGCCATCACCTTCGTTATCATCATCATCATTATCACCTTCACGTTGTCGTTGTTGGGATAGAAAATAAGGAATTTGCTGTTTATTTTCTTTGTTACCACACGTCGCTTTGTGTTCGATAAATTTTACAATATCGGACAGTTGAAAGTCTTGTTGACATGAGCCGCATACGAGCATATCGATAAATTTTATACGATTGTCAGGCATTTGTGCCGAACTGTTTACATTAGTACTGTTCATTGAGGAGATCATTCCCGTTGATGACGCTGAAGATTTCATTGTCGATCGTTTCGATGATCTATCATTTGTATTAGTGTCATTACTGCCGTTGGTCTTCATCATTGATAATAATCGATTACTACTGCTGGTCATGGTCAGCAGTGGCTCAACAGTACCGTTGAGCATTTACTCTAAAAATAATCACTTATTAGATTACGTAAAGATATTATCAATAGAACTAGAAAGAATAGATATGTCAGATATTGCGAAATGCACATTTTTTTTCCGAACATAAAATAATAGAGCAACACTAGAAAACATAGAGGAAAAGCAGCGTAATACACTAGCTGATCTATTACGATGAAATACAAAAAGAGAGAAACTTTATGTCAGTATATTAAATTTTAATGTGTATTAACTAGATTCAATCATATCGTGCACTATATAATGATAGAATGAGTGGGAATAGACTGATAGAAAAGATGAGAAGGACGGAAGTTCAGCATATTGGATCATAGCACACGAATAAGTGTTCTGTCACACACACCCATGCATACATACATATATGCGCAAGCGCGTGCACACATATAGTGCATGCATACACAGGAGAAATAGCCTTGTCCTTCGCATTGGATTAGTTGATGGTTGTGCGAAGAAGGAATGGAGAAGGAGGACAAGAGCGAATGCTACATAGTCGTAGTCGCCATGACGTAAATTAGACATGCAATCATCTTTAACTTGCATTCTCTCTCTCCCGTTCTTCCCCGCCCGTCGTCGACATCATCGTCTCTTGTCTCGGACTTTTGTGTCCGCCATATGAAAGAAAAAAAAAGAAATGGGAAGGAAAAAAGGACGACGAGAACAGGAACAAGAAGAGGATGAAGAGTGGTAGACGAGGAGAGTGTGAGAAAGAAAGAAAATCGTTCGGGCGTTGGTATTCAACACAACATTATTCGTTGCAATAGTTGGTTGTTGATGAAATGGGAGTCCGCAGGCATGCTACCCATCCGGCCTAAATCATCTTTCATGCCTTGTTTTCCTTTTCTTTTTTTCTCAGTTCTTTATCTACTGAAACTATGGAGAACGATGGTATTTGAATGGGTCCGAGTATATCTCGTATAGGAAACTCGCGAAATAGGAACTGATCAAATGTCAACTCAATTAGAGCACAGCTATTTTACTAATCGAAAGAAACCGAACAGATGATTTGTATGATTGCGGATGACACATAGTATCTGTGCTATCGGGTCAGATATGGATGTGACTTAGCGAGATCAAGATTTATATTACATACTTAAAATACATTTATTTGAATACTGCAATCGTAGTCGTTGTCTTCAATCAAATATATATATATAAATAAATATATATATATATATATGTGTGTGTATATTTGATGGGTGAAGTGACCGTTAATGACGACGTTCTTTCTTTTATACTCTCTTGTCCTCTACTCTCTTATTTTGTTATGTCCTTGCACACTGATTGTGTGCGTGTGTATGCATGTGTGCGGAAAGAGAGAGAGAGAGAGAGAGGGAGACAAAGGCAAAACGCGAGCCGAGAGCAGCGAACGGGCGAAGACGAAGTGAGGGGCAAGCAAGCGCACGCGAGAAAGAGAGTAAAGAGGACAGGACACCACAAGGATGGAAAGAACGAGAGAAAAAAAAATGCATCATAATCAAACGGACGATTATTTGATGCTTTACCGTTGGTCGTCGCTCGAGTGTTGGTTGGTGATGGTGACGGCGTTCTCTTTTTCCTTTTCTAGCATTACATTTCTTTCTCCAACATACTCTCTTTTTTCCTGTGTTGCATGCAACATCTGGCTTGTCCAGCCACACAATGTTGCCTGTTCTTCTTTGCTAGCACTCGATTTTTTTCGCTGTTCTTCGTGTTCTCTCCTGAAAAGACCAACGACAGCGACACACAATGTAACAACAACCTATTTTTCCTCCTCATCATCATCATCATTGTCGTCAGCAGATTTTTGAGAGCAATATAGCACGTCCATCTATAACGTGCACAGTGTGCGCGATTAGATGTTTATATTATTTTCATCCCGTGCGTTTCTATGAAGATTTGCAATACTGTATTTTAA